TAGGCGAACTGGTATGGGATAACTGTCGATACAAGGACCAGGAGGATGGCAGTGTGGACGATGCGTCGTCGAGGCGTTGGGGTGTTGAAGATCGGCAGGTTGCCGCGATCTTCACGCCGGATATAGCCTGTTTTGCTATGCAGGACACCGTATACCCATGAGAAAATGTTGACGAGGGTCAGGGCGAGATAGTTGACCAGCACGCAGACTCCGACACTGATAAGACCAAAAACTGGGACCAGGAACCAGAAGAAGGCATCTTGAGACCCCAACAAGAGATCGTTCTTGGTGAAGTCGACGGGAGTCTCGGTTGAATTTGTCCGCCAGTGGAGCGTCTCATCAGTCTGGGGCAAGGCTTTCGTGGTGGCCAGGGAGGTAGCCAACAGCGACATGGCCACTAACAAGAGTGGGAAGGAGGATCTCAGAGCACGATCAAGACCATCGGTGAAGGGAATAAAGTAGCCAGACTCATCGTAGATCTGGAACTGCTTGCGAAGAACGAGAGCAACGACAAGCAGCGGGAATGCAGCGAAGATGGTTCGATAGCGCATAACCAACTCTCCGAGACTACTAGTGAGGTCAACCTGAAGAGAGATATCAACTGTCGAGTCGGAGCTAGGGTCGGTCCACAGGTGGAAAGACACGCCTCCAAGTGCAGCCTGCTCGCGAATCGCTGGCGGCATGTATGGTGCCATACCATGCAGGTTCACGTTGACCTCGTTGACATTGACGAAAAACTTTGACTCATGAGGATCAGATACAGACTGCCGGAGCAACGGAGCAAACAACTCTTGCTTCTGTGGATGCCGGGTAATCTTCAACCGGTAGTCAAGCAGACTGGAATGCAGTGCGGGAATCTTGACCTCAGTGAGCATGGGCCGGTTTGCAGGTAGCCGCATCTTCAGGCCAGCACTTAGCAAGCCGCCCAAGCCAACCTTCGCCCGAATCATCGCATCAGAGCTATCCGAGAACTCAGCAACGAGGAATCCGGCAGTCGGAACGTTGGCCTTGTCCACGACAGCTACGAATTGATGTTCCGCAAGACCCTCCAATTCATACTGCAGGTATGAGAACGGCGCGACACGGTCATAGGCATGTTTCGAGGAGAGGGTCGAAGCAGGCAGGTGGATGCTGTCCTCGGCTGCGCTCTTGCAAGCCAAGCGCGTTGAGCCCACTGTACCACCCGAGAAATCCAAATTCAATGGGAAGTTGGTCGAGCGACCATTGGATAGCGGGAAGACGCTGCAGAACAGAACTTCGATGTTTCCATTCTTCTCGAGTGTTTGGTCTGTGAGCAGTGTGAACTTCTTACCGGAGACACCCTGAGGAGGAATCGGCAGTAGACGCACATCCGGGCCATGCTGCAGGCCCAGCTCGCGCAAGATCAATCTTTGGCCCTGTGCAAGGATGGTGTTGGCATTATCCTCAAGAGTCAGAAGGGTATTTGCGTCCTTCTGTGGGAGAGTCCGCTCAGCTACCGGCTCCAATCCAGTCAAATACCATTTCTTCAGAACACGCATGCGCTCCGCTCGTGGTTTCGTTTGGGTAGGGCGGCGTGCATCGACGATCTCAAATAGAGATTTGATGATCGCCTTGCGGAACTGGTCACACCAAGTGATCGACAGGTGATCCATCCCAATCCAAACATCCGGGATCGACGATGTGAACACGGTGAATCCGTGTGTCTCTGGTACAAGGGATGAGATACTGGCGTAGTCGGAGGGAACCACCGTATCACGCGCACCACCAGCGATAGAGATGAGAGTGACATGCCACAGGGGGTTGTTGTTAGCCCATGTCTGCGCATAGGCGTCGCGCCAGTAGTCGTTGATTTGTTTGTAAGTGTGGACGATATCGGAGTCAAAGGATACGGGTGGTTTTGCGTGAGGTGCGGACATGGTAATGATCGTGTTAACTGAATTGGCCTGGTAGTTGGCCATAGTCAAAGCAGTTCGAGCGACGATTCCACCCATCGAGTGACCGATTAAAACAACGGCACTCGGGTCTGGTAAGCCAGGATCTCGGCGGGTTCGTCGCGGGTCGTGGTAAAGTGATAGGATATAAGATATCGCTTCGTTCACGTATTCCGCCTGGTCCAACAGAGTCTGTCCATGGAACGCCGCCATATCCTCGTTAAAGTCGACCATGAAGAAATCCAAGCTCCGTGTTCCGGCCGTATGCCTGCTTTCATCGTGTCGAACCACATCATAGTAATGGCGCGAGGCCTCCGCGGCCAAAGACCGGACCTGTCGGTAGCTGCCGGCGTTACCGGGGAGGAAAAGAACGGGGACGCCATTCAACTAGAAACGAGTCAGCCCCGCTCAATCGCATCACACCAAACCAGATTACCATACCCCGATGTTATCCTGCGTGTAAGGGTCCACGCCTTCCTCCCGGTACACGAAGAGATTGTACTTGCTCGCAAAGCGGGTATGTTCCGTATCAAACTCCAACATGCGAATAAAGGTCGGACTCATCATCGGCACACCGCAACCATCACCGCCGACCTGGCGATCGGTAAAGGAGTGGACAATGGAGATCAAAAATGCCACAGCGACACAGGTCGTAAACGCTGTCAGAATTGAACAGGACCACGGGCTGCGCAGACGGGACTGTCGCGAGCGACGACCTTCGGGCGAGGGAGCCTCCATCGGGAGCCGAGGAGAGCTCAATGGCATCGTTTTGGTATCGTTGGAAGGTTGGGAGGTCGGGGTGCGCCACATGCTCGAGTTCCTGGAGCGCGGCGTCGCGCTGCCGTCGCGACGCAGGTCAAAACTAGTGCCGCGCCGGGCTATCTGTGATCGCGATTTCTCGTCGAGGGCGTTGGAGCCATGGTCGTCTGGGGTTTGGGAGACCGAGGAATCTTCGTCCTCGACAGGGGAGCCCGACGAGCGTCTGTGCATTGGAGGAGGCGGAGCCGGCTCATCCAGCACTCACAGGCACAGGGACCGGGTTTCTTGGCGCAGGGGGTTAAGCCTCGCACACAAACCCTCAGGGCGAGTAAGGACAGAGGATGGGGAGGGAAAGGGAAGGGGTGGAATGCGAGGGAAGACGGGAATGGAAGGGCGGTTGGTGGTTTGTCTGGGCCTTGGCATAGAGAAAAAGTCCCTGAGTCCCTTATTATTGTGGGTACGCAAGGACTGGGATGTGATATAGTGTAGTAGGGTCTTTAGATAAATGAAGTTCTACTCAGGTAGGATCTGCTTGATCTGCTTTTTCTGGACGCAATTGGCATTGCGGGCTTGGCATGAGACATGTACAGAGCTTCAACCATACTATAGAACAGTAGAACATACCCCATGTCTTCACATTTTACACTAAATGACTCTTTCAATTTTGTTGATCAGCAAAAGGTATATGTGGATATTCACTGGACAAAGTTAAAGAATTTGTGGGCACAGCAGGCAACCGTGTATCGCTGGTTAACAGTTCCTGCAGGACGCGTATGTCCCCAAGTCACACCGAAGATGTGCATATACACAGGATAATGTCTGACAAGTCTTGGCTTTCCCTTTCCATTTTGGTGCTCACCCCATGCCGCTTTTTGCTCACTGAGCAGGATGTAGTTCACCCCGACAGTTGGAGACGCGTCACCTGACATTGGAATCTCTCGGCATCACGTGATGGCAATCCTTACAGACTTATACTCGCTAGAATTTGTCGTATTTTACGCTAGTGGCCCACAAAAAAGTGGCAATATTTAAACCAGTCTATTTTAATATATTACTTTTGTGTTAGAATATTCCTCTACCATGACTAAGGAAAGCATTATTCGAGATTAGATCGTGATATCTGATAAAGAACAAGTAAGTTTTGTATAATATTATACCTTGTTAATGCATTAGCAATGTATAAGGAACACAACGGAAATTTCCTACTAAACTTGACTTATACAAAATGTCACCCGCTACGTACTCGGTTTATTCGATATACAATAGCTCTACTGGAGTATCCTATATCGGATCCTGATAGCTTTACCTATATAGTCGTAGTTCTAGGTCAAGAGTTGTGAGACCACGCAGAGTCTCTGGGTTTAGTTAGGTAAGCGAAGTAGAAGCCTCAGCTGACGTGTGGTACAATATGGTTCTATTGTAAAAGAGACTGAACGCTGACCCTTCTTAGGGTCAGCTTCTTAGGGTCAGCGGGGATGAACTGAATATAGGCTAGCCCTGCTTCCAGGCGGTGAGCAGGAATTCAGGTCACGTGATTTGAGGCGATTCAGCAAGCGAGTTGCCCACCTCGAGATTTTAGCTAGTGCAACCAACCAACCACCAAGAATTCAAGAAATTGTTCCATATCGTCCATCCCTGAATTGTCAAACTCGCGATGCAATTCGTATGTACTCTGGAACAATCACGGAATGCTCGCTCCCGGATTACTCCGCTGAGCAGCTTCCGCTCGCTCACCATGGCAATCCACCTGACTGGAACAGGCTCCCTAAACCGTGCTCCGTAACGCTCGTATAGTTCTAAGGCACTGTTACTGTACAACCCCTGAAATTTGAGGGCATCATCCAAACAAGGGCCGCTAGTTCTTCTTGGTTCCCACCTCACAGTATGCTCAATTCCGGTACGGTTCTAGCTGTGCTCATAATAGATTGATGGTGGACGATCGCTAATACTGAATTAACGGTATTTTCCCCGTCTCGAACATAAGTGTATTTTTTTATGGGGCACGGACACTGAGAAGGCGGCGTCAGCGTAATGCTTATCGGCAACCATAGATGTAAGAGCTTACTTGTACTGCACAGTAATCCATCAAGCCAACCATGCTCTGTTAGAAGCTTACGCATGGTAAGCACTAATGTAGATCACTGAACCTCTATTTTTTGGAGCTGAAGTCAGGGTGTATGGAGAATAGGATAATATACTCGCAAGGACGACGCTTTTCGTCCGTCCCTCTAGCGTGAATACATGCTGGTTTGACATTTGCCATCCTTTCTGACCACTCTTTTATTCATTGTTCGAATCATGACGGTTACAATTTCGAGTGGCCCTACGATGCCAGCCGATAATGGTGTGAACAGCGGGGCAAACCCGCAGATATCCAGCGGATATGAAGCTATCGATCCTGCGACGGCCTCGAAGACTCAGAAGAAATATCAAGAAGAGAGGAACAAGCGGCTTCGTCCCGACGGCCTTACCCAATACGTCAATCTGGGAGATACCGATGAGCCCAGCTATATGCGCTTCCTGAAGGATACTTGGGATGATGGAACCACGGCCTCTCTGACACTCAAGGACAATGATCACTTCAAATTTCTGATCCTAGGCGCCGGCATCGGTGGCCTGTTGTTCGCGGTGCGGTTGATCGAGGATGCCGGATTTCAACCCGAAGACATTGTCATCGTCGACGCTGCGGCAGGATTCGGTGGGGCGTGGTACTGGAATCGGTACCCTGGTATCATGTGCGATGTCGAGAGTTACATCTACATGCCACTGCTGGAAGAGACAGGATACATGCCCAAGCATAAATACGCCTATGGCGAGGAGCTTCGCGAGCAGGCGAACCGTATTGCATGGCAATGGTCTTTGGACGGCCGAGCCATGTTCCGTACCATCATCAGTCAATGTACCTGGGATGATAGTACTGCTGGGTGGACAGTCGAAATGACCCAGAGAGCCTTCGCGGGAGACACAACAACAACAGCGAGTGTGCGTGCCGACTTTATTATGCTGGTGCCCGGACTGCTCAACCGTCCGAAGCTGCCCAAACTGCCCGGCTGGGGCAAGTTTCAGGGTCCGAGCTTCATGGCTTCACGCTGGGACTACAAAGTCACGGGCGGGGGCCAAGAAGCGCCAGAGATGAGCAAACTGCAGGATAAGAGAGTTGGCATCATAGGCACTGGGGCCTCTGCGGTGCAAGCGGTGCCGCACCTGGCCCAGTGGAGCCAAGAACTGCTGATGTTTCAACGTACGCCGGCATCGGTGGACGTTCGAGCCCAGAAGGCAACTGATGAGCAGGAATGGAAGCAGAATATCTCTACGGGACCTGGTTGGCAGATGGTTCGAAGTCGGAACTTTGCATCCTTCCTAGCCAACACGCAGCCACCGGAGCCCGTGGACCTAGTATCGGATAGCTGGACCAGCTTTCCCTCTTTTAGCGTGCTGACGGGGGGAGCCAAGACCATTGGCATGGATGAGATCCCTGATCACGTCGCGAACTTGCATCAATTGGACATGCCGCGCGCGGAGAGGATCCGAGCAAGGGTTGACGAGCTTGTCCACGACCAAGAGGTCGCCGAGAAGCTCAAGGCCTGGTACCCAGGGTGGTGTAAGCGGCCGGCGTTCCACGACGAGTACCTGCAGGCTTTCAATCGACCTAACGTGAAACTCGTGGATACGAATGGGAAGGGCGTCAAGGGCCTGACGGAGACTGGCGTTATAGCCAATGGCAGAACGTATGACGTGGATGTGCTTATCTGGTCAACGGGGTTCGAGCAGGGTGTGCTCGGCAGCCCGGGAGCTCGGTGCGGCGTCAAAGTCATCGGGCGAGCCGGCCTGGACATGGAGGATAAATGGTCCAAGGGAGTAGCCACATTCCATGCCATCTGCACCAATGGCTTCCCCAACATGTTCTTCGCGGGCGCGAACCAAGCAGGTGCATCGCCGAACTATACACCTACTCTGGAGACCTTTGCCCGGCACATTGCTAAGATCATCTCTGCAAGTACTCGGCGGATTGGCAAGACCCAGCCGACTGCCAAAGTGGTCATTGAGGCGACGCAAGAGGCAGAGCAAGACTGGTCCAGGCGTGTCATGGTTGGGGCACCGACCCTAGCGCCCATGGCCGGATGCACGCCTTCGTACTACAACGCTGAAGGTTCTTTGGATAACATGTCAAGAGAAGAACAAATGCTTGCGGCGCCAGCAGGGCCCTGGCCGGCAGGACTGAACAATTTTATGGATGTTCTGGAGGAATGGAGGAGCCGAAATGACGAGCTAGAAGGGTTGCACGTATCAGGGGTGCAGGTAGACTAGATTTGGTATTTTCGCGAGACTTGAATTCCAAGTTAGGTGTCAAGAATTCAGTTTTGATTTAGTTTTGATTTAGTTCTGATTTAGTTTTGATTGTGCCCACCAAGCTTTCGATTGCGCTCTATGGCAACTCTTTACCTGTTCGGTTCAAGTGATGTCCCAGATGACCGGATAGAGACGGAAGATGTAAACGATTTGATGAAGCACTCAGGGGTGGGCTGATATGGAACGAATTCTTGATTCTTGGTGGTTGAACTATCTGAGTTCTCAAGGTGAACAACTCGCTTGGTGAATCGCCTCAGATCACGTGGGCTGGATTACTTAGGAACGCCGACAGAAGGCTCTGAAGGAAGAGGATAGATTCATGGGGCAAGCTATGCTGATATTGACATTTTTGACTCCAAATCACTGCAAATCCTCGGGAAGAGGAACTCCACCAGCAACCTCCTCGTTTCTCTTTCCATCCGCAAGCTTGTTCTGGGCCATCTTGGTGCCCATGTCTGACCAGCGGTGACTTCGCTGCAGTTGCAGCCATACATCGCCCCAAACCTTCACCGTCGCATACATTTCTGAATGCGGCGCTGGCGTGTCTGGCCCAACCTCGGCGAGAGTGACATCAAAGTTAAGTAGCAACTATTTTCCCCCCGCTACTGTCAGCAACTCTGCTTCTATGATGTGCTTGAGGAATAGCTCAACGGGTAAACAACGAACTATGTACTCACCGAAAGCGGTCCCTTGTAGAGCTCCATCATGGCAAACGGTTTACCCAGACAGACACGCGCGCCATACCCCCAAGCGAGATTGTATTTCTCATAGACCTTGGCAGCCGCTGGATCACCGAGCCATCGGTCTGGATAAAATTCTTCAGCATCTTCTCCGTACAGATTCTTGTCCCGATGAGCAATCCATGGATTCATGGCCACTTCGGTGTCAACCGGAACCTGGCGACCATTGACGATGAGATCCGGGTCACCGGGGCATACCACGCGAGGGAGAAGCGTGGCACCGCTCGGGTTCAGTCGAAGTGCTTCCTTTATGCAAGCGGCATAGAACGGAAGGTGCCGGGACACCTCGGTATACGTCGGGACTGGATAGCTCAGCTTGCCGGCAGCAATGGCATCCTCGATTTCGTCCATGAGGCGCCTGAAGATCGCAGGTTGCGAGAGAATCGAGACCATGAAGGCTGTGGACGCGCTGCCAAAACGATCCGAGCCGGCCCCGAGAATCACAAAGATTTCCGAGATGATTGTGTCGTCGGCGAGATGGTCGCCATCGGGTGTGCGAGCGTCCATAAACGATTGTAAGAGATCATAGGCCTTCTCACCTTTCCGGGCCCTGTCTCCGTGCTCCTTGATGCGCCTGCTACGCTCAGCGAGGATAGCTCCAGCCTTCTCCATGACCACAGCGAAGCCTAGTTTCTGCTCGGTGCGGACGACCAGCCACTTCTTCAGCCAAGAGTTGAGCAGCATCTCCGTCAAGGGATATATGCGACCGGCGACACCAAAGATGAGCATGCCCACACGGAACCCCTCGATGAGCCCCCCAACGTCGGAGCCAGACTTGATGAAGCCAAGTGGATTTCTGAACCCCAAGTCCGTGATGGTGTCATATGCCAGATAATGAGACCAGTGCGAGAAGTCCACCGGCTTTTGCTGCCCCACAAACCTTTCATCTATGCTACTAATCCAGTGTAAGATGTGCTTGTCGAGAAGAGGCTCCATCTTTTGGATATTCGCCAGCGCATATGGAGCCCCGATCAGGCGCCTATGCGCAGCGTGCGCGCCTGGCTCTCGAAGCAGGATACTGTTACTTTTCCCCACGTAGCCCTGCAAGTAGAACCGGGATTTGGTGTCGCGACGGTGGAAGACTACGGGCATGGCCTTGCTGTCCGCGATGAGCAACATGGTAGGTGTGACGCGGATTACTGGGCCTTGAGACAAAATAGTTGGTATGGACTTCTTGCCTTATAAAAAAAAAAAAAAAAAAAAAAAAAAAAAAGGGAACAAATGTGCTTGGTGTTGACATACCATGTTTCTTGATAAGCATCCATTGAGTTTGCAGCTCGGTGCCCCGAAAATGGTGCCACGCCAGCCACAGCCGGGTGATGCTGGCGAGCCATGGCCCTGGATAGTGTCTTAAGGGATGAAAGTAACGATAGTAGATAATCCGCCAAACAATGTCTACTATGACAAGATAGGCCAGGCCGAATAAGGCATGTCGGATCAGGTCCCGAGTCTCCAATGAACTTAGCCAATTGAGAATGAATGAAGTTGTAATGGCCATGGTATTAGAGCTTGGATCGACCTTGCCTTGTGAGAGTGAAAAACTTCAGACTCAGTATTCTTCAAGGTATGAGTACTACTCTTTTCATGCATCTGGTCTTTCGGGCGCCATATAGCAAAGACGTACTCGTCAGCATCGGTTCCATGCTTACATCTTACAAGGCTTATGCTTATCCCGTAGTAGCGCCTGCAGGCCGACGGTGCCAAAACATGAAAGATGACAACCTCGATAATCACCACCACGTACGAGTCGCCGATTGCACGTAATATTACTTTTTTTCTTTTAATGAAGTTTATAGGACAAAAGGACGCACCAAGACCAGGAATTCTCGTCGGTAACGCAGACGTATTTTCTACCCAGTAACTTACTATTTATTATTTTATGCTGCTCTCTCCTACAGTACGCTTCCTTTCGACTCACTCCGAATATTTGCTGTTCCTTGTCGGTTTATCTCCAGAGCAGCCATGACAACATACGCAACACCCGTTCCCCAAGATGTTGTCGAGCAGTCGGGAACATTAACCAGATTTTCCACGGCAGTCCATCGTGATCATGCTCTATGCCTGGAAGCAGCACACAAGATTCGAGGGGACTTCCTATCCAAGGTTGATGTGGAACTGAACGCCAAGACGATAGGGGACTGCCCTGTTCTAGGCCCAGTCCATGTTGTTGCCTTTACCATCCCGGAATGCTTGCCTGAACGGCTGGCGATCATGACGAGGTTCACCGACTTTACGATAATGAATGACGGTAGGCCCGCAAACATCATGTTGAAGAAGACATAGAGTTGACGAACGTTAGACTACTATGACGCTGTCGATACCAAAACAGTGGCCGCGTTCAACGCCGGTCTCCAGCTTTCGCTACAAGGCCCTAATGCTTCGACAAGTGACGGATCAAGTGTAGCAATCAAAACCAAGCAGTTTCAAGCCAGCATTCTGGTGGAGATGATGACGATGGACCGCGACCTGGCTATGGATGTCATGACCACTTATAGTAATGGTCTGCAGATCGCAACATCTCCGCCTTCCGGCATCTCTTCTATAGAAGAGTATCTCCCCATTCGATTGGTGAACTGCGGTCTCGAGTGAGTAAGAAGATGACGGACATCTGTTGTTACTGATGTGGCTGACTTCGACACAGTGTATTCCAAGATATGTCGTGCTTTGGCATAGGGATTCGGCTCACACAGGCAGAAAAACAAAAGCTGTCCGAAATCGCCAATACAGCTCTATACACCGCTGCTCTTATCAATGACTGCCATAGCTGGCCAAAGGAGCTGAAGTACCACCTCGAGACGCAAGGTTCAGAGATCCCATTCAATGCTGTCTGCATTCTGATGCGGCAGTATAAATGCTCAGACATCGAAGCTATAGAAAGACTTGGAGAAAAATACGTGGAACTTCAGGAACGACACCTATTCTTGGTTAGGAAGCTGGAACAGAGTGAGGGGGTGCTCTCTGACGCTCATCGCAAATTCATCATGGCAGCCCAGTATGCGGCCTCGGGTTCCGAATTTTGGAGTATTTTCGCTCCACGCTACCCGACCAAGGAAGACTTGGAGCAACCGGAATGTGTGCTCGTTGACGGCGTTTTCCAATGGAAACATGCGCTGGCCAATGGCCGTCAAGAACACAACTCGGCGGTACCTGTCAACGGGGCTGGTGCAACAAATGGCATCAAGTCGTCTCAAGTCAATGGAGCTGTAGCTCCAGGTACAACACCATCGGCCAAAGTAACCCATTGCAAGGTAAATGGAGTCAATGGCTCAAAGCATGAGAATGGCTGCCTTGGCAACGGTACTAAACATCGGTTGCAAGAACCTTCCGACGACGTAAGCACCAGCTCATCTCTCTTCAATGAATGAGGTCTAACTCAGTAGATAGGCCGTCAAAGCTCCCTACAACTACATCAACACCCTTCCATCGAAAAAGATCAGGGAAACTTTCATCGACGCCCTGGACTTCTGGCTAGAAGTCCCAGCGGCATCGTCATCGACTATCAAATCGATTATTGGCATGCTACACCACTCATCTCTCATGCTTGACGACATTGAGGACGACTCATTGCTGCGTAGGGGAAACCCTACCGCCCATACTTTGTTTGGTGTAGGACAAACGATAAACTCAGCCAACTACATTTTTGTTTGCGCCTTCGAGGAACTCCAGAAACTTCAGAGCCCACACGCTATAGGTGTCTTTATCGACGAGCTGAAGAACCTACACTGTGGACAGGCTCTGGACTTGTATTGGAAATATCACACCCATGTGCCCACCATTGGCGAGTACATGACGATGATTGATCATAAGACGGGCGGTCTCTTTCGATTGTGTGTCCGGCTGATGCAAGGCGAAGTTAGCAGGAAGACCGAGCACATTGATGCGTGGCGATTCGTCACATTACTTGGACGCTATTTCCAAATCCGCGACGATTACCAGAACCTCATATCAGACGAGGTAAGGACTGGACACTCAACTATGTTCCGAAACAGAGCTAATGTGCAACAGTACACCGATCAAAAAGGCTTTTGCGAGGACCTGGATGAGGGCAAGATTTCCTTGCCGCTCATCTATTGTCTCACCGGCTCTGATCCCGAACAGACTATGATAAAGGGTATACTACAGCACAAGGGGGTCGGAGAGATGCCGATGGCATTGAAAAGACTGATATTGGCGAAAATGAGAAACGGAGGAGCCCTCGACTCCACTTTCTTGTTGCTCCAGGACATGCAAGAGGACATACTGAGAGAGCTGAAGTTGCTTGAAGCGGCATTTGGGTTCGAGAATCCTATCCTCGAATTGGTCCTGAGGAGATTGTGGGTGTAAGGAGTTATCAGGTATAGAGCTTTTCACTTCCTACTACCAATCAGGGCTCGCGCTGTAGGAAGGTCGGTAATAGGCTCCCTGTTCAGCTTTTCAGTAAGACTGCTTGAGCATTCTCGAAGTCCGCCAGATCACTTGCACGTCTTGGGACATGCACCCATTTGACAATCCCCAATCTATCAATACCGTATGCGCCAGAGGTCTGCCACCGAGATCCGCTTTCTGTCGCACGATCCCAAAGTCCCTCTCTCCATCCCAGCGATATTGCCGCATACACCGTAGCTAAATTCAAGACATGTTCTCTTGTAGCCACTCCCAGGCCCCAGGCCGCGTACAATTCCATTTCATCATCGATAATGATAGTCGCCGCCGGTTCTTGGTTTCCAGAATTGGCACATAGCCGACCCCCTTGCTGAATTGCTTTCAACCAACGACTGGTCGCCTCCTCGGACGAATGCGATACCAGTATGACCTTGATGCTGCCCTTACGCACGGCGTCTAAGCTGCAGACGTCGATACACGCTTTCTCGGCAACTGACAATCGCCGGGCTTAATCATGCGTGAGAGTTTTGCTTTTGCTAGGACTGACGTACATGGGCATCCACAGTGCCGAAGGAAAACAAGGATACAGGGGTCAGGGCTGAGTTGCGGAAATCGGAGTAAGCGATGACTTGGTGCAGGGTATCCAACTCTCGGCGCCGGCGATATTTCTCGCTTCTTCGGTGCTACCCAGGAGGCGAATTCTTGCGACAGTGTCATCTTACTGTATGCTGCGCCTGGGGAGAGAGATCAAGTGCTCGAAAAGGAACGTATAACGCTCTAATCCTTAGCAAGTTTCTTTGTTTAAATCGTCTCCAAAAAAAGTCGCATTCGAAGTTCTAGATGAACAATAACTAAGAAGCAAAGTCATGAAGATCGCGCGGTGTAATAGGATCATTTATACTGTGACTATAAGAATGTAGGCTTGAAGACTAAGAACATAGTCATTGATTTACATGTAATAACTACTTCGCTCTAGTTGTTGTACTGCCAGTTATATTTAAGTACAAGGCAGGCTAAGGCACGTCAGCGAGCCTTACTGCTTACGGCTTTACTGTACATGTCAGCAAGTACCCCGAAGGTAACCATCCAAAAGAGCGTGACTAAATCCAAAGTCACTATTGCTAGCCTAAGAATTGGATGTAAGAATAAGCGCCGTCATTGTTAATTCCGCAATCTGATTGTCCTCGTCTAACTGTCGCAGGGACCGAGATAAATCATTACGCTGCTTGAAATTACGCCTAGGCACTTGTCATCATAGAAATCTTAGTGGACACCTAGTAATACCGGACACAAACCCTTGTGATGACTAGAGTTATTGAGATTGCACAACGCTTTCCTGTGCCGGCTACTCCTTTAAACAAAGCGAGGAAATTCCATACCTACAGCTATTGATCATCGAGCATTGCTAGGGGTCACAGGGTTAACATGTACCACATGGCTTCAAAACATGAAGAGCAGTGGAATGCTGTCTCAAAACTGCAGTCCACGCCTCTTCCTTATGTGGTGGCCTTCTTAGTTGTGGTTCTGGCTAGATTCTACTGGCACGTCCCAACAAACGTGCCGGTATTGAATGCAAAATGTTTCTACGAGTTCTCCGACGAGCGCGTGAAGAAGTCATTCCTAGGCAATGCCAGGCAGATGCTACATGATTGGTTTGAAGAAAATCCCGACAAGCCCGTTTCGGTTCATACCGATACTGGAATGGTCATAGTATTGCCGGGAAGCATGGCAAATGAAATCCGAAACGATAAGAGATTCCACTTGCGTCAACAGGTTGAAAGGGTTTGCAGATCTCTTATTCCAGCACAATCGCTATTGCTAACATGGTTGTAGATGATGCATGGTCGTCTCCCGGGCTTTGAGGTGTTTCGTGATGATAAAAATAATCAGCTCGTCAAGACCGTGATTAATAGGGATCTGACTAAACAGTTAGGTGGGTGCTTTCTATCAAAGCCTATCACGACAAAATTGCTAATACCTTGTCAGCGGATGTCACTCCACCCCTTGGTGAAGAGACTTCCTTAGCCCTAGCAGATTTGCTTGGTGAAGATACAGGTATGCTTCACAGAATGTCGACTAGGATCCGCAGCCTAACGAACATCTTAGAATGGCACAAATTGCCTCTTCAAGAGACTATTCTCAAGTTGATCTGTCGCCTTTCCTCACGGGTTTTCCTCGGACCTAAGCTCTGTCGCAACGAAGAATGGCTACAGGTTACAAGACAGTATGCAGTAATAACATTCCTAGCTGCGCAGGACCTTCGATCATGGTCTCCTTGGATACGACCAATTGTGAACTCATTCCTCAGGAAATGCCGAATGAGTCGTGCTTTGATGCAAAAGGCTCGGGAACTGATTCAACCCGTTATCCAAGAACGAAGGAGACTGGAGGGAAAACCCTCAGAAATCCAGTCATCAGAGCTCAACGACGCAATATCCTGGTTCGAAGACGCAGCAAACACCGAATCATTTGATCCCGAAATTGTCCAATTATCGCTTTCCACGGTGGCAATCCATAGACCTGCTGTGCCAAACGCTGGCGGATATTGCGATGCATCCTCAGATCATCGAGCCACTGCGAGAAGAAATAGTTTCGAGTCTCAGCGAGAATAACGGATTGAAAACGGCTTCATTGGGTAAGATGAAACTTCTCGACAGTTGCATCAAAGAGAGTCAGCGCTTGAAGCCTTTGTCGATAGGTAAGAAGACCAAAGCACCTATGCTACTATGTCGGCACTAATACGGATTTCCCTTAGCATCAATGGGCCGCATGGCAACTGAGCGTGTAGTTCTGTCTGATGGCACCGTGATTCCCAAAGGTCAAAGCATACTCGTGGATTCGAGCAAGATGTGGGACTCCGAAGTACATCCTGCATCCCCAGACAGATGGGACGGATATCGCTTCCTTCGCATGCGCGAAGATCCTAAGAAGAGGGACATAGCTCCACTTACAACGACGTCGCCTGAACAGATCGCCTTTGGCTACGGTGTTCACGCTTGCCCTGGCCGCTTTTTCGCAGGGAATGAAATCAAAATTGCATTGGCTGCCATCTTACTGAAATACGAGTTGAAGTTCGAGGAAGGCCAGACACCAAGAGCATTCGATCATGGGTTTACGTGCAATTTTGACTTCTCCGTGCAAATGAGTGTTAAAAGGCGCAAAGGGGGGGGGGGGGGGGGGTTAGGTTTTGATAGATAGCTAAAAGACTGCGGCACAATACTCTTGAGTACATAATATTCTACGTTGGGTTTTTATCAATAAGATGCACGTACCTAAACAGTAGATTCTAGTTGCTATTTACAGCTGCTGGACCTCTTGTTCTACACCCCTCCAGCAATCACGACGTAACGTAGGGTTCAGCCAAATGTTCCCGAATTGGTCTTTCCCTTTCAGTATAATGATGCCGGGAAACACGGCATTGAGCTTTTGAAACCCGGACACGTAAGAAGAAAGGTTGCTACGGGTTATGCCCTTGGAATTTCCTTCTGCCGTATCCGTGACTATTGCTGGCGAGAGATCAATCATGTGTTGAAGCTGAAGCTTAATCGCATTTGTCACAAAGTACAAATCGCTGTCGTGCGTGCCGAAAATCGGTTGATATTTGCCTGTTCGCTGAAAGGTCTCTCTGTGGTGTCGTAGTAAGCCCAGCACTTGGTTCTCCTCTGTTTGTTGCTGTACTGCCTTTCGCTGTTCCAGGGCAATTCGAAAGACCGGTTGATCTTGTAAGAATCCTCGCGGTAGGAGTGTATAGACTGCAGACACCATGTTTGAGATGTAGACTCCTTTGCGATCGACATCTGCATGTGCGATTTCAGGTGGATTGATGAAATCCTCTCGTAAGTATGGTCGGAGATTGAACGCTTGACCGAGGATTGTAGGGCACGATGTGCGCGAGGTTTTATGCTTGTTCGCAGCTTTCATTATCCAGCCAGTCAAGATATCACCGTCGCTGATAAAAGGCGGTTGTGATTCGCCCTGCTCTTCGGCCCATTCCTTCAGCTCGAGCCTTGTATTGTCCACAAGTCGATGAAAAGCATCATTTGAAATCATAATCAGGCGCCGTTCAGGCGGCGAAATAAACATGGTGTTCCATAAATACCGCAGTTGGAACCAGAGAAGATCGACTCCTTGGAGCTCATGCCGACCGAGGGCCCATTCCTCGGCGATGTCAGAACGTGCCGGATCAGCCATCTCCCACATTGGGTCACAGTTGATATCGATCGGCTTGGTGACTTTGTCCTCTTCACCAGCTAAAACGAGCGACCAGTTGTGTAAGAACTCACTATATCCGAGACCGTCCATGAGAATATGTGGCCAGCAAAGTCCAACAATTGTGGCGTCCGTAAAGGATGAAACCAGGACACTTAGAACTGGACTCCCCGATTTGGCGAACTCATGAATACTCTTCGGTGCCTGCTCGGTCCGCGCGAAAGTCGCTAGGAAATCGTCGTTTGGATAAACCATTGATTCTTGGGTTTGCTTGATAGGTGGGAACTTCGCAGCAACAGTGTGCTCAGAAACCGCCATGTCGAACTTTTCATGATGGAAGTTGAATGCTGGGTTTTGCGAGTCAAAATGCTTCGGCACATGCAGTGTGATTCGACCATTTCCCTAAGGGTCAAAACCCATTAGCATATCGTTTGCTGATCGAAATGAATCCCTTACATTCAACTTTATCCGGCCCCCAATCTTGCGCCAATGGTCAATCTCAAGAAGCTTCTTTAGTGAGCTCTGTATCAGATCGTGGTCCAACACATTATCGAATTTGAACGCAAAGTATTTGACGTGGTCTCTGAAAGCTTCGTCATTTCTAGAGATTTGGTATACAGTCGTATCGTCGGAACAGCTGGACTGCTGAGCTGTTCCATGCAGTGGTGATAATAGCGGCTTGAGACTGGTTATGCATGCCGTTATAAGCAAACCGATTTGTCGAAATACCCAATATGCCATTTGGGACCGAATCGTTGGAACAAGGCCGTACAGACTGCCCAGTGTACAAAGATGTGGATTTTCTTCTTATACGAATTCTGTCCAATTGACACCCTGATGACGATCGCTTTTGCTGAACTCCCTGATATTGAGAGGTCAATGAAGGCTACTCAGCTCAGAGAGGATGTGGATGTGATCCTGTCAAGTTCAGCAGCGCATATACTTGCCTGTTAAGCACGTAAGCGTTGCTCGGGACTAAACACGTATAAATGCTTAGCCGTAATCGTAAGCCCTTACAGTAATCCTGGTATTGTATCTTTTGAGATGCTGAAAGCTTACTAGTATATAAGCTTGTATTAGCGTAAAGTTCTGTGGCTTTTTATTTTCAGCGAACTTAGAGTGTGTCATGATAATGCCAATAGTAATAGGTATATATAGTGTTAGATGCGCAAGGCCAACTATCAATCCGCTCATTTGCACAATTCTCTTCCATGCTATTCTTGCTGCGCTTGATCCCCTCCCAAATTCTTTGAAGAAACGTTATTCAAATCTGTGAGTACCAGTAACTACTATGCTCCGTCGACAATATGTACGCTACCGACGCGACGTGGTGTCGTTATTGCTTAATACCCCTGCTAACCAGATCATCTTCGGCAGACCTCTAATAAATCCTATACATTCATTCATATCCCATCACACCGGCACCCAACTGACTTGTACACGCCATGACCATACAGCTCCCAAAGGAACTTCAGCCGGACTGCTGTAGTATCGTTGAATGGGCGCTGTCTGGTCAGTACGACCCGACGAAGCCAGTATTGATCGATGCCGTCGAGTCTGACCCACCACGTTCTATATCCAAGGGAAAGGCTGTTGAGCTCATTGCGTCTCTCGTTGGGGCTTTTGAGAAGAACACAACGGTGTGCCTTCATCTTGCAAACGACATCCTTTACCCGATCTTGGTGCTGGCCATCTACGGTTCGTCATGCCGCTGGACAGGCACAAACATCGCCTATACGGTTCCTGAACTGGAGCATCAAGTTCGAGTCTCCGACACAAAGTATGTCATCACGAGAGAGGAGCATCTGGAAACTGTGCGCGCCGCTGCTGGCTCAGCAGAAATTATTCTCTTCACCGATATCTTGTTCGAACCGAGTCATGGAAGCAGCACTTCAACTCATGAATTCCGAACTCTTCGTGACCTCCAGAGAGAGTCAAGTGTGGAGATCCTGTATGCTACAATCCGTGCTATTGATCTTCAATCTGTTTCTACCCTCGCATCGACGTCAGGTACAACTGGTCGACCGAAGATGGCCGCACGTACGCAACGGTCTATGGTGCTTGAGAGTACCGCGATAGAGGAATATCCTAAACCCTATCAAGTGCGGCGGCTTTACTGCACCCCCATCTTCCACGGCTTTGCAGCCCCAGAAATGGTAGGTCGCGTTCTTTCGTCGGACTTCGGCCTCTTATTAACTTCTCTAGATCATCAATGCTCTGCGACTCGGCATCCCATCCTATTTCATGAAACGCTATGATGATGTCTTATACGCTCAAAAGATCCAGGAGTTCAACATCACAGAGACCTTTGCTGCGCCACCGATGATGGTCAGGCTGATAAACAACACACCCGACGCGCAGAAGCAGCTCCAATCACTTCGCACGATTTACAGCGGTGGCGCGGCGCTGGTTCCGGAGTTGAGAGCTAAATTCCTCAAGCTTTTCGATCAGGCCAACCCTCCGCGAATCACTCAAGTCTGGGGTATGATGGAGTGCGGCTGGATGACGACTTTCAGGTATCCCGAGAGCGATGACACATCCTCTATTGGCCGCTTTCTGCCTGGTTGCGAGATCAAGTTGAGTGCAACTCGCGAGACATTGTCAAGCGGCCAGGAGGTTGGCGAAATGTATGCTCACAGCCCCTACGGTATGTCGTGCTACTGGGGTAATGCGGAAGCGACCGAACGAGCGTTCGAAGACAAGGAGCACTACTGGCTGAAAACGGGAGACATTGGATATGTTGAGAACGGGAAAGTGTACGTGGTGGACCGTGAGAAAGACATCTTCAAGGTCAATGGCTTCCAGGTATGAGACCGCCGCCGGCCCGAGAGCCAGATGCATAGCATACTCTATGTTCGAAGATCGCTGACCTCTCGGCTCTTGTGCGGATAGGTTGCTCCTCCCGAGCTCGAGGATGCATTTATGGCATTGTCTGACGTGAAGGATGCTGGAGTCATCGGGTCCGGTCCCAATCTGGACTCTGAGGAGCATCCGATAGCGTTTGTCGTACGTGCTAATCTAAATGTTACCGCCGAGGAGCTGAAGCAGCAACTACGTCAGCGCCTTACTCGTTATAAGGTAAATTACTGCGATATTCGGTTTATCGATGCTATCCCGAAAAGCGTAACCGGCAAGATTCTTAAGAATGAGTTGCGCAAGCTCGCTATATTATGATATCTTTTTAGTGAGTCAGAAGGAAAGACCGATGGTAGCGAATGGTATTGGCCGGCCGGCTTAGTTTTGAGGGCGCAGCCAGTGGCGAGAAGCGTTTTGGAAAGTATCAATGTAGGACAGCAACGCCGAACCTAGACAGGAGCAGAAACGGACAACGGCGAGTGTGGAGAAGTGCGGGTATCTTCTGAAGAGCAAGGTAGACTGGCAAACTTGTGAGCCAGTCAGATATGGAAGGTGTTGTGATATGAGGCTGGTGCAGATCAAGAACCAAGCCAAACCATCGGAAATAATCCCGAGATATCTATACGAAGAACCAAGTTGATTTTCAATCAACTTGATCTTTTCGTTGTATATATAGCCTCATGTTTGCCTCTGAATAAATAACCAATCTTCCTTTGAACTACAACAGAAGGCTTTGTAATCCTACTCATCACCAATTCATGTCCCTTTCCAAGAAGTTTTCTTGTTTCTCATCGCACCGTCATACATAGAATTTCCAAGGCATTAATTAAGACAGCATGAAGGCTTCAGTTCTATGAAGGTCTTGCGCGGTTGGCAGGCATCTCACTGATCTTCTCCAACCAAAGAACTACATCGACGCCATCTTCGCTTACCAGGTTGGCTTGATTGGAGCAAAGCCTTTCTTCTTCATGACGATACAATGGCGGATGATGGTTAGTAGAACGAGCGGGTGTTGTCAGCTGACGATGAAGCCAAGCATCAGCTTGCACGATGGTTTTGCCTTGCAATTCTATCCCCGTGATCGTACCACTTACGACGAAGATAAGCGTATTACGAGTAATGCTTACTATCCTTACCCCCTTTACATATCCATATATACATCGGTAGATCGGTCGATTCACGGCAAGATGGCAAAGTTTCCTTCACAACAAACATCGATTGCACAATGGTAGTGTTTCCAGACGATACCTGCACCATCCCTTTAGACACATCAGCAGATGCACGTCTCGAGGCAGTAGCGAAGATCTTGACCGCATACACGGGACATTCCCTGTACGCTTACGAAAGCGAATCAACATGGCACTTAGGGGTGGACAGACAGGCGTCTTTCACCATCGATCCGCGTGGCGAGACAGCGACAATTGAGACGGACACCACTAGCTTATCTACTGCAATGACCGGAGATAGTATCAAGAAGGTCATTGCAGCCTTTACTTCTCGCCATGCCCAAGACAGAGGGATGATATTCGGCCAGATCGGCTTCAACTACTCTGCTTACATCAATGGGGTCGACTTTGAGGCGGGCTCGTGGCCATTGGTCAGTCTCTTAGTCCCGCGGTTGCAAATTCGTGTCCAAAAGGGCGCGGTCTCGCTCCGTAATTGGACCGAAAATGATTTGCGAGTCATCAAAACAGCCCTGTCACAACCTTCTTCGCGCTCTTATGCGCACGGCCGGCCTGATGAATCAACAGATGGAGAGCAGTATCGGGATGTCGTGCGGCAAGCACTGGGCGAGATCAGCAGAGGGTCATATCAAAAAGTCATTGCCTCTCGGGCCATTAATTTATCACACCGAGTCGATATGGTGGGAACTCTATTATGCGGACGACGCGCCAACACGCCTAGGCGCGCATTTCTGGTTGACCATAACGGGTTCAGTGCCACCGGATTTAGTCCGGAGCTTGTCATGTCTTTTCAGGATGGGAAAGTCGCCACCGAGCCGCTTGCCGGAACCAGGGCCAATGTAGGCACGGAAAAGGAGCGTTCGCGGCTACGGAATGATCTCCTTAATGACCCCAAGGAAGTCATAGAGCACATCATCTCAGTCCAGGAAGCAATGCGGGAAATGAATCAATTCTGCGCGAATGGCACTGTGGCCGTGGCCGATCTCATGTCTGTGAAACAAAGGGGAAAGGTGCAACATCTTGCTTCCACCGTCACTGGGACTCTCTGCCCGTTCAAGGACGTATGGGACGCTTTGAACGTGTTGTTTCCAGCGATTACGGCTACCGGGATCCCTAAAACGAAGGCCATTGAGGCCATCTCTCGCCTGGAGACTCGCCCTCGCGAACTCTACTCGGGAGCTATTGTCTTTTTTGAGGGATCCAAATCAGTCAAGGCATCCTTGGTCCTTCGCTCGGTCTTTCAAGATTCTGAACGTAGCTGGCTGCGAGCCGGAGCGGGAATAATAGCCTTGTCGAACCCGGATCGGGAGCTCACCGAAACGTGTGAGAAGCTGCGAAGCGTTGCTGGTTTCGTGATTGTCGATCACAGAGAGTGATCAATGAGACATAATCAGTGACTTAGTAGTGATAAAGAATAAACGATCGGTTCACAGTAAGCGAGCGATAAGATTACTAGGTAAAGTTAATATACCTTATTAAGCTGTGAGAATATAGGGCGGGGCTTAACTTACCCTAGTAGTACGGAGTAGGCTTAGCAGCTTCAGTTACTCGGAACAGCGTCTATATGTCTATATTACTATCCACAGTAAGCGTAAGCGCTGACCTTCAGATAGCGGACCGTGGACTCTGGCCGCACCTTCCGTCTAAGGAGATTCGGTCCATCCTAATTCCGGCCATGCATCCCTGTCAACAAACCTGGACGCACTCTCTTCCATTGTTTTCACTGTCTTGCACTATCTTGCACCGTCTTGCACAAGGCAAAGGCGCTATCTTCTCTCGTCATGGCACGGCTTGGACGCATCGGGTTCCTCGGAACTGCGATCGTGTTCCACCTGGTGTATATCTACTCCATCTTCGACATCTACTTCGTGTCGCCTCTTGTGCATGGAATGCGCGCATACAAAGTCGACACCCCTGAGCCTCCCGCCAGGCGATTGATTTTGTATGTTGGTACGTGGATCCCCTCTCTCCACATCACATGAACTATTGCATACTGACCTCCAGCTTTGCAGGTGACGGACTCCGAGCCGACAAAGCGTTTCAATTCTTCCCCGACCCCTCAAGGCCGATAGACGATTCTGCGGCACAGGATGTGGTCCCCATGGCGCCTTTCCTCCGGTCTCGAGTCCTCGAACATGGCACTTTTGGCGTCTCCCACACCCGCGTTCCCACCGAATCCCGACCGGGTCATGTAGCCCTCATCGCGGGGCTGTACGAAGACGTGGCAGCGGTAACAACAGGATGGAAACTTAATTCGGTCAACTTTGACAGCGTCTTCAACAGAAGTCGACATACCTGGAGCTGGGGCAGTCCGGATATCTTGCCCATGTTCTCCGCCGGGGCTGTACCGGGCCGAGTCGAAGATCAGATGTACGAGGCGGAATTTGAAGATTCCAGTAAAGATGCTACGGAGCTGGACTACTGGGTTTTTGACCGTGTAAAGAAGCTGTTCGAGGACGCTGACACGGATGAAGTATTAAATACAAGACTGAGGCAACATAAGATTGTGCTTTCTTGCATTTGCTGGGCCTGGATACCACGGGGCATGCGCACCGGCCGTATTCACAGGAGTATTTAAGGAATATCCAGATTGTGGATCAGGGTGTACAAGAGATCACAGAGATTGTAAATCGGTTTTATGGGGATGATAGGACAGCTTTTGTTTTTACTGCAGACCATGGGATGAGTGATTGGGGAAGTCACGGAGATGGACACTCGGATAATACGAGGACACCATTGATTGCCTGGGGGTCTGGAGTTGCGAAGCCCAGAATGGCGAAGCGTGGCAAGGCACCGGGTCATGAAGATGGTTTCTCAAGTGATTGGCAGCTGGATCATATTTAGCGCCATGATGTTGCTCAAGCGGATATCGCGGCTCTTATGGCATACCTGGTTGGCTTGGAATTTCCGGTCAACTCGGTTGGAGAGCTCCCGCTATCGTTTCTGGACGCCACTGACGAGCAAAAGGCAAAGGCTTTGCTTGCTAATGCGAGAGAGATTCTGGAGATGTATTGTGTCAAGGAGCGCGAGAAGATGGCTGAAGTTCTACATTACAAGCCTTACTCTGGCTTTGCGGAAACCAACATCGAAAATCGTCTAGCATTCATCGAGGAACTCATCCGGGAACAAGATTACACGACTGCAATGAAGCAATCCGATGAACTGATTAAGACTGCTTTGCAGGGCCTAAGGTACCTGCAGACCTATGCGTGGCTCTTTCTGCGAACACTGGTCACAGCAGGCTATCTTGGCTGGATCGCATTCGCTTTCACAACAGCCATAGATGTCTACGTGCTCGATAACAAGATCAATGTGCAGAGGTCACGCGGGCTCGTTATAACTTTTACCTCGATCCTGGTCGGGCTTTGCAGTCTACTCATGTTCCAAGCATCACCCATCACATACTACGCGTACGCCTTCTTTCCACTTTTGTTTTGGGAAGAGGTTTTTGCGCGGTGGAGGGTGTTGGCCGAGGGCAAGAGAATATTGTTTTCGCAGTTCTCGATGAGTGATACAATCAAGTTTGCATTGAACATCGCTGCATATTTAGCTAGAAGTCATGGTGAGTACCCGGGTTCCTACAATCAACTCCTGCTTACGAGTTGCACAGGTTCAAAGTTACTACAGGCGACAGGTCTATACGATTGTATACCTGACCGCTACCGCTTGGCCACTTCTCAACGGTACAGACTTTGTCAAGACAAACATTTTCCTCTACACTACGTGGGCACTTTCCTGCGCTGCCATGAGCGTCTTCACTCTTCTACCAGCTAACAAGCTGGAGGACATAACCCTCATGTACGTAGGGCCCATACAACATATTGTCCTAGAGCTGACTTTATCCCAGTTCTGTCGGTGGCATCTTAATCCTTCTAGTCGGCTTTTTGTATATTGCGTTTGAAGAGAGACTATTGGTACAGACTGTGCCCTCAAAACATCGGCTGAGCGCAGCGGATGCCGATGGTGTATCGAGAATGATTCTTGGTTTGCAAGTCGGACTGGTCGCTCTTGCAATGCTTGTCACAAGGTCGAGTGTGGCCTCCTTACAGACAAAGCAGGGCCTTCCGCTGGGAACACAGATCGCCGGATGGGCTACGCTGGGTAAGTACTGTTCTGGTTTCTTTTTTTTTTTTTTTTTTTTTGCAGCTGGTGCTAGACGTTCGAAATGCCAATTGAATGGTTTATGCGATACGCAACATCGACTCACCTTATTGTCCGATATTGGGTGCGAATTTCAACATCAGATCAGCATATTTGCCAGCAACGCGCAATGACTGGGAGATGCCTTCACGAGCATGAGCACGCGTGATGATCATTCAGGGCACAAATCCTTTGCAAGAGGCTGTGGCTGAATGGATTCTGCATCTTCTGTCACTCGCTAGCAATGTCTACGCTATCGACTACGAGATAAGCTTCCGAGTGCTGCCAAGACTATTCTTCAAGGCGCGCAGGTGGTGCTTGTGTGCATATGTGCTTGGAGTCTGTTGTCACGCTAACGACCTTGTAAACAGTCGCATCCCTCGTCCTGCCCTTTGCCCACGTCTTACGTCCACGAAAACATTTCCTTCATCGCCATATGATCATTTTCCTCGCACTCGGGCCACTCTTCATCATCCTCACTATCTCCTACGAGGGGCTTTTTTACTTTGCCATTGCCATTACCCTCTTCAGCTGGGTCCAACTCGAACATAGAATACATCAACACTCTAAGAACGGTAAAACCCGCAAGATCAAGTCCATCGACGATTCTCGTACAACGGGCAACGCCAAGAACGCTGCAGTTATTGATAAACCCTTCAAAAAGGCCCTGAAAGAGGAAGTTTTAGCTCCACTTACAACAGCCGCCGAGACAGCGGAGCAGAGAGAAGCGGCTGCCGCAGAGGGGAGCTACAGAAGTCTCATCCTTTCGGATGTAAGATTGTGTCTTTTTTTCCTCTTCCTGCTGCACTCTGCCTTTTTCAGCACCGGAAACATCGCCTCGGTCTCCTCATTTTCGCTGGATGCTGTCTACCGGCTAGTTCCTATTTTCGATCCCTTCAGCCAGGCAGCTCTTCTCATCTTCAAGATCCTAGCTCCTTTCGCGCTGGTTTCTGCCAATCTTGGATTTCTGACCAAGAGACTGAAGCTTCAAGGTGGAAGTCTGTTCACGGTGGTCATGGGCCTCGGTGACTACATGACTCTGCGCTTTTTCTGGGCAGTGAGAGATGAAGGGAGCTGGCTGGAGATTGGAGAGAGTATTAGCATGTTTATTATTGCTTCTGCGTTATGTGTGTTTGTCGCAGCGTTGGAGGCTTTGTCGGAGGTATTTGTTAGAGGGGTGGAGTTTCAAGACAACCTATAGAGTGAAGGGAACTCACTATGTTGTGATATCAGCATTCATGCCTCAGGCATATCGCATTCAGGATTCATGTGCAAGGGCCAGCTAGGGCAGTGGTGGACCTTTCATCATTATTAACAAGTGTGTACTCCACTGAACCCTCGGTTATTGTATCTTATCACTATAAATAGGTGGAGAAGTACTTGATATTGGGGTTCAGACTTAAACAATCTCGTGAATCGGATGCTTGTTAGTAGCAACTCAGCTAGTCCAATCGTATATCTCAACAAGATAAACCACACCTATTGATATAATCTACTGATACACCTTTTTCCGGTAGGGCAGCAAACGTAGACGCAATTTAGAATGGTTATCTCGAATCTATCGAGTTGCGAAAATGCTTCTGATATATAAAAAGAGCTTCGGAAGGCGGTTGACCCTTCTGTGAAGAGCGGGAAATTATCCGATTTTCCGGCGTGTAGGGCCGGGGGGTGCCAATACTTTTCTTTTCGGAGAGGGATGTAGGACGCCCTGATAGACCGAGAGTACGAAGACTCGATTTTCAGCCTGGGGAGGGCAGGCCGATGGTACGGGTTGATTGGGTGAAATTGCTGGTGATGGCTTTTTTTTTCTTTATGCGCGGAAGAGACCTAACTATACTGTACACACACTAGAGGTTGACGGTGGCTCAAAATTCTAGCAATAGCTTGACAGCAACCTCACTGCCCGCACCAACCGCGACCGACAGCGGTGTTTCTCCGTCCTTGTTTCGTATGTTGAGCAACGAAGAGTCCGCACAGCAGCATCTCAGCAGCCGTTCCAGGATCCGATGACGGTTATAGAACACTGCCCAGTGGAGGGTCGACCAATGAGCATTATCAACATGGCCCACCCCGGCCCCGTGTGAGAGCAACAGCTCCAGTATCTCTTCGTGGCCCCCGATCACCGCGCACGACAGAGGTGTCAGACCCGCGTTATCCTTCGAGTCGCAATCTGCGTGATGCTCGAGTAAAAGGCGGACGACTTTACTGTTGCCCGTCTGCACTGCTCGATGAAGCACCGTCTGTCTCGCGGATGCTCTGCCACTCTCGTCGTTGTCATCGACCGGATCACTCGGGCTTCTTGTTGTATGGCGTTCTTGGCAGTCTCTTAGATCCGAAGAGCGGGCAAGGGAAGGAGTAGTAGTAGTAGTAGTAGTAGTAGTAGTAGTAGTAGTAGTAGTAGTAGTATCAGTAGTAGTCGTAGCAGCAGAAGCAGTAGCAGCAAAAGGAGCCGTCTCTATCAGGGTCGATGTCAAGAAGTCGGGCGTACTATCTTTGCTCTTCCCGTAGTTGGGGTTGGGGTCCAGAAAGAAATCATCCATCACACTATCACCTCGACCGTCCTCAAAACGGCTTATCGAGGACAGCCGGCGACCTGAAGCGATGATGCTGTGTGGCGTGGCTAGCGTCAGTGCGCTAGGGGCTATTGGGTCGATGTCGTCCAGGGCATTTGAGGCGCTGGTTCGTGGATGGGGTTGATTTTGCTCCGGTGCGACTTTCCGTTCTCGATTCTTGTCTGATCTCGAACGGACAGAAAGTCAGTTATTGTCGACCGTTTGATGGTGGGATCGTTTCACTAACGTCGGAAACGCTGCTGCGCCAGGCGGTTCTGCTCACGACGGCGATCCGCTACTGTCGTCTTTACTCGAGAATTGCTGGGATCTTGTGTCGTTGCTGGTGAGCCGCAGGAGCTGCACAGCATTCTGCCGAGCGTTGCTGGGTAGACTGGCAAGAATATACAGGCAAAAGGATCAGTCTATACAAGGAGAGCGCCTGTTATTTGGGTGGGGATCACTTATACCAGGCAGCAGGATTAATAGAGGAGCTAAAGGTTTAATTGATACTTAGCTTACCGGCTATAGATGATACTGGTTTTATATCCCAGTAGTCGCGATACCACAAGTTTCAAGTTTCCAAGAGCCAGTGGCTGGGTGAGTGAGGATGGAGTTAGTGCCATATTTATGTTCATTGAATCTGTTCGATCAATAACGGCAAAGTTCAGGCTGACTATGTCGTTCAGTTTATACTATTCTCCAAAAAGACTAGTTAGATACAGGCATCTGAATCCTACCTGCGCTTTGACAGAAATGGACCACTTAATGACTCAGCCCTTGTCTTCCAACAAGCGTCGTTAGCGCTAGCCGGGATCCTATCCGCCTTAAGGTATTTGGCGAGTGGCGAAATGCAGGTAGGCATCCATGATCGTGTCTCAGTCGAGAAGTGTGGCGATAGACCAACAATAAGTCCGAGTGTTTCCATACAACCTAGAAGTTGAGAAAGAGACCGTGGACAATGAGATATGGTGATGATCAAAGGTGCAAAGGACAATTGAAGCTCTGGCTCGTTGCCGGTCCCCACCCCGGCCCGTCCCTCCCGTTCCCACCCCGGCCAGCTGCATTCACACACACCCTATCGAACTATGAGTATTTCCTGTAATCAATCTCGGCGCCATCCAAGTTGACTTTTGCGTCTCTCTCTCTCTCTCTTTTGATTTAATTTTTTTTTTGGTGAAACGTGACTGCGAAATTGGCATTGACTGATGCCTGGAATTTAGTATTTTATCATGACCTCTTCTCCCTATAGGTACCGTACGCTAGTGGAAAGCAACACCGCCGCGGATATATAATGTTCCAGAGCTTACAGTAGCTTGACTTTTATCAAGACTTCTAGCAAGTCGGACATATTCCGTTTGCCCGAGAAAGGATCTTCCACTCGATCCCTATAGGGCGGATTATACCGTACTAAGCTGGCCTGACTTCATCTTAAAAGGGGCATTTTGCCCCTCCAAAACTCGTGCAGTGGTGTGTGTAGTTCTCCAATAACTATACGCTAATCCCAAACCCTTATACCAATGAGAAGGATATACAGATCTCGTGTGTAAGAAAGAAGTCTAGTGTTTACAGGATAGAGCCTGTCGACTAGGTAAGATCAAAGATGTCTCAGAACAAGTGGTATTGCAAGATGTACAGAGACTGATTCTTGGGGAACTCCCAGGTTCACCAAGAACGACTTATTTAACATGACCAAAGAGGCGGGTTGGCGCTGACGACTCTACAAGTATGCGCTGGAAAGAAGCGGGGTAGTCCACAGGAGTTGATAGACTCCTATCCATGTAAGACAAGTGCAGGGTTTGATGCTATAAAGAGTCGACCCATTTGCTCTCGTCGTGAGGCACCTCCACAATTATCACTTTGACACTAATACTCTAATACACCTTAATCCGCATTAATAGGTGGGTACTTTTCGTAGATTGCTGTCCCTTATATGGAATGATGATACCTTTCAACCCAATGACCAGCCATGTAGGCTAGGGTGAGCGAGTACAATTAAGCAGATTCCGATTCAAGTGTTTCGATTACTGTGTTTTTAGTGCGTAAATATAGAGCCAGACTAACTGACCTTCTATATTCCCAATTTAGGACCTGTCCACCGTGTAATCATGAGAGCGAACAGCGAACTTAGAAGACTCGCCACGTAACCATTACATACAGGTATAAGGATAGCCATGAACAAAGGATCTTCGAATAAACATTCTCAGTCACAAAATCTCAAGCGTCCTCATCAATCATAAAACCGCGAGGCGAGTCTACTCAATAGTCTCAACCCTCCCCTTCTCTTCATCAGGATACCCCTTCCCGTCAATCCCCCGATGAGCAGCAACAACCTGCAAATCAGCATCATGCTCAGCATCAAAGTTCCTGCCAAGCCTCTCAGGCCCAACAAACGTAACAAGAATAACATAAGCAAAAACACACCCCATGAAAATACAAATGACCCTGCCATACTCATAACGATGCTTCGACTCCTCAGTAGGCGGCAAGGGGAACCGCTCACCAATAGTCGACTCAATGGTCGAACTAGCAGATGAGACAAGATTTCCAAGCTGGTACGCCGTGCCGACAGCGAACGTACGGATCGCACCAGGCGATAACTCCATTAGATGGATGGGGATGACACCCCACGCGCCTTGCACCATGAACTGCTCGAAGTAGGCGGCTGCAATAACGTTCTTGTTCGTCACAAATGTGTAGGGGTACAGTAGTGCTCCGCCGACGATTGAGATAACTATGATCGAGAAGCGGCGGCCGAAGATTTGACTAGCCCAGCCGCAGAGCGTGCCGCCTGTGAGGGCGCCTAGGTTGGCGACGACTTGCGTGACTGTCACTGCGTTTTTGGAAAAGTTGAATTGGTTCTCTAGCATTGTTGGGTAGAGATCTTGAGAGCCGTGGGACTGGATAGAGGTAATATGTTAGCATTGGTACTTCCATCTTGTGACAGCTATAACGTGGGGGGCATGCAACATACCATAAAGTTGAACCCAGCCATGAGCAACACCAAATAAATAAGAATTAGCCAATGACGCTGGAGAGCAACTTTTCCCTCGGACAAGAAAGAAGCAGCAACACCACCACGTATCTCAGCGCGAGTCTCCTGTCTCCTCTTAAAAGTCTCCGTCTCGCCAAGGAAAAGCCGGAAAATAATAATAAGAACAGGCGGACAAGCTGCAAACCAATAAAGAGGCCTCCAGCCATGGGGAGTGGTGTCAACAAGCGCACGGGCAAACGCAGTGGCGAGCAGATATCCAAAAGCATAACCCTGCTGCAAAAGACCGGAGATAATACCACGGGCTTCAGCAGGACAGTCTTCAAGCGCGGTAGCAGCGGCATTACCGTACAAGCCACCCATTGCGATGCCGAACAGCGCGCGACAGGCGAGGAATTGCTTGTATGTTTGGCAGAAACCGGCACCTAGCTCGAGGACGACGAAGAGAAGCTGGTTTACGATGAAGGGCCATTTGCGGCCCCAGCGGTCGGAGGCTATGCCGAATGTTATGGCGCCTACTGAGCGCAGCATTAGGACTAGGGTTATGCCCCATGTTATGTCTGTCACTGATTTGTCGAAGGTTTCGGCGAGCTGGGAGGTTGTTAGGGAGACGGTGAAGAAGTCGAAGGCATCCCATGACCAGCCGCAGAATGCGACCTGGATATGTGTTAGTCTGGTGTTTTTGTATTCAGCCTCGTGGATTGGGGATCGGCGTACCAAGAAGTTTAGCCACTGTTGCTTATTTAGGAGGGTTAGGGCTTTGAAAGGGTTTGGTGCGGGGTTCATCGGGGGTACCAGCGAGGTGAAGCGTGTCGCGATGTATTGGCCGACACTCATGTTTTCCTCAACATCTGGCGACGCGGTTGCGTGTTGGGTCTTGCTCTCGATCTCCATAGCTGCTACTGTGAATACCGGGTGTAGCAGTTGAGAGGAAGAGAGGGAAGCCTGGACTTATGCAAGAAGGAGATCTAAAATTTCTACAAACGCGGGGGACAGGACTCTAAATACGAGAGGCTACTCCGGATCCCCGAAGCTAAAAAGCAAAAAGCAAAAAGCAAAAAGCAAAAGCCAAATCCCACTGGTCCATAGTGATACAACTATTCGCTTGGGTCAGCCTGGAGAGACCTGGGGGAAATGGATCCAAGCTCGCCGATCCCTTCTCTACAGAGACTTCTTAGATAGCCTCCATGGCCCCCTCAGCCAATCCAGAGAGTCGAGAAATTTGCGATCAACGGATGCAAGACACGATATCGGAACAACGACGTGGTCAACTCCGCTGATTGGCTCTGTCGCCGTTACATTCGGACGCTTCCTCTGCCGGAGTCGGCGAGACACTCGGGCAGACTCCGCTAGAGTGCAGCTTTCGGGCTTGTACTAGATCCTTTCGGATAAATCACTAGAAGTGCATGTCAACCCCGGCCAAGACATACTCCGGATCTCTGCCCAGACCGGGGTTGTGGAGAAGCGCAATCTCATGACCCACAATAACACAATTTAGAACCTCGCACCTCGGTATACAAGGCCACAGTAGGCTATAAGATATGGTGTAATGTGCTGTAGATATCCCCATGGGAGTCAACCTTGGACGAGATTTAACCTTTTTCCCGTCTGGGGTCGAAGCTTGGCACTGCTTCTCCCAAGTAAGACTTGACTTAGCCTTCGGTGGCTTGAAGTCGTCCGCGGACGATGCCCGATAGCCACATTCAGGTGAACATCCACGTAAGCCGATTAAGTCTAAGTGCAAGTCTACCGAAGGTCTACGGAACTCAGTTTTATTAGCCGGCACTGTGTAGATGGAATGAGAACCCCGAGACCCCCGCAATTCCCGTTTGCCAAGTACTAACCTATACGTAGGTACCTTGTTCCTAGACCATTTGCGCGGTTAAATGGCTATGTCGGGGTACGATCGTCCCTCTGTTGGCATCGCATACGTTCCCCCCAAACCTACTGTGTTTCTTGGCTGCAGCAGCCAACGATGCCAATACTTGCCATGCGATTGGCAAAGCTTCTGCTAACCGCGCTCGGACGGTTGCCATCTATGTCATATTGACTTCCTTTGATTTGCATGTATTTTGCTATTGGCGTTCATACTATGCTCCTATACTCCGTGGAGGCGTGTTCAGTTAGCGTGTTCAGTTAGCGTACCGCGGGGAATTTCGATGTTCATGTTGGACTCTTGAGTCACGCGTCAAGTCATATCTGTGGATATCATGGCTCTCTCCTAGATTAGGTCTTTCTCATCACCCGAAGGCGATTAATTCGGATGCGGAAGTCCCCATAAGCCGGGAAATCTGTTTAGGACAAAGAGCGCTCCTAGCCGCCTAGGTTGGAAAGGAGTCATACCAATTCGGCCCGGTCGGCCTCTGACCTGGGGTGCAAGTACCGTGGCTGCATCGGTATCTCAGCCATTGCATCGATCATATTAACCTTTTGTGTTTTACCTTGGCATGACGCAGCGATAAGATTCAAAATGTTTACGTGAGATCTCATACAATCAAACAGAGCCAGTAGGTTATTTATACCTACAACAGGGTCATACAGATAAATAGCACCATGAAGTATTGAATAGTCTGTGTAGGAAGCCCCGAGGCGACCATTTGAATCATTGTTCTCGCCCTGGTTGGCCTCTCTTTGCTTTACCTCTCTTTTGCCCATTTTCGAGTGCCTCCGGTTGATCATATCAGTAACATGAAGGTGGGATAAGGACTATGACTTTATGTGTGCTACCCTTTCTTTCTAGTAACCATTCAACGTCCATAGTATATTAGGCCGACCTAGCATGCATCGGACCGGTGCCTGATCCATGTCGCCGCTCGCACCCTTGTTCTCCATGTTGCTTACTCTTATTTGCATAGTGAGGATGCTAATACAGTCTCACCTAATGCTGATTTATCTAATATGCGCTTCGCTTCCCATATACATATTCTGCCTATTTTGAAAATGCCCACCAGCAGATTTGATAACTGGACATTAAACAAGGCAGACCGAGAGGGATAGAAGTGTTCTATTCTCGGATCGAGAGCCGAGAAAGAAGAAAGGCAAGAGATTGATGGCATGATATGACTGAAGTAAGTAACTCATGGTGATATCGCCATCATTTATCGATTAGAAGGGTACTGCGAAGTATGTCAGGGTCTTGGTGCCTAAATATGCTTGAGATATCGAGACCCCTATTGACCATGGGCAAGTTTATGAGAAATCTATATTGAGAGAATATGATCCGTGTTTAAAATGCAGTTTTGTCGCAAGATCTCCTAATTTGAAGCCCTTTGGATCGTAGCCAGCGGGCCTAAACCTTGCGAAGAATGCAGATTGAGACTATAATGGTTCGAAATATAGCGATACCTGAGTCTTGTATTTTGGAGTTGTCTGTGAGGCTTGATCACTCTGAAACGATGCCTTTTGCCCCATAGAATCTAAAAATACCTTGCCCGTTTCGGAATGCATCTCGGTTCCTTGCAGCAAAGCTGCGGGGCAACGGTCTTGGCCCTAACTGGCCCATCTAGTTGTATGCCTACAATAATTCAGATCAAAGCCACATACCATGACACTGTCATTTCCAGCTGAAGAATTCAAGCCTCAGGAGGCTGTGCAGTCGATCCGAGGGACAGGAGGCGGTGCTTTCCCGCTAAGCCCCGCAGATCCGCCGATGCCGTATATTTATTGTCCCGTCTCAAGCCATCCATCCTTTATTGTTCTCACCCTCCTATATACTCCCTCCATCACTATCATCATCCTCGATAACCCCCACACATCAACCTCACAATGTCGCATTACGGAGGTCCCCCGCAAAACCAATACAACGGCAGTGGCCAATACTACGACCAACAAGGCCAAGGGTACTACCCCGCGCAACAAGGCCATTCCCAGCCGCAACAAGGCTACTATCCAGAGGTAATCCAAGTCCTCAAACCGAGGAACCAACCCATCAGGAGATCCACACGGAACCTCCTCCCCTCTCGTACCTCGTACTCGTACCAAGACCAAAGCTGACAAGAAACCAGTCCCAGCCCGCTTATGGCCAATACCCGCCTCAGCAATCTCACGGTCAGGGTCATCCTCCCCCGTACGATCAGCAGTACCAGCAGGGTCAGAATCAGGGTCAGGGTCCATACCAGGGTGGTCCGGGATACGGCCAGCCTCAGCAGGACCGTGGTCACTCACCCTACCCGCCTCAGCAGCAGCATTACCAACAGGGTGGTGAGAGTTCTTCCTACTATGGTGGAGCGCCGCCTCAGCAGCAGGGACACCCTGGGGCGCCTGGAGCCGAGGGTGAAAGGGGACTCGGGTCTACGCTGATGGGTGGTGCTGCTGGTGGGTTTATGGGTCATAAGTTGGGCCATGGTGCGCTTGGGACCGCTGGTGGTGCTGTTCTTGGTGCTGTTGGAGCTAACCTTGTGAACAATAAGCTGTAAGCTGTGTTCTGGTTCTAATCGTGTGGTGATTGATTGCTGATTTTATTTGATACAGCGGTAAGGATAAGAAGCACAAGAAAGAGAAGAAGCATAAGAAGGAGAAGAAGCATAAGCGCAAGGGTTCTAGTTCGAGTTCAAGCTCTAGCTCTAGCTCTGATAGCGATTAGGTTGTGTGATCATCTGGGACGGTGACATGCTTCTTGTTTCTTTGATACCATGCTTTCTTCTGGGTTGTTTCTATGACTTTGTTTCAGGCCTGGGCTTAGGATAGCCGAGTGGCCTCATGCGTTATGTTTGTCCTGATGTCTTTATGTATTCATAGTGAAATGGCAGCTGTGCAATTGCCATATTCCAACCTATTTTTGTAGAAGTAATGTAAGGACTTAAGTTGCCCAATTGGGATTGAAACCCGCTTGATTGATGAGATAGTGTGCATGGGTATTATAATAATGCTCATTAATATGTTACTGTGGGAGTGGCTGTTCACCCCGCACAGGTTTCTTTGCATTCCCCCGGAAGGGTTTGGGTGGCTCTTCGAAGAAAGCCCCCGAGTCGATCCTACTGTCCAGGCTATAGGACAGTGTTGGGATCAGCTTTGGCGTATCCCACTCAAAGCGCCACTTTTGAGAAACTTCATTCCAAGATTGCCGAGGCACAAGCGCAGAAATCCGTCTCCATAGCCGACGCATAAATCTTGCTGTGATAACATGGGGTCGACCGTTGGCATAGTCTGCAAAGGTATTTTCCTTCTCAGGACCCTTGACAAGCAGCTTCAAGACTGCGCTTTCTGACCTGGCGTTGGCCTCGGACTTTACGCCCTTTCTCCTCTTGACAGGCTCCCAGGGCGTGGTTCCCGAGACCAGCCCGTCAAGCGTGCGGAGATCCTCTTCTGGCAATGGCGGCAACAGGCTATTCAACGTGGCAAAATACCAATGTTTTCGGATCTTCACTTTTCGAGACTGGGCCAATTCCTTGCCCCAAATATCCTGCTTCGGGATTGGCGGTGATACAGCCTTGATCAAAGGTCTGACTCGGCTTGATGTAATTACTGGGTTTCTCACATGAGAGAGGGCTAGGCTCCTCACGATAGCTGGAGGTTGCCAGCCGTCATGGAATTTGAGAGGCGCAGAGATGAGCTCTTTGGCTGCTTGGGTATCATTTGGGATTCCGGGGTTTTCGGGCTTTAGAAGTTCTGCCAGCATCTCATGTCGCCGTTTCCCCGTGCGACCGTATGATAGATAGAGTATTTTCTCGAGGGGTCGCGAGTAGCCTTCATTTGCGCGTTGTAAAACTGAGAGACCATTTCGTGCCGCATGTACCATCTGAGGACCAGCCTTGGAGTGACGGGAGGATACTGCACGATATCTGGAGAGCACATGTTCTCGCATGTAGGTGCGAGCGACAGGATCAGGCAGGTAGGTACATTCGCGCAGTGTCGCTCGTAATAAATGACGCCATTGCTGTGGTGTTGAAAGATTGCCCAGCCAATGTTGTGGTTGTAGCTTGGCCATGTTGAAACTCTCAAAGAAAAGTGGCCGATCCCAAAACGGAGAAACGCGAAAACCTTGGCGTCGTGTCACGGGAACTCCGACGCGCCCTTTTCGTTCTCCTCACCCCGCGACTTGCCTTGCATTGAGCCTATCGTGATCTCGATCTTGATTGACGAATTTCGACACATTCGTTTTGCCTTGGGGCTTTGAATGGTATTTTGGTTTGGCGGTTTCCCTCTGGAGGGTTAGCCACGCGCCTCCTTTCCGCGTCATTCCAACCGGCATTGGGTATCTTTCCCCTTGCTAGTTCTTTGGTATCCTTGCTGACATTTCTGGGGGAAAGACCAGCATGTCCTACTCACAGGGCAGTACAGGGTCTGTGAATGGAATGGCCTACAACGTTTTGAATGCTTCGCAATCCCTCTCCTCCACCCCTCGCGCAACACCTCCGCCTCCCAAGGGTTCTCAGATGTCCTCTTTTGGTTATTCCAACGGACCACAGAAAAGTAGTTTTAATGGGTATGATGGCACTAACGACTATGGGTCGGTAATGTCATACCAGGAGGAGTACAAGCCACAGATTTATCGAGTTCGTGGCCTTCCACATCCCCACTGAACATTCCACTGACGAGCCTCGAACAGGCGGTTTATTCTAATGTCGCCGTCTATGAAATGGAAGTGAATGGTGTTGCTGTGATGAAACGTCGATCCGATTCTTGGTTGAACGCAACACAGATTTTGAAAGTCGCCGGTGTCGTGAAAGCACGCAGGACGAAAACACTCGAAAAAGAAATTGCCGCTGGTGAACACGAGAAGGTGCAAGGCGGTTACGGAAAATACCAGGGAACGTGGGTTAATTATCAACGTGGCGTCGACCTGTGCAGAGAATATCACGTCGAAGAATCGCTCCGGCCGTTGCTAGAGTATGACATGAGTCCTGACGGCTCTGGACAACCCGCCCAAGGCACCATCGATACACCCACAAAAGAACAAGCAATGGCTGCGCAACGCAAGCGTCTTTACAACGGCGGGGAGAATCGCAGTGCATCACAGCCGCAACAAGGAACTTTCTTCCAGAATATTTCGCGAACCGCTGCCACCGCAGTGAACGCTCTCAGCAAAGCGCGCTTCGACTCGCCCAGCACCAACAGCCGTCGGCCCAGTGTGATTCGGAAGCCTTCACAACAGATGAGCAGCCAGGAATCCGGACTTCCATTCAGCAGCCAGCAGAGCATGTACAGCATGTCTGACAGTGGATTTGGCAGTCTGCAGAACCGTTTCCAGACCCAAGACGATCATGACGATCTCGCAGAACCCCCGCGCAAACGTATGCGCTCCGCATCCCAATACGCTCCACCTATCGGTCTACCTCGTGACCCATCCAACTTGTCCATGAACGATCCTACTCCCACAGAACCTAATGACTCCTTCTACCAAGACATGGATCTTCCACCTCCCCCTATGGATGACGGTTCCAAACGCGGAATCGAGTCCCTGGCTCCTGCTTCTACTCCAGAGAGATTCCAAAAGATGAAGCTTATCATGACATTATTCCTCGACAAGCGGACTAAAGATTTCACAAACCACCCAGCTTTAGTACAACTAACTGGTGACGATCTTGAAATTCCTCTCGATGAGTACCGAAACAATGCGCTTCATTGGGCTGCTATGCTTGCCCGCATGTCACTACTAAATGCCCTCGTCGCTAAAGGCGTCAGTATCTCGCGAGTCAACGGTGCCGGAGAGACAGCTTTGCAAAAGTCAGTGGGAACTCGCAACAACCTAGATTATCGAAGCTTCCCTCGCTTGCTCCAGGTACTTGCTCCAACCATTGACATGGTCGACTATAGCGGGCGTACCATCCTGCATCACATTGCGGTTATGGCTGCTACTGGTGGTGGCGGACACGTCTCCGCAAAACACTACCTAGAAGCTCTTCTTGAGTTTATTGTACGACACGGAGGCATTGTTCCGACTTCGAATGGAGACGCAACAAATGGAACTCACAGCAATGATGTCATTTCATTAGGGCGGTTCATCTCTGAGATTGTCAATCTCCGTGATGATCAAGGTGACACGGCTCTGAACCTAGCGGGGCGTGCGCGCTCGGTCCTTGTTCCACAGCTTCTAGAAGTTGGTGCCGATCCTCATATTCCCAACCACACTGGTCTCCGTCCTGCAGATTATGGTGTTGGTGTTGACATGGTCGATGGTAACTCCCAGTCTCAACAAGCGGGCAACCGTAACGATACATTTATTGATCAATTGGCGAAGTCGAAGAAAGAGATTCTTGATGGTAGGTTTTTTCCCTCTGGTCACATTTGTTTCTACTAACGACGAATCTAGCCGCAATGTCTCAAATTAGCTCAATGGTTGAGGAGACACTAGGTGGAATTGACCGAGAGCTGGCCTCTAGCTTGACACAGAAGCAAGAGAGCTTCGATCATTGGCACACAAAGATTCGGGAATCTGCCAAAGCTCGGCAGATCGAGCAAAAACAATTTGATGAACTGAGACGTAAGGGTTCTGAGCGCGTGGAGCTTGACCGGCGTATCAAGAACCTCGAGAGATCTTCAGAGGGCTTGTTGGCTACAGTGAAGAATACACCCGGGCTAGATCCAACTAGGACAGTGGTCGTGGGCGATGCCGACTTGGTTTCTGGCATTGACACCAACACATTCGAGAAATTATTCCCCGAAAGCTTTGACCCAGCCTCTGGCTTCTCAGAGCAACAAACTGCTTTCTTGTTCTCAATTCCAAGCACAGACGCCCTTAGACGTCAAGCTCAATGCTATAAAGAGTTTAACAGCGGCATTTTAGCCGAGGTGGACGGTCTCAAAGCAAAGAACGCAGTCCTCGGCCAAAACTACCGGCGCATGGTGATGGCATGCACAGGCTGGACAGCAGAGCAAGTAGACGAAGCAGCAGAAGGACTCACGCAATGCGTGAAGGATTTGAACGATAACCCTGTCCCGGAAGATGAGGCGATTGAGATCTTGATGCGGGATCGTGGGCAGGACTGGTAAGCAACCCTTGGAAGTTTGATACCTTTTGAGCGTTTGGGCGGATTAGCTTGGCTTGACTTCGGCGTTGTTGCTTTGTACGATAAAATACCCTGGTGGCATCCGTTCATGCCCGTTGGCACATAGCTTGTTATTGATGTGAGGAACACACCGTATTCCTGTACACTTGATTTGTTATTTGGTTCATGTATAGTACCCGTACCTTTTGTCTCTGTACAGGCTAAAATGAAGTGAAATTAGCCGGCTCGTGATACTTCTAGGCTTGATGGGCTTGGCTTGGCTTTTGGCGTGTCACATACGGGGATGCCTTCGGCGCTATTTAGCCCTGTCCCCCGCGTTTGCCAAGGTGCTTTGCGGGTAAATTGCCTGCTGGGCTGGGTGTTAATAAATAGTTATAAACGTCATGTAGGACGCTCTCGTTTTGTTACTTCTACGCGGGCATCTCCACGGATAAATAGATTCACCAATCTACAACATGGCAACCGGATTCCTGAGTGTCAAAGGTGACACAATCGTTAACGAGGATGGGGAGGGAGTAGTCCTACGAGGAGCTGCTCTGGGAGGATGGATGAAGTAAAATTCTCACCAGCTTATATGACTCTCGCCTTCTCGGATTGAACTAATAATGCTCGCCCATTAAAGCATGGAAAACTTCATCACAGGCTTCTCCGGTCACGAAGCCCAACACCGCGCCGCAATGCTCCAAGCCCTAGGACCGGAGAAATACGAGTTCTTCTTCGACAAATGGCTCGAATACTTTTTCACCGAGGCAGACGCCCAGTTCTTCGCCGAGCTAGGACTAAACTGTCTCCGCCTTCCATTCAATTACCGCCATTTCGAGGATGATATGAATCCGCGCGTATTAAAGGAATCTGGATTCAAGCACCTGGATCGGGTAGTCAATCTGGTCAGTGTCCACCTCTGCAGAAAGTATCAATGATATCAATTCGAACTTATCATGACTGACTACCTTTTATCTGATATAGTGCGCAGAAAAGGGCATCTATACCATCCTAGACATGCACGCCGTCCCAGGCGGCCAGAATCCAGACTGGCACTCTGACAATCCAACAGGCTATGCCGCATTCTGGGACTATAAAGATCATCAGGATAGGACTGTTTGGCTTTGGGAGCAGATTGCTTTGCGGTACAGGAATAACCCTTATGTTGCTGGGTATAACCCGCTGAATGAGCCTTGTGACCCTGAGCATGTCCGCTTGCCTGCTTTTTATGAACGAGTTGAGCAGGCTATTCGCGCGGTTGATGGAAATCATATTCTTTGGTTGGACGGGAATACATTTGCAATGGAGTGGAAGGGGTTTGATGAGGTTTTGCCGAATTGTGTTTATGCCATGCATGATTACTCGGTGAGTTGGGTATCCCTTTTTCTTATTTTTAGTAAAATGGACATCGCCTCATACTACTACCTAGTCCATGGGATTCCCTACCGGTGATCGTTACAAAGGAACAGCCGATCAAAAGGCCTATCTCGAACGGTCATACTTGCGCAAAGCACAATTCATGACCGAGAACAAGACACCAGTCTGGAATGGAGAATTCGGACCCGTCTACGCAGATCATACCATCGACGTCGATGCTGAAACAGTCAACCAAGAGCGATATAATCTACTTGGTGACCAGCTACGCATCTACGACAAGTATAACATCAGCTGGTCAATCTGGCTGTACAAAGACATTGGGCTGCAAGGCATGATCTACACCAACCCAGAAAGCAAATGGAACAAGACCCTCAAGCCATTCCTTGATAAGAAGAAGGACTTCTGGCTTGATAAATGGGGCCGACGACCTGCGTCTGCTCCTGAAGCTGCTTTGAGACCTTTGGTTGATTGGATTGATAGTGTTAGTCCTACTGCTAAGGATACTTATCCTACGTCGTGGAATACTGAATTGCATGTGATGCGCAATGTGTTCTATACATTTTTGGCGGCTTCTTTTGTGGATGACTTTGCTGCGCTGTTTCGGGGAATGAGTGAGAAGGATCTAGAAGAGTTGGCTAGGAGCTTCCACTTTGAGGGTTGTGTTCAGCGTGAGGGGTTGAATCGTATTCTCAGGGATCATGCACATGCGTCTAAATAGTTGGATGACTTCTGGATTAGTTGAGTGTGGTATAAAATGCATTTGATCTTGCAAATTGCAGTAAAGTGCAGGGGCAGTGTAGTGCAATGTGGGCGTCTTGAATTCCAAGTAGGGCGTGGCAACACCACGTGTTCCTGGATATAGGACTAAGGCGCCAACAACCACGCACCTTATGCACACACTATCGATAAGCAAAAAAATCGAAAAAGATCGCGGGGTTGCGAACATTCTTGACTTCACAGAGATTTGACAATGGCTGAATCTCCTGAATATCCGTCTACCTTGAATGGTATCTTTGACGGGGCTTCCCCCCTCAAGGAGCGCCTCGATCCAATCCGATTGGCTTCAGAGAACATCGTCCCAATCTTCAACCTGCCCCTCTCCCAAAAGATCCTGGGCCACGATGCCTCGAACGAGTCCCTTGCGCAGGTCGCACAAGGCGATACGTCCTATACATCCTTTGTCGCGGAGCAGGCACGCGCCGCCCTCCAGTCCACCGATGACCTGTCCACTGAACAAAAGCAGTCTCAAATCCTACACCTCGGACTTGCGGCTTTGTTCGGCTTCCTGCAGTCCAATGTCACCGGTCCTCCCCTCGAATTCAACTCGGCTGAAGTCTCGCTGCCATCGTCCCTGCGAACCGAAACTGCAACCCTCAAAGCCGTCCGGGCCAAAATCATTCGCGACTTGACTATTGATGGAGAGGCAGCATACAAGCTCACACCCAACCCGGAATTGTTTTCTATCGCCAAGGCTTTGTTGAGCGATGCTTCCAGCGAGGGACCGCTTGTGGCCAGCACAGCACGCATGCGCGTCAACTTCTTGCACCAGAAGATGTTGTCCGAGGTCACGAGCACCCTGCAGGATGCTATTTACAATGACGTCGAGGTGTTGAACAAGGCCGAGCTGAATGCAGACGAGAGAGGACGGTTCCTGCTGGAAAGGGCCATCATCAATACACACCACGGCTTTGATGTCAAGGCTCGGGCAGATATCGACGAAGCCGCCAAGGCGCGGCAATTCGAGTTTGCGCTGACCGGTAAGCTGGGTAAGCGCACAAAGTTCCAGAACCGCGATATCAGTCAGCTGGTTGTGTTGGCTAAGAGTGCCGACGAGGCATCCTTGTCTTCAAAGCCCTCCGGTCCCAAGAATGTGGATTTAAATGACGATACGCTACTTGAGGCCATTTCTTTCACAGAATCAAAGCCTGATGAGCAAGACAAGGCAATTCAGGGCAAGCTGTCGGCCAGCTTGGATGCCGTCGATGCCAACAACCAACCCATGCTTAACCCTGTGGACTCTGCTCTTCTTTTGGCTCTTGCCTCAGCAATTACTAATACCGCACCTGAGAACGGTCTCACCCGTGAAGAAACACACCCCTACGCTACTCGTGTTCTCGATGGTGGCAGTTCTAACTGGCAGATTTACACACAAGGACTTTTGGTCCGTAGTCGGGTAGAGGGCTACCGTTCTCGTACCGTTGAGCGTGCCGTTCTACAAATGCAAGCGCTCGTGGACCAAGTCATTGCCGACACTGCTACGTCTGACGCAGCCGCTCAGACAGAATCTGGCGAGCCTACAACATTCTTGCCACGTCCTGAGCAATCTGAATCTGCCCCAGCTGCTGACCGTCTCGAGCACATTTGGATTCTCAATTTCTCAACAAGATGGAACCTTGAGGCTGAGCTGGCCAAGCGCTGGGTTGACCTCGGTGGTCTACGCACCGCTCTCGAGATCTACGAGAGATTGCACATGTGGGCTGAGGCCGCACTCTGCTACGCCGCAACCGAGCGTGAAGAGAAGGCAAAGAGTATCGTCCGCCGCCAACTGTACCAGCCCACTGGGCCAGATGAGGATGCCGAAAATGAGCAATTCGATGGACCAGAGCGGTCACCATTGCCGGCAGACGCACCTCGTCTGCTCTGTATCCTTGGAGACATTGACAAGGACGAAACCTTGTACGAGCGTGCTTGGGAGGTTTCTGGGCAGCGATACGCTCGTGCCCAACGTTCTCTTGCTCGTCACTACCTCGCCCTCACACCACCTGAATTAGAAAAGGCCGAGGAAGCCTACAAGAAGAGTCTACACGTCAACCGCTTAAACCACGGAGCATGGTTCGCTCTTGGCTGTGTCCAGCTTGAGCAACAAAAATGGGAAGAAGCCACCGACACCTTCACCCGCACCGTCCAAATCGATGACACAGACGGTGAAGCCTGGTCTAACCTTGCCGCCGCCATGCTCCGCTCATCAGCACCAGAGTCATCCGGCCCAGAAGTGGTAGTCGACGAGGCCACTGGCGAGATCACAACTCAAGACAATGAACTCCACAAGCGCAAGCGCGAAGCCCTCGCCGCCCTCCAGCGCGCAGCGCAACTTAAAAATACCGACGCCCGCATCTGGGACAACGTCCTCACAGTTGCAGCATCCATCCCACCTCCATCAACGCCATTCCGTGATCTGGTCACCGCTCAAAGACGGATCATCGAGCTTGTCGGAGCGAAGAAGGGCGAGAAGTGCGTCGATGGCCCTATCCTGGCTATGCTGGTCGAATTCCTGACGTCGGCATTTGAATACGAGCGCCTTCTCATCCGCTCCGAGGATCCCTCCGAGGCTCCCATCGTTCGCACGGGTACAATCCCCGGCCAAATTATCACCCTCATCGACCAAAGTATCGTCCCACTCATCACTCACTCCGCAGCCCTGTGGCTAGTCGTCGCCCGCGTCGAGATCTGGCGTGAACGTCCCTTCGCCGCATTCGAGGCCCACGAAAAGGCCTGGCGCGCTACTGTCGCTGCTAACGCACAAGGTGCCTTCCAGATGGGCGATGAGAAGCCCTGGCTGGAACTTGTCCGTGCTACTGAGAAACTCGTCCGGGATGGATACGCCAAGTATGGCCCCATGGACCGTGAAGATCAAATCGTTGAGGGGGATGCCGAGGCCGAGCTCGTCGCTCGCGATTGGCGGTTCAAGGCTCGCAGTGCCGTGCGCGGAATCATGGGCAAGGGCAAGGACTTCTGGGAAGATAGCGAAGGCTGGCTCCGTCTGAAGGAGTTGCAGTCTGAGGTTACGGGCAACTAAGTACAAAAAAAAGCGGATACTGCTATTTTGCATTTTGATGTTCATTCGGTTCGAATTTTGATGATCTAGCAATACGAAGCTATGCATACATACCACGCACGTTACCTTGCTCTCGGAGACTTGCTGTAGACTTGTGCAGTATTGAATGTACATGTATCACTTTGTTTCAAGCTTCCTTTTCACCATCCCGCAGAAACTCTCGAAAAGAACACTGTCTGTTCCCTGCGTCCACCGAACCAATGCTTGTACCGCTTTGTTTTCGGGTGTCTGGCCTCGGAGTAACCGTAGGTATACGCGTACTCCCAGTTGGACTTGCGCTGGAACATCGTTCAACTTACCGGCGCCTTCCTGGCCAGCAAGTTTCATCTTCCGGCGCGCTTGTCGAGACCAGACATTCTCGGCAGCGATACCAGTTCCCGCCGAGGCATTCTGATTCCAGCTCCAGAACCAAGGCAGAGAATCAAGTTCACTGTTCAAAGCAGCGCTGGCTGTATCAATGGAAGTACCAGGTGCCAAAGTGAACGTGTAGTCAGCAGGGAAGGGAAGCATATGCTTCGGAAACCCAGGTATTCCTCGTGCAGCAGTCTATCGAATAATCAGACACAAGATTACCCGGAAAAGAATACATAAAACATACCATGATGGGCCTTCTGTCCCCCCACGACCAAGCCACAGCCCACCGTTTTGTCTTACTCCCCTGCACGAACTCAGTGACGGCGTAATTGTGATTATCGTGCTGCATCAGCATCTCGACGAGAACGGAGACACTACTTAGTTTGCCCAGCATGGATGTATGCCACTGAATGCGGTCACGCAGAACGAGACTCTCATCGATCATGCGCTTCACGAAAGCTAGTTCTCCACCGCGGGTGACCATTTCCACCTCGGCGCCGGTACATGCCTGCATTTACCGTTAGTATGTGATTTGCTTTTGGCATGACAAATAGTCAAATGTGGATTAATTGCACTTACTGAGAATGCAGGTCGAGATTTTTGCTCGGCGGATTGAATTAGCTCATCACGTGAAGTGTAGAAGGGGGGTTGCACATGGTGAAATCGAGACTGGTTGATAGTCATTGTTAGATCCAAATAGATTCTAGCGGGGGCCAGTTTCACTAGAGACGTACGTTGCATGGCCAAGCTTATCGAGCGGGAAGAGCGGTCCCTCAGCGTCAGTCTTGATAACCCGAATTCGGTGCTCGAGCTTGTTCAATTGAACATTGTGCTGAGCGCTGTATACGTTATTGGGGTCGATATCTACTGGGTCGATCAGTATCGTTTTAAGTAAATGTGGCTGGCGGACAAACCCGTTGCAACAAACTTCCAACCAGGCCGGGTTGTGCAGCCAAGCAGTGGGTAAATACTGATACAGCCGGTCCCGCTGTGATTGATTAGATGTGATTTTCAGGCGGGTGGAGCGGGATAAAACATACATATCGAGACCGAGGACTTCTCGACTGGAGTCATATCCAGATTTTAGTTCTCCGGTCGTGGAATCGAGCAAATCTTGAAGCCAGAGAATGTAGTTGAGTCTGTTGTTTTTTGTCAATCGTGTACAGGGGGTTACCTTGGTATCAACCCTGCGTCGACATACCTGTTTGGTACCTGCAAGCGAAGTCAGTGCATATGCATGAGATCGTCGCTGTTTAATATATATGCATACCGGTGGACATAGTCGATCTTCTGGGATCTCCACTTTCAATTGAAAGTCCTGTTCCAGGAGGGTAGTAGTGAGCTGCCTGCATGGTATTAGTTTATCCACTCGTGTAAGAATGTCAGGCGCTAAATGGCTCGGAGATACCGGACAGCGGCTGGATCACTAAAGTCCAGCTGAGATTTTGGTTTCAAGCTTGATATCCTTTTAGTGAGCGTCTACTTTCGCGTGGTGGTGAGTATAAGCCAATTGACGTACTATTTGGCGAAGTCGCGTGACTGCAGCGCTAAGGCTGCGAAATCGACGTCGTTTTTGTAGAGACTTCGTGCATTTTCCATTTTGGGGGTTGATTTCACTTTGAAGATCCGCTCATCGTACTTTTGAGATATTTGATAAAATTTTGTTGTTGGTTACGACGGGAAAGCGAACGATGAGAAGTCAAGTTGATGGCGTCATGTGACTATGCAGAACCCTTGAATTTACGACAATGTAAGAATTGTCTTCTATATACGACCGGAAATATAATAATTATCGCCAAAAAGGTGTATCACCGAGAATCGAAACCATATATGCACCTTTTTTGCACCGAAAATCCAAATCGTCAAGTCGTCATAGGCTTGTGCCTATTTTGTATCCCTTTTTGTTGAACCATATTTCAAATATTCCTCTACAAAGTCTTAGGTTCAGACCTTGTTTTCTCTCTTTTGGAAGCGCTCGTGGCGCTCAATTCGCCATTGGTATCCCCATCGCATCTCAACCATCAAGAGGGGGACCATAGCGATGGTAATACCCGCAAGCAAAACGAATGTCCACTGAGCAGTGATGGCGTCGATGATAGGCTGGACAGCGGCAACGCCAGCAGCACCAATCAGACATCTCATCAAGTTGTTGACGGCCGTGGCACTAGCGCTTGCACCGGGGTAAAGATCGATGACGAGAGCGCTGTTGATGGTGAAGATAGCTGTGGAACCATAGGCAATCATAAATTGCAGAATGATAGGAACTGCAAGGTGGGTGCGGAGAGAGACACCATAGACAGCAACACAGACAATGAAGATTGCAGTGATCCACCAGGTGTTGCGCATGCGGGCGTACTCGATGGGGAAGTCGGGGTGGGTCTTGGAGTTAATGCGAGTGTCGATAGGGAGGTTGTGCTGCTGGCAATATTCACGCTCGGTTCTCTTGTGGTTGTAGTCCATCAAATATCCAATTGTATAAGAGCCAGTCATGCATCCGAAACCATTGCCAAGGAAGGTCAGGCCGACCTCCATCGAGTTGAGACCGTACTTCTCTTCGAACAAGTCGGAGGTAGATGAGGTGACCATGGACCAGACAGTGTAGACAATGCTACCAAAGAACAAGGTGATGAAGACATCCTTCTCGCCCAAGAAAGTGAGAGGTGCCACAACGGTCCTCCAGGTGACATTGGCCTTCTTTCCAGAAGGTAGTGAGCCTTCCTGTGCCTCCTTTTGTCCGGTGATGGAGTAGATCAATGGTCGGTGTATACCCTTGAGGGGAACTGTACCATTGCCGGCGACGGTGCGGAGGGTTTCAGGGAGGAAGAAAATGATGGAAAGGAGACTGATTCCGGATACGATGATCAAAAACCAGAAGATAGACCGGAATCCAAGGTATTCAGACAGAATACCACCGAAAACGGGTCCAATTCCTTGTCCCAGCATGCGAACTCCACCAAAGATGCCAATCAAGCTGCCTCGCTCTGCTGAGGTAGTGATATCACCAATGACACCTGCACCAATTGAGATGGTGGCTGCACTTCCGGCAGCCTGCAGCGCGCGGAAGACCATAAGCTCAGCATAGTTTGTGGAGACGCCCAGTGCAATATTGGCAATAATGTATACCAGGAATGTTCCAATAAAGATTACACGGCGGCCAAGAACATCGGAGAATGAACCCCAAAAACTTGGAGCAAGACCTTGAACAATCATGTATACAGTGACTGTCAGGGTAGCTAAGGACATGGAGACACCAAGCTCCTATGCTATCGTTAGAATACTAAGATAGAGCTTTACTGGAAGGGGACTAACCTTTGAGATCTCCGATAGCGCAGGGAAGTAGATGTTTGAAGAGAGTGGGGAGAAAATGGCAGCGAAGGAAACAATGATGACCATCTGCAACTTGCGAGTTCGAGGGAAGACATGGTATGGTGGCGGTGTAGCTGCTTGGGCTTCGAGATTAATTGACTCTGCGGGGGTCGATGGTGTAGAAATATCCTTCTCATCCTGAGGCGAGAGACTAGGGCTAGAGTTGACAGAATGCTCTGTAACTCTAGGCTCCTTGAGAGTCTCAGTAGAGCTGTATTGAGACATAATGGGTTATTATAAAAATGGTGAAGAATAACTTTGTATATTTGCAAAAGACACAAGTTATTGACAATAATGGAAATGAGACTTCATCGGGTCCAGACAGCTTTGGATGAATCGGAAATTCAGAAATGGAATCATGGCAGCCTTTTGTATTCCGATTCCAGCCCAATGCCCCCTGATAACAATTCTAAAATGCAAAATATTAGGCGGATTCATGCATCTGAGAGTCAACTAAGCCTGCTCCACTGTGGGTTTGACCAGGGGGACCACAGGCCCCTCCCCTTGATGATAGAAAGTGGCAAGGATCAGACGGATCTGGTAAGGCCGACGCAGCTCAGTTTGACACGTACAGACGATGACCACTTATAAGAATCTATCTCAATGCCTGCAAAAAGTATCACAGGCATGTCGCTTACGCGTGAATAGTGTCTTCTGGCTTGCATGTATTGTATTATATCTCTAAGCCTCAATGGCTGACGTCTATCTACGGAAAAGGCGCATTCCTAAGCATCTCGCGAGTCATACTGGGGAATTGAACGTGGTGAACAGTACCTCAAAAATATCCTAGGGCAAATGTTTATTACCCACAGGAATTCCTTCCGATCTCCGTACACGCGTGCACTATTCGACAGATGATCTGCAAAGCATGTGTACAACCGGTTTTACCCATAGGGTAGGGATTCGTCGGAAAAAATTCCTTCTGACACCTCGAGGACTTTTCTACTCTCGGACTCGGCATCTTCACATCGTCCGGGTGCTCCCAAGTTCCCGAAAGTCTGCACCCGGGGATGCACGATAAGCAGAAGGTTATACCGAAACCAATCATGTATAACGAGCCAAGCCTTGGCAAATTGTATATCTTGAATACTGGGAGGAGAAACCTGAAACCCGCCTTTCTCTTCAGGGCTTCTTGACCCCACGTGCCCCGTTATTGGCAACTATGCTCATTATATGTCAAGCAAAAGCCAAGCTTCACCAGTGCCCAAGCAATATTGACTCAGGGGGAGCAAATGAACAAGAAAATCCATGCACTTACGTAGATACTCATCCCCTTGGATCTTGTATAGGAGACCCCTTGCTGTATGCAGTATCCCCTATCCAACGAAGACCCGCAAAGGGGGTAGAGTGTAGGGTTTGGGCAGGAACAACCCAATGACGATGCATTATAGCGCTAGATAAGCGTTACCCGCAAGCTACTGACCAATGTTGCTGCATTTCAAGCTCCAGGGACATCATAGGTGGAGAGAAAAAGCGAAGAATGAGGTCCAAGACTTTTCGGGACAGGGTTCGCGCTAAATGGGGATGATCGACACATCGAACGGCCTCTATGTCGACTGTGCACAAAGGTGCCAACCCGCTTCTGGCGATCAGCTCCACCGGTGCTTTGTGATTGTGATTCTTTTCAGGTCTAGTCTTTTCCTCGCATCTACAATACTCCAGTGAGGACCACGCGCGCCACGCCTTGAAAATCCTAGCGGAGTAGCCAAGACCTCGTCATCATCTGCGATTGATTCTTGACCTGCAATGACTTGCACATCTCTTGACTGACCTTCGATCATATCCTTTCGGGGTATTTCTTTCACGAGAACCCAACCTTCTGCTCGGTTAAGGCTGCACAGGGCTGGTTAAGGCTGGATAGGGCTGTCCAAGGCCGATACACAACTATCACTTTACCTCTTGGCATGAGAAAGCTCTTGATCCCTCAATTTTGATGCCCAACGCCAAGACCCTGAAATTCCCAGTGCAGCTCCCGAATTACTTCCCTCTCGAGCGCCACCGCCGAGGGATCCCGAGAAAATATCGGCTAGCCGACTTTAATCGTACTTTGTGCACGTTTATTGTTAACCCTTGTAGATTGGCTCGGCATTATACTAGAACCCGATCAAAGGTAACTTACTTCTCACTCCAAGTGATCAACATAGCAAAGTCCAGACCTTTCGGCTTACATGTAGGGTTACACTCTTCAAACTTTCCGAATCATATCATGCATACATGCATTGGTTTCGGCCGGGCGAGGGAATCTCATTATAAACTTCAAACTGCGCCCAAACGGGAAAAGCACCCGTCCGGGTCCCTTGAAGAAGATCCACTGGGGCCGTCGATTGGACCGAACAGTTGAAGCGCCGAAACTTGCACTTCATCTTTCCGGTCTTCGGATTGATTCTGTAGCACTGGTCCATCTGATAACCATTTTCTCTCGAGTCGTTAACGTCAATTGCTATTATTCCCGCGGACTCCGTGGTCCCCCGTTGTTTTCTTGTGTATACTTACATTCCACCTTGTAATTATTTTATTTGTTTATTTTCTCTCTTACTTTACAATAGAATTTTCAAAATTAATTTATGAAACAATAGTCCAAGTCCACTCTGGCTTCTAGCAGCCTTCCCGTAGATCTAGAAGATCCCCCTGACAGGCATGACAATCTTCATTTGAAACAGTCAAAACATGAAAAGTGTAAAATATGTCTGCCTGTATTACGACGGCATGAGGCTGTGTTCGATCTATTTGAGTTGGCGCTTCAATAAAACGCATTGGCCAGGGGATTTGCAGATGTAATACAACCCCTGGCTTCCCCGTGCCCATTCCCTCACAAATTTTGTTTTTGACCTGCACTTGGAAACTCAGTTCAGAAAATTCCAGGAATTTCTGCGAAGAATGCAAGTAAGACAGATGACATTGGGACAGAAATTCCGATGAAATCATCACATGGAAACAACGTTCCCAATGTTCTTCCAAATCGCCGATCATACATATCCACCTACGCCAAACACAGAAGAATTAACGTCACCAACACACTGTAAAATCTCAGCTAGACTATCTCCGACCAAATCCGCTCCCAATTTTTGCGTAGCGCCGTAACCCACCTTGGCACCACGGCTCCAGGATTGTTGGACCCAAAACGCAAATTCATATGGAACCTGTGGACCAGAGCAGAGACACTCACGCGGCTACTTGCCTCGACTCAACTGTTGACTTTCGACCCTACAGGGCCCGTCGGAACGCCCCTGATCGTCGACCTATGGAACTTGCGTGTGGATCTGGCGATTGCGTGAGAGTTCAGCATGGCAATCCCAATTTGATAGTGTTGCTGCTGTGGAGAAATATCTATACAGCCGACGATAACGGTCGGGTGGCCCTACGGGGTGGAATACATAGATTCATGGGCGGATTTGACATTGACCTGTTGATCGCCCCTCGTGCACATTTGACTTGACCGTAGTACATCTAGATAGAGATCTTGAGTTCTTGGCGTCGCAAAAATTAGGACTTGGCGTGGCAACCCTGTTGCTCCAGCCGGGGCTTTCATAATTTCAATGTGCGGTGTATAAATGGCGGATTCATAAATCGGTGTTATTGTCTTGATTTGTGTAGGTCTGATGCATATGATCGCCGAAAATATATCTTTTGAACTTGTATGTAAGCGACCACCAGCGCATATATATCCCTGCAAATGCGATACATATGCATGCATGCTTCTTCCATCCTTGGATGTCCGATTCTAAAGTATGACACCTGATAAATGCCTTTGATTTTGTGTTCTAGATCTTAAAATCCTTGAAGATGTTGAACATGGGGTGAAGTATAGCGATGTTTTCATCCAAGGTCTGTATCCATGACGTATGTTCTTCAGCGGAAAGTATATTCCGCCTAACAACTACGCTACAGCATATTTATTCAATTGCAAGGTTATATGTTCCCTTGAATCTCTTTGTTTTCATCTCAGCCGAAAGCTACAACAATACCACAAGATCACGCCGTATATAGTCCAATTATCTCTATTGATTCAAATATGTCGCATCTGCAATATCATTGCTACGAAGGCTGGGGCCAAAAGGCCAAGCGAGACTTCAATTACAGCCAAGCCGTCCGCATTGGCGATCGCATCGAGTGTGCAGGCCAAGGTATAAAATTCCGCGGACATTGCCCGAACAAACATGCATGCTGACAGCGTCTCAGGCGGCTGGGATCCGAAGACCTTCGAGTTTCACCGAGAAATCAACGCACAGATTGACCAGGCTTTCGCCAATGTCGATCTGAACCTGAAGGATGCAGGAGGGAAGGGATGGGAGCAAGTTTTCCGGGTGAACTCGTATCATGTCCCAATCAACAATGAGGCCCTGGATGCGATGGTGCGAAATTTCAAGAAGTGGATGCCTGAGCACCAACCGATTTGGACGTGTGTTGGCGTCACAAGACTTGGCGAGGATGATATGCGGGTTGAGATTGAGGTGGTTGCTCATGACCCTTGAAAATTGCGTTTGAAGGTGATATAGCGTGCGATGCGTGTTGTATGAGACCCATATTGCCCAGTTTCGAAATCAAGAATGGTAGATAGGCATTACCACATGAGAAGGGAAATTGGCTCAATAATGCATAATGGTTCTGACAAGGATGATTACCCTCAACGGCTGCCGCCTCTTCCTCCACCTCTGCCACCGCCCCTTCCTCTGGACTTGCCCTTTCCTCTGCCACCCATCATACGGCGGCCTGAGGCCTGGACATGAGCAATATCTTGCTTGTTCAGGTTCAATGTACCACCTGAAAACTTGCCCACAGAGCTACCAACAACACCACGCTCTCGTCGACCACTATTCGACTTGGAAACCTTGTTGGGCTTCTCCAGAATGATGCCGTTCTCCTTAGCTTCACGGCGACGTCTGTCATCCTTAAAAGCTGCCTTGGAATTGATTCCTCGCCGGTGAGCATCTGGCATTTTTTGCGCATATAGCGATGACTTAGCTCCAAGGGATTGCATGCGCATATCCATAGCTTTGAGACGGTTCTTTCCAGTGGGTGCAAGGTCGTCGGCGGAATCGAGAAGGTGAGATTCCTTGAGAAGGCGCTGCAATGCGAGATCGTGCTTTAAGTTCACAGCGTCATGGGCGTCGTCCTCCTCTTCCTTCTTAGTTGAAGGGTCGTCCGGGTTGGCGCTTGGTTTCTCTACATTAGATAATAATTTTCCACTCTGCAGCAACATCATTAGTACTGGACCTCATTTTTCTCAGGTTCAAAACATACCAAAAATGCCTTTCGAGTCTTCTTGTCCATTCGGTCCTCTGGTGCCATGTGGGCATCCGTGTGTTCCACCACTTCGACTTCATTGCTCTCGTCGCTGAAGTCAGACAGGTCATCGGAGTCATGCTCAGACCCAGAAAGATCAACCTCATCTCCATCCTCATCCGCGCCTTCACCCTCGGAATCCGTAGAATTGGCGGATTTGGCGGTATTGCCCGGCAAGTCAAGAGGCTCGAACTGCGCTTCGAAAAGTTTGCGAAATACGTCCTGCGCATTGTCCGCGGGAGGAGAACTCTCCTTCTTCTTAGGCTTAGAGACGACAGCGGTCTCGCGCTTCCGTTTTCCGACCATGGTGAATGTGTACGTCGATTATGTAGAAGTACCAAAACATTCGCGCCGCCCAAGAAGTTTTTCGGGCCAATCGCTTATCACGTGCGATAAGAAAAGAAAGATAAGCCCCTCGACACCCGCAGCGTCATGAAATATCCCAACTCTTCTCTCCAATTTGAAGACAATGACGAAGTTCAGACCATGCATTGACCTGCATTCGGGGCAGGTGAAGCAGATTGTGGGTGGTACCCTCAGTCAAGTGGCTGCAGACCTGAAGACCAACTACGTATCCAAGCTTCCCGCTAGCCACTATGCGGAATTGTATGAGAAGCACAACTTGCGCGGTGGACACGTTGTTAAGCTTGGACCGGGCAATGAGGAGGCTGCACAAGAGGCATGCAAGACATGGCCGGGTGGTTTACAAGTCGCTGGAGGTATCACCGATCAGAATGCCCAATATTGGATTGACCAGGGCGCGGACAAGGTATGCACCACCCTTCATGAATTAGGCAAATTTGATGGGCATTGTGCTTGATTGATGATTGAGTGATAAATTTTGGTCTTGTGGTTGTTTCAAACCCCATTTGAAGCCCTCCGTTATAGTATAGCCCGATGACGCTAACCATGGAATGCGGGACAATAGGTGATCATCACTTCATTCCTTTTCCCTGCCGGCAAGTTCTCGCTCGAGAGACTCCAGTCGGTTCTATCTGCTCTAGGCGGCGACAAGTCAAAGCTGGTCTTGGATCTTAGCTGCCGCAGAAAAGACAATACTTGGTTCGTGGCCATGGACCGCTGGCAAACCATCACAGAAATGGAGATCAACCAAGGTATGTCCTCATATCTTTCAGTATCTTGGATGTGGATTGTTTGCTCATTGATATTGTATAGAATCGATCGCTATGCTGGAGCCATATTGTGCCGAGTTCTTGATCCACGCTGCAGATGTAGAAGGCCTGCAACAAGGTGTCGACGAGGAACTGGTGGCCAGACTGGCTGACTGGTGTACCATCCCTGTGACCTATGCTGGGGGTGCGCGCCATTTGCAAGATCTAGAAAAGGTCCACACGTCTAGCAAGGGACGAGTGGATTTGACGATTGGCAGTGCATTGGATATCTTCGGTGGTTCTGGAGTGACATTCGATGAGTGTATTGAGTGGAACAAGACTCACTAAATAGAATAAAAACAATAGGTTCTTAATAAACACATTCAAATATGCAAAATACCCCAAAGCATCAAGTTGATGTTTATAGATGACAGGTCTGGGCTTGTCCGAAAGCGGCTTAGGGCCAAGTGAGGTCCGCCCGCCTCCGTATCTTGAGACTTCAACCTCTCTGGTTTCTGGCCCTTTTGCGACACACTCTCCAACCTGCTTTCTTTATCTAAATACTCTTCTCTGGACCCTCCTCTGTCGCCGCCACCATGAAGCCCGTCGTCTCTGCCCTGAACGCCTGGTCTTGGTACGCTCTTCCAACCCGTCTCCAACAATCTCCAACAATCAACCACCATCATTCTAACCTCTTTCCCGCAAAATAGTGTCGTTATTTCCCTCTTCGCAATCGTCATCCTCTCTGTCCTCGGCTCCCTATATAGCGTACGTCTTTCCGACCCCCTCGGCCACGAGCCCGACCAAAGTCCCGCCCTCACAAGCATACGTAATATGACATCGAGCGCTAACAAGTACTCCCTACTACAGAGCAACAACCACGCATACACCGGCTCAGAAGGAGAACCCAAAGATGGACCCGCAGTCGCTGCTTCAATTTACACCGCTGTGATCGTTTACACTGTACGTCATTCCCCATACCTCGGAGACAAGCGATCGATTACTGCACAACAGAAAGCAAAAGGAGAACTTGTTACTGACGACTTTACTTTTTTACCAATAGGGTTTCTTCGTGTTCTGTGGTTTCCAGGCTTACCTCCACATGCGAAACAGCAGGGGAGGTGCTATATCACTTCATTGAAGCTGATATAGCTATACGTCCTTTTTTTCTACGGTGTCCTGAAAACGCGTTTATCTATCGATTTGCAATATTTGGGATGAAACCTCGGTGTTTTCTTTGGGCAACACGGTGGTCTTGGATTGATGGGTTTGATGTGCCTCAAGCGGAGAGAGAGAGACAGCAGGGATGGTGTTTGTTCCTCGGGGGGCATTCATCGCAATGTCTCTTTGAGCGTACGTACTCGCCCACCAATGAGCAAGGATTTGCTTGGAAGGCGTTTACGGGGCAGGTTTCCCAGTCTTCTTTACTAGAATACACAGACGATCTACCTGCGACTTGTACATAGACCGCTCGAACTATTGCCAGCTTTTTTTGATATCTCATTATGTCCATTTGTGATGCATCTAAAGAGCCAACTTTTGTAAAGACATTTTAATCATCATCATTGAGAAATAGCATGATTTCATGACCGCCAACGCCAATGGATGCAGAACCAGATTGTGAGCTCCAGCTCAGCACCTAGTTTCGTTTCGATTTTTGTTCCTTTGTCGAATAGATTACTCCTCATCCTCCCAAGGGTCCAGCATCTTCGACATATAAGGACCATCTAAGAAGTATCCGAGACGAGCATAGTAGCTACGCACGCCAACACCAGAGATAACACTGATCTTGGTACTGCCATGCTCCTCACGAGCAATGCGTTCCGCCTCCTCCATCAACAGAGTTCCGAAGCCACGATGCTGGAACTTGCGCGCATCACGTCCATGAAGCGGCACAGCCGAACCATAGACGTGAAGCTCACGGACGATACTCGTCTGCTGGCCTGTGAACTCTGGACGGAAAGTGTGAGTGTCACTGCACTTGCGCAGACGAAGCAAACCAATGAGGATATCTTGCTTCGGGTCCTCATATGCCAAGAATGTCTCCCAACCACCGTTGGCAGTGTAGTCACGGCGAATCAACTCAATCTGCGAGGGGCGGATCTTGTTCTTCACTTCGTTGATACCGACCTCTCGGGTGCGGACGTCACGGCAGGTCGTACCGAAGTCCTTCATACGTGCCAATGCTAGTTCGCGCAGGTTGCCATTCTCCACACCAGATGTCACTAGTGGCATGGGGATATCACGCTGGACTCGGTAGATACGGGTCCACGGGGGAACTAGAGCGAGAATGCGTGCGACTAGGTCGATTAGCGCATTGGGCGTGTAGTTCTTATAACGGCCGGTTCGCCACAGCTCGTAGAGACCGGTGCCTCGAATGACAAGTGTGGGGTAGAGCTTGAGACCGTCAGTACGAAAGTTGGGGTTCTCGAAGTACTCCTGGAACTGGAAAAGATCGCGCTCCATTCCAACATTAGGCAAATCGGGCATCATGTGGCTGACAACCTTGAAGCCGGCATCCTTGGCAAGCTTGAAAGTCTCAGCCACTGCTGCCACTGTGTGACCACGGTTGGTGTCGCGCGCAACATCCTCGTACAGACTCTGTACACCAATTTCCAGTCGCGTACAGCCGTAGCGGAGCATGCTGCTCAGATGTGTGTCCAGACAGTAATCCGGTCGTGTTTCGATTGTGATACCCACACACTTCACGTTGCTCATTTCGCCTGCCTGCACGGCCTCGTCGACATTGTCCGTTTGGTATCCGCTCAGTGCATTGTGAAGTTGCGAGATGAAGCTGTCACGGTAGTCTTCCGGCAGAGACATAAAAGTTCCACCCATAATGATGTATTCGACCTTGTCCACACTGTGGCCGAGAGACTTGATCTGGTCCACTCGTCCCCGCGCCTGTTCAAATGGATCATAACGAGCGCGAATCGCTCTCATCGAAGTTGGTTCATATCCGGTGTAGGATTGAGTCGAGTATTCGAAGTCAGAGTCTGGGCCACCGGGGCAGTAGACGCAAATGTTGCCGGTGTAGGCGATATGAGGGCATCGGTGAGGTTTGCACATAACCGCCACCACGGCGATACCAGACGAAGTCCCTGCGAATCAAGTTAGCTGCTGCCTAGAACTCCTCCCGCTAATTGTCACATACGAATCGGCTTTGCGATCAGCTTCGGTAGAATGTATTTTTTGTAGTGTTCAGGTACTGCCGCAATGATGGCCGTCAGTGGCGGCTGGGTCGACAGATGGTGCTTCTTTGCGATCGTGCCGCGCAACTTGTTGAGGTTGACATCTTTCTTGGGCTGCGAAGAGTCCCGCGACGACTCGTACTCCTGGATCAGGGCATTTGCAATGTCGGAGCACGCTCGCATGAACCGTTCGTTCTCCGGCACCTGCTTCGCCATCTTCTTGGCGTTTCGCTTCGTGATCGTGGGGGTCATCGTCATAGTGGCCATGGTGAAGAGTATATCACCGCGCCCAGGCGGGAAGACGTGGATAGAGAACTTGAAGCTGTTGAGTTGTTGTGGTGGGGGTATAAAAATTATGTGGTCGCCGAGGCTTGCGCCCGAACAGCACTCGGATCCGCTTAAGTAAAAGATTGTCCCGAGCGAAAACTCCCGGGTGCGCATCCCGATCCCTTCACCATACCCGAATCCTTCTCTCTCCTTTCATACTCCTCAACACCTCTCCTCTCTACCTATCGCAATGCAGGCCTTCCGCCGTAACACTGTCTCGGCTCTCCGCCAGTTCGGTGCCACCCAGCGCCGGACTGAGGCCACCTCTGCCTACCAATCCACCGTGAACAACCTTCGCATCAACAAGGACACTCGCGTCCTGTTCCAGGGGTTTACCGGAAAGCAGGGAACGTGAGTGCAGATCCCGCAGATTCTTTGATGATTTTACGCGCTCGACACTGACATTTTGCCTCGAAACAGCTTCCACGCAGAGCAGGCCATTGCCTACGGTATTTTCTTCTTTCGCCATCGCGACGAATCACCCAAAGCTTACACAGGATAGGCACAAATGTTGTCGGTGGAACCAACCCTAAGAAGGCCGGCAGCACTCACCTCGACCGTCCCGTCTTCGCCAACGTCAGCGATGCCGTGAAGGAGACCGGTGCTACCGCCTCTGCTATCTTCGTCCCGTATGATTCCACGATTTCGATGAAACCAGAACGATTGCGCTAATTGCAGCTAGTCCCCCTCTCGCTGCTGCCGGTATCGAGGAGGCTATCGCCGCTGAGATGGGCCTCGTTGTTTGGTACGTGTCAACCCGTTGGGACTTTTTTTTTCTCCCTATTAGGAGCTTCAAACTGACAGGTTCTTCTCCTATAGCATTACTGAGGGTATCCCTCAGCACGGTACGGCTGATTCGGAAACCACATGAAGCACGCAAACTGATTTATTTGATATAGACATGGTCCGCATCACCGACATCCTTAAGACCCAGAACAAGACCCGTCTTGTCGGCCCCAACTGCCCCGGTATCATCGCTCCCGTAAGCTATCATCAGTAACCAATCGAACTGCGCCGGATACTCATACATATAATTTATAGGGACAATGCAAGATCGGTATCATGCCCGGCTTCATCCACAAGCGCGGTCGTGTCGGTATCGTCTCCCGCTCCGGTACTCTGACCTACGAGGCCGTCAACCAGACCACCCAGGCCGGCCTTGGTCAGTCTCTCGTCGTCGGTATCGGTGGTGACCCCTTCTCCGGCACCAACTTCATCGACTGCCTGAAGATCTTCCTCGAGGACCCCGAGACCGACGGTATCATCATGATCGGTGAGATTGGTGGTTCCGCCGAGGAGGACGCCGCCGAGTTCTTCAAGGCCAACAACATCCACAACAAGCCTGCCGTCTCCTTCATCGCTGGTATCTCCGCTCCCCCCGGCCGCCGCATGGGTCACGCCGGTGCCATCGTCTCCGGTGGTAAGGGTGGTGCCGACTCCAAGATCTCCGCTCTGACCGACGCCGGTGTCATTGTCGAGCGCTCTCCCGCCAACCTCGGCAAGTCCCTCCTTGCTGAGTTCGTCAAGCGCGACCTTGTCTAAATTTGTCGCTGGTGATGCATCATGTGTCTTGTTTGCCTATATCTCCACGCTACGGCTGGGGATCTGAGGTGATATTTGCCATTTATACTGTGGGGTTTTGTGGGCTGTTCCTTGTTGACTGCTCCTGTATTCTTTTTCTCCTTTGTGTTAGAGACCCTTGAAGTAATTACTTTCGTGTAACTTTACCGCATCCCGCATTGCATCATAGATGATCCAACGAGGTAGATTAGTAGAGTATAATTATATAGATGCAGGATTTATACACATCTTTATTCCTTCAACGTCCACGCAGTAGACCCTGGCGATGGTACATCTACCACCTCCCAATTCGACCGGTCTGCGCCCTCCTCCCATGACAGCACTTCCCCATAGTAAAGACGGCAGGCCCAGTATTCGGGCGTCTCATGATAAATGATATCATCTTTGTGATGTTTAATATTGCCCCAAGAGTCGTTGATACGCGCCACTGCTTCTGCCCTCGAACAGCCCAACTTCTGGATTTCGAACGTGATTTCATGGAAGAACACATCAATTCTTGATCTGAAACGGGCAAGTATTCTGAATCTTGGACTATTTTGCGTGGTATGAACTGGGATTGGTTAGCTTGTGTTCGGCCGTATATGTATATAGCTACATTCGACGTTGGCTTCCATGCATTACACAAGGAACATGTTTCTGGAACGAATACTTACTCCGAACACGCTAGGCCCAATACGCATAGTTAGGACGCCGGGCTATTGTACGCCATACTAACAGAAGACGGTTCTTTCAAAATATCAACAAACTATATATACGTTAAAACGTAAGAGAACGAGTTGTCGAATGGATGATGGTTAGTTCGAGAGGCCGTTACAGTAATAATCGAATTCAGGTTTACCTTCACACTCGTGCGACTTGATTCCCGGAGATTGAACCCCGACAGGCATGAGACTTAAATAAGCGATGAAGGCCCCGCCTTCGAGACCGCTTTCTGGACTGGTAGGTGTATCTCACAAACAGTAGTATAACGTCACCGGATGTATTTTACACGAGAGTGCTATACGCATGCTACCTGGTGTGCCCATCCATGAGTCTACCCTATAGGCTACAGTCGCAGCCGTCATTTGCCTCCTAGGTCGAAACACTGATATCCCCTTTGAACCCCTAGTCGAATAATACACTAGCCCATAGAAATATAATGTATAACCTCTTCACTGTATCATATCACTGTGGAACACTCAGCAAGGCATTAGCAAGTTATACCACGGTGATCCAGCAAGAAAGTTGATTGTTCGATTGGCATCTAATAAATAATCGTCTTCTGTCTCATATTCCGCAGTTTTTTCACCACGGACACCAGGCGCTGTTTCCATCGCGAATCCGACAAAGCTAAGCCCAGTTTGCAGGTGCCAAGGCCATATGTCTTCCTTTGCCGTTGAATGTCTCGGATTTGGAAATCCGTAAACGGTTCTCCACTTCCAACTTTACTCTCGCTGCCTATTGTCGAGTCATTCGTCGATCATACTTTTGCCATAACCTGGGTAGGAATTGTACGTCCTGCGCACAATATTGTCGAACTTCATCTGAAAGGGATCGCGTGTTGAAAACTTCGTACGAGCCCCCACATGCAGGTGCAAACAACCTTCTTCCTTTTTCTTTGGCAGCTTTCCAACTCGCTCTCTCATTTGCAGACATGAGAGCATCATTTTCTATGCACCTACCTAGTCCATTCACGCATCTCTTTGAAAACTTGCGCGTTGCAAGCTCCATTAGCTGAAGATCTTGCACGCCAGATAATTCGATCTGATAGTGGCTGAAAAGAGCATCTGAATCATTGCGGACGTCGAAAAACACCTTCGGAATAGAAGAGGTCTATTTGTCTTCATCGCCAGAGGGCAAGCCCATGTATGAGAAGTATGGATTCCGGGGCTTGGAGTCGTTTTCGCCATTCCCTGATTATGTGCAAGTGTGTATGTTGCGGCCGGTAAAGGGGCGATGAAGATCTGAATTCATGCATAAATCTCAATTCTTTTTCTTAGAATGGGGGCTATAAACAAGTAATGAACGCAACGATCATCCCAATAATTCACTAAAACCCCATCTTCACAGCGGCAGTCGCCTGCGTCTCAACCGGTAATGCGAACCATGCACCAGCCATTACAAACCAAATAGCACCATAGAACCAGAATGGGCCCCCACAAAGGCCACAGTACTAGTGAGCGTTGTGAAAATATATGCAACCAATCTAAACATACTCCAGAAGAATCCCATAATCCCGAAGCAAAAGCCTCGCACGATAGTTGGGACAACTTCTATGGTGTAGAGAGTGAGAGTCACCATACCCGCAGAATGAAGGAAGCTTATAATATTCTCAAAGTAGTAAAGAGCGCGCGCAGCGCGCTATAAAAGGAGATTCTTATATAAGAAGTTAAGCCAGTTGCCTAATAAGCTTAATATAACTTTGAAAGTAATACTTGAAGAACTAAGGAAAGAATTTAAAAAGCGCTTACAAAAAACGCTTAAAAAACTGTTAGAAGAATACCTAAGAGAACGCTTAAGAGAATAGAAGAACGCCTAAAAGAATACTACAATTAAGGATGATACGGTGAATGGGAGGCCAGAAACGGCCGCTTTTGACGCCGTTTTAAGCCGCTTGCTCAACGTAGTGCCACTTGCACCATTCATATTTGATTGGTCAACCGGATAATTCTGAACGTCCAACTTAGTCTTAGTGCTTATACCCAAGCCACCGGCCCCCAAATCTTTCAGCCCTAGTTAAGAGCTCATGTATCCTTTCTCATACAGCAATGGGCACGTTTCCGAAGGACTTGCTCAGCTCTGGGGGACTCTACATCAATAAATAAATGAGGTCTGTGCGCGAAGCTGAGCTTATAAGCGATGGCGTTTCCCATAAGTTGCAAAGGCATTGTTCATCAACAATCAACCAAAAGATTTCACCATATTAACTTTACTCACTATGACTTATACTCATGATCCTGTTGCTATCGTCACCGCGGCGCTGGACCAATTGCCGCCCCCCGAATCGATTTCAGAAGAAAAGCGTCTCCAGATTTTAGCGGCGATTGACAAAGCCCGTGTCGCTCTGGAGCCTCCGCTTGTCTCTGTCCAGAACCTTGTCTTCTCAGTATGTGCATCATGATACATACAGGCTCTATATATGCTTACACAAGATCTAACGCACAGCACATGGGACTTGTTGGTGTCCGAGTAGCTGTCAGCATGGGTATCTTTGACGCCTTAGCGGCTGGGGGTGAATCACCTCAGACTCTGAGCCAATTAGCCGAGAAGACCAAGGGTGATGAGACACTCTTGCGTATGTCAATCAAGCGCCCTCCACCCCCTCGCCACGGCATTTCTATGAAGTGGCATTGACAGTATCTCCAGTGCGAATTCTGCGTCTTCTTACCGTACACAATCTCATTGCCGAAACGGCTCATCAGACATGGAAGCCATTGCCACTTGGCTTGGGATTCGCCTCAGGCTCACCCTTACCCGAAGTGGCTAAGCATTTGTACCCTATTCCTTTCGCATCTGCAAAGCTCATAAGCTTACCATGGACCAGCTACGCCAACATGAAAGCTTCCGCGAATCTGGACGAATTCCTGGAGGCCACAGACTACCAAAACCCAACGGATACCTACAACGGACCATGGCAGTTTGCATACAAGACCAAAGACCACTACTTCGACTGGCTGACGCAGAACCCAGAAGACGCCCACGCGTTCAACGTAACAATGCGCATTAACCGTCAGGTAGAAGGCGCACAGTGGTTTGACATCTACCCCGTCGAAGGAAGACTGAGTGTATCCTCGAACGACCGCGTCCAGCTAGTAGACATCGGCGGCGGATTGGGACACGATCTTGCAGGTTTGAAGCGCAAATTCCCCAATCTTCCTGGTCGCCTGGTTCTCGAAGACCTACCGGATGTTATCGAACACGCCAAGGAGTCGATTGAAGATGGCATTGAGGTTGTCGGGTACGACATGTTCACTGAGCAGCCGCTGAAGGGTGCCAAGGCGTACTATTTGCGTACTGTGCTGCATGACTGGCCGGATAAGCAGTCGCTGCTGGCGCTTGCCCGTGTTCGGGAGGCTATGGCTGACGACTCAGTGCTGCTGATTAATGAGAATACCTTGCCTGAGGTTGGCGCGTCGAGCTTCTCGGTGTCGTTGGATATTAACATGATGAATATTTTTGCTGCTTTGGAGCGGACGGAGAAGCAATGGGTTGATCTGCTGGAGCGGGCTGGCTTCAGGGTGGTCAAAATTTGGCGCGCTGACTATGATGGTGTCGGATCGAATGCGTTGTTCGAGGCTGTCGCTTGTCAACTGTGAAATTGATATAACGTTCACTTGATTTGGAATGTACCGGGCTCCCGAGAGATTCAATCGATCAATGATAGTCCTCGGTATCTCATGATCCACATGCTGAAGTTCACGACTCTTTCTGGTATAAATAGACAAGATCTTAGACATTGATACGCCCTGCTAGAATATCGTGAGGACTTTGGCGATGTTGAGCAGGAACCTGCTGGCTATTCATGAGAAGAGACGGAAGAGCGACTTAAAAAGTGCTCCATGTCGAGGGTGATTTTCGCTGGCGTTTAAAATTTCGAGTTCAACTGCGTTAGTGGAACCAGGAAGTTTTATACCCCGGCAAAGTATACATAATACACACGTGATGCTTGCATAGTCGCAGTCTTTGTAGCGCAGTTGACGCTTAGTTGCACATGTTTGCTTACAGATCAAAAAAGGCTCTTAGATAGTAAGGCTCCAAGGCCAGGACATCAAACGCGCCAAGTATCACAGTACGTAAGTGGCTAGCGCACAAGCGTGGATGTAAATCGCGATTTCCCGGTTTCTATATCTGAACTTAATTCTTTAATTTCCTCGGCAAGCTACGGATGATTCCATGTCATTCTCATTCTCTTCCCGAGTTTTCCTTAGAAGCTCAACATACCTATTCAGCACCCCTACGAGAACACTCTTTAGCATTGTATCTTTGTCTACGTGCTGCACTAGACAAGCCGTCTTCGCCTCACGGTTAGAGAAAATACCATATCCGGGCACTAAGCCAAGGACTCAACGATTTCCCCGGGTTAGGGGGGAATCACTACCTCGACCATTTTCGTCCACATCAGCAACCATGGTCATCAAAGACTCCAAGAGAACCCTATGGCGTCGAATGTGCGACAACATGGCTGACCTCATTGAGCGAAATTTGGAGACGGACGGGTTCCATTACTGGGGTATCACCATGTACCGAACCACCTACAAGAGCGACGTGGACTGGGCGAACTTCCTCGATCGGTTCATGGGCAGTGTCCGCACAGAACTGGAAAGCGACGATGGGCTCGATATATTGGATTCCTTTCGGCCTGTTGTGATGGAAGACGCGCGCCGCTTTGACGGGGCCACGCCTGATCAAATACGGGACGCTTTCAAGGAGTGGGCGAGGGTGGCTTGCGAGACGGAGCAAGGGGTGCCATACAAACGTGCAGAGTGGGCGTACTCGGCCCGATATCGGCTGTGTATCATGGTTGACGAAGAGGCGTTACAGTCTGTGCTGGATATACCGACCGAGGACTTAGAAGCGTATAATACTACTGGATTTGTGATTTTGATCAATGGGAGGTGGCCCCCAGAGTGGGACCCCGAAGAGTTGGCTGCAGGAGGGGGGCCAGACGATGGACACGAGCCAGTGTACGGCTGTACGTTGGACGAGGTTGGCTGGATGAAGGTTCGATATGGTGAGGCGCAGACTGGAGCCTCCTCACGCATGACTGATGATGGGGATTGGAGCGTTGAGTATCGACGGCCACCGGCCATTGGTTTTCACTTTTGAGCGGAGACCGGTCCAAACGCCCGAGCGATGTATTTTCTGGACAAGAATCATGTATATTACTGATCATTCTTTACCTCTACTGTAACTAATATTTTCTTTCCCTGCTATTCTGGTCTTGGTGTAGGTCTATGAAACGCTAACACAAATAGCATAGCCAACATCCAAATACTGACAATCTGACCCAATCACCGGATTCCACTCGTACAGCTGCGCAAATGTTATTTCGAACGCACCCTCGACCGCTGCGTACGAGTCCCCGGAAACGACCGTGTAATATTCGTTGCAATTGGACGCGATGCCAGTCTATGTAGGCGCACCAGCTGAGCTACTCGCCGTGGCCGTGGGAGCCTTGACGCAGTAGGCATATCCGAGCCAAAGGTTCGTACATGTTTTTCCAACTATAGTTCGGAATTAGCTTGACTTATCTCTAGGGGGGTTTTGATGGATGGGATCTTACTGCTAGGATTGCACTCATAGAGTTGGGCAAGAGTAACTCCAAACTCAGTCTCTATTGTCGAACAATTATCTCCCGACTCGATAATGAAGAAATCCTGGCACCCATAGATGTATCTAGTTTGTGTTAGGGCTACCGACGTAGCAGTAGCGGTAGTACTACTAGGGGTTATGGTGGCAGTAGTTGACGTGCTCGAACCCACCCCAATGCAGACGGCACGAATATTGGTATCGTTAAGATTAGCGTATAGATTTGTGTCACAGTCTGTGCCGAGCCAAGGGTTCCACGTAAGGAGTTAGACTTCCGTGATATCGAAGTCTTCCTCAATATCAGCACATTGGTATTCTAGGCAAAATCAGTATCATGATATGCGAGTGCCCTATTCCTTCACTCCTTTTGTTCGTTGCCATCCATACCTCCGTTATCGTAGCCATTAACACCGGTGAAGCAGTTGCAGTTTGAGACAGTGGTAGACTCGGTGGCATTGAGGGACAAGCAGAGAGAGCCGAGTCCGCTGTCACTGCTGCTGGTGTCGTCACTGCCAGTTGCTATTTTCGCAAAAGAAAAGACGTGGCATTAGAGAAAGATCCGGAGAGAAATGACAAAAGGCACAACAAGATCACTTACTGTAAGAACTATTGAGAATAGCACAATAACTGTACCCTGGCTGCATGGCGCATAAGCTCAGATTAGTGTTGAGACTAGGGTTCCAGTCGAGGAAATCGGCCGTTGTGACTTCATTCAGCCACGCAACCCACTTGCAAGAGTTGAGGTTATATGTGGTGTTGTCATAGTTGGCGTATCGTTGGCAGTTAGTAAGCGTGTCCGGGGCCGAAGGGAGATATGTTGGCGTGTAGACGAACCCCGGATCACTGGTCGCCGTGGGAATTGATGTATCGACGGCGGGAAAGCTGGCTGTTGTCACAGTGAACAGGGGCATTGTGACTGGGTAGCCAGAGTAGGTGCTAATGTATCCAACTGCGGCGATGCAGTAAGCCTCCCCGAGCTCGAGGTTGGTGCAATTGGCGTCAATCTCTGGGTCGAGGAAGTAGAAGTCCACGAGGGAGATAGCATTGGCGACAGTGACTAGACTGCAATTATCCCCTTTTCCGACCTATGTATCATGTTAAAAATATTGCTGTGGGTCTAATATTTACTATATACCACAGACCACAATCTGTGGTAGATCCATTCAGGGCGTTGGTGGGCGCAGGAGCAGCGGAGGTGATACTTGTTGGATTCTGTACTGTGGAATTGCCTGACATGTCGGTGGTATGATTAAGATAGCCTCTAGAAGGACTAAACGTGGCATCCGCCAAAGCTTGCCGCTGTTTCTTGAGCGTCGTGCTCCAGTACACCTGTATAGACCCTTTACTCCTCCCGGCAAATTTCTGTGCAAATTGTCTCGTCACCTCCGGCCAAGTAAGATTCTGTTTTTCCCTAAGCTTCACCAATAAAGCTATTTCTTCCACGGAAAATAATAAACCTTTTCTCGTATAAGGGGTATATTGCGTATCAACTAGTTCGGTAATTGGGCTTGGCTAGTCACAGTCGTCTATACCTTGTTATTTCCCATGGGAAATTCCCATGGCGGGACTAGGCCCCCGTGGGAACTCCTATAGGAGTTATGGGAATTCCTATAGGACTATAAACAATGCAAACATTAGTTATCTCGTGCCTTATATAAATAATTCATTTGGCGATTCCGAACGGTATTTTATTTATAATAGCTCTTTCTAAATTAAAGATATACTAAATAATCACAAAACTATGGTCGGAATATATCAAAAGTAATAAATGTTTGTTAGTCTTAATACTCGCTAAAACACCTTTAAATTACCGTATTTTATTATGATAGCTCAGCGATTTGTCCATTATGAAAATAATGTATAGATGGGAAATTTTTTTAATCCCATGGGAGTCCCACGGGAATTCCCATGGCGGGACCAATTTTTTTTTAGTCCCATGGGAGTGGGTCCACGGAACTAGATTTTCGTTAGTCCCATGGGAAATGTCAAGGTCTTGTCGTATATGATGTCTGAATCTTGATTTGCGGTGCATCTTGATATAGTGGCATCTATGCTCAAAGGCGTAGAAATGCAACAAGATAAAGCGCCCTTAAACAACTAGTACAGGAACTCTAGCCGGTCTTCGACGGGAAGGGCCGAGAATTGAGCACGAATAGTAGTAAACGAAACGCTACTACTACGATAGGGCCCTTGATTGGACCGGGCGGCACTATTTTTTTGAATATCTCTTCCTAGCACTCGAATGTTTATTTATTTTGGATTGGCGACTAGGAACCGCCGTTCGCTTTGCATATTGTTGTCTGGATTGAAGAGGTGGATCTTGATTCGGAGAGTGGGAGTACCCTAAGAGACATTTGTCTAGGTATATGTAAGAAAGAGGTCTAGTTTTTACAGGATAGAGCCTGTCAACTAGGTAAGATCAAAGATGTCTCAGAAAAAGTGGTATTGCAAGATGTACAGAGATTGATTCTTGGGGAACTCTCAGGTTCACCAAGAACGACTTATTTAACATGATCAAAAGAGGCTGTGAATCGGCGCTGACGACTCTACAGGGATACGCTGACAAGACGCGGAGTAGTCCACAGGAGTTGATACCGATGTGATATATGTCCCCCATGGAGTCCGTGACAGGCAGTCTCTGTGCGTTCGCACCAGTCGCAACTATCGCTGCCATCTCCCCTATCAGAAGGGTATCAGACTGTAGCACTTGAAGTTACGACTACGATGAACTGATTCCCGAGGCCTTAGGACCTCTGGTTGGCTAGAGATTTCAAGAAAACGTTTTTGCCAAGAAAGAGTTTGCGATGATAGCAATCGGGGTGAAAAGCGAAAGAAATGGAAAAGGCCGGGATTCCGAACTAAATATCGGCATAAGGAGAATGAGGAGTAATCCGAGAATTAGTACCGCAATGTAGAGGAGAATATAAGGGGGAAAGACATAGTGAGCTAACGTGAGCTTCATGAAATATTTGAATCGATGAACCGTCTGATAGGGGTTTGGTTCTTGGAGTTTCTTGATCTTTCAGGGAGGGATCATGGTTACTACTCGCCCGGAGATCTCATCTTTCTTCAGCTTCTCTAATATCTCACCAGTTTGACTAAAGTCGACGAGCTCGATCCGTGGCAGCACCGTTTTCGACAGCGCCAATTGAAATAACTCCTGCAATTGTTCCTCGTTTCCAGTCGCCGACCCTTTAATCACCAGACCTATACCGCCAATCAGTATTGATCCGGCTAGATTTCAGCAGCGGCACATACCTCGATCACAGCACTCAATTGGCGAGATGGGGATGTGGAAATCCTCACGAGGCAGACCCACGCATACGATCACCCCGCGACTGCGGATTAGCTTGGGCGCCAACGTATAAGCCTTCTGCCCTCCCGGCACCACCACAATTCCATGTGCGCATTCTCCTCCTGTCAGCTCTTTCACATTCATCTCTACATCTTCCTTCAGAAAGTCCACAAATGCCGTTGCGCCAAGGCTCATGCATAACTTCCGCTTCGCCTCACCAGTATCGACCGCAATGACCCTGTACCCCTTCGTCCGGGCGGCGATCTGCAAACCCAGGTGGCCAAGCCCGCCTCCTGCTCCCGGTAGGACAACCCAGTCGCCTCTTCGAAGTTCTGGCTCGAGCCGCGAGATGGCTCCCGCCATACTGAGCCCCGCGCACAACAGTGGAGCGGCGACCTCGCTGAGCAGGCTGTCCGGTATGTGCGACACGTAGCGCGCATCTGCGACAACATACTGCTCCAGTGTACCAGGGACATTTCGGCCCGTGTTTCGCTGTCGAGGGCAGTTGTTTGGGAATGATGGCGTTGAGGAACACACGGAGCAGACGCCACATGCGCTGTTGAGCCACCTTACCCCGACACGTTGGCCCAGAAGGGTTGATGGTGCGGACGGACCGAGTGCGACAACCCGACCTACACCTTCATGACCCGGGATGGCCGAATTCGCGCCCCAGCCCATCAGGCCACGGAGGTCGGAATGGCTTCTGGCTGTTACCACGATGCAGCTTCAAAGGGAAGAGTATGACCTTACCAAATTCCGGAGCATTCCAATTTTACGAGAACTTCATTTTCGCCAGGTCGTTCCACCGGAACCGAATCCTGGAGAATGATGTGCCCATTGGGACCGGGGTCCTGGATCAATGCTGCTTTCTGCGTCATTGGGATTTGCGCCATGTTGCGCAGATATACTCCCAGGCGCGGCGAACGGGAGATCTCAGCTGTCGTATCAACTACATCATTCCGTTATTATCGCGTATTGATATTTATACGTTTATTATTAACGGCAAAATGCCTGTCCGTTGGGTGCACGAGCTGTCCGTGGTGCCCCACGGCATAGTCGGTCTTCACAGACGCGGCCCCCTCACTCACCGGAGAAGGACCCATTTATTGTTGACACAATAAAAGATTGGACAGTTAGAATATATACCGCGACCGACTCTAGAGAGTGGGGGAGCACCAACGGATGATAAAAGTATACCCTGTACCAGGTCTTTTCACCGCAGAACCTGCAAAACAGTTCCTCTTCCAACCCGCGAGTTCCCCCCCCCCCCTCCCCCAAACGATCGATCGATAAACGTATAGCGTGCCCACTCTACAGTTTCAACATGCATCCATTAATTCCAGACGGCGGCCAGACGTTAGTCTACAGCGTCGTCGACAACCATAATATCCAGCTTGATTACTACCTGCCTCCCAATGCAACTGGTACCCTACCCGCGGTGATATACTATCATGGGGGTGGAATGACTGCTGGATCCCGACGAGATTTCCAGTTTCCGCGCTGGATATATGGTAAGTCGGCAATCGCTCTCCTCGAGAAATCCAGTTGAACTTACAGGATTGGAGACCACTGCCAGATGAAAAACTACATCTTCATCGCGGCGGATTATCGGCTTTGTCATCCATGCACCGCTTTCGACCAGATTGAAGACGCAAAAGCTCTGTTCAAGTTCCTTGCCAGTGACGACTTTGCAAAGGCAATGCCTGAATCAGTCTCAATCGACACGTCTCGTATCGCCGTGACGGGGTTTTCGGCAGGTGCTTTCTCCGCTCGCGCAGCATGTATCTATACCGAACCCAAGCCAGCAGCCCTCTTGACGGTTTTTGGTACTGGCGGTGACTGGCTTCTCAAGTACTTGACGACACGTCGGCCCCCGACATCTATTGCCACTTCTGTGGATCTCACTCGGGTCCCCGAAATCCTCGCGGACAAGAGCGTTGTCAGTGATGACACTGCACATGGAAATTGGTTCACTAGCCGGTTTGCACTTGCGGTTCAATGGGAGCTAGACGGGGCATTCCTTGAAAACTGCCTGGGCCGACCTGGCCTGAGCGCTCAGCTAAACAAGGCTGAGGACTCCAAACGAGCGATGGCAATCCCAGAGGATACCAAGCCGGCGTTCTTACAGATGTTCGTGACCGACGACTATCCTCCTTCCGTTTTTGTTCACGGGACTGCCGATGATGTTGTTCTCCCAGAGGAGAGTATACATCACTTCAGTCAACTCAAGGGGCTTGGGGTCAAGACAGAGCTATTGCTCGTGAAGGACGGGCCTCACGGACTCCTCGATTTTGGCTCCGGAGGCCCTCCAAGACCTTGGCAAGGCTCGCTCGAGGCGTATGAGGGGGCTCTGAAATTCCTCGACGACGTACTGGAGAACATGTAGTCTAGCTCAAGCTATGTGAGAGCTCGCAAATGCATATCGTCAAGCCTAGAAAGCGTGCATATGACATAAGTCTTGCCAATTCTCGTGGTAGGTGTAGACTATGCCGTAGAAAACCCGGTCTCGTCGCTTAGGCTGGGGGATATTGTAAAATGGGCCGTTAGATTAATTTTACATAGACCGCTGACGGTACCTAGGCTTCGAAACCTTGCTAGATCGGTGCCATCAAACTCGCCAACGAGTCCACCTTTTGGACTCGCTCGGCCGACCTTTTCTGTCGTAGCCTAGCAAGCCAAAGAAATACCTTGGCCTGGGAGGCATGGCTGTCTTGTATTGTTCCTCCTGTGGTGTTTAAAGATGAGAACTCGCTGTCGATAGCGAAATGTTCCCTGCCACAGTGAAGAAGTAAAAATAATTTGGCAAGCCGCCAGAAGGGCAGTGGATCAAGCGAAAAAGAAATATTCTCCAACCCCATGTCGTGCCAGGTCCGTTGCTCCCAGGTGGTGAGCCATTTGTCAAGCATATCATTAATGCTACTAAAAGTGCTCGCCCCTCCGCGGTGGACGACCTGCGCTGTCAGTTTAACAACGTTGGGCCCTGAAAAGTCGCTGGCAAGTTGTTGGTCCAGGTTATTCAAAACCGGAGGCGCGTCGGAATTGTGGTGACCGACGTCCAATTGGCGATCCAGGTCATGGTGGGTTGCCTGCCAGACCAGACAATGCAGTGCCTTTACCAGTGTGAACATCCCAAAAGCGGACACTTCAAGAGGTGGTTCTTTCTGAGACGAAGGTGATGGTATCCGGAGTTGAGAAAGAGTCGACGAGAGCTTGCGCTGCGGAGGTATAGATTGCAAATTCTGCAGACATGCACGAGCAGATCGAGCGTTCCAGCAGATCTCGTAACTTGGAAGTTCAACGTGTAAATCAAAAGGTGCGAAAGCTGGTGCCTTGCTCATGAAAATGCAGCTGGCCATATCTTGGCAAAACAAGGTATTGGCAATTCTGTCGGGTGAGAATGTTAGCATTCATAGTCTATCCGCGATCTGCATTCAGCGAACCTAGTGCGAGTTTCGCGCTCGACCCACGAATGCCAGTCGAACGTCTCCTCGGTCAGCGTTCTGTAGTCAACGACAGGACTCGTATCGAGAATACCGGCTCTTCTGGCCATCTGCCAGATGGTAAGGTCATTTAGTCAACACGTTGGCGAGGGGCCGATTGCCATGGACGGTATACTTACAGAGACGATTCGTGCAAAGTATAACGGTATAACTTTGTGGGCAGTCTCGTCTTGGGAGCTCCCAAGGACCGCACAAGCGGCGATACCTGCTTGGATTGAAGACAAAGCAGGCTCGGTCATGTCAATCTCATGCTGAATACCGTGAGCCATTTTGTACAGCAGCAACGTGATTGGACAATGCTGGCTCATCTCCAACTTACCTGCTGCCTCTCGATATGAACGAATACTTGTATAGCCATTGGGAATATGTAATTGGGGGGGCGAATGATGTCGGTATAGCAGACCCCGACGACGAACATGGCTAGAACGAGAAGCGGGTTTGCTGCCGCCAAGTCAAAAGTGGGAGTATGGAGAAACGGGATATGCCGCTGGAAGTTCTGGCTGAAGAGCTGTAGAGCCAGTAGTAAATTATCGCGATTGATTGAATTCGTCAGGATGCCCTCGGGTACCGCCAGCCCTGGCTCTCGTAGTAAGGCCTTGATTGCCGCACATTTTGCGAACAGCGGGTCCAGCTGCTCCAAGGATAAAGAAGTGAGGGTTGGCTGACCGAGCCGTTGGGTGACGCTTTCAATGCTCTGGGAATTGACTAGAATACAGATCAATGAATGCACTCATCCGGCTGGGTTCCTATGCGGCTTACAATTTTCCAACATGAAGTCCGGTGCGCCCTCAAGACCAAAGGGAGGTAAAAGTGGTAGAGTGGACATGTTGAAGCTCCACGGGTAATCGGTGAATGCATCAATCTCCTGATCGAAGCGCACCAGATTCATGCTGAAGTCCGAAGCATCGTCAACACAATTAACCCAGTCTACTGGCGAGTGACTGTGCGCCCTCGGTGCTGGCATATCGCTGCCCACAGCAGCCTGCTGTGCTGCAGAAGAGGAGCTACTCAAAGCGCGTGGAGAAAAGCTACCGTCATCACTATCAGAGACTCGTGATACGTTCAGATCAGCCACGAGCGGAGACCCACGCCGTTGATTCAAGCCGCGATTGTATGAGCAGGTCATGCTTTGTGAGACACAGCGACGGCAAGGGACGCCCGAGTCGCACTTGGATTTCAAGCGTGCACACCGATCACATGCCCGTCTCGACCGCAGATCCGAGACGAGCCTCTCGGCCGTTGAATTGTGAGTTTTCCTCTCACCGGATCTGCAACCCCTTAGGTGACGCGAGAAAGCATCACTAAGAATTCCCCGTTAGTTCTTTCATCGTGACCCGCCGTGGAAGTGGAGACCAACATCCTCACGAATGATCTTCCGCACAAGCATCGATGGGGCCGTGCTCCAGTATCTGTAAGCTGATCATCAGTAGGCGCCCACCGAGTCGAAACACAGGGGGAGGTTCTCACGTGACACGGAGTGCCGCTCCAAGTGCTCAGCACGGGTGAAGGTGCGGTGACACTCGGTGCATTCGAAAGGCTTCATCAGTACAAGTGTGAAGAGAGGGAGAATTAAAGAGGAGGATTTTGGACCACTTGTTGCCGCGTTTGGGCAGCCAGGTTGCAAACCCGCAAACCCGCATCCCCGCAATCACGTATAGGAGTTCTGATGGGGCGGGCGGTCTACGTCTCACTTTCGGGTAAGTTCCGTGGAGCCCCACGGCGTTCCCGGTGCTGTCTCCACCTTGTGCTGGGCCGGCAAGCCGATTCGTGAATCCGATCTCGGCTGAAATCGTCCCTCAGCCGGAATGAGAGTCATTATGTCGATGATTAAACTTCCATTCCCAAGAAGAAATGCCGAGAGCCATTTCCCAGAAGAGGCGTGGTTCCCCAGGTCTTCCGGTACGCTCCCCAGGGAGATTTGGGAACCCACTCTTCAGGAACAAGGGCATCCTGGAAGTCGTGGACTCGAGAATGTGGACACCGCATAATTTGATGGACCATGTGGCTAACCAAGCAAGACGGAAAATAGCAGTTATGATCCAATGCCCACCAAGGAGTGGCCAAGTTTCATCCTCAATCGATAGTGCTTACGCGGTCACGAATGGCGCAGATATGCTCGTCGATACAAAAGACCGAACATCGAAGAACAAGAACAGCAAATGACTTTTACGACAAGTTGCATCAAAGTCGTCCCAACGTCAATCTGTGTGCTCAGTATCAACACTCGGGAACGTTCATTTGGAATCGGCACATCTGGGAACATATGACCCCCGTATTTGACCTCGTATCGTGGGGAATCTCCGTGGGGGTAGAGATAATTCGGTCTTCCCAAACCTTAACATGGACTTTGGCCATTTCCCCACGGGCAACAGCCTAGAGCGTCGGCAGCCCGATCATTCCCCGACCCACTTAGCCCAGCCCCAGATTTGTCTCACTGAATATGACTAGACATAAAAGGACCGGTAGATCATCGTTGGACCGCCAGCAACTGAAGGCACAACTATCTGGGACGGATCATTGCCAGTGTCTGGAGCACCACCAACTGAGTTCTAGCTCTATCTCGACCCCAGAGTTGACCGAGCCTGCTCTGGAGTTTCCAAGGTCCCTTTACTATCGGCCTTTGCCCCACCCAAACTCGAATGCCCAAAACGACAATGAACAAGATGGCCGGGGAAGTTCAACAAGTGGAGAAGCTGGTGGAAGAGCCAGTGCAGCTAGGCATTGTGACTAGAGACCCATTGGTATGTGTGGGCATGTGGTTGTTTTCCCTCCGCGCACCGCTGTCGTTACCATGTCATGAGTACCGCGTCGACTGACTGCCCTGAAGACTTGGACGAAGTGGATGAAACTTGGTATAACGCTGAATATCTGCGCGAATGCCTTCCTGAACAACGCTTGTGCGGCCGGCCTCGTCCCAACATTGAATGCCGTGTCTGCCGAGCTCGGCGTCGCCATCACCACCGCCTCGTACCTCATGTCCTACAACGTGCTCGCCCAAGGCCTCAGCAACCTGATTTGGGTACCGACAACGCTTTGTTACGGCAAGCGGTGGGTGGTCGTGCTGTCGATGGCCATGTTGTTGCCGTGCCTGGCGTGGGCGGCCGTTGCGACATCCTTCGAGTCGCTACTCGGCGCGCGCGTTGTTGGCGGGTTCGCGTCCGGCGCGTCCGAAGCATTTGCACCCATGATGATTGCCGATATATGGTATGAGCACGATCTCACCACGGCTCTGGGCTTTTTTGCCCTTTGCACCTTCGCCGGGGCCACCTTGGGCCAGACTGCACTCGGATTTGTCACCGAGAGGCTGGGATGGAGATGGGCCTACTGGGTCGTCTTGATCGCCTGCGGCCTTAATATGTTCACCATGCTCATATGGCTCCCGGAGACCACCTTCCAGCGCGGCCTCACCGTGGGTATCACTGCGGGTGATGTGCAGCGGAATGAGGAGTTGCGTGAGAAGCACACCATTACGAATCCAGAGACCGCCCTGCCGAGCGTGGACGCCGATGCAGCAATCCAGGTGAACCGAGCCGAGCCGATGGAGTCGATGCGCCCAAATCTCTGGTTTATCCGCCATCCCGAAATTGACTACCACGCCAACTGGTTGTCTTACTTCGTGGCCCCGTTCTACTTTGTGATGCTGCCGACAGTGCTCTGGTCCACATTGACGTACGCTTCGACAGCGGCCGCGTTTACTGCACTGGGCACTTGCATTGCACAGCTCCTGGGGGCACCGCCATACAACTTTAGCCCGGGAGACCAGGGTCTGTTCAGCCTGTCCTCGTTTATTGGCATCGGTCTGGGGGGGACCCTTGGTTCCAGGAGTGTCGATATCGTCAACGCAAGAATCAACAGGCGTCGCTCTGAGCAAGGCAAAATCCATAAACCCGAGGAACGCCTGATCATGCTCGCTCTACCTTTCTTTACTGCCACTGTTGGCCTGGTGTTATACGGAGTGGCGGTGCAGCGCCAGCTCCCTTGGATCGCCGCCGCCTTCGGGTACGGAATCCACTCGTTCGGCTTCGTGGTGCTCGCAGGCATCACGTTTAGCTACGCCATCGACTCTTACCTGGTGAGGAGTGGGGAAGTTATGGTGTTCAACAATACCGTCCGCGCCTTGCTTTCGTTTGGAGTAACACACGTCGTACCAACTTGGTTGACCACCGCGGGTCCTACCGTTGTATACTCGGTGCTGGCGGCTATTATCTGGGGCTTTTTGTTGCTCGGTATTCCCGTTATTATTTTCGGCCCGAAGTTGAGGGAGCTAACAAATCGTTTCTTGTGAGTTGCATCGCAGAGTGTATCAAGCTCGAATACTGCGTGGGCCAAAACGCTCTGTCTCTGAAATTCAAATGACCTTTCTATACTGGATCCAGGATTGAAACACCCCATTTTTAGTAATATGATAAAATTGTTTGTAACGTACTTCCCTCTCTCTGTCAGCCACAGATAGCATTGGCGCCAGAACACACTACTGCTATTTTGAAAGCCCCGCTATTCCAATTCCTGTGTTGCCATAAATACCCACTCCGGAGTACAAAAAGTGTTCATTGATAGTGTTTGATACGTTGTTTTTTTTTTCTCGTATTGTCCCATATAAATTGGCAACGGGATAGAAGCAAATTAACGCAGAGCTTTTCATACACAAGGAGGGGTACACAAACCAACGCATTCGATACCCCGTTGTCGCCACGTGAAGTCCGGGGGCCGAGCGGAAGACGTGATCCTATGTATGCATCACGAAGGGCGACGGTAGGCCGGCGAAAATCAATGATTCAGGGGGCATCTCCAGCCGGCACCTACTTTACCCGGACTACTCTGTTTCAAGAAATTTTCAGATTTGTGGTCGAGAACTGGGGTCGACTAATTCCGGTCAAAAACCATTCAAGGCCGTGGGGCCCCACGGGCCTGGATCGCCGAACCGGGAGTTCGAGCTTGAGAGAGAGAACGAAACGGGTATTTCGACTGAGGGTAGCCCACACCAGCGCTGTTTATAAGAATGGAAGCTCGCACTGGTGGAATGTTTGATCCAAAGCTACCCATTTGATCAGAAGCATTCATCGCAACCGTGCAATCATTCAGCTGTGACCATGACCTTCTCGAACGACTCGGGTGCAAAGGGCCGCAATGGGGATATTCAAGCCGGCGAACGTTCCCTCAACGGATCAAGCAAGGAGGGGTTGGTTGGGACGGCATTCCCGCGCAGGAAGCTGAAGATCGTGATGCTGGGAGCTGGGTAAGCCATATGTCACCTTAGACAACAACGGCAAATCCTGATGATCCCAAAACATCAGAATCTCTGGGATTCAGTTTGCACATGATGTGGATACGCGCATGCATGAGGTCGACCTGCAGATTTTCGAGAAGAACCCGGAGCTAGGCGGCACCTGGTACGAAAACCGATACCCGGGGTAAGTCGAATTCACATCCCCTGACCTTATACTCCGTCAACCTTCCCACGTGCAATGACCACCGCGCTGACCCAGACGGACAGTTGCGCATGCGACGTCCCTGCCCATACCTATCAATTCTCGTGGGAGCCTAACAAGCGGTGGACCAAGTTCTATGCCCCTGCGCCAGAAATCCGACAGTATCTCAATGATGTTGTTGATAAGCACGGGCTGCGAAAGTACATGTACTTTAACCACCGAGCCATCTCTGCAACGTGGCACGAAGGGTCTTCTACTTGGCGTGTTGAGCTGGAGACAATGGACAGCTCGGGGAATCTCACTGTTGTCTCGCGGGAGTGTGATGTGCTTGTCAAGGGCGTTGGCACTCTGAACAACTGGAAATATCCGGACATCGAAGGATTGTCGACTTTTGCTGGCAAACTCATGCATACGGCAAATTGGGACGAAACAGTGGACCTCACTGGGAAGCGTATCGCGGTGATCGGAAACGGGGCCAGCGCAGTCCAGTGCGTTGCGGCAGTCCAGCCAAGTAAGTCTATCAGAGCATTCGCGAAAATTGCCTGATCGGCGCGTTCTAACGTACAATTTAGTTGCAAAGAAGCTTGTAAATTATATGCGCACTGCATCTTGGATGATCCCTCATCTCTTCTCCGATGGCGCTGTCCAGAAAGACTGTAAGTCACGTACAGTACTTGATAAGGATTATGCTTGTCAGTGCTAACCCTTCGGCAGACTCGGCCAAGGACTGGGGAAAGTTCGAGAAGGACCCGGAATACTACCTTCAGTATCGCTTGAGACTGGAAAAGACCCTTGCTAGCGGGTTCGAGGCTATCTGGTCAGGAAGCCCGGCTCAGGCCAGGCTCGAGAAAGAGACAGTTCAACATATGAGGGACATGATCCAAGACCCTCGCCTTCTGCAAACACTGTTGCCTAAATTCGAGCTTGGCTGCCGGCGCTTCACGCCCGGGGACCACTATCTGCACGCCTTACAACAGGACAATGTGTCTGTTATCTCGGACAGCATTGTCCGTATGACAGAAAAAGGTATTGTTGATGCAACGGGCACAGTCACCGAATGCGACATCATTATATGTGCTACTGGCTTCGATGCATCATTCGAGCCGAGAATGCCTACCATAGGAAGAGATGGTTACTCTCTGTCGGAAAATTGGGGCAAAGACAAGCCTACCGAGGCGTACATGGGTGCCGTTGTTGCTCGCTTTCCTAACCTGTTTGGTATGATATCCCTCCCCTCTACCTCAATAGCTATTTACTATTTGAAACGCTATGGTTATTTTAAAGATGCTTTGCTTTGACTGCTTGAGAGGCTAATATCGATTGACAGTGTTCAACCCACCCATTACTCCCGTGCTCGGATCTTCCTTTCCCGGCATCCAGGCAACCAGCGATTACATACTCCGGTTACTCGACCGACTGCAGACCGATAACCTGAGATCCATGGCGCCCAAGGAGACTGCTCAGAGGAGCTTCAATGAATGGGCCCAGGAACAACTGCGGAACATGGCTTTCAGCGGAGATTGCAAGTCTTGGTGTAAGTGCAATCTGGACAACCCAATTCAATGAATTGGTCTCAGTTTGCAAGGTACATGACTAACAAGAATTGTTAAATCAACAGATAAAAACTCAAAGGGAAAAGTGTTCATTCCTTGGCCTGGCACGGTTACTCATTATATCCTGACCACGTCGTTGATTCGCTGGGAGGACTTTGACTTGATCTGGGCTAATCCCGAGAACAAGTATAAATCACTAGGTAACGGCGTTACTGAAGAGGGTGTTGCAGTTGATTCTCCGTCCTGGGTGTTCTAGGTGGGCTCGAAAGTGGTTTGACTATAGGCCTACAGTGACTTGGCGACTTGGTGGAAATAGTTATCTCGTTCAAACTAAAAAACGTTCTAAATCAGCGATCTCTATGCAGGTAGTTTTTTTGGGTAGATCCTCTAAGGATTGGGAATATTCGCCTAGGTGCCCTACGAATTGCCAGATCCAGGGACATAGCAAGGCAAGCCAGTGCTAAGGATGTGCTTAGCTTCCTGAGCGTAGGTAGGACACGCCGATAAAGCTCTTTAATTGTACGCGAAAAGACACCGCCGCGGCGAGAGAGAGGATCTCCGAATAGCGGAATAAGGCTAGATCGACGGGGTAAACCGCAAAAAGCAGCACAAAACATCTACTTAATTTGCTTCCCACGCGCCGGAACTATTTGTACTTGATAGCCCTCTTCGGAATGCTGAAAAAGCTGGTCTTTCGGACGTGTAAAGGTCCATTCGTCACGCTGTCCGATACCACGTTCAACTATACTGCTTTTAAAGTAAAAGTACATGAATCACATAAAATAAGGGATAAAAGTTCAACGGGACTCAGAAAATCCTGGGTCCCGTTGATGTCCGACACCTCATCAGGACCCAGGATTTTCTGAGTCCCGTTGAACTTTTATTACTTATTTTATATGATTCATGTATTTATTCACTGCCAATTACGGGGGTGCAACCCCACCTATGTAAAACGTACCTATATCTCTAATGTATTTTTACCATAATACTATTTTATTTCGATGAATTTATATTTAAATAGCTAATGTAAGTATATATATCAATATATATATATCCTACAATATCTACTTCGGTTCTAAAGCAGCATTGGCTATAGGTTTAGGGCGGGGTGAGCACTAAAACGGAAAGGGAAAGCCAAGACTTGCCAGACATCATCCTGTGTATATGTACTGATGTGATCAAAGCTTCTATTTGGTCTTTAGTCTGCAGGGTTGGTTAGATCCACCGCCTAACAGGCCGTGTTCAATTTGAGTACTTGGTTAGAACTACTAGTATAAAATGGCAATTCAAATAAAAGAAAGCAGAGAGGGGTATGTATCCGTCACTGAAACTATCAAGGCTAATTTGTACATTTTAAAAGTAGTGTGGCATATTCATTGGCCCTAACCACGCATTCAACATCTCCTCAATCGTAACGTCCTGAAGACCCACCCAAGGAAAACCAGGATCAGGCTGAGGCTCTTCATAGATATTATTTTCTGAGATTCCAGTGGTGAAGACTCCCAGTGCACCATTATTCTCTCCAGCACTATCAGACTGCGCAAGACGATATTTCTCTTCAAACCATTCAGAAAGGAACCGCAGCCAATCTTGGTAGAAGAACATCTCATGTTGATCCCACTTCCCACCTTTACACTCCTGATCAAGCGTATTCATGCGCTTGACAGATTTTTGGATTTCATGCCGCATATCCAATGTCTCTCGCAACTCTCGGACTTGATTGTGATCTCGAACGGATGGCTCCAACGATGCGAGAACAAGTTTGCATGAAGCTGCAACGCTGAACCCGGTCATTGTCCATTGGGTGTAACTAAATCTCTCTTCAATACCAGGTGGTAGACTGAAGTAAAAGCTCATAAATTGTTTTGCAGCCGCTAGTCCGTGACAAAGGGCATCGATTCGCAGGAGGGCCATGGGTTGGTCGAATGACGCGGCGGAAGATTGGTATACATCGAAAAAGGTAGTTTGATAGAGATGGATTTCGAAGGCGTGGGATGGAATGCCTTGAAATACTAATCAAGTGTTAGAATTTAGATCTGCAGTAGAGATAAGGCTTGGTCAACTCACCATCATAGTCAATAGGGACAGGAAGCCGGGCTTTGCAATCTTCAAAATCGCTTTGAAGAGAACTAATCATAACTTCTATATCCGCAGGAGGCTGATTCTCACCGAATCCCCGTGCAACTAGAGAATCGATTCGTACAAGCATGTGTTGTACTTGAACCTGGCCTAATAGGTATCGATCGGTTGAGAATTCGCATTCCTGCGACAACTTCGCAGCGCATGATTCTATGAAGGGTGACCAAGGCATTGTTCCTGTCCGCTGTAGTACTATGGAGTGACTAGTCATATGAAAGAAAAGTAAGCAAGACATAGTCTTTTTAGGTCTAGACCGGGCTGTGTAGGTGGTAAATCGAACTTACCACGCGTCAAGGAGAAAATATCCAACCAGAGCTCGCATTTCCTCGTTTCGCAGGGAATTCGTTTCTGTCGGAGGATCCGTGTCCAACATGACGTCAATTCTTTGTCTTACTACTCGTAGCTTGGCTGGGTAATCCAGTCTGCAATCGTTGATTATACTTTGTGCGAGGTGCAGATATCCAGAAAACCGCACTATATGGAGGTTTTTCTTCGTTCTATCTTCCGTATTAGCTTTTGTGAATCTAATGAAGAGAGAAATTGTCTAGAACATACCCAGCAATAGTAACCAGCAATCCCTGTAGTATATCGAAGGGTTGTTGGCGATTGCCTTGCAAGACTTGTCCCCCAAGGTAAGACGTCGAAACCTCCTCGAGGGCCAGGTGCAGCGGGACATTTCGAAACGAGGAGACCAAAAGAATAGAGAGTAAGAGGAAGGGTTTCTCCGATCTGAGATCCTCGATAGTGGCGTTTCTCGGCAGCTGTACAAATGGGAAATACGTTATGGCATCACGAAAGCTCTCTATCAAACGATTTGCCTCTTCGTGGGTGATCAGCCCGTTCCCGATCACATCGCACGGATTTCGAGGAGTCGGAGCACAACTTTCACTTTTCGGGGACAGTGGCAGTGGTAGTGGTGCCTGTTGCGGGCTTGAATAAGGCTGATTGATCTGGCCTAATATTTGATCCACCTTGTCCTCGAGTGCACCTATTCGCCTAGATTAGATACGGTCAGCTTGATAGATCGTATCGATACGAGGAGTGGGCAGATATACGTCTCCCTCTTCTTAGGAGTACGAGCTTTTGTTGCGCGGAAATAACAATCTTTGTTCAGACGGAGACACCTTCAAAGCGTGTTAGGTTTACGTTGCTAAGTAGAAGAGAAGAGAAGTAGAAGTAGAAGCGGGATGTTGCATACCGATCGCAGCCTTGGGTAGAGGTGCGCGAGCACCTAATTTTAGCACGCACACAGTTCTCGCAGGTCCTAACTCGGCCTAGACTGGTTGGCGCGGACATAGTAGGCAGCATTTAAAGAATTGGAGCTAAGATAGAGGCCGGATAGGAATAGGAGGCCTTAAGAGTCCGCGGACCGGCCCCTAGGCAATTCCCCTCCTAGTCCGCGGACTCGGAGTTGGCCTAGACTCCGTGTCTTGGCACGGCCCCATTGTCAGCCCCGGGAAGTATACTCGCGCCAATGATAGTCCTACGTAGGATCGGAGATAGCATAGCCTCGTGGCTGACTTTCAGGCCTCGTTATTTTCTCAGATTGTATAAAGAGAGTGTGTATTCGATGCTATGAGGAGGGGAATATCAACCTCAACCCATGTAGACTCGCATTCTACCTCTTCTCCTCCTCACTATCTCAAAAAAGAACAAGAAGAAAAAGAGAGGAAAAGAGTAGAAATATCAACACTGAAAATGTCGGAAATAAACATGGACGACTGCACCTTGGCAACTTGCCCAATTGACTTGGCCTATATCAATTACCAGCCTAACATCCCGGCAAATATCCTCTTCCTCGCCATCTTCGGCCTTCTCCTCGCCGCACAAATCGCCCTAGGAACATGGTTCCGAACATGGACATACATGGGGGCCATGACCGCGGGGCTCATTCTTGAAATACTAGGATACATCGGGCGAGTCATAATGCACAGCAACCCATTCGACTTTAATGCATTCCTTCTGTACGTGACCTTCGAGACATACCTCTGAATAAAGCAAGCTAATCAGAAACTTGAATTTTAGATACCTCATTTGTCTCACGATTGCCCCGGCCTTCTTCACCGCCGCCATTTACATCTGCCTAGGAAGAATTGTCATCGTCTACGGGGAGGATATCTCCAGGATTCGCCCACGTACATACACCATCCTCTTCGTCACTTGCGATATCATCGCTCTAGTCCTACAAGCAGCCGGCGGCGCCATTACCTCTATCGCCGACTTAGACCAAAAAAGCCTCAGAGATACCGGTGTCAATATCATGATTGCAGGATTGGCTTTCCAGGTCGCCTCGTTGACGCTGTTCATCGTGCTCGCTTCGGAATTCGCCCTGCGAGTGCGCCGCAGCTCAGAAGACATGAAGAATGCGTCTACAGCATCTGTTCGCAGTGGTTTGAAATGGAAGATGTTCCTTCTGGGTAAGTGTCACTAAATAATCCGCATTTATCAGCCTATGCTAACCCAATCAAAGGTCTTGCCATTGCCATTTTAACGATCTTCACTCGCTCGATCTTCCGTGTTGCGGAGCTGAAAGGTGGATTTAACAGTGATCTGGCTAATGATGAAATTTCCCTGATGATTCTTGAGAGCACTATGATTGCCATTGCGTGCATTTGTATGACCGCCGCTCACCCAGCAGTTGCCATGGGCCGGCGATGGGGGGAACTCTCGGCGAAGCCGCGTCGTGGAGTCGTTTCTAAGGTGTCGCAGGCTTCATCAGAAATTGAGACGATGAATGCTTAAAAATATATAGCAAAGCCCCTGATGACTCGAAGTGGTCGGGTTCAAGAGATTGGGTATTAGACATTTCAGCGTTTGGATTGGTCTTGGTAATATCAGCAAGTTAGATCTAGAGTTAGATTTTATTTGAGCGATTTGAATCATAGCATTCTCACATTCCATATTCCAATTCCCTCCAGTCATGCAAAGAGTTGAACCAGCTAGGGTCGGTGGAGTCGTATAGTTCCTAGGTTGCCCTTAGGTAGTGGATGAGGACCAATGAAGGACCAAAATCCTGAGGTGTCCGCGGAAAAAATCAATACTTTCCCGGACTCTCGAATTCGAATACCTAGGCATACATCTGCGCCGCATTTATTGCTGTACTTATGCGACTTTTTTTCTAGGGACATTTTGCGTCGATCTCTTTTCTGTCGCAATGACTTCTTGGTCACGCTGAAAACCTTCGACTGGCCGCTGGAGTTTATGGTCATTATGACCGAGTGGTATGGAAAATTATAGGCAAACAGTACGCCGGTGTCAAGGCACGGTATTTCTATTATGAACGATAGGTGTGTCTTCCCAGGGGAAAATCACAAAAAGGCAAAAAGCGCTTTTAAAATGTTGCTTTAGCCAAGGCCACGATTCTCGGGACCACCATAGTTTTTAATCTCTAGGTATGGGCTGTGCTCCCTGTTCTTGCTCTGGTGTCATGCTAGAAGCATTGGATTTCATGTTGTTTCTCTGGAGAGAATAGTACTTGAAAGTGAGCCGAGGTGAGAACGAGATTGCCCAAACTGACCTGCTTCAAGGATCTCACTCTTCCTCCTCGCCCAGACGGTGAACCATATCGGCCAATCAGTTCTCAACATTGAATCGAGCTCGGCTTTTCATATCACTGACTCCTCTTTGGGCTAAGCGAACTGTTTCAAGTGTAGTTGTTCCTTTCAATGCGAATGACTGACCCCAGTCATGAAGTAAACATGGCGACATCTTGGCAAGGATGCACCCGCCAAGTCGGCCTCGCTTAGGCTATTTCATTTTCGGCAGCTGCTCATGCCCTGCCGACAGAAAAAGATGTCGCGGCTTATGAAAAGCAACACTGACTTTTTCGTGATCCTGGTCTGTCCCTTTTATTGAGATTGGATAGTAGGAGTTCTTGATAGGTCAGTCGTCTTTTCATCAGAGCCATAGTTGGAGACATGCCAATTGCGAGCCAAGGAAAGCCCAAAATCCCGAAGTATCCGCTGATAAAATATGTACCTGGCCCGTCTCTCGGATACGAATTCCCACGAATACATCTGCGCTGCACAATTTACTATATTCGTATGCCTTTTTCATCAGACTTGTTTGCGACGGCATTGTTTTTGTCGCATCAATTTTCTTTTCGAGATGACATCCTTGGATCTGGTAGAATTGATAGCGGCCATTGTGAGTGGGGTGCCTTGATATCTGGGGGTACTTTGAGGTGGAAGGAACCTATCTAGAAAACAATAGGTAGCGGGACTCTTATAAAGCTTAGGTCCGCTGATACGAAAGAGCCCGCTTAATTCCGCAATCAATCAGGTTTTAAAGGCGTGTCAAATTACAATGCAATCGGCAGCTATTCTCGAGAAAGAAGTAAGCGATTTACGCGCCGAAAACGAGAAGAATAAGCGAAAAAGGACTCGGTCTACTAGACAGATATCTCGAGAGCAAGGCCTATCAGTTTCAGAGGCTCTTGAGCTTATTCAGGTGGAAGAACTAGTAATTGAAGCGCCAATACCCCGTCAGCCAAGACCGCCTCCGGCACCTATACAGCCGCGTACGAGGGCCTTACCGAAGTGTGGAGCATGTGGAATTGAAGGCCATAAGAGAAATACATGTCCAGATAGACCTCGATTATAGAATATTAAATTTAATTGCGTTTTGGTTGAGAGAGAAGCATTTAAAATGAATAGATAAGAATAGGGTGGCCACTCGCTTGTGGTAGCCACTCGCATGTGAATTAGGTTAACTATAACTTATCATCTGACTGCTTATTAAGCAAAGAAAGTGGTCACTGAGTGATCTCTCTGTGCTGTGAAATACTCAGTGAGCAGGACCCTGAGCGCCCTCATAAAGCGGCGGCATCCCAATTGGGTAAGTCACGGCCCGGCCTAAAATCCGGTAGATACTGCTACATATATCCATACTATAGTCTTGCATTGCCAATGCATCTTCCTGGCGAAATCAAGTATACTGTGGAACAAGATGATACTTTGAGTCTAGGGCTTTGGAGAATGTGAAGTATGACATTGTCATTTTGCACTTGCATGCTAGCTCAACTGGTAACGACTGTATTTTTATGATCCAATGATTGAGGGTATAATTTCATGTGTTAAAGATACGGATTTAATGGATGCGCCGAATCTAGTATAAATGGAAGTGTATTCCTATCTCCGCTAACTCCGGCCCAAAGCTTGTACAACCTTATTTTGTTTGAGAAAACCATACTTGACTTGCTTACTTATTTCAACCTCATCACAACCCCTCACTTACATTCCGGCTTTTTAAACCCTTCCACTCAAAATGCCCTCGGACAACCACGTCAAGAGAGCCATGTCGCTCATCGAGGCTGACAAGACCAAGGTCCTTGGCATTACCGTTGGAAGCCGTGAGAATGTGCAGCCAGGACAGTACATCCCACGCTCCAGTAGGAAGCTCGTTGTCGAAAAGCATCTGAATCGATACTGACATCAATAGAGGCCCAAACTCCTCCCAAGCTCGCCTTCTCGGGCGCATCGCCCACCCCCTCTTCCGCATGGCCCCTTCTTCCGCATGGCCCTCTCTCCCGAATGACCCCTTCAGGATAGAGGTGATTGATCTTGCCACTTGGAATTTGATTTTTTAAGTCACGCAACGACAGTGCATTTACGGAAGACCCTTGTTCTAGTGAGCTATATTAGATAAGGTACCACGGAATGGATATCGAGTTCTTCGAGTCGGTAGGCATCATACTATCTATCGGTATGTTCGTTTGGCTTCATCTTGGTGCAGATTGACGTGCCGTAAGAACTGAAAGAAGAAAATGCTCTGTGAACTATATAAGGTGACGCGACGGAAGAATAGTTGCTTAGGTCTATTTGCTTCTTGAGGGCAGAAATACTAGCGTGGTTCGGATGGGCTTATTAGTGGAGGCCCTACTAGTACCAAATAGCACCCTTATATTGTCCCGGCTGTTTTTTAATTAAATTATCAGTATCATTTGTCGCCAGAGCTAAGGGCCTTCTAGACCTCGCATCGACCGCGTCTAGCAAAGCCCTATTTTCTAGAAGGACTTATATAACATGGGTATGCTTGGTGGCAACAGCTTTTAGTAGCGCTGTCGACTATGTCCGATTTGGCGACCGGAGGTTGATACTCGCCCCTGCCCGGAGCATATTTCGAACTCCGAGTTCGTCCCCACGACTTGCGTACCATAAAAGAGCCGATCCACTATTTAAGCGGATATTCCGTCGGTAGATCTCATTGATAAGGAGGTTATATAGCTTTCTGCTAGCTCGTGAGAAGCTAGAAAGATCTTTTAGCGAATCAAGATTATTTGCAATAAGAAAGGTAATTTTAGGTGGAATAGAGAGAAGACATATAATAGAAACTTTGAAATGAATGGCTAAGCTATCGCAAGACATTTATAAGATTGAGCAATCCTTAGTATCGTATTCGGACTCGACTAGCTAGGAGTTGTTATAGGGGTCTTGTGAGATAAGGTCAAAACAAATAAAAAGTAAAGAGTACAAGAGGCTTTCGCGAATTTCCTTTTTATTGTCTTAAGTAAAGGATCTGTGGTTTCCATTACCTTTGGCTGGATCAGTGATCTGGCTAAACTGTTCAAAATCGTCTCGTCTTAATCGTTTCCTAGATTGAACACTCTGTAGAACCTCTGAAATTTATTGGGAAACCTTAAGTTTTGATATCATGTTAGGCTTCTGCATTATTTGCAAACGATACCATATGCTAGCTAGCATCTTTATATTGTTTCCCTATATAGCTGCGAGGTGCGATTAGATGACACTAACATATCTTGAAACTCTTTGCAGACAAAGAAATTATCAATCCATCAATCAATCAATCAAAGTTCTATTAACCTGTTGCAGCCTATCTAGTATCGAATAGCTATGTAGGCGCTTCTTTCCAGTTGAAGCAAGAACTCGTGTCCCGTACACCTGATCATGCTCCAGTATAGAAAATTGGGCTGATTCTCGAAACGAGAGAGAGCACCAGCCCTACATGTAAGCCAAACCCGTATTCAAAATAAGAAGCCCGTACAAATGAGAAATCCAGTGTTAGGAAGCACTGAATACAAATGAATGCGTGGATGCACCGTCCACCTCTCCAATCCCGACCTCTTCTCACTCCTTCTATGAACACCTCTTGATCTCGATGCTAGCCAATTCTCGCTATAGCAAGATGAAACCCCGTTCTCCGACTTCTTTACTTTAGCCTTAATTGCTGATTATCGTGCGTTAGGCCGAGCGTGGGCCTGAGCCTAGTCCGGCAGTCTGTATTCGAATAGCTAAGTGAGGCTCTCTCCATCCTCAAACGTCCGTGCAAGCGGTGGTGAGTACCTAGCGTCTTTGGAACTCTGCTCCATGGCCTTATTAAGGTCTCTGGTTTCGTCATCGGACTCTTCCTACTGAGTGTGTTAAAACTAAGCAAGTAGGCCGGTTTGATATATGAATTTAGCTACGTAGCGGATCGCCAGCGGGTCTGACACTAGAGTGTTATGGTCAGTATGGTTAAAAACCCCTGCTTGAAATAGCTTATCATAAAGCTGCTTCCGTAGATCTCCGAAGGTCTGGCATTGAAGTAGGACGTGCTTTGGGGTCTGAGAGCATTTTCCACACGGGCACTTGTCCGAATCTGCTGCATTGATCTTGTACAGGAAGTGCCGCAGCGTAATGCGCATTGAGTGCATCTGTATCATGATCGATGAGCGAGGTTTAGACAGGCCCTCGTATAACCGCAAGACCTTCTTATTCGGCCATTCCACTAAGCGCTTTGTCGGCTGGGTAGTCCTCTCCGCATCCCACTGCTTCCGCCAGCGGTCCTGAATACGGGCCCGAACCATGCGCTTGGCAGCGGCCTGAAACACCAGAGGGCTCGACGGCGAAACCTGCCATCTTGTTTGCCAGGGATGGCTTCCCACACATTGCATCAAGCATGATGGCTGGTCGCAGTTAGAGAATGAATTTTCAATTGGTCTCATTCCAAGGTTTTCATGTCTCGGGGATTGTTAGGTCACCTTTGTGTATATGGGTCTCCTTTTTCAATGATAGTATTGGCATTATTTGGTTCAATAAATATTATTCTCTGTATCTACCACATTTAATCTATCCCTGGTTACTGAAATCATATCATATTCTTAAATTGAATAGGGAGTTTGTTGTACCTCGATTCTTGTTGCGCTTTCGGGTGAGTAGCCCAGCGTTATTCTCGGCTCAACTGTGCCGCAAAAAAATGTACCCATTAAAAGCAAAGATGACATGGTCAAATGCAATCTTGTACAATCAAATGGATATGGCGGCTCACGCCAACAGCATGAATTGAAGAACGTAGATTGAAGTTTGGGTTGCAATGGCTACGGTGACGCGTGGTAAAGTGTAATCTCGCTTATTGGGGCCATGTTTTTTGAATCCTTCAATTCTACGCCAATTCTTCCACCTATAAAATTATAAAGGGCACACACAAGCTAAGGGGGGAAGCTTGACGGGGCAATGATTAGGGCGCCTGATGTGGCGTGCAATTTCGCTTATGGGGGTCTTTCTTGTGGACCATCTGATCTTCAGTACAGTCATTGCCGTATCAAAGGAGCTGAATATAGGGCATGTTGGTTGTCGTCAGCGCCGCTCTCACAAAAAAAAAAAAAAAAAGGCCTCGCAGAAATGGGAGGCCTAGTTCTACAAAATCAGTAATAAGCATGAAATATCAATCCAAAACAGGTCAAAAGTACCGCTAAACCAAAAGAATGCGCATCCTTCATGGCAAAGAGATTCTGAAATGACATTAAACTGGAACAAATCTGTCCGTCTCCTCTTCCCAATTTTTTTCTACCACTGTCTTCGCTATATTTCTGGCTCTCGGTTACGATGAAGCTTTTGGCCTTGCTTTCATTAGCCCTAAACCTTCACCTTGGAGATGCATACTTGACCAGTCCTCCCGGCGCTGTCGCTCCCGGAACTACGTCAGAATGCAGTGCATGGATTTAGTATTCGTCTAGCTTAACATGTGCCATTCATTATCGAAGAATATTTCGGAATGACAGAGGCCGAGTTTGAAGCATGGGTGAGTCCTCAATTTCCAAACACATAATCATTCAAAAAGTCTCTGACTGTATTTTTCCAGAATCCCATCGTCACAGAGCTGGGATCGAGTTGTACCCTAATCACCGATCTATACTACGGTGTGCAGATTGGCTATGAAACAATCTCAGTGACGGTGGCATCTACTTCCACCTCTAAATCTGTCTCTACGGCTATAGCTTCCACTGTGCCCACAACGTTTGTGACTGCTACTCCTACATCCTCTACAAATGGTTTCGACACCCACTCCCTACCAGACGGGTATAGCAACAAATTGTGATGAATTCTATCTCGTCGTAAGCGGAGATGAGTGTGGTACAATCGCAACTGATGAGGGCATTTCACTTGAAGAATTTTATGCCTGGAACCCGGCTGTGGGTACATCATGCGCCTATCTCGACTTGGGAGATTATGTTTGCGTGGGTACAATCGGTAGCAATGCTACAGCTACCCCTACTTCATCTTCTGCAACCACTATAAATGGGGTGACTACTCCTACCCCTTACCAGACCGGTATGGTCTCAGACTGTGATTTATTCCACTTGGTCGTAAGTGGAGATGGGTGCTATGATATTGCGGCAGCGGCAGATATTGCGCTCGATGACTTCTATACCTGGAACCCAGCTGTGGGCACGTCATGCGCCTACCTTTACTTAGGGGATTATGTTTGTATTGGTATTTTATAGGTGGTTTAAATATCAGCATGAAAATATTATGAACGGAGAACGGGGAGGTTGATTTTCTCAAGTTGAGGGTGGGATAGATGTGCTGCATGTAGGACCAGTGTGCCCAATCGGTGATAATTGTTGATTAAATTTGAGAGGCTATGTGTAGATGGAGTTGAACTCATTTACGGGACCTTCTGTGATCACCTGGCTGAAACTGGCCAATAAAATTTCACCGGAATTTATCCTACCCAAATCTCGATTGATCCTTTGTTGAATCTCCACCTGTCCTCTCGTCCTGCTTAAGTTTCCTACCATCTGCAAAGTGCAAATATTTCCTCCTTACACCACCCTACAGACTTTCGGTCTTTCAAAAAGGCGCCTCAGCATGTCTTTGACTACCCTTCCCACGGAATTAATAATGGCTGCCTTCCAATATATGCCATCAAAAGGCGACATCGCCCACCTCGCACAAACCTGTCACAAATTTCACGATTTACTCATGCCGGAGCTCTACCACCTGAGCTTCCAGGAAAATGAAGGAGATACTCTTTACTGGGCTGCGGAACATGGTCACTGCCGGATCGTGCAATCCTTCCTGATGGCCAATGGCCATCTAGGACCAAACTTATTATTGCCACATATGAACCGTGCACTTTCACTGTCAGCACAACACGGACAGATAAGTGTTGTGAAAACTCTCTTGTCTATGGAAGGCGTCGATCCAGATAACAAATCGAGTAAACTCGAACGCACACCGTTGTCATACGCTGCACAAGGGGCATACATCGATATCGTCAGATGCTTACTGGAAACAAACCGTGTCGATCCAAATTCAAAGGATCGAATATACGCTCACTCGCCACTGATCTGGGCAATGCGATACCCCTCGGGTGAATCGGATTTGAAACCTGAAATGGCACCGGGTGCAATAAGATCTGCACAGGACCGGTCTATTCCTGTCATACAATTGCTACTTGAAAATGGTGCCAACATCGAGTTCATGGGTTACGATTGTCGAAATGCCCTTTACTGGGCCACTGCGGGGGGTTTGGCTCGAGCGCCATAGTTCGACTGCTTCTGCAGAAAGGCGCACGGCCCGATGGCCATGTGGATGAGAAACAGCGAGTAATGGTGAATTCAAGACAGCGGTCCAGGATACAGCGGTGGGACGAACATCCATTTTTGATTAAGGGAATCTACCTCCCTTTATCATTTGCGGCCTGGGCGGGGTACGATGAGGTGGTTCGGGCTCTGCTGGAATTCAATGCGAATATTGATTGTACGAATATCTCCGGTCTGATTAGGAATCACCATCCCCTTGCCTGTGCTGCGGAGAAAGGTCATTTATCGACCGTCCGCCTTCTCATAGAGCGAGGGGCGTGTTACCAGTCCCCAGGATGTCCTCTCCTCTGCGCAACAAGGAATGGTCATGCGGAAATGGTCCAGCTCTTGGTAGATGAGATGATGCACCATGACTCCCGAATTACAGGCGGGGGACAAAGAGGCGAAGAGAAGGTAGGAATAAAGTTATGCACCCGAAAGGGACGCAAGCACAGCCCCGGTAACCAGGCCATGCTGGCCTTACTAGAGGCTGTGAAATTGGGGAATGTAGAAGTTGTCAAGTTACTTCTTGCTGTCCCGGGAGTCGATATCAACCATGAACTTCTACAGGGATCACATACACCCTTGATGATTGCAGTACGATCTAGACCACCAATTATTGAGATGATCAAGGTTCTTCTGGCTGTCGAAGGGATTGAAATCCGGATTAACGAACCTCAAGACCTGGAGGGAAATACTGTGTTCATCTGGGCTCATCACAATGAATGTGATGAAGAAATTATCCAATTACTCGTCGATAACGGGGCGCAGCGAACAAATGAGCCACTTCGTGTTGCTTCATTGGCTGCTCCACAGAATTGGCAAACGGAGGCGCCACTAATGACACCTGGAGATAGGATTGATTGATTCTTTGAGTTTTTTGAATGAACCCCACTGAATTTTCGCCCATAATTTTTTCAATAGGCGGCCATATTATTTAAGCCTTCTATAAAAGCCACTTTTCTCTGTTCTACATGATCCAACCTTAAATTGACCACCTTAAAGGATCCATAGGCTTCCTTAGGTTTTTTTTCGGTCGACACATACCTTTGCCCAGGTGGCCCTAGAAGGGTCAACTCTATATAGATTATCGATTGCTAGACTACTTACAACCCCTAAATACCTGTCGCAAAATTAGAAATTCCTAACGGCGTCAACTGATTTATCATGTCCCCTCCCATATATTTTTGGACACACTAACGCTATTCACTCGCCTTTCTGATTTACTTTTTGCCTCGAACTCTCGACTTAAGAAGCTAATATTTTCTATCATTTTGTTGTTTTCTACTTCAGTACTAAAGTACCTACGCTTTCCAAGGTTCTTGGTATCTACCTTTTCTTAGTGCAGTACCTACCCTCAGTACATAGGACGGGGATATAGTGAATTTATGACGCCGTTAGGAATTTCAAATTTTTGCGACAAGCATTTGGGGTGTGTAACTAGGTAGCAGAAAGGGGTGTGTCTAGCAACCCCTTGTGGGTTAACCAACCACCACCTCGAAGCATCTATGGGCTTCCTTAAATTCTCTTCTACCAACACATAGTTTCTGAGGTTTAGGCCCTAGGAGCCCTGAGAGTCCCGCTAAGAGACCGCCCCGGCCGCGCCCAGTAGGTCACCTAACTCTGGAAGTCAGTTATCTTTGACCAAGTCTAACGGTGACGTAAATAGTTGCGAAAAATCGTGAAGAGTCATAAATAGTTATGAGAATAGCAACCCCTTATAGATTAATCAACCACCACCTCGAAGCATCTATGGGCTTCCTTAAATTTTCTTCTACTAACATATAGTTTCTGAGATTCAAGCGGAGAACAAATAGGACAACCTCTCACGTCACTCCTGATCGTTTACCCTGAGCATAGTGGGTGGGGTGAGCTACCCACTGAGGACTCCCTGAGTAGCCCTGAGTAGTCACGAGCAGCCTTGAGTACTCCCTGAGTGCTCCCTGAGTGCTCCCTGAGCAGACGGTATCACGTGGTTCAATGATGACTCAAATCCCGGTAAAAAGGGCGCCAAAAACGGCGTCCCAGATAGCCATTTTCGGCGCCCGATTTACCGTCAACTAGCGTTGGGATGTAGCCAACAACATCCCGAAACTAAGAAACCACAAAAATTACCAGTAAGCGACCGACACGCCCCGTGTAGCAAATACTCTACTGAAAATGAACCACGAACAAGGGAGTGGTCGCTGCGGTGGGTTGAGCCCACCGATCTTCCAGTTGAAATACAACTTGAAGGTGCGCGGGGAAAAACAGAGCAATGTAGACGATCAAATCTTGAGATTGAGCGGGCAGGGGGTTAAGAAACTCCACCAAAGTTGCGTGCGTAGATTAGGATGCACAATTACTGAAAGTTGAACGCGCTCATGACCGATAATTGCAGATTACCTTTGGAGTATCATTAACACACTGCTCCCAGCCCCGCACTAAGCTATTGTTTAATCTCACGCGGCCCCCCCTCCCTTTTCCCCCAAAAAAGGACTGCGGTAAAATGCTTAATTTCGCATACTTGGAGTCAAACAGCTTTGGTGAATTTTGCCCGCAGACAAAAAGTCCGCTAAGAGAGTACCACGACGGTCATGGTGAAAAAGGGGATCAGTGATGACGAATGTGTCGTGGTTAATTCCGAGTCATAAGTCTTACTAATGTCGGCGAGTCAATGTGTCTGAACGGGTTCCAGTTCAACGGGACCAGAGAGCAGCTGACTAATCCTGGGTCCCGATGAGGTGTCGGACCAAGATCAAGCTGCTCAGTGAGCAAATCAGAGCGCTCAGGTCACGCTCAGTGAGTGGGATCAGACTGCTCAGGTGACACTCAGTGAGCCAGTCACCTGCTTATGTAATACTCAGGGGCGTGCTCAGTTCTACTCAGTGAGCAAAAAGCGGCAAGGGGTGAGCACTAAAACGGAAAGGGAAAGCCAAGACTTGTCAGACATTATCCTGTGCATATGTAATCTTGAGTAGAGGTAGCCTTGCCTCTTGAAAACCGAATCTAGTCCATTGCCAACCATCGGGATATGTCTCGTCTGTTTCTGACATTTTAAAATAGTGAATGTTTCAATGGGGGTATGCACATCTTCGTACCGAGGAACTGATCTCTCTTTAAGTAGGTGGTCCCGTCCTAATACGAGATTAAGCAGATCGCTGTGACTCACTGAACAACCAAGCGCTAGAAATCACTTCAGGGTTAAAGTTACAAGCGTTGATATCTATATAGTTTTGAATATTATTATGATGTCCACTCTGTAAGTTGCTTCTGTATTCCTTGAGTCAGTCTAGATAGCTGGTCAAATTGCTTCCGCCGTCAACCACCTACACCGGGCTTATTTTTTATTTCTCTATTTCCTGATGCTACTCAATATGCTTTAGGTGTGACTACCTTGGAGTTATTCTGTACAAAGTCTTCATGTTGCGCAAATGTGCCTGAACTAGCCCGTTTTATGAAGTATGATCACTGCCCCTCTAAGCCTAATAAGAAAGTATATCATAGGGGTCTCAATAGTATTGAATTCTTCCGTGTACTTTCTGGCTTTACTCTGTATTTCATAGGCTGATGATGAATATTGTCGATAATTTCTTCTACCATGGTATATCTGCTTGGGAAACAAGGTGCTAGCAGAGCACCTGGCAGTTCGAAGGTGTTTTGCTGAGCCGGCAGCAGCCTGTGACCTACAATACGGCTGAAACATTATTCTGACTCTTTATACACTTTCAACTTGAATATAGACGCTTCATATATAATTTTGAATACCATGGTCCCAAATAATGGGTCATATAAGAGGATTCTGACTCTTTCGTTCTTTTCTTCTTCTCCTTTCTCAATCATCTCATGCCATCCCATCCTTCAACATGTTCAATCCTACCCCCCTCTGGGTTTGGCGCTACGACCACAACGAATTTCTCATCGAGTACTTGCTCCGGAATCTCGAAGGTGGAAAATCAAGACCAATCCAACCATTCCCTTCCAAAGATCACGTCAGTCTCCATAAAATGGACTTCGTCACAGGCGCAATCGACTTTGTCACAGGCGCAACCTCATCTTCTATGGTCCAATACTTCAAACCAAATCGAAGAACGGAATTCCAAATCAGAAACACCTCACTGGACCCCAAAAACCCAAAAGATGACATGTATCTATCTATGCTGGAGAAGAAGAACAGCCCAAGTTTCGACAGTCAAAGGCTTCATCAACAACTACGAAAGTCCTTCTCAAAGTACATCACCCATTCGCCCAACGGCCGCACGGCAGTTGATGGCTGGCAGTTCATCAAGTAAGTTTCTATTTTCTATAAGTCACATAATAAAAGCACACAAGCTAACGCCAGACGAATGTAGTCCCCAAGAAGGAGGTGATCTGTACAACAGCAATGACAAACATGGTTTCATCATCGATCAAGGTGCCGCGAGTGTCAGTGCTAGCGCATCTCATCAAATTGTGATAATGAACAGCGAAGAATGCCACAACATCAATACACCATCTACAGGAGAGATCATCGTACTCCTCCGATGGATGCTGGCAGCTGTCAAGCCCCAGAAAAACAAGTCTAAACTGGATTCTCGCAAATACGCAGAAAACTGCCTTTTCCAACATGACATCCCGGTATGTTCACATATCCCAATACCTTGCATCGATAAGAGAGGTTTACTAACTTGAATATGGACAATGGTTATCTCCTTCCTGCCCGATTCCAAAGTCCGCGTGTTATACGGCTACTTCGACAACGGTCTTCTCAGAGTTGCTCACACCAAGGCAATTTCCTTCGATGACACCCAATACGAAGAAAATATGGATAGCCTCCTTCAATGGGCCTGGCCCATAGTCTGCCAGGATACTTCTAAGCCAATTCCCATGCAGACAATCGAAGAGAGCGATGAGACAGACCAGTCCGATGAATCTTGAATACATACCAAAACAATCATGTCAATTCGCAGAGGTTGATTTTAGCAGAGGTGCGCCCTGGATCTAGATTTCCTCTCGGCGAAGGCAGCTGAAGCACCATTAATTTCATATTTTATACTTTACATTCTTACACTGTCAGCTAGAATTTGGTGTGTCCTATGCGTTCCATATATTCTATTCTGTTCTAGTTTCGCATCGCATCGAATCGCATATTCCTGTTCAGTTGTCAATCTGTATTAGCAGATCTTCAGTGCAAATGCATTCGGGGATGAGAGAGAGAAATCCTTTCCATGATCCATTTAGTCCGTACTTATAGATAGTGTAGATAATTTAAGGACCTTCGATGTTGATGCTTTATATCTCGAGTTATTCGACACCATTTAATTTCTATAGACATTTCCAAACACCCGGCCTATTTCTTAACCCTCCTCAAAGCCTTCACAACCTCCTCCGTCCCAAAAGCATCAGCAAATTCCCCATCAAGACTAGCAACAGTAACCTTGTGAATAGTCTCTGAATCAATCCCGGCCTTCCCAAAAGTAGCAGTAGCATCAGCAACAAGGACAATCCGTCCCTTATCAACCTCAACCTCCTTCTCATGGCTCCCATCCGCCCTCAACCTAACAGGACCGTCCCCGACATACCGATCCACAATCCCCAAATTAGACGCCATGCGCACAGTAGTCGAAACACAATGATCAGTCGTCAAACCGGCAATAATGAGTTGACGGAACCCCTTCTCACGCAGATGCGTTTCAAGCTCCGTCCCAATAAAAGACGAGTTGACACTTTTCCAGTACACAGGCTCCGACCCATCCGATGCAGGAGTCGCGAAGTCTAGCGGGCGGGTTCCCTGTGCGGGGTGGGAGGGGTGGAGTGGTGATCCTGGGGTTGTGGATGAGTGGAAGATGTGAATGACTTCAAGGATAGAAGAAGGAGAGGTAGACTTTGCAGTCCGGAATGCAGTGAGGAGTGCTTGGAGGTTGACTTCGTAGAATGGGTTGGAGCGTGTGGTGCCCCAGTGTGAGATTGTTGGTTCATGGCAGAAAGCGGCTTGGTTATCAATTAGGATCAAGGCTGTTGGGAGGCTGAAGTCTAGCGGTGCTGCCATTTTGAAAATGTGAGACGCTGGTCTCTCGATATGGAGTTGTTTTTCGAACGTTGAGTGACGGTTATGATGGGGCTATATGGGTCGTTTTATACCCGGGATGAGCTTTTCCGTGACTCACCCGGCTCACCAATCAGATCTATGAAGTTTTTAATTGTTCTAACTGTCGCTGAATCAACGTACCAATTTAAGGTAATGGTATAATGAGCGAGATGAGGGTCCAATTTCTCGTGCAGGAATGGGTAGTCATCTGAAAAAAATCTACGCGCGAAGAAACGTCAAAACTTCAATCTTCCAATTTCTTGATTCCATCTTCTAAAGACGGAATTTTACTTTTTCCGATACCAAGTCTATGCCGCCATTTAGTCTCTTCCTTGAGCTTCGCTCTCATACGCCGTCTGGGCGCATAGTTGATAGGAGATTCACCACCAATAAAGATGAATGTATCGTAAAGAACGGCACCAACAAGACAGCCACTAATAGTAGCAACCCAACCACCCCAGAACCACCAGCCATTCCGAGCAGTGAATGTCTCACCGCCATATCCGACCATAAGAGCAACAAGACGAGGACCGAAGTCTCGCACTGGATTCAAACACCTGTAAAAAGCCCAGTCAGAACAACCATAAGAACACAGAGCCTGGGAAGAAACTTACCCTCCAGTATTAAACCCCAAACAGATACAAAGCACATAAATAACCAATCCAATAACAAACGAATGCATACCAGCACCAGGCGGCGCATTGCTATCATCACCCATAGCGAAGATAACACAAAGAAGAATCGCATCAGCAATGAACTCCGTAAAAAAAGCTGTTGCAGAACTGATGTGACTCATGGGCTCAGTATAAAACCCAAGACCGGAGCTACCAGCCTTGGCAGTCGGCGCGAAAGTAATAATTGAATCACGGTAGATACAATATGCCAATCCTGCCGCGGTAATTGCACCAATTATTTGCGCTATAACATAGTAGCAGCATCGCCGACCGGGAAAACCACGGAATATCCAGAGCGCAATGGATATACCTGGATTGAGATGAGCACCGGAGACACCACCTGCTAGGTAGATGCCGACCATTGAGCCGAGTCCCCAGGACCAGTTCTCTGAGAGTTTTGTTCCGGCGTTTGTGCCTCCTGTTGATACTGCGAGGGTTCCCGTTAGGCCGATGAAGAGGGCTATTGTGGTCTGAGATTGTAAGGGTTAGTATTGTGATACTCACGGCAGGGGGGGGTGGGGTTGCATACTTACAGCGAGCCATTCGGCAAATGGTTCCTTTAGGTAATTTCGAATCTTCACCCAGTTGTTTAGGAATTCTTCTTGTTCCGGTTGGTTCATGTCCTCCTCTTTCATCATTCCGCCACCACAACCTGCTTCACTTTCCATTGGACGTAGCAGACCATCGGGCTGCGTTCCATATACGGCATGTTCCACTGGAGCGCCCTGTTGAGCCGCAGATGCATATGTGGGAGGATGTTGCGTCGGTGTGGCAGGTGTGGCCGGCGTAGCAGGTGTATCATTAGCATTAGAACGAGAGTTGGATAGACCAGGCGTTACACCAAGCTCTGGTGCAGCTTCTGCTTCGCCTCGAGGCTTGGTATCGTATGCTTTCTGCTGGGAATTTTCATCGCGACGCATGCCGGGTCTCACAACGCGCGGAAGAGGCTTTGCTAATCCCCACACGGGCTGCTCGTTGTTTTTTCCATATCGTGGGTTCATAGACCGGTATTCGGGATCCAAGTAAACAGGTCCTTGTGCTGCTTGGTCGTCCATCGCCCCTGGACCTGCCAGGGTGTGAGAAGGTCCCCGTCGAACGGTGTCTCGGGTTGGTACGCTGGTCGAGCCATTTTGTTGAGATTGGTGTCCGTAGTATAGACTTCCTGATTCTGTGGGCTGTCTATTGAAGGCAGCTCGTGAGCCGAAGGGCGTTGATGGTTGCCCTTGTGGAGTCTGTGGTTGTCCTTGTGGTGTAGGTGGATGTTCATTTGAGAATGCTTCCGGCTGTGAGCGCTGTTGAGATGACGAAGACTTTTGTTGCTGTTCTTGCTGCTGTTTCACTTCCTTAGAATACTGTGTTTTTGGAGGTGGATTGCTCTTCGAATTGTTCAAGGTCTCGCTAGAAGACACAGAATTGGGACTATTTTCGCGTTCCTCAATTGGATGGAGTGAAGACCCCTGCGAGTGTTTGTTGAATGAATGATCACCCATAATAATGAGCGACGATACAAAATATGCAAAAAGAGTATCGAACGAGAATGCGCAAACAAAATGAAGATGAAATCTTTGGTACGGTGGTGGAGGGGGTCTTATACCTCTGAGACCCAAGCTTAAGTGATAGCGCAACGAATTGGCAGATAAACAGCTTTCAATTTTTCATGAGATCGACGGAAAAAATTTAGAAGCTGACCCTGAATTCAGGATTTTAATCCTGTCAAAATATGGGGATATTACCAGCATAGGCTTAGATTGAGTTGGTTTGGCAGCCGATATCACACGAGGAATGGTTCTTTCCGATTCTCGACCTGGGGTGACATCAAACTGACGGCCGATCGATCGATATAAATACAGCATCTTCTGCATATAAGGTGAGAATCGGCTTCCCGGTCCCTCAGGCCGGCCAAACAATGAACGATGGAGAAGCAGGAAAATATACTTGTTTGCCACTGTTGTGTCGTTCCGCAAATCAGATGCCAGGTCCCATGGTACACAACCCGCCAATCAGAAGCTCGGATCTATACTTCAAGAATGTTCCACTTTGACTTGTTTGCTTTCAGGTTCTCACCTGAGTCATGCTTCGAAGAGTCTAAAAACTAAACCTTGGCCAAAAGTCCTTCCCCACCTCCCACGTTTATATGATCTGCATGACTCACCCGAGGCTCTTGAAAATGGACACGAAGGAGGTGTAAATAGTGTTAATAGAGGCGAAAAAGGAGAGGCTAACTAAGGACACCAATAATACCCGAAATGGCACCCTTCGGGAACTTGTCAGGACTTTTCCAATACTCGATAGCACCGAGAACAGACTTATGGCCACTGTTGTATGTAATTGAATCGTATGGCTTCACTCCCACACTGAAGCCACACCATTGACCCGAATATCAACATCTCCAGTGCTACCCTCGACCGAAACAAGTCGAGCATGAGTAGAATCCCCATCAGGGAAAATCTGCGAAGTCAAAGAAACCTCCCCCTTCCCCCCAAGCACCTCCACACTAGACCAATCAACAAAAATCCGCAAATCCACCCGCCCATCACAATCTGCCGCCAACGCCGTATGGTAGATACTCCCAAAAGTCCCATCAAAAGCAACATCCCCTGAGACTCGCCGATCAACAAAAACTTCCTTACTAGTAAAATTATACCCAACAAGCGTCTGCTGCTCGAAATCGAAGCTACCACGCACAGCAATCGCAAACTCAGACGCACGAGAACTATCCGAATCATGATCCGCAAAGCTCAAACTGACATGGAATGCCTTGCCTAGTGAGCCGAGATCTACTGATCCCTCTGATACAGTGTTCCAGGAATGCGATACATCGCTGTGACCCATGATACTTTGCAAATTCTCATGCGGTCGCTGAAGGAGTGTGACCTTCTCATTGACCATCTCCAACGACAATCGACGCGGGATACTCATCGCGCTCCGCCATGGATCAGTCGGTATAGCAGCACCATATTGCCAGTTATTCATCCAAGCAAGGTTCACCCTCTCGCCAGCGGGCAGTCCATTGAAACTAGCCGCTGCGTAAAAGTCCGGACCCCAATCGAGCCAGTTTGCAGTTTCATTTCCGGGGTATACACTCCCGGAATCGGGTGTGAAAGTCGTGCCGTCGAAATCACCGATGAAATACTGTGTTCCGGACCCGATTGTGCCGGGTGGTCCGCCGGGATTGAGTCCTAGGACCATGACCCATTTTGTAATTTGTTTATTGTCGCTGTCGTTGGAGGAGAGAGGGAGAGGGAATAGATTTGGACATTCCCAAACGCCGCCGACTGCATTCTTTGGTCCGAATTCACTGAGTACCGACCAATCTTTTAGATTTGTCGAGGTCCAGATGAGGAGTTTGTAGATTTTTGAGAGAGCTGTTACGGCGATCCATTTCTGCGTCTCGCCGTGCCAGAAAACGAATGGGTCTCGGAAATTCTCGTATTCCATTTCATAGGGAGTTGGGGGGTTGTGGATGACGGGGTTGGCGGCGTCGTACGTTGTCCATGTCTTGCCGTTGTCTAGGCTGTAGGCGATTGATTGGGATTGTTGTTCTGCGAGGACTTCTTTGCCGCTGGGTAATGTCTGACTGAGCGGATACTAAATTGAATAGTGGTATGAGCTTGGTCCTTGGACATTATAATGGGAGTATAGGATGGAATGATCAAGCACACTTACCATGGAAGTATACATAGCGACCAAGGGGATTTTCCCATCAACCCCGAAGCCACTAGTATTATTCACATCTGCAACAGCACTCCCAGTGAAGAACATCTCTGTCACATTATTCGGATAACCGCGCGCAAGGAAAGCGACGGGTTGTTCCTCCCAATGTGTGAGATCTTCGCTAGTTGCATGGCCCCACGACATATTCCCCCATTCGATTCCACCAGGATTATACTGGAAGAAGAGATGGTATGTGCCATCATGATATAGCAGACCGGTGGGATCATTCATCCAGCCCTTGTTGGGCGAGAAATGGTATTGGGGTCGGTACGGCTCCGTATAGTTCAAGCCAGAGGCCGAACTGGCTAACAGGCCTAATGCCATCACCGTCTCGAGTAAGACACCCATACTTCTCTTTGTGTAGACAATTAATTTTGTTTTGCTTTCACCTGAAATTTGGCATGACATTTATATGATAGATTTCCCCCCATAGCACATACCTCCCCGCTTGGCTTTTCCCCACGGGGAATCCACAGCTCTGCGTATCTTCGGGGAAATACAAACTTGGCCCTGCATTTCGGTACTGTGGCATAGCTACGAGGCGGTATGCCCGGAGCCAAGTCGCTGAAACTCGGTAGTAATCTCGGCGTTCTACACATTCCAATGCCATATCCGGGCCGTGGCTCTACCACCCCGCGCTATGCTGAGAGTATTTGTGGAGCGATGATGGTGCATGAACTCAACAAAATGCCTCTGCAAATAACCTAAGGGAAGACTCGGATGACAGTTGGACTTTTCCGAGGAATTCTGTTTTATGCTGGTTGCGTCACATTGGGATTGGGCATTGCAAAACTCTTGTATGGCCATATATAGACATGAGAATGTCTGACGGGTGGGGCCTTTCCTCCCTGGGCTGCCGCCGCTTTATGAGGGCGCTCAGGCCCAAGATCAGTTAGTAGATGTCAGCACGGGCACAGACCCAGTGATCGTGGTCTAGTTCAGTCCCGTGTGCGGCATGCTCAGTGAGCGTAAGTGCGCGTGCTCAGGGATCGCTGGGTAAGAACCCCTAATTTGGTACATCGTAGCATCGTTATTTTTCAAAAGATTTATCAAGTTCGTGTAATATGTCTAGTACTAATCGACCTTCTAGGTGATCCGAAAGCTATGACGAAATGATAAACTATCCTATAAGGGACGTGAGAAGGCTACTATATACGTAGAAGACTTAATGATAGTTGTCGAGACCACGATCAGTACTATAAAGAAGCAATTTAGGGGGTATCGTATCGAGCTCTGCCCCTTCTAATAGCTTACTAGCCTTACTACGAATCGTCCTTGGACTATATTAAATTTTAATATACCTTTATATTCGATGTTGCGATGTTCATTTTAAGAAAGTGTCAGCGGTCGGCTCGTTTTCAAATTAATACATGGAGCCTTTTGAACCATCGGGTCTTTTTTGGACCTGCTTAGAATTCGCTCATAAGCCTTATTTAGATCCTTGGACAGGGAGTCAATGGCGGAGTCGACCCCTTGGGTGTGTTCTTGAAGGTTTCTGTGTTCAGGAAACCGAAACGAGGTGTATCCAAAGGTAAGTACAGTGCGGAATTTTGGGCAGTCTGGTTTTTAGACGACATTTGACCTTTTCGGGAAGCCCTTTTTCTGGTGCTGACTGCTGGACTCGATATCGATCACGTAATTGATTTGTCGACTGATGTTTCCTGACTCTTCTTCTCCTCACTGTGTCATCTTCCTCGTCCCCGGCCTCGCCTGTTCTGCAGTCTTCGCGTTTCTATTGCCGTTATCTCATCGAGAACCTGTGGTGGTGTCTACCCAGATTCATTTGAAAGGTCCATTGAGGCACCAGCATCCACCAAGACCTGGATCATGTCCACCCGCATTGATTTCAGCTTGTCAGGGCCAATGGGTTCGACGTCTCCGTCCTCAAACACCCTCTGGGCGAGTCTACCATGCATTGTCTCATGAAGTGAAGAATTTCCTTTCTTACCGACCACACTGATTAGATGTCGAACAGCATTGATCCGATTGAGACGTTTACTCATGAGATAAAGTGGTGTATGAGCGTTGTCATCGACATGATTAACATCGACAAACTCCAGTAATATTTCTAAGATAGCGATATCCGCGCAATCGGTATCGCGGAACATCGCCATTGTGTGTAACAAATTCTGTGATCTACCGTTGCATGCGCGGGCATCAGCTCCATTCTCTATAGGAGATGAACAAGTAACTCCAAGAGTTGGGCACTGGGGGTACCGAGTCGCCTTGCATAGTGGTCAATCGTAGCCCCGAAGAGTGTCCAATGGGCGCCTTTGTGATTGCAGGAACCCGGTACTGAGGGAGGAACCCAGCTGGAACGCAGAAGGAGCTTGACTACGGGTAAGATACTCGCCAAGCCGGTTTCGGAAGTCATGACATAATCAAACGCTGTTAACCCCCCTGATCCCGCAAGGCGAGTGTGTCTGGATTGGCTTTGAGGAGCACTTCCACAGTGCGCGTAACGTGAGCCGTAATTTCTTCCTGGTCGACTCTGCCAAAAAGCTCCACGCGGCGATCCTTGGCACCAACCAAGGTCCAGTGGAGTGGAAGTCGCCCAGAGCCATCGGGCGTCGAAGCCATCTCTGCAATGTCAACATCGCCTAGGTTATCCGCTAGCGCTCGAATCCCATCGAGGTTCCCGCGAAGAGCTGCAATATGTAAGGCGGTCGCTTTCTGTCCCCAACCAATGCTTTCGGAACCAGTATCCCACTCTGACGGGCATGGATGTCAGCTCCCTCAGCGATGAGACGAGATACCATCTGATAGCTGGCATGAGGGATGACGGCACCGAGTACTATACTGACTACCTCCCCGCGCGATTGATCCAAGTCGGATGAAGCTGTTGCCCTATACATGTGTCTATATTGATCGGAGTTTAGAACCGAGCCTCGTAAAGTGGTACTCCATCTTCGTTGTGGAAGGTGGGCCGGGGATCACCGTCAGGGTCCAGATGGGCCATTGGTAGTCTCCTTTCCGTCTGACGTACCAGCCAATGCCCATTGTAAAGGCTGACAGCGGCATAACCAAAGCTAGCAAACAAACACCAGATATTATAGCGTCAAAGCCCAACGCCACCTGAAAATAAAGCGGCAGGAAGTAGTCATAAGAAACAAAGACAAAACTGTGAAAACATAAAACGATGATGGAAGCAAAATTGGTCCGAGAGGACAGTATTCGGCCTGGAATGAGCGGGTTGGTCGCAAAGCGGGCTTCGTAGAAGCCGAACATCCCAAGAATAACAACACCGAAAACCAACTGGCATATCACTGTGGTGCTTTTCCAGGGCCTTTGAACGGATGCACCGACTTGGAGACCGTATAGAAAGCACACAGCACCACCAATGATCAAGACTGAACCAATCCAGTCAAGGGACTTTAGGCCAGTCATGATAGGTATCTTCTTTGCATGAGATTTCAGTGCGAAAAATAGTACTCCGAGAGACACGCTATCAAAGGGAAGATTGATCAAAACTTTGAGCAAAATTAGCCAGGTATCAGGGGAAAGAGAGCGCAAGATGACTTACAACACCATCTCCAGCCAATAGTTTGCGTAAAAACACCACCCAAAATGGGCCCGAAGCTGCTTGAGATTGCCCACACAATACCTGTCAGGCCATAATATTTGGCTCTTTCCTTCACTTCAAACATATCCCCAATGATAACCGTCACCATTATCAGGCAGCCGCCACTACCCAACCCTTGTACGACTCGCCCGCCAATGAGCATCCCGACAGACTTTGTGACACCGCGAATAAGACTGCCTCCTAAGAATGCGAAATTGGCAATCATTATGATGGGTTTTCGGCCAAAGATGTTCGAGAGTTGGGCCCATACGGGGACCGAGGCCGTGCTGGACAGAGTGTAGGCGCTTCCAATCCAGGCGTACGCGGCGGCACTGGCATTGATTTGCTTCGCGATCGTAGGAAGGGCTGTAGCAACGATTGTCACGTCGAGGGCTGAAAGGAAAAGAGCCAAGCATAGCGACAACATCACGCTTCTTCGACGCCAAGGTGCCAGGCTCGCGCCAGTGAGCTCAAACACGCTACCTGGCTCGTCGTTCTCGACTACTCCCGAGGCCGGAATATCTTGACATTCAACATGATGGGTTTCTTTGGTGTCCATGGAGAGAGAGCTTTTGTCTGAGTGTAGCCCTAGAAGCCGCCTAATCGCAAATAGTATACTCTAACAAAGGTAGGTATTTTCGTAGTTATTAAATTTTCAAAAAGAAGCAACATGTTAATCTGCCAGAATTCTTCTACCCCGAGCTATCGGGTCAGTGGTCGAGCTTCGATTGGTGAACCGAACCGAGCCGATTCGGTTCACCATCCTGCGTAACCCCATCATTTGAGGAACTTCGGCTGGGACAAAGATTGCGGGCCCGAGGGCTTACTTTCTGATGTAGGAAAAACAAGGTTCCACTGAATAGGCTTTGTTCCCTTTATTGACTTGCTTCCGACGTCTTTGACCAAGGTCTTATGGGCTGGTCAGTGTTCTTCCGCCATCAGATATTTGAACAAAAGGATTAGTGGACACACTTCTGCTTCATTCACCTAGGTAGATATAGTCCTAAATATAGCGTACACTTTGTAGGAAACCCATCTCGAGTCACCTTTATCGCTGCGGGCCACTGTAAAGTCGAGAAATGCTAGACTAACTTGATTCTGTAAATTGCTAGATGAATAGATCCAAATATGCGAAGTGACAAAACAAACAACTTTATAAAAGCGATCAATCATTATTACTCAAGTTCTTAAGCAAGAAGAGCACTGGTAGCTCCAGATTTACTCTTTGTCAACCGCGTATCCCCCGGTTAACTCACGAATCTTCTTGCCCCAGATAAACACAGGAATTCCAAGTAGCCCGAGCGCAGCAGTCAGACCCCCAAAAGTACTGAAGGCTCCATCATACCCATTTCGGTCGATGAATGGGCTAATGCCGTAGCTAACACCGAACGATATGATACCACGAAACGCACAAATAATGATCAACAACGAGCTAGCTCGCTGGGGATAGCTATCCAGTAAATATGTGATGGCAACAATGTTCGCGCCAATGAAAGTGAAGTAGTAAGCAGCAACAGCCCAGACATAGAGAAACCAGTGGTAAGACGCAGGATAGGTAGCACCATATCCGTACAGTACGGCGGTAAATGTACCGACAAGAATGGGGAATATGAGTGGCAGTAAGCGAATCTCTGGCTCATGAATCCCGTTTCGCCTTCCAGCGAACCAGGCGATGAGCATGTCTGAGCCGTAGCCAAAGACTGGCAGGGCTAGAAGAGAAGTGACGATTTGGCCACAATTCACGTAGCTTGCGGTCTGCGGCCAATTGTACAATGTCGTGAAAATAGTTCCGTAGGTAGTGCCAATGGCAATGTTGACACCCAGTGTGAGCCCATTCAAAGCCATAGCCCAAAGGACGTTGGGGAACAGAAGAAGTTGAAAAGATTGCTAGGCGATGTTTTAGTTGGATATATTACGTTGAGACGGACACATAGCTCACTATGAATGTTTCCATCGCCTTGCGCCACTCAGGCGAGCCAATCCAGAGCCGGAGATCAGAACGCCAAGTGCGAGCCTCGTAGGTAATGAAGTCAAGAGCAGGTCTCTCTGTAACAACTCTGTATGTGTCTTTGGAGATAGTTTTTTCACCCAATTGTTTTTCCGAGCCTTCGGTGGACGTCTCTTGGTATGAAGACTTTGGGCGGTGGTATTTTGTCTCGGGAACAAAAACAAATGCCATGAGCAGGGAAATTCCAGCCAGACAGGCGCCAAGACCATACCACCACTGCGGTGTGATAGCTTCTGCGATAGGACTGGCGAACAGAACGAATATCGCAGTCGCGACTGTCTGAATGGTCTGCTGGAGCATGAGGAATGTGCCTCTCTCGTGAAGGAAGAAGATTTCCTAGATTCAAAGATATAATCAGCATTCGCTTTCTATGAAGATATAGGAGCCTTCGGGCAAAGTTTCATGTCTTACCTGGGTAATCATGGGAACAAGAGCTTCACTCTGACCTGCAGCGAAGCCAATGAGCATACGCGCCCCTAGATGCCAATCAAAATTCGTTGCGAAGGCGCACAATATAGCACCAATAACCATGACAGCCGTGGCACCGAGTAGAACAATGCGGCGGCCAACTGCTATGGCTATTGGCATTCCAATCAAGTTGCCAATACCCCTAGATAATGAGCAGAGGCACAGAGAAGGATAAGGAAGTCACTCACATCGTCAATGTTGGGTACGTCATAAGAGAAGTAATGTCGGCATAATCTTTACCGGCCGCCGCATATTCAGGGATTTAAAGGCCTAAGAGGCCTCCAAACCCAGATACTAGAGCCAATCCGATAGTCGAGACTGATTGAATTAGAACGCCTCTTTTTCATGCTCATTGGGAATACCAACATAGGGAGATGGCAATCAAAATCATGGTTTTCTGCCATGCTCCATGTTCCAAGGATCTGCGGGATACCATCAGCAAGTGATGCTAGAGAGCGACATTGATGCGGAAGGCAAACCTCGAGGGTCGTTCGTGGGAGTCGGGATATACACAATAGTGCCTGCAGTGAGCTGAACGGTTCCACTCACATTGACCTTGGATTTGGTAATGTGAATTTCCGCGCCAGCTTCTTCCACATCGGTATTCTCGACATGTTTAGAGTTCAGTGGTTTGTCCATTTGTAGGCTTTGGCTGGTGTTGTATTCAATAGCAAGTGCGTGAGGAGACAGGCGCACTACCAGATTTGGATGGATAATTAGAGACGGGACGGCGTGAATGATATGATCTTTATAGCTCTCTCAGAGGAAGGAGGCGCTAGCGCAATGGGATCCTAACCTCGTTGCTAAGAGAGTCTCTGCTGGTGGCGGCTGAGCGTAATCGCTCTTGGATGACCAAGATGACCAATTATCGACTGTGCTTTGGTCAAATCAACTTGCTGTCCAACAAACCCCTACGCCCGCCCACTTTAGAATACAATCCCCGCAAGCCGGGACTTCGGACCCCTTGGGGGAAAGAGAGGGGAGGACAAGAAGAAGATGGGGTGACCCGAGGGGGCGGCTAATACGGGACGAAAGGTTTAAGCTCCGAGTGGAAGGAAACCTTTTCAACTGTACCCCCCACTGCATAATGTCTTGACATCGTGAGATTTGTTTTGGTGGAGCGATCTGAGTGTTAGCTTGCGTAGTGATTATATCGAACGACGCATCGGGTGTCCTAGTGTTGGACAATGCTAGAGGACCGTGCCCCTAACTCAACTTGCAAATTCGGCCAACAAAGGAATATAATTCCATTATCCTTTCCAGTGCAGAGAGTGACTTTGCCGTTTCCCCATCCTGTAAAGAGAGATGCAGTCGAAGACCGCACAGAACTCTCAGAGAAGTACAACAGGTGGTTAAAATATATTGTTACAAATGATGACTGCATCTCTGACTATGAATAGATCGGTATGTAAATACATAACTTTTTCTGAGGAAATATATACTCTGGTCCTGAGCGGAGATCACCAGCCTCTTCAGTAAGGCTTTACTCCGGCGAGACGAAGCACTTGGTCAGTAATGGTTGGCTTCTCAAACGGCTCCGTTCTGTATTTAGGGCAGACCTCTCCATTGCGCATAGGCTTATCCTCGGCTGGACGAATGTTACTAGAGAAGCATTAGCGATTGTGATAGTCTGCCTTGATTCACAGCAAAGTGGACTTACCAATGCGGCCAATGGGTAGTGCCGGTAAAAGTCTCGAAGCATTGTTTCTTTGCTTTCAAGGCTTCCTCCTCAGCAAACCTTCTCGGGGTCATACAGATATACTGCACATGTCGAATCTGATCACCCTCGGGCAGACAAGCGTAGTGCATGGTACGAGAATCCCACATCACAAAGTCGCCGGGCTCCATATTGATTTTGACCAACTCACAACCTCGCTCTTCGAACCACTTGATGTCTTTTTTGCTAAAAAGGAATAGGTCCATATACTGGAGCTCGGGGGGTGGAGCGTCTTCGTGGTCTGCAGACTCTCCCTTATGCTCGAAGAACTCGTTAAACAGGTTGGATGATCCCTTCATCAACATTAAACCGCCATCATTGGGGCCGTTAGGTGCATAGTTCAAGAGTCCTTGGACCGCTTGCATGCTTTGTAGATCTTTAGCTAGGTTTCTCACATGGGTTTGGGAAAGCGACTTACCCCTTTCGCTCCGGATTCTGGTCACAGTGAGGCCAAGGGCTCCAGTTAAGATCCGTGCGGTTTGGCAGGGAGATGTTCATTCCATCGAAAGACGTGATCAACTCCTTAGTTTCCCATAGCTTCTCAAATATCTCGACCACCATGGGCTCAGTCCGGGCTTCCCAAGCCATCTTTTCATGGGTAGCGCCATAGGCAAAGTACATACCGCCCTTGAAACTGACGGGGAGGTGCTCGGCTGTCCAAGTTTTCGGATCCGTCTCGTCGAAGCCAAGCTCGAAGTTCTTCAGCCATTGAATCTGTTTGTCGCAGTAGTACTGGGCACGTTCGGGAGAAATGACATTCTTGATCAGAACGCAGCCATTTTTGTGAAACTCGTCGCGCCAGTCGCCATAAACTTGATCTTTGTCGAAAGTAACCAAGTCTCTGGTCTCGAAGCGAGCGGCAACTGTGCGCTGCTTAGTCTCGGTTGAGGTGGACATTGTTGTGGAGGCTTCGTCTCTATGAACTGATAACTGATTTAAGAGATGAATTTGTGATATTTTGAAGTCCGAAAGTTGTGTCCGGCTTTTATTTGTACATGATCATTACTAGTGAAATGATTGGAGGAGATGGTAGTAACATTCGGCTCGGTATCGTTCTCGGTTCGTTCGGCTCGGTTGTCATTGATATCCCGTCCGTTGGAAAGGCTCGGTGATCCACAGCCCACGAGAACAAACATGGCCCGAGGAAGCTTTTCGTCGTGAAGTTACCTGGAAAATGGCTCTATCTTCTCCAGGGACACCTTTGGATATCGGCTGGAGCCCCCACCCTGAATTTGATAGCCATCTCGGTGGCTCCACGACCCGAGCCGAAGCTTGAGGGAGCTTTCTGTCGTCGTAACTTCGATCCATGTCGCTTTTCTTCTGCTTACTTATCGCGACGAATTCCCAGTTTCATGACCGTGCTACTAGTACTTATTTAGAATTCCCGGTCAACATCTTCACTTCACAAGAACAATGCCTATCCCACACCAAGTTGCTTTCAAACCGCTGACCAAGCCCGAGGTTGGTGTCAATGGCTATGTTGAGCCATCGCCGGGGAAGTCAGAAATACTTCCCAAAGGCTCCGCGCCATTCAATGCTAGGAAACTCGACTCCCACGTTCGCATTGACCATGATGTGGAAATTATTGTCCGAGACGGCTGCCGACTCTACGTTGACGTCTACCGACCAAGGAGCGACGAAAAGGTCCCAGTGATTGTATCATGGTCACCATATGGCAAGAAGTACTCTGCCCTTGACATGATTTTCAATGTCTGCAATTGGTCATGTTGCCTCGAGCGCGGAGATGTGAGCGGGCTGGAGAAATTCGAGGGCCTGGATCCGGCTTGGTGGGTAGCGCGAGGCTACGCCATTGCCAGTGTCGATATCCGAGGAGCTGGCAACAGCGACGGCGATGCGCCCTGTATGGGAACACAAGAAGCCGAGGACGCACACGATGTGATCGAGTCTCTCGCAAAGTTGGCGTGGTGTGACGGCAACGTTGGTATGGCCGGCAATTCATATCTCGCTATCATGCAATGGCACGCGGCTGCTCAGAACCCTCCATCACTCAAAGCCATTGCGCCCTGGGAGGGATCTGGAGGCATCTTCCGAGAGCAATTCTGTCGAGGCGGATGGTTTAACATGAGCAACTATGATCTGATCACCACGCTGGTCATTAAGGGCAATTCTGGGGTCGAGGATGTGGCGGAGATGTACCGTCGGAGTCCACAATCCAACACTTACTGGAAGGATAAGCGAGTCGATATGAAGAAGATCAACATTCCATGTTTCATTACGGGATCCGACTTCAGTCAGATACATACTATGGGCGCTATTCGAGGATGGATGGAGGTCAACACGGATAAGAAGTGGATCAAATGGAGTGGTTACCAAGAGTGGTTCGAGATTTACGCGGTACCAGAGAGCTACCTGGAGCTAAAGGTGAGAGACTCTTAGTTGTATGTCGACTTCTGCGATAATCTCAGTTCACTAACCATAAGCAGGAATTCTTCGATAAATACCTCAAAGGTATTGACAATGACTGGGAAAAGACACCCAAAGTACGCTGGACAACTCTTCCTTTCGGCGACAAAGACGTGACAAGCGACATCGTCCTCCCCGACTTCCCCGTGCCAAACACCGATTATCGCACCCTATATCTTGCTCCAAACGGTAGCCTCTCTCCAGAGCTCCCCAATCAGAGTAGTACCGCCGTACACAACTCAGAGGACCAATGGTCTATCTCGAAATTCAAGCATACTATTGCCCAGCCGAGTAGGCTGCTCGGTCTCCCCAAGGTAGAGCTCTACATGAGCTGCGATGCACTGGATGACATGGTTGTTTTTGTACAGCTGCGTAAACTCAGCAAGGAAGGCAAAGAGCTTGGACAACTGCAATTTCCCTTCAGTCGAGCCCCGGTCGACTCCATGGACGAGATTGCGCAGACAGACAGAGTCAGCTTGACGACCCACCATGGTTCTATCGGCATTCTGCGCGCTTCTCAGCGAAAGATCGACCCACATCGATCGATTCACGTCCAATTTCCATTCCACCCTCATGATGAAGTTCAAAAGGTCCCGAAGGGGGAAGTGGTCAAATTGGAGATTGGCATCTGGGCCATGGGCGTCGACTATGAAGAGGGTGAGAGCATTCAAGTTGATATTATGGGCCAGTACCCCGGTTTCTCTGAGGTCGCTGCTTTCTCTAAGCCAAGACCCGATTATGAGAAGAATAAGGGCGAGCATGTTGTCCACTTTGGCGGCGAATACCCCAGTCGAGTCATTCTCCCATTCATTCAACAGTAGCCTTGTCTGTAGATGATAAAAAGGCGAAGTCATCTCAACAATAGGATGAGCCGGGATCCATAGCTGAGTGGTGATGTTGGGAAGAATAACAGAAGCCCCGTGGCATGACAGAGATCAATTTATTTGTGACTTCCGCAAGGTTTTTAATTCTACAAATGATGTTTCCGCTCTACAACGTGGTATTTCTCCAATTAGAACAAGCTAGCTCAATGGCTTGGTAGTACGTCTGCGAATGGTTTTGTATGGCAACTCAGGTCAATTTGGAATACCGAGGGCGTGAAACGAAAATAGCAGCGTCTTACCACCTCTGTACTAGTCCGGACGCAACTCTGTCAAGTAGACACTTTGTATAATCACTTTCCCTCTGGCAGGGGCTCGGCTCGGTTCGGGTAAAAAAAGCAAATCCGGGGAACTGTGGGGGAGGTTCACCCGCCTCTTGCGGCCAATGCGATAGGTAACCACATGATCAAGTCCACAAGCCGGGCTAGTATCGAGTGAGAACCTTGTAACCTCGCAATCGGAGTGAAGCCCTCACCGGATATTGGGATTAATTGTTCGAAACTTCATATTCCTCCGCAACCCTATCAATCTGTCTCCGATGTCATTACAAAGCAATTTTGGCTCCGTTTATCCACTAGATGTTGCCCCAGCGCATGCGCAACAGAAGCCTATGCCAGCTAGTGGAGCTTCTGCACAGAACAAGCCGATTCGGCTGGCCTTAGCCTGTAAGCAGTGCCGAAAGCGCAAGGTTCGCTGTGACGCAGACCAGCCGAAATGCCGTAACTGCAGCCTCAGAGGGGATGTCTGTGAAACGGTCGATCCCCGAAAGTCCAGCGAGCTCCCTGCCGTCCGCCGACGCGCCACAAAACGCTGGCAGTCGAAGGCTCCACAAAAGGTGTCGAAGGACCTGTCGCCGGCCCAGCCTTCACCAAATACGGTTGCTCTAGGTGTAGTCAGCTCTATAAATTCTGTGCTTAACCCGACCGGCCCTGCTACGGACAGCTTGGTGGGTCAAATTTCGCCGAGTGTGAGGTGCATCTCGAGGAGCGCCGCCATACCCGGGTCTACATCGAGTTCGGCATCCTCATCGTGGCGCACGAATCAAAGTGAGAGATTAGGAGAAGACCACTTTTCATGGCAGTCAAGGGCGTATCAGGAGAGCACTGCTGCTCACGTTCAAGCAGTCACACCAGGGCATGATTTAACAAAGCAGGGCTCAGCCGAGACACCTATGACACCATATGAGGATGTGGTTACGGATAGCACAGAAAGAGTTAAGGTCGGTTTCGACAATTTCCTCTATTGATCTGGAACAAGGCCTAACTTACATAACCTGCAGCATTTGGGCGCGAGTAGTGTACACTGCCTGTTCAATTTCGTCGATCTGCACCTGGCAAGGTACGGCTTCAAACAGGCCGCTTCATCGTTCAAACATGGCATGTCACATACTGAAGAGTTCCATATGCCTCTCGTATCCAAGCTGCCCCTTTTGCCGGACCGTCAAAGCTTGTCAACCTACGTGGATGCATTTTTCTCGCGGTTGTGGCCGCTATTCCCTATCATCGAGCGGGCCAGTTTAGAAGCAGACATAATTAATATCCTTTCCCTACAAGCGACTGGATTTGAAGCTTGGCAAAAAAGAGTTACATTTGCTTATTTGCCTGCACTTGCTTCTATTTACGCAATCATTCACTCGGCATGAATGAGACATGCGGAGATTTAGAATCGAGCTCTGAATACCTGACAGCGAGTCGCAGTCTCCATGGGCATCTGATTGCCATACCGTACGTGACGAGCGTGCAAGCTCTATTTGTTTTGACTCTTGCGATGAGATGTGTTGCTAAGGATGGCCAAGCATGGCATATCGCCGGTCATGCAGCCCGTATGGCCCAGTCTCTTGGACTGCATAAGCCGGCTGCGACAACATCCTCTACACAGGGCTTTACTCTTGGTCGCGAGCCTGAAACACTGCATGAACGGCTTTGGTGGTCTTGTTTTGCTTTAGAGAAGCTAATGCAGCTGGAGTGCGGCAGACCATCCATCATTGAAAGAAGCTATGATTCACTCTCTGTCTACTATACCTTCGACCAAAGGTCGGGCCAGAGTCTCCCATACTTCAGGTCATGGGTCGCGTTGAGTAGCATCATGGGTCGGATATCTAATTGTCTGTACTCGCACAGGTTTCAGGGCGGATCTGCTGAGATGCTCGGCGTGGTCACAAAACTAGACCAGGAGCTCTTGGAGTGGGCAAGCTTGCTGCCGGATCCGCTCAAGCCTTGGAGTACATCTACGGAGTGTGCCAGAGATGAGCAGAAATTAATTGCGACCTTTCTTTCACAACAGTACTACCACGTCAATTTTCACCCAATCTAGCTAGCCAGAGGCAGTACTAACCAAGATCACAGGCGCAGCTCAGTGTCATGCGTGTTGCGGTCATCTTCCCACAGAAAAGTCTTGAGCGAGAGGTGATGAAGAACAAGAACGACTTACCAAATTATTTTCGGCTCTTAGACGGCGCATCAATCTGCGCAAATGCGGCACGATCAATTGTGGCACAGTCGCTTCACCTAGCTGACAGTCGTTTGCGATCAATGCTCCTCGCAGCCTCTCCTACTTATCTAGCCGCAGTAGTGCTTGCTCTCGGTGTCCTACAACAACCTAGCAGCAGGCTTGTCAGATCCGACGTTGAGATTTTAGCATCTGCCACTGAATTTGTTGAGAGTTGGTATCTTCATCGAGGCTTCAGTTTTGCTTTTACTCAGACATGCACTCAACTGCGGGAACGAGTTGTGTCCATCTTCAAACGGCCCGACAGCAGCGTTCAAGATCCTCAAACAGAAACCACAGCCCTGTACGGGTTTGAGACAATCGCCGGCCAACATCGCTGGCCAGACGCCACAAGATCAATTAATCATTCGCTGCCCTCGGGAGGCCAGGGTCCCCAAGGCTTTGAAGCTTCAGATGCAACTAAATTGAGTGCCGACATCTTTGGGAACTTTGAATTTGAAGACCTCTGGACCATGACAGATTTGGACCTTACGATACATCACGAGAGACCATCTAGCGTTGAAACTTGAATTCAGCTTTAGCCAGATTCGCATAGAATATCCCAGAATTGTCATCGGCGCAAACTCTAGTCCATCGGGCATGTATTATGCTGATGATCTTTGACACTCGCTCTTGTTGTAGAATTGTGTGGGCCACAAACCAGGAACATAGATCCATTTCTAAGCCATAGAGTAGTTGGTTTTAGGATGATAGAACTATGCTTTCAAAACAGGTGCTCTAACAGGCTCCGCCCACCTCGGCCCGGTCCACACCGGCTCCGCCCATATCGGCCTTTAGCATAGATCGATCTACATATAAAGACAATGAACAATATTCTGTCTAGACTAGAACAATATCCCGCTATACCGCTCAATAAACCATGCTCTCACTCACGCGTTTCGTCCTCGGTTTCCTGAGCTGTTTATATACCCAGGTCACTGCCACCGCTGATCACAAAGTAGAGGCAATCAACACCAGCTACATCAAAGATTTTCACTGTCCCGCAACTACACACGCGCACCTGATCCAAGACAAATTACAAGCAGCAATGGACAGATTTGCGTACCATTTCTACGTAGAAAAAGACGTCGATGCAGCCTTTAACAAATATGTTGCAAGTAATTACGTTCAGCACGACCCGAATATCCTCGATGGCAGAGACGCTGCTATCGAATCTCTGAGCCCATTGTTTGGCGCGAAGGGAAATACATTCGAGGTAAGTACTACGCGTGGACAATCTATGCAATCGTTTCACTCATATTTCACGAAGATTGCAAGGGTAATGGTTGGCCCAGAGTATACAACAATTCACATCAAGGCATTGACCGACGGTCAGCCACCTTTCAATGTTTTCGATGTCTACAGAACCATTGGTTCTTGCATTGTCGAGCACTGGGACTGTATGAAAGAGATTGTCAACAACACAGCTTCGACTCACCCATACTTTTGAAACGTGGGCTCTACCAAGAGAACAAGGCCGGAAGGGCCTGCGTTTTGTTTGTTACTATAATCTTTGCGAGCATTCGGGTTTTTTTCGGGGCCTCATTAGTCACAATTCAATAAGATGTCGGCTACATGGAAATCCAACCGGCCAGCATGTATGTAAAGCGAGCTAAAACGAGCTAAATCAGTTTAATCGAGGCCATCTTCATCAAGAATTTCAGCCCCATTGATGTGCGATAGACACCTGATTAAACCCCCCAGGGCTGAGTGGGACCCCTTACGCTTAACTACACGTCCATAGGTGGATATCTGCTCGGCTCTCAGCGAACTATGCTTGGGCTAACAATTGGCTGCACGCTAGCCATGTTTCGCTCGATTTATGCTGACCTACAGATCGGCAGCCCACCGAAAAAGACTTCAAAATCTTGGTCCTCATTCACCGAGCAAGCTCTATCGATTTTCCGTCGGTGTTTTTATTGGTCCAAGTAAGCGGCGCGCATCATCATTGGAGATGCCTGGTTCGCCTTGGTCATCCATGGGCTGTGGGACTTGCAGAAAACACAGGATTAAGGCCAAGAGCAACCAGGAGCTAGTCAGGGATGGCCCTCAATCATTGCTAAATAAGGTACATCTGTAGTGTGACAAACAAAAGCCAGACTGCGCGCCATGTTTCAAACGTGGTATTGAATAATTAGGCTATGACGACAAGCTCCGCCTTTTCTTTCATCAAAAATACCGTTGACTCAAGAGGCTCGACTAAAAGCTCCACGGGAATCTCAACAAATCAAATCCAATATGTCAGTCGGGCGTTGCCATTGTCACCGCCACTAGCAGTCGTATGCTCTGCTTCGGTAAATCGAGACCAGACGTTTGGCGAATACAGGAATACGTTCTTCCCCAGCGACATCGAACATGCCCTTATTTGTCAGTCTCCTTAATATTCCTCGTCACCACCTGACTATAGTCATTCGGCGCAGCCCGATTGCAAGGAATACCGGAATCCTCCTGGCCCACAATATTCGTACACTGATAAACCTCATCCTGCAGGGTGGTGCCATACATAGGCAAACCAAGCGTACTATTCACAGACTCAAGCTGAACATTGTCAAACTTGATCCCTGGGCAGGGATGAACATCGGAACAATAAATCGAGGCACCAACATTATACCGCGTCGTAGCCTTGATATTCGACCACGTAATATCCTCAATGGCCATCTTGGACGTGTTGCAATACTTGCCATCAGCCTCGGTATATATACACTGCGAGATCTGGATTGGCAGCGCGACATTCGTCATTTCGAAATTCCGCCAGGTCACGTTCTTGATTAGACCGCTGCCTCCGCCGCCGGCGTCGCCGTTGAGGTTGTTGTCGTCGGCTGGTACGCCTTGCCAGGTCTTGATGAATGCGCCTTCCATGCAGTTGTAGCATTTCACGTCTTCGAATGTGACGTTCTCGACGTAGTCTGGCATGTCGGGGTATTGGCCTACAGACCCGATGGTCATGCCGAAGTTGTCGTAGCAGGTGATGTTCCTGACGTGGAGGTTTGTCGTATTCCCTTTGGCGGCGATGCAGTCGTCGCCATTCTGGATAACGGCGTTTTCGACGAGAAGCGTGTCGCTGTTCCACGAGTCGTAACCGTCTGTGTTGACCGTGCCCCATTGGTCGTTACTTGTGGCGTTGACGTAGAAGTTCGTGATCGAAACGTTGTAACTGTACGTCACGAACGTAGCCCAGAACTGGGGTTGGATAATGCGCAGACCATCCACTAGGAGGTTCCTCGACTCGAAGAATGTAATACTAATCGGACGACCGGGTTGGTTGCTGTGGTTCTGGTTCTCCGTGTACCAAGCCTGACCTTGGCCGTTGTACCAGCCACCATCTGCGCGGAAGGTAACGTTCTCGCCGCCGAAGAGCCAAGCTGTTGACTGATTCTGAAAGACGACATCGTAGGAATGGGAGAGCCAGTAGTCGATGTCTGTTGAGAACCGGAGCTCGCCTTGCAGCATGACGTCACAATTGGCCAAGTTTGTCGTGTTCATCACGGAGTTGATGTTGAATACTCCATCGACGAAGATGACCTCGCCGTTCTGGCCGCATGTTTGGAAGGCTTGGTGGATAGACGGTGCATCGTCCACTGCTTGACCGTCGTGTCTTAAAGACTCCGGGTATAGATAGCAAGTAGCCTTGTCATTGACCATGGTCGTGACTACATAGCCAGCGGCGGTAGTGGCTAGAGCCACAAAGCGTAATAGAAACATAATGCTTATGTTGACAGGGTACCAATCTGATTGGTATTTGTTTTGCTTTTTGGCGTTTGTCTCGGATGGCGCTGTTTCGTCTCCACGAATACACCGGACACCACCGATTAAATACTCCCCGAGGAATCAGATCTTCGCACTGGTCATCAAAGACTGAGTAGACGAAGGACGCGATGTTACGCTTTTCCCCGCGTCGGGAAATGAACTGCCCCTTGATCGCGAATCGGAATCTCTCACGTGATGTACTTGGCGCTATTGGCGCCTTGCAGATGACCTTTGATTGTTCATGTTATGAGGTCTGAGGGTGAAGCAGATGATCGACGTGGGGGTAGACGAAGGATCGTCGCGGGTTCTATATGGAGTTGCATCGCTTCACCACGAGACCCACTCACGGTTTTGTGTCGCGTGGGTTTTGAGGAATGATTGACCCAGGAGGGTTATAGATTGGCGGTGTGTAGGTATAGCGAAGGAAAGGTGCAGGGGTTGAGAGAAGGAGTGATGCTGGTTCAGATGATTTTATATCAATCACGTCTTTGGGTCAGGAACACGAAGGGCAGTTTCGGGAATACAGGAGCACTCTCTACACGGACTAGGGTCGAGCGTAAAGCGAAACGAGAATGCTGACGATCTCGGCTCTCGGCAAAATGTATTGGATCAAATTTATGCTGTTCTATTGGCAGACACATAAAAAGGGGCAACAGACACATGCCCCTATCATTCAAAGTAGTAAGTATAACTATCAAAACCTCGCTCTTATTCGGTCTTTTTTGATGAAGTCTTTGGAAATTTCCGTGTTCGACGGCGTAGCATCTCCACCCGCTCGTCAAGAGTCATGTTGACCTGATCACCAATGGGGATCAGACACTTTGCGAGATGTTCGTAGTTCTTTCTTAATAGGTTAACGGTGATGAAGATATAATCGACGTTCCGGAATACCAGAGCGTCTTCCTCGGCATAGCGATCCTTCTGCGTCAGGAAGGCGACGGGGTGATCTCTCCAGTGACGGCGGGGGTTCAGGTGGTGGGAAGTGTGGTATCCATCGTTGAAGGAGAACCGGTTACTCTGTTACTTGTCAGTGCCGTTTAAATGATACGGTCGCTAGGAGAAACTAGGAGAAACTTACCGGAACATCAATCAAGGTGATACTCGACAGATAATCCGAATCAGGGTCGGAAGGATCCACGAAAGCATGTTGTCCCCAGTTACCAACCATCAAACCCAAACGCATGACGGTAAGGGGAAGCAGGAACACGAACAATGTTGCGCGGGCATTGACATAGTTGAAGAGAGTGTAGAGAGCGACATAGTTGCTCAACTCCCAGAAGGCACACCGCAACGCGTACTTTGTCTGGCCCTTGCGGAAGAAGTACATCGGGAGCTCGAACCAGATGAAGAAGACAAAGCGGCCCACATAGCAGAGGAAGTCAGGGACACTATCGCGGTCATAGTACATCGTCGTGCTCAGATCTTCTTTGCCATTGCCCTCGACATGGTGGTGCTTGATGTGGTGGTAGAAATAGGAGTTCCATGTATGCCCGAGCATGGGGTCAAGCACGTAAGGGAAGATCGTGTCGAATAGGTGGTATTTTGACGACAATACTCCGTTCATGTGGATATGTTGATGCTTCATCAGGGTGAATGCACCGCAGTAAAACAGTTGCATGAACCAATGCACGAAGCCATGCAGATAGGAAAATCGGTAGAATAGCAATATGGCACTGGGCACAATGGTGGTGAAATAAAGAATGAGATGTGTTACCACAACCACATCGGTCTGAACGCGTACGACATCTTTCGCCCAGTTGATGTAAGGCGTCAGTACATATTTCTGGATAGGTGTGGGCAGCTTGGCCCGCAGCAGAGGCAGATCCCAGAGTTGGAAGACTGTTGGATCAAATTCGGCATGAGACGGATCATTTAGATGGTGAAGCTTCTGAATAGTTTCCTTCTTGGTGAGGCTGTCCGGCGTCGCCGTTGCCTGATCTAGATGGTTGTTAGCGTGTTACTTGATCCGCACTGCAGGGAGCTGACCGTTTGAATCGGACTTGGGCACGATGGCATCGATCACCAATCGATCCTGGAAGGTGAGCTGAGGATCGGTGTATGTGGATGGATCCATATTTCAGGCGTGGCTGTTGGCCTGGTGTTGGGATCGAATGCGGGGGCTAAGGCGTGCCGATCCAGAGAACTCCCGAAAAAAATCTACTGTATGTTCCTAAGTAAATTCTGGAAATACCAGCGAAGTAATAAGAGCCAGAATGTGTCTGTAAGCTGTCCCCAATGTCAAGACAACGCGTCAGGGGCGCGAAGAGATTTCGGGAGCCTTGGAGTGGGTCCAGGATTGTTGTGTTGTGAAGCATCATCCGAACACTCTATAGCCGTTAGAGTCATATTTCCACCGTTTCATTTCTGTAAACTGTCTCTTTTATTTAAAAGCTAATCTCAGAATATACATGCAGCTTTTCCCTGTATCTAAGGGGTGCATTGAAAGCCCCTGAGAGAATTACCCCTAAACATGCCATAGAATCGTATGTTCTATTAATACCCAGTACTCGTTCTAGCCCGTTGCGGTATGCACCTCTCACATTGCAGTCCAGTATATGTAACAAGAACGCCTAGACATGTGTGTATGTGCTTGTTGATATGTAGAAGTTATGCAAGTCCCTGATCGGAGGCTTTGAAGTCCTATCAGCGCGACCGTGCCAAGACTTCTATCCAAATCGTCCATTGACAGGAGCCCCCATACAAGATCTAGGGTTCAATTGCAAGTTAGCCACTTGAATTACAATTACCGGAGCTATCTCACAAAACTTTCCGTATATTGTTGTACAATGATCTCAACTTGCCACTCACTGTGATAATTGTCCTTATACACGATGCGCAGTCGTGAACAATAATAACAGTATAACTCGACACTGTCCGCCCACTCAATACTTCATATAATTGATTTATTTTTTATAGTAGTTATTGCTCGGTCCATTTAATGGCTTCTACATGTAGCTCTCATAATTGGAGCGTAAGTGTCGACTCGATCCGATAGTCTTCCATGTTGCGTTACCTCTACATGCCCGGAGGAAGGGATAGACTATGTCCTCGAGGTCCTCGGGTCCGCAATTCATCTTTCTTGCCACGGGCACGGGTGGCATGTTGTCACAGGGCGTTTACGGTAGGCCGCCGATCGCGACGACCTGCACCATATTTGTGATGAATTAGAGTTAGTTCTATGAGATTTCTGCGATGAGCACCGCTGGGTTAAATGTCTATCATACTCGCCTAAAGACTTAAAGCCAAATTTCGAAGGCAAATTAACTTGTGGCTGTGCGACATGTATCAACACCGACAGGTTTTCTCACTATGGGACATAGCATACGCATGAGGATGCACATAGCACAATAGTTGGCAGTTGACAAGCTCGACAAAAGTGTTGGATCAACAGAATCATAAAGCAAGAATGTGATATCGAAATGAAGGTAAGTTATGGCTTTTTGCCTCAGGCCCCTATGCAGCCTTACCGACAAACTATGACTTCCGAGTCTTATAGCATCAGTCCTGTGAACCTAGCCTATTTTCCCTTAATTGATGTCTCAGGTATCTTCAGGACCCTACAGCAGTCTTCTGCAGTCTTCTAAGATGTAGTAGGCATCCAACTCGGGTGTCACCGCAAGCGATGCTAAGAATAGGGAGGCGAACTTAGGAGTCAGGTCCAAACCGAGAATTTGCGAATATCTTCAAAACCAAGGAACGAAGAACATCATAATCTCATTTTAAATATTGTCTTTGTGTAGATGCGACCCTGTGCTTATGACGAGTATCATGAGATCAGACATATGTCGCTTTGCCAGCCACCTCTAACAGTTTTCAGTAAATGGTCTATGAACAAAGCGCAATGTCTCAAAAAGCCCTCCGAATAGGTTGCATCTGACCCCAAGAAACTTCTCAATATCAAGAAATTAGGCTGAAGACCAAACTAGATACTTGAGGCTGCAGAAAATGTCTCACACCCCCTCCATCGCCAATCCTTTAGTTCGCAACCCCAGGGCCACTAAGCCTGGATGGAGTAAGATTTGCAATGCCTCCACACACTACTGATGCAACTCTCAACAATCCCAAGCCATCGACATCATTGCCATGGGTGATCAGCATGCGGGATGTCTCATTAACTGGTGATTTCCCCGGGTTGAGCAGACCGTAGATTGCCGACTGGACGAGGCTATACAGAATGAAGCTCGGAAGAAGTTGCCAACACCCAAAGATGAGAAAGCAGCAAGGAATTGTAGAATAAACCAAGTGTCCATGCGGTGTGCAGCATCTCCACAGTAGCTGCACTAGAAAATCGTCGAAATCGAGTATTGGCATAAATTCAGACTGTTCCTCCTGTCGATCGTGTTGCTTTTCGCTTATAAGCTACCAATCTTTCCCAACCACCTTAAATCTTCAACCTTCCAACCTTCAACTTCCCATTCTTCAACCTTTCAACTTTCACCTTCTACCCTCAAACCTCACTCTTATTATGAAGTTCCTCGCACCTCTTCTCATGCTAGCGGCCTCCGCCATCGCTGCCCCAGTCGCCAAAACACCCAAGACCTTCCACCTAAAGACAACCAGCGCCACCAAGGCCGAACACAACGACCTCTACGTCTATGGCTACCACACAGGCGCCGGCCTGAACGACGCAGTCCTGACCCAGGACGTCGGCACCGCCAGCTCAGCCTACCTAAACGGCACAAACGTCGTCTTCGACTACAAGACCGAATTCCCGTGGGGGATGATCGCCGTTGGCAATACAAACTATGCCTGTGAGTTCTGCCCGCACCCGCCGTCCCCGGACATATCCGTGTCTCCCTTGGAACCATCGCCACCCTCGCCACCCGAATGAATCACTGACTTTTGCACAGCATGGCAACCAATTCAGATCAACGCTGGTACGGGTACCGACGGGTTCTCCATCGACAACGGTCTCTTGCAATGGTCCGAGGATATGGGCTTTGGTGGCTGGCTCGGTAAGTTATTTTATGTTTTGGCTCCACGCTATCCACTTGGCGATCATGTCGAAACTAACGTGCACAACAGTTTGCGACTGGTTCCACAATGCGCCTCAGCTCTTCTACTTGTACAAGTACTACGACCCGATCATTCCCTCCAGCTGCAGCAAGGTCCAGGTGAAGGTCGAGTACCCCAAATAAACGGGTATTACTCGGTCGCGCATGGTATTGAAGGTTCCCCCCTTTTTGGCACGTCTTTTTCACGTCACGTCTCTTCACGATCTCATCTAGAAGCATAATGTCTACCTAATGGTGTTTTTTTGAACCTCTGCGAGGTTTTCACAATAAAAATGGAAATATCCAGCAATTGAAATCATATGCTTTGGTTCTATGTACATCTTTTTTGCTCGTTCATCATGGGGGATATCAATAATGCTAGGTAGCCACAGCTACAGCGTAAATCATGTTCAACGTAAAGCCTTTCTCTCTTTTTTGTTCGGCGCCCGCTGCTCATGCCACAGCCACTTCACCAGCAACAGGATTCTCATAATATCGCTTGTCCATGCCAGCCTGCAGGCGAGCCTCCTCATTAAACGGCCCGCGGATCGGTCCGCGGAAATGCTTCTGCACATTCGATCGGAAGACCTGAACGGGGTCCGTTCCCTCCTGGGCACAGATCCACGTTAACCACCGGTGACCAGTTGTAACATGCGTGATTTCATCATTATGGATGATCTCAAGTGATTGCACACTATCCGCATCACCAGCTTTACGGAACTTCTCAATGGTCATAGGATTGACATCAAGACCGCGGGCTTCATGCACAAGAGCGATAATACTGATTCTCGCGCGGAGGTCGTAAGCCGTCTCCGTCGCAGAGTACCAGAGACTGTGATGCACAGGCAACGAACCAAAGCCAGAGCCGAGTTCTTCAAGTCGAGTGCGGAGGAGGGAGAAGTGCTTTGCTTCATCGCTGGCGACTTTCAACCAGTCGTGGAAGAAGGTCCGCGGCAGTTGTTGTTCTGTGCCTTCTGTTTGGAAAGTCGCGAATCGAATGCAAATGTCGATTGCTAAGTCGATGGCCCAGAGTTCGATATTGGCTAGCGCATGCAGCATGGCAACGCGGCTCTTCAAGGTCCCGCCCCGACCAGCCTTCGGCATCGCGCCCGGGTTGACGGTCTCCAGGTCCTCCCGTGGCGGTTCATCTGGTGGAAGCACTGTACCCTGACCAAGCGGCATAGGCGAGTCCGAGGTCTCTCTTTCGGCGAAAATAGTGAACAGATGCGTCGTGAGTTCAATCTTGTGTTCCGGGTTGGCAGTATTAAGGACATGTGCCGCCCAATCGCACAGCGTAGCGTCGTCGTCGAGGTATTTCACCATACCGGGGTCTTTGGGTGTCAAAGTTAAAGCTGCAGCTGCAGCAGTTACAGCCGCAACAGCAGGCGAATCCGAAGGGCGCGAGTGCTTCAACTTGACCTTCTCACTAACAGGCTCGACCTTCTCCAACCCAACAACCGCGCCATCTTCAACAGGGAAATCCAAGGCAACGAACTCGCCGCTCACATCAACGGGAAACGTACAAGCCTTGATCCCAACACTCGACTCGCCAGTCTCTACGTTGAAATCGTATGCGTGCCACGGGCATGATGCGACATATGCGGAGTCTTCAATGTCGACTTGGGAATCGGCCATCGGCCCGCCGGCATGCGGACATTCGGCTTCCATGGCATAGTAGGACCATCCATCGCTTGTCTCGTTGGTTTTCGGGTTTGATGGGTCGATTGTTGGGAGGCGGAACAACACGAGTTTCTTGCCGGTTGTTAGGCGGATCACATAGCGCGCCTGTGTGAAGTCGGATAATCGCCCGCAATTGATCCACATCTTTGGTCCTTTGTGTTTGTTCTGTCCTTGGGAATTGGTGGAAGGTGAGAGGGTCGTGGGTTGATTTTATCGATCACGTGCTGTTATCGGTGTTTGCCCCACTCTTGTGTTTGTTGATGAGCGTTCCGATGTTGGCTCCGGGGCTATCTGTTTCCCGACTATAGAGTCAATTTCAGCTCTGGTTCAGCTCTGCAGGGATTGGAAATTTGATTACGCCCGTTTTATGATCAGTCGAGAGATCATCAGACGATCCTGTGTTTATCCATGTGGCTTGTGGGGACCTCATCAAACTCACAATTTGAAACCTAAGCCCGGCCCGAAGTAAAAGAAAAACATAGGTGAGAAGAAGCAAATATATGTTCAATTTTAAAAAGTACAGATCTAGACCTCTATTTTGTGGAAGGTGATAGTGCTACAAGGATTCAGAATTACAGTAGTGTCTTGGCTGGAAACAACATTTTAAGAGGCGTTCAAGCTGTTGGACAGGTCTCATGGATCCCTTGTACTGCAATTTTGGGTTACAGAAAAGCAAATTATGTAAATATGAATTTTTTACAAAGCACGTGTACTACGCCTATACGTATATTGGTACTGCTGTGTTTTCGTTCAACCATAATACACCATTACACGGCACACTGAACATGTACAGGAAATGTTGAAGTTAATGCTCAATTCCTTAAGATATCAAGGCATGTATATCGCAGTGTCAGTGATAATTAATGCATGATCTACTACTATTCTATTTGTTGCAATGTAGACAACTTGTTATACCAAGCAAGGCATTTGAATAATCAACTATGAAATTCTCTACGAATGCGCATACAGCATGGTTCTCATTGAAGATTTGGCAGTCGATATGCAGTGTGAATTCTCACTAATATGTATAGTGTGTAATACGGTCTTTACCCGAAGTGGGTGATCTATACAAAGAGACTCTGAGCAAATGCACATGGCTTCTACCTAAAGCATGTGGTAACTTATGTGGGCTGAGTATACTTTCAATACGGCTGGTGAGTTTAAACGCCCCCCACCCCCTCGAGCCAATGCTAACTTCATCATTACTATCACTATCAATTTCGATTTAACTTCACTATTTAGCTCACTGTTTAGTTCACTGTTTAGTCTACTACAAATTGACTGTCAAATTTACTACTATTCCATTTTTTTTTCCATTATATCTTACTACTACGTTCACTGCCAGTTCTACTGGTTATGCTGGTGTTTATTCTACTATATTGTCGATTCCGCTACACTTTCTTTTCCACCCTTTGTTCTACTATTATTCCACCGTATTCCTCGCTACTTTTCACTGCTCTTTTCACTACTGTTCAATCCATTTTACTCCTTCTTTACTATTTATTCCACTACTTTCATACCACTTTGATTTTGCTATTGATGTTACCGTTAATTCCACTCCTTTTTCACTATTTTTTGACTCCCAATTTCAATACTAATCTCACTGCTACTTCCAATCTTAATGAATCGAAGTTTATTAGATCTAACATACAAGGATTTTAAGTTAATGTTCCCACCAAGTCTTAGAATACTGAAATTCATAAGGTAAGAATAGTAGTGAGATGTTGACATGATGTCCCTAAACAATTAGCCCATATCATACTGGATTTTTTGTTGTAAAATCTCAATTCTGGCCAGCATGATCTTCCCAGAAAATGTCATATGCTCGGCGTCTCCTGTCTTGAAAGGGCCAAATGTTTGCATATCTAGGCAGCCCTAAGCTTTACCCATGTCCCTGGGGTAGCTTTCACTGATTAATGGCCCGATTTCGTTTGGCGTTGACCTAAAAGTGTGTGGGCTATGTTAAAGGTTAAATTACAGGAAATAAATCCTCATGTCACAGCGTCTATAACAAAAGGTTTGTCGTCTTTGTCTAGTCGTGGAGGGTATGTACAAAATATGAAATTGTGTACAAATGCCGCGCGTCTACACGTGGTTGCAGGTGGCACGTATCCACTGTGAAAGTGTCAAACATACATCGTATTTACTTCATAGCTCGTGGAATATATAATATGTGAACTAGTGTATATATACTGTGTGTCTGCATCTGACCGCGCGAGACATACAAAAGGTGAAGGGAGAGCAAGTGACCTGGAATATCACGGTGGCCGAGGAGGGCATTCTACACATAAAGCTTACAGCTTAATTGATTTCAAGTCAAGGTAGGTGGTTTATATACTATGTGAAAGTGTATACGAATAAACGAACAGGTTCACTTGAAAGCGCATGGCCAATACAAAAAGATAAAGGGATTGACTTGGAATATCAAAGCCTTCATGGGTATTTTATGCATGAAGCACGATGTTCCCTTAATAGCCGGTAAACCATACAAGATTTGAAGTTTTGTACGAGTAATACGAGTAGGTGCATGATTTTCAGTTAATGGCAGGTGGCTCCAACAAAATGTGAAATTTTTTAAAAATACCGTGTATCTGCATGTTATGGTGTGTGGTGCATACAAACAATCAGTTTGGGTCGAGGTGAAACTCTGAGTTCGTAGACTTGATACAGCAAAAAACGTCAAAAGAACGTCAACAGTCGAGTGGCGGTGAGAAGAAAGGCGAGATAAAATAGCCCTTACGGTATTGAAACAGGTGTGATAGCCGCCCTGGTCTTCCAATCAGCAGAGTGTGGGCCTCGTCTTGTAATTTAAAAATGTTATATGGGCTCGGATATTTATAAGACCCCCTAAGAGCTAGAACTGAGGGAGGGAACCCGTGCGTACATACTTATCTTGGTGTGTGGGAGGATTTGTACTTTCTCGACTTGGAGTCCTGGCCTTCTGGCGTTCTTAACTGCGATTTCTGCCCCGACATTTCTACTCTCGTTGACTCCCCCTCCCACAACATAGCGCTATACCAAAATTTTCACGTGAGGTAATTTAGCCGATTCCGATGAGCTTGGCTCACCCTATACAGACCAAACATTTCATGGAGGGCCCTAGCCCCATCAGATGGGGAGCTTATCGCGAAGGCGCCCGATCCCAGTTGCGGCGATTCCATTCGCTCAAGCGCGAAGGCCCGGCTCTAATACAAGCCTACCAAGATGTCCTCGATAAGGACGAAACATTTACTCAGTTTTTCTCTGATGACCGCCTTCAGAGCTATGAGCTCGAGTCAAAATTGAGAAAACTGCTCGGTATTCGTCCTCCACTCGTGGACGAGCCCGAAAGCCCCAACAATCAGAATGATGCATCGCTCAGTTGGGCTACCATCATCCGAGATGGCAAGTTCGAAGAGAGAGACGATGGCTTCTTCCAGTGCCGCATGCAAGGACGACTTATCAAGATCGATGAGGCAATGCACAGGACTATCATGGTTAATCGGTGCTTGAACCCGCCAGACAAGGATCCCTGGGTCAGCGCTGCCGACGTGAAGAAGGAATATGAGGTCAATCTGTCGATTGAGGCAGACGTCCTTGATGAACTTCGTGTTCAGACGAAATGTACGTAGTTTACTGCTCCTATGACCCTCGATGTGACATGACATGCTTACGAAACCAGACGTCGAGCGACTTAAGCGACTGCACCAATCGCTGAAGAAGCGTCGATACAGGCTGCAAGGTGATCAAGGCCCAGCAGCTTTATCTTCCAAAAGATCCCGCACGCCTCATACCCTTCGAAGCAAAAATTCCAGTCCGATCGATTCAAGCCTGAAATTATCTGTCGTATCTCACACTGCTGGTGATTCCCAGCCCGAGTCCCGTATGTCTATCTCAACTGAGCCACCCGGCGGTCTTATGAAGCCTACTGCATCGATTGAGACTACGGATGCACGTGGACACAGCGCATCTCCATCCTCATCAGATGTCTCGACTGGGGAGGATATACCATTTTCACGCGACCAGAATAGCCTAAAGAGGAAAAACCTAAGTTCAGACTATGAGGAGACTCTTGACGAGGACTGGCCTACACAGCATCAGACGCCAGTGCCACGCGATACTTCCACCCCGTTGATCTCCGCTTCCAAGCGCAACAAGTCCGCAGCTGCCGAGGAAGGCAATAAAATGATTGATAGTGTCGGTGCAGCAGCTAAGAGTCGCACGTCGGTTCCATCCAACACGTCTACCCCGTTGGCTTCTGTTCCCAGGAGCAGTGAACAGTCCGCTCCCGAGAACAGCCATACAATATTTGATGGAGCATCTGAGCGCAACGATTTCCCTATCAGATGGCTTAGCGAAGCTCCTAGTGCATTGTACTCCGAAGCTCCCAGTCCATTGTATCCAGACAATGATGAGATGGAGATTGACAAACAGACCCAGTCCCCGAAGCCAATGGCTCCAACTCAACGCGCCAAGCAGCCCACGCCTAAGCATGAAACACCGCGCAAGAGCAAGCGAGCCTTGAATGGGGCCGCAAGCTCTTTACGCCAGGAATATGAGAACGCAGGCCAGCTGATCGACCTCACCTCAAGCCCAGCATCCAACCCAGCCTCAGTCCAGGAAGCCATGCAACTCGGTTTAGAGATGGCTGGATGGCAGGGAGACTTCACGCCAGTTGATCTGCGCCCCAAAGCAGCATCTACGAAGACGAAGACCAAGTCGAGAGTCAAGGAGCAGAAGAAAGGCACCCGAGTCCGGAATAACTTTACCCAGGAAGAGTGTGACCATGCGCCAGCTTGGTTGAAGCCCAGATTAGCGGCCGGCATATCCCCAGCTCAACTTGAGCAAGACTATGAGGCAAGATTCGGCGTTCTGCACCGCTACAACACTCTGAAGCATTGGCTGGAACGACAGGAAGCAAAGTCTGGTACCATCCTCAGCAAGATTGTGGTATTCAAAATTTCGACCCTATTCCTGGAATCCTTCGAGTGACCATCTTTCATAGCCAACGCCGGAGCCCCCATCTGACCGCGTTATGCCCCCAATGGCCGTCCCTAGTTTCCGCCCCATCAATCCTCCGCCCTACGTGTCCCCATACCCCCACCCATTGTCCACGGAGCCTACCCAGGCCTCCTTGCTGACGGAGAATATGCCCTCATCTGCTAAATTACCAACTCCCAAGCCAGCTCAGGAATCTTCGCTGACTAAAACAATGCCCTCATCCGTTGCACATTCCACCTTATCACCAGCGCAGAGCTCCCTGCTAACGGGACATATCCCCCAATCCGCTGGAAAGCCAACTCAGATGGCAGCCCAGAGTTCTTCGTCAACAGAGATAATGCCTTCATCCGCTGCCCATACAAAGAGGCTGTCAGCCCAGAACTCCTCGCTGATGGGGAACATGCCCCAATCTCCTGAACGATCAACTTCAATGCCAACTCAGAGATCTTCATCCACGGAGAACAGGCCTTTTCCTTTTCAAAGATCAACCCCGATGCCGAACGGTCTACCAAAAACAGAATAAAGGCATCAAACCACCCGATGTCTTCGAAAACGGAAAAAACCCCCCCTTAGCCTTTCGGTACGGACCAGTCCTTGCGCAGCATTAGCACGGCTATTTGATTAATTCATCTATCTAATAGCAGACCCCCGAGCTGCATTCCCCGCAAGCTTTTCCTGTATCATACCCTCATATTCACTGAGCTGCCCTTTACCTGTTTCTGCTATGCACAATACCCACCAGTTCATACCCAGTGACTTTCTTGACTTTTTTTTTTCATTTCTCTTATCGATCATCATTTTGTCAAGGGAGGCTTTGCGGTTACATAGGCAAACAATAATTCAACTCCTTTGACACAAGTCATTTACTCTATGCCTATCAAGCAAAATTTGGAGTTCGTCAAACTTGTTTGACATTACCATCGACGCAACCACAAGGTTAACGCATTCTGTATTCTGAAAAGGAGAGAACAGAGGGGCCTGGATTTTCTTGCAATCTACCTTGGGGCAAGGAACTGACATTGATGGGCGTTTTACACGAGTGGGAATCCATGTTTGGCACTCGTCGGACTTGGCCTACACTCAGAAAGAGGTTATCTGCGCACGTGAGATGTTTCATCAGCAAGAGGAAGTATGATGAGGTACAACTTTTCTAATACCAAAAGCCCCTAGCCCTATATCATATTGTTAATTGACAAGCACTAGTGCGAGTCCGCAAGTCAGACTGACTCGGATGCAGATGGCGTCGAGAAATCGACGGAGAACACTTTCAGCTGCGGCAATAGTGTCAGAGCCTGATGATTTGAAATGCTCAAATTGCTTGGATAGAGGGAAGGGGGTTTTTATTTTTTTAGTTTCCGAGAACGAATAGGGATTGTACGCAAGGTTGAAAAGAACGATGTTAGACGCTGTCGGTAATCTATAGTTGATACGTCACATTTCCAGAACTCAAGCGAATTAGCAGGTCATCTTTATCTCGCAGGATGGTGGTGACTGCTGATTCAACCATAGATAGACGTCTCATTAGTAAAAGTTGCAAGTGCGTGGTATACAAAGCCTTCGTGATAGAGAGAGAGGCGAAGGATGATGGAGTCGCCATTAGAAGAAACAGACTAAAAATGGTCTCGAGTTATTTACACCTCCATTTTGATATGATCTCAGTGATTCACCAAGGCACTCGGAAATGGGCAACAAAAAAGCTGAAAAGAGAGGTAAAGAAAGAGAACCCAAGTAGAAGCTCAAAAACGCATTTAATAGTATACGCACTACGGGGACGTTGTGTGGAAACTGTCTAGTATTTCATAGCCCTGTCAACGGATTCATGAGCGTTGTTGTAAGTCCATGGGCCCTAGGACAAGCAAAAAGAAGATCTGAATTCCAATGCACGTATAGGTCCATTTGACACCAAAAGCATCTCTTGATTCAGTACGAAAAATGAAAGAGCAAGGGGAGTGGTAGGTCTAGGCATCAAAAGGTGGCAGGTGGTCAGTGATTGATTTTCTTCCCGTCAAACACGTAAACATTGGAATGGTCGCAAACACCAAGCTTGGCAATTATCCGATGTTTTCCAGACAAGTTGATGCGTCTTTACCTTGAAACATAACGTGTTTCCCTACCGAGCGGGCCACCACTACCGAGTGGGCCACCTACACCGGTCTATTCATTTTAAATACAATTATCTCAACCAAAACGTCATTAAATTCAATAAACTAAAGACGATTATTATTAGGACATACATTCGATCGATGACCCTGGGTTCCACAAACGCTACACTTCGGTAAGGCTCTCGTACGTGGCTGAGAAGGTGTCGGAGCTAGCTCTGCCTCGCGGGGTAACGGTGCTAAAACTGCTTGCTCTGACTGCGCTATTAGAGTAGAGGCCTCTAAAACTAAGAGGCCTTCTCCGGAGGGTATTTGCCTTGTAGAACGAGTCTTTTTTCGCTTCTTCTTCTCGTTTTCAGCGCGTAAATCGCTTACTTCTTTCTCGAGCAAGGTAGCCGATTGCATAGTGATTTCGCAGGCTTTTAAAACCTGATTAATCGCGGAATTTAGTGGGCTCGGTGGGCTTTTTAAGCGCTGTTTTAGCAATGCTTTAATTGAAGAAGCTTGCTTTTGTAATTGGACGTAATTTAAAGGCGTTTTCGGCTCCCACTCACTACCCCGGCTCGAGGGGGGTGTCGGCGTACGGAGGTAGATATCAAGCTTCGAAAGCACTCGATCAGGGTTATAAGGCACTAGACTAGCGGCGGCGAAACTATTCTTTATAGTATCCGATTCAAAAGTCTTAATTCGCGCAGACGGGTAGGCGTCGAGGAATTCTAATTTATCGACGTAATTAATATTAAGCCGCATTTTCGATTCGATTAGCCGACCGTACTCGCGTTTTAACCCCGTAAAACAGCCAATATCGAGAGGCTGTAAAAGGTAAGACGAGTGCGGAGGCATACAAATTGCGATAATATTATTTTTTTCGCAAACTTGATCGAACTCCGCGGTTAAATAACTTCCGTGGCCGTCGAGGATCAAAAGTCTATACTTCCCCTTCGTACGCGAAGAAGTAGACGGAATAAAGAGCTTTTTAAGCTATCGAAGTCCAATTTGATCGGACGTCCACCCGTTAGAGCTAACCTCAAGTCTCCAATCTTTCGGAAGGCCGTCGAACCAAGATTCGATAAAGAATTTGCCTTTAAAGATCACGCACGGAGGAAGCGCCCACCCCGACGCGTTTATACACTCGATTGTAGTCACCCACGCGCGATTTCCGGGTTGTAAAAGCGATCTCCGACCGTAGAATTCCTTTCTCGTGATAACCTTGGCGGTCGCAATTAAGCCCATTGCAAAACCAGTCTCGTCAAAGTTATAGATATCGTCGGGATCGATACCGTATAAAAGGATCGTCTTTTGAACGAGAGAAAACCATTCGGAAATCAGCTTTGGGTCTTCGCATTTAGCTCGCTGATAATCGTAGCGTCTCGAGAATCGGGAGGAAAGAAGAGGATGCCTTTTAACGAATTTTGTAACCCAATTTTAGCCGACCGAAGGAGGGGGGTAGATCCACGCGCGGCGAGTAGTAAATCTGCCATTTCTCGTACAGTAGAAGGCCGAGGGGCTGCTCCGCGAGAATCCATAGAAAGAATCCATTTTTGAAGCGATTCCTCTTCAATTTCCGTCAATTTATGTGAATTTGCGCGAGTCTCAGCGCGAAAGGGAAGGCCGGTAACGCGTCGCTGTAGTGTTGTACGGGGTACGTTAAACTAACGCGCTGTCAGGACCCTCGACTACTTATGTTGGTACCTGAGGCACGAGTGGTGCCTCAGGAATCGTGGCAGTATAGTACTGCTCACCGCCCGGAAGCTGGGCCAGTGACTGAAACACAATTACCAAACTGGTCCCAACAAGGATTAGCCTGTTTGCCTTAAATAATGTCTAAATCCTTCAGCATCCACCAATTGGAGATCTCGATGACTCTGTATTCTATTACCCCTATTTCTCGCTATTTATGGGTTTATTCTAGCCACATAAGCTCTGAAAACGTATTATCGATAGATACGGTCTCATGCAGTATTCGTAAGATATTGCCTACACGCCGAAGAACTTCTCCCAGCCACATCAAGGGTCGCAACAAGGCTTTCTGTCGCACGGACATTGTCCCGCAGCGATACCAATCTCTACCATGGCGGGTGCCTCCAATCGATGTGCCTTTGATCCAACTGTCCCGGGTCCAAATCTGCCTCGGACCCATATCAATCTCGAGGAAATTGAGCACGCGGCTAGGGTTTTGCGCGACTGCTCTGGCGTGTTCCAATCATACAAAGGCGTTTTTGGAGGCAATGAGCCTTTGGCCCCAAGATTAATCGACCCACCCAACGAGGAGTTGGAAGATGTCCTTGTCAAGCTCTTTGGGGGCCCTCCGACATGTTCAGCCGATCTTGAAACCCCTGGTGCCCCATCCCAGGAATCTCAATCCCAGGGCATTGTACGATGGTCAGAGATTCTCAGTAAACAGATGGGCAGCCGCGATTTCGAGATCCAATCAAATGGCACCTATTGGTGTCGCGTCAAGGGACTCATCGTCAATGTATCTGAAGAGAACTACCGCATGATTCTTTCCGGCCTACCCCAGCGGATGGTCAAACCCTGGTCACATTTGCAGCCGGAGACAGAGCGTGATTTGGCCCATAAACTGAGCGCAAGATTCTCCCAATGCTATGGTATTGTTCTGGATTGTGAGTTCCCTTTCTTCTCTCCTCCAGGAATTTGCTGAGTCTTATGTCGTTCTAGTATCTCTGGTGCTACAGCGTTTTATCAGTGACTTGGAAAATAGACTCGATGAGCCTACGAGTATGTCCGAGCGAGATGAATCTCCCATGAATATCTCTTCGTCTTGGCAAAAACGAGAAATATTGCCTGGAATCAATGAATCAGAACGAATCACCCTTGGTGGCGAGGAAGGGGGCGCTAATCTACGGGCGAGAGACTCGCTTTCTTGCTCAACCGGGTCTGATATCCCTTTCGACACTCCCGCGACACCCCCGTCAAAGCCTCAAGCTCGAAAACGGGCTCGCCGGTCAACTCGGCACTCATCGGCGTCCAATCGGATTTTTAAAGCGCCTGTATCTTCCACAATTTCTCGAGACACATGCAGAGTGTGGGATAAAACAACTACAGGAGGATCCAAAGTTCCAAATTGCCCTACAGCATCGAGCAAAGCACCAGGAATCCCAGGGCAATTATATTCCGAACAGGAACTAGCTGAGGGGCTTGGTTTCTTGCAGCCTCTCATTGACCAGGGAGCTGACATCGACACAATTACGGCCGCGTACGAATCCAAGTTCAAGATTAGTCGAACTTACCGTGGGCTCAAGGACAAATTCAAACTACCACCCGGAAAGCAATTAGCAAAAGCGAGGCTATTTCCAAAGGTCTCAAGGTCTCCATGTTCTGACCGAGAGCTGGCCGACGGGCCTAATTTTTTGCACTCTCTTGTCGACCAAGAGGTTGACATGGATGCAACTACAGCTACGCACGGATCCGCGTTCAAGGTTAGTCGAAACTCTGCCCGAGAGTTTCAGGTACCTGACATGATATCTCAACAGAGCAAGGAGCCTAAAATAGCAAATGAATCCACGGATGAAAACGGTTCACCCGAAAGACCGAATGACTCAAGCAGGTACACCAAGCTCGAGACCGATGAAGGATATGACTTCTTAAAAGGTCTCATTGACGATAAAGCTGGTGCGGATGAAATTGTGAAGGCATACAAAGCAAAGTTCGGGATCAGCCGAAGTTATTTAGGTCTTTTGTTAAAGTTTCAGTTACGCCACTTGAACCCGCCAAAGGGTTCGAAGTTTTATCCTCGATATTCTGATCAAGAGTATGCCGAAGGACCTGCCTTTGTGGTTTCTCTTATCCAACGGGGGGCTGATGTGGATGCGATTGAGAATGCGTATGAAGAAAAGTTTGGAGTTCGTCGAACCTACCTAGCAATTCGGTGCAAACTACGCCTGCCGTCTTCATTGAACGGGGTCCAGAGGGAAAACAAAGAAGTACGGAGCTCACCATTGACATACTTTCCCAGATGACATCAGAGACTCACAGTTGCACATAGAACACCACGCTACATACTGACTCCGATGATTCGGACTTTTAGTGACAAAAAAAGGGAATTGTTCTGGCTCTGCTAATAAGGTCAGAAATGCATAGTTGAAGATATCCTGAGAGATCAACCAAATGCAGACCTAAAGAACTGATTTGTTCGATGGGCTGCGCTGTCGCTGTGAACCAGAGTACTTCGAACTTTGAGGAGTGTGTAGGCACTGACTTTACCGAGAAACCCTCATGTATGAGACTGTACAAGAATGCTCCGGGAGTCTACCGTAACCGCATCACGAATATCAAATCAAACTTTCACCCAGGGCTTCAGTGCCAAGGTTCAAAGTGTAGTTTACGTTATAGATACCAGGAATTCATAGATAGGGGATACTTGCAGTCTACTCAACCGCAGTTATATTGAAAAGTATTAAGTAGTAAACATGAGCTATCCCTCAGACTCAATGAATCATAACATCATAAGAGCCAGAGTCATTTATCGATATGCAACATAAACATGAAATAAAATCAAAAGGTGTCAAAATGAAAGACTCTTATAGGGCAAGCGCAAGTCCAAGGACACCGGCACCAGCAGCGAAGCCCATAGCAACGCCGGTGGGAGCAGCACCACCGTCAGAGGTAGATGAAGAAGCAGAGCCAGAAGCAGACGAAGAGGAAGCCGAGTCGGAGCTGTCAGCAGTAGAAGAGGACTCGGTGGAAGTAATAGTGGAGGTAGTAACCCCAGTGCTAGAAGCACCGCTGGAAGTCATCGATGGGGTGCTAGAGCCAGAGGCAGAGCCACTGATGCTAGATGTAGCGGCAGCGACGGCGGAAGAGTAAGCTGTAGGCGACTCTTCCATGAGAGCTGAGGTGATGTATGGCTTCGCGCTCTCGGGAACATTTGAGTACCAGTCGGGGTAGACACTTGAGATGATAGCGTTGGAGATGGCGGAGTTGACGTATCCAGGGTCTGTCATGATCTCGGCCAAGACGGAGCTTGGGATGGCGGTTTGGAGGGCTACGAGGATGGAGTTGGGGATTTCATCCATATCATCTGTGCCTGAAGCTTGAGGTGCTGGAGAGGCCAGAGCTGTGGCTGAGAGGAGGAGGAAGGCGAGCGACTTGTACTGCATCTTGATGGTTTAAAGTATGAACGTATGAAGTATAGGAAGGATAGGTTGTAGGAAGAAAGATTAAGAAGAGAAGATGGTGATTTGGGGTCAATGAGCTGTTTTGTCTGACTGGGGGCCTCAATGCATTAAATAACAAGTCAACTAAAATTATTGCAAGGCTGAGGCTGATACGTTGATTGCTCAGCCCACCGCATCACTTTCTCCACCATAGACTTCACGTCCAATTGTGTTTTCGCCGCCCCCAAACTTGCCGATCGCAGGCTGTTCAAATGCTCGTGTTGTGGTCCTGCGCCCCATTTCTTGGCTTGCTCATAGGTTCACTTTGTTGCCAGGCTTTGAGGCACTTAGGGACACTGAAACAGGTCCGCGGACCTTGGCCGAGAGAGGCTAACCTGTCGGCCTCCAACCTCACTCCAGGAACAGAGAAACACCGACATTATCCCACACCTAAATTGCATGGTTTCAGTCAGGTCCGACCTCGGGCATCATCCTTTGGCACTAATGTCGGGATTCTCCAAGACAGCATTACATGCACGCACGCCCTCCCAACACCTCCATTGGACTGCTCAGATCGCAGAGGGGCTTGATGACATCAGATCTTGGAGAAGACGATCGCAATCCAACGAGAAGGCCCCCAAATACTGCTGCCTTTGTGCTTCCCAGACCCTTGGCTTTGCCTCTTCCCCGCCTCCGGGCCTCCGAAATGGATCTGTCGGGTCGATCCGAAGAGTGACCCTTGAACGACGCATTACGCACTCCCCAGAGTAATTTTGCATTGTCTACGACAGCAGTCTGTCGATCAAAACTCCGGGGTTACATGTACTGTCCATCCGAGATGCCCACGAGGTTTGTATGCAGGTTCCATTGTTTCTGTCCAGCATATGATCTTCCAACCCTGCGGTGAAGTTCGGACAGTGAGTCAACATGCAATACCGCTCGGAATCAAGTTTCATAGGGTTGCATTTCATCGCTTGGACACATTCGCCCACATACGTACTTTGATTCTCGGCATCCGTAATGGAATGTTCTACAGACTTCCGACTTTTGTTGACAACGACCGAACTCGGCATATGACGTCATGGGGCCAAGTTATAGTCCGGCTTTCAGGTCTCGATATTTCCCGAACTATAAGCCAGAGGCCAGGGCCAGGGTTTCGAACGCCCAGAATCAGAAGAAAAGCCATCTGCAAGAGGACAAAATTGCAAAGTATCATCTGCTAACGCGCACCGATCTGCGACCGCTCACGCGTAATCTTATAGATCTCCGCGTCTTTTGGCGCTTTGGGTTTCTGCAAGACCCCGAAATAGCTAACCGACCAAACCTTTTAAGGATAGGCAAACCATACAGTTCCTCAGTTCAGAATGATCGAAAATTCAGTCATAGGATCAGCTCCTGTATTCATCCAATTCATAATATTAAGTAGGCGTGGTGGGATCTTTGCCGACCAATCCAATCAACACAACATAAGAACTTCTTCTCTTACGCGATACTATTAGGTTTTCTGTAAATTGCGAGACATTAAGCTTGACTTGATTGAGCATAACAAACATAGGAGAGTTTCACAAAAGAATTGGTATCTGAACAGCGTTTCAACTAAGTCGACCTCGAGCCTAGTTGCTTCTGGCTATAATGGTTATATGTACCCGCGAGTTTCGCACGGAACATCTTTCCATAATAGATTAAAAGCAAATTACCCGCGAGGCAAACAGTAACAATCAAGCCAAATGTCACATAGAACCATGTCAATCCCACTTTATTGCACCAAGGTTGAAGGGCGAAGACGAAAATTGTTGAGATAAGATTGCGAATGAAAGTAACGCCAACAACGGAGTCTGCAATGATCTATATTGGTATGAAGTATTAGTACATGTACCATATGTTCGATCAATATTTCTCACCTCAGTGTACGAATCAGTAAGATAAGTTAGTGCAGCACTACTAGCGGGTACAACACCGACAGAGCTCACACCCAATCCAAATGCGGGCAATAGCCAGTGAGAGCCGTTGTTCAGTCCAATTCCAAACATGAATAGACCTGCCGGGACCAATGGCGTAAAGGCAAGAGCAAGCCAAAGTCGCATCTCTGGTTCGAAGACACCGCCATTTCTCTTTGCGAGGTAGAGGGCAATCGAGTCACTTAACGGTCCACAGATCAGAGCACCTAAGGTGGTTCCAATAAATGGCGGCAGTCCCATGAGCCCGATCTGAGATGCGCCGAAATTGTATGGCGGCAGGGTCATCACTGATGAAAGGGTTGTCACTGGGACTGTCGTGCAGGCGGTCATCAATCCATAGATAAGAGCCATGAAGAAGACACCTGGAAAGCTGAACAAAATGAGGAAGGGCTGGTAGCAGTGCTTTCCTACCTCGGAGAATGGCACGGGGGAGTTAGTCCATAATGCGAGTTTCTTCCAGTAGCTCTTCACCGGGATTGAGTGATCGATTTCAACGGGCTCATATGAGTGACCATCCTGCATCGACATCGACTTCTCCAACGCAAATGGCTCGATATCCTCTTTGAGAGGAGCAGGCTTAGAGTCACGCCTCTCAGGAACAGGAACACCCTCAATATGCGAAGCATCGAACATAGTTTCTTCGTAGAGAAAGACGAACGCAAAGAGTCCGATGCCGAAGAGAATGGCCATCCACCACCATACCCATCGCCAACCCTGGGACTGGGTAATAAAACCACCAGCCAGAGGTGCCAGTGTTGTTCCGACAGTCATAAACCAGAAGTAGATGGTATTGGTCAGACCTCGCTGGTGAACATAGTAGACATCAGCTACAGTCATCTGAACTAGGACTTCAGCCAGTGCTCCAACAATACAACTGAGAATATTGACCAGCATCAGATCTGCGACGTTCTCCATCTTCGCAGACCAGATGCTGATACCACATTGGATGGCCGTGCTAAATACGTAGATCGGTCGGCGTCCGTACTTTAGGGCGAAGGGTACGAGGAATAGACCTCCAATGCAGAGGGCACCGCAGCCTGCTGCGTAGCTGTCGTTCAAGATGGCGTAGCTGAAGCCTAGTTCCAGGTTGACGGGTCCCCAAGTCACTGTTGCCACGTCGATTCTTTGGATCTGTTAGTTTCAGGGGTGTATATGACTGGAACTGGGATACCTACAGTGCAAGGACCATCACAACGTAGTAGCATACGAGGCCGAAATTGAGGTTTTTGCGCCATAGTGGCCAGTTCTGTGTAGGTTGATTTGTGAGTACTGCGAATGACAATGCCATGCATGACAAGTACTCACCAATGGATCATTCGGATTCCTGGTAGGCTTTGGTTGCAAAATAACTTCCGCGGTATCGCTTGTCTGTGAAAGATCTGGTTTTCGGTGTTAGACTTGTCATTGGTGCGAAGAAGGTGGGTGTCTAACCTTCAATTCGCACTGTCCCAGGGGGCCATTCCGGATCCAGAAATGGCTGGGTAGAAAGCATAACTTAAGATGAGTAGAAATGAAATTTATTTTGAGGCAAGAAAAGGAATACAACAGTGCAAGCCTGAAGACGGGTCGTGGCTTCTAAGGACTGGCACCCAGCTTGTTATATCAGTGCCTTTCTTACTGTGTGACACGTCCGGAACTATCCATGATGATTTTTCAATGCGTCTCTTATCACCGTCGATTATCAATGCTGGCGCTCTGCAGCCATTCACAGTCAAAAATAGGGGCAAAATGTGGAATGCGCTTTGTCTGGAAGAGGAAGTTTGAGGCAACGTCCAATAGATGGCAGCAGTGGAAAGAGCTTATCGTCCATATAATTTATCTTCAATGCGGGGGAGGATTCCAAATGATAACCTCGCAAACTCGGGGTAATGGAGTTTATCTAAACTCGCCTATCAAGATTGACGTTGACTAGTTAGCTATCCATGCGTCTAAATGCCAGGTCCTCTGCCGGAATCCAATGAATATCCCTAGCCTCCTCAGAGACTAATGGAACTACACTTTTATTTCTTAGGGAAGTTCTCTATTGGCCAATGCTACTACTGTGAGACCTCAAGTCTTCATGTCTATGCAGGCATACTGAGATGATAACTTGAAGATGCTAATGCCACTTGTGCGTGGATACGAAGGCAAATCTACTAGGCAGCCACTGTTTGCACAATCAAGTCACCTGGCTTCTAAAGCTCGCCTATCCATCGCCTATCCCTTGATTATCCTCTTTTGCCCCGGAAATCTCAACTAAACCAACCAATGGCGTCAATTTGCGCCGCCCCACTCCACGGCATCAACGGGGCTCCGTTTCGCAGCCAATCAACGCTCGGTTTACCGGCCGGTCCCGTATCACTTCACGACAACCATCCTTGACTATCCTTCCGATATCTCGGTCAATCCTTCCTTTGGGAAATACGACCTCGTGCCAGAATATCCACTGGTTCGCTTCATAAAAGGAAACTTCTGGAGAACTTGGTGACTCGGATCTAAATGCCGCTCCGGATTCCCCGCATAAAGCAATAAATACTTCAGACATAGCCGCATCCTCATTTTCTGCTTGAAATTTATCATACATTCCTTCTCAAAATTATGGCAACAATTTTCAAGAACGGACGTTTCTTCGTGCCCTCCACCTCAAACAATGGCAAAGACATTGCCGAAAGCATGATCATTGAGGATGGCAAAATCTCATATGTCGGCCCTCTAGATGAAACAGCCACTTCAAAAGATGCCACGCTCATTGATCTACAGCAAAAAGCTGTGATTCCAGGTTTCATCGATGCGCATGTACACATCCTACAATATGGCCAATCTCTCCGCAAAGCCAATCTCATTGAATGCACATCGCTGGAACAGATCCGTGAAGCAATCAAATCCTACGCCAAGGCTTGTCCGTCTATCCCTCGGATCTTATGCCGAGGCTGGATTCAATCCTCCACGAATGGAATCGCCCTAGCCAGTATGCTTGATGACATCGATCCACGGCCAATCTTCGTCGACTCCTTCGACCTACACTCGATGTGGTGCAGCTCAGCAGCCCTCGACGAACTAAATGCCCACACAGCCCCAGATCTCCCAGGAGGAAGGATCCACCGAGATGAGAATGGCAGAGCATCGGGCCTCCTTGATGAATCAGCCCTGATGAACCTCGCCTGGCCCCATCTAGAAGGCGTCACCTCCACAGCAGACAAACTAGACGCCCTAGACACAGCCGTCAAGGCATACACTGCAGCCGGGTATACCGGCCTGGTAGATATGGCCATGGATGAAGTAACCTGGGAAATCATCAACCTCTACCGAAAAGACCACACAATCCCCTTCCACATCGGCGCCCACTGGCTCGTCCCATTCGCCGCAGACCAAAATGTCAACTTCACATACGTCGACCGAGCAATCGAACTCCACAAAAAATACAACAGCCCGGACTTCTGCATCCTCGGTATAAAACTAATCTGCGACGGCGTCGTCGACGGCTGCACGGCCGCCCTCATGCAACCATACACAGGCAAAACAGACCGGGCGGATCCAATCTGGCCAGAAGACATGCTCCAAGAAGTCGTGGAACGTGCCGAAAAAGCCGGAATCCAATGCGCCATCCATGCAATTGGCGATAGGACGGTCCACCAAGCGATCAACGTCCTCTCCCGAGTCGGCAGTCCGGGCGCAAGACACAGAATCGAGCATTTGGAACTGACAACGTCGGGAGATGCCAAGCGTCTCGGCCAACTCGGTATCACAGCCTCAATCCAGCCTGTCCATTCCGATCCGATGCTTTTCAAAGCTTGGCCTGGTCTTATAGGTCCGGACCGTTGTCAGCGTGCGTTTGCGTACAAGGAGTTTTTGGATGGTGGAGCTCCGATTGCTATTGGCACTGATGCGCCGACTGCGCCTCATATGCCTTTTCCTAATTTATATAATGCTACTACTAGACGCTCTGCATTGGAGGTTGAGAGCGAGAATACTGTTAATCCGCATTTTGGGCTTGGGCTTGCTGAGGCTGCTACGGCTGCTACCAAAGGTGCAGCTTATGCCCGCTTTGCTGAGTCCTGGACTGGATGTTTGAAGAAGGGTCTCAATGCGGACTTTTTGGTTGTTGATATGGAGTGGAAGCCGGAGTCGTTGCTTGAGTCTAGGGTTTGCCAGACTTGGTATCGGGGCATGAAGGTCTTTGATTCGCAGAGTTGATTGGAGCTAGACAATTAACCTGGTAATTTAATCGCGATTATCTGAAGAGCATTTATTATCGCTAATATCTCTCATTACTCATTGTGTTCGAGTGTTAATGCGGGGTGTATCATAGTGACATCACCAGCATCTTGTACTTTCGCCTCATAAAACAATTCAAGTTCAATATACAGCTATTATAGGGACATAGGATATAATGTCAATTTCTTAATTTACAAGTCATCAGTCTCATCATGGCTATCGTCATTCGCTCGAGTCCAGACTTTCACACCTCCGACTTGGTCGCAGCCAAGTCACATGTATTTGGCTTCCAGTCACCGTTACTCTCCAAGCTCCTCGGGGTGAGCCTGAAGTCCACGGTCGGCAGCCGGATCAGACAGAAGATTTCCTAGTAGATACTATGGTCAGGGACGTGTTCCTAGGTTAAGTTGTTGAAAACCAAAATGCGTACTATGCTCCGTCATCTCTTTCTGAGACCAGTGCTCAGTATTCTCGTACAAATGTTCCAAGGCATTTTGGTGTGCTAGCTCTGAGCACATTGTATGAGGAGATCTAGAAAGAAATCCCATGCATCAATAAGTAGTTCGGTGAGGTAAAGGTAGGCAATGCTGAACATACGGCGCGACATTTCTGTCTACTAAAGCATCCAGTTTTTTCGTAGCGGACTTTGTCTTCTGTGACTGATCGCTTGCATCGAGAGAGTTGCGGCGCTCAGCGTAGTTGGGGTCCAAGGGGTTATTGTCGAGTGTGGTGTTGACCATGTTGGTGGTAGGCTGGTCAGTCGTTACGTAGATGTGGTAGTTATAAGCGAGGTTGTGTAGAAAGACGTCAATTTATGGAGATAAAAAGGTTTCCAGGTAGATGAGGATAAAAGGAGCCGAGGCCATCTCAAATGCGGGGAGCTTAAGCTTGCCTCTATTGCCGTCAAGGATTGGGCGTGGCAAACCTATGATATAAACACTTGCCAACCACCTATCACAATCATCTGGACCCTGGTCTCTGAACTAACAGACGTCACTTTGTTTCAACATCGAGGGGGGTTCTCGGTATACTCCAATAGCATGTTCAATATTGTTATCTACTTTGCAACACAAGGCATCATGTTACTCTTATGACTTAAGAGGCAAGAAGCAATTACATATGATACGGAGTTATATTCTTCACTATTCATGCATGATATTTATATGGCCGAAACACGTTGATAATAATTTTATAACAAGTTAAGGCTGCGAATTTTTGAATATGCCGGATCTTTTGGTTCTCGTCTTGCATGACTAGAAGAACAAATCGGTCTCCTTCAACGTGGTTGTAGGCAATTTTCTTATAATAGAGGTGTAATGGACATCAGAAGCAGTAAGAAACGCTAGGCTTAAAGCCAATATATTAACGCCAGCGTGGGAAAGAGGCAAGTTGGGGATTACGGACGACGAATGCTCGGGTGACTGTGTCTCAGAGATTCTTCGGCTCTTCTGAGCCGGCGTGGTCCCGGAATCTGTTTGTATAAGAGATTAACGCAAGAAGATCTAGTGCTTATGTCTGGCGCGGCGGGGAACTTACCAAGTTAGCAAGAGAGTCTCGCCATAGTATCAGAGGGTATGTACTTCCTCGGTCCTATTGGTTTAAGCAGAACACTGCTTCTTATGATCACAGCGCTGGAAGTCGAAGGGGCCATCCATGTTCAGTCTGGCTGTCTGTTCGTGGATGCGACTTGCATGCGGGGGCGGGAGACCGGGAGACCGGGGTGCATGCCACTAAGTCGGCCTAAACCTGGCGTCTCGCTGGTGAGGCATAAGTCAAGCTTAGACTAGTAACTATGATAGCTGATAAATAGTGGTAACAATCGCGGATCATAGTAGAGATAAATGCGGACTCATACTTGGGGTTCTTGATTGCACCATCCATGCACTCATCAAATTTGTCGAGACTCCCCGCAATCTCCTCGGTAGAAGTGTTCTTCTTCTATCGTCGGGGCAGGCATGATGTTGGTATGCTGTCGAGTGGTGGTTGAAGATACAATACCTTAGAGCTGTTTTCTCAATATGCCTTTTTCTTCAGATCCGATCGTACTCTCCCCCCAAAGCTGTAAATGGGACAGCTGGGTTTTGGTTTGCCTGTTTTTCAACGCGTTGCCCGTGAATATTTTCTACTTTGGCATGTTGTATGGCTCTGATCCAAGTCGCGTACCTTTCGTCCAGGCAAAGTAAGTGGCAAGACGCGGCATGATCTGATAGAAATGGTTTGAGGGTAGATCTTGAAGAAACGACCGTATGAACTGGGTGAGACTGTAATTAGCGGGTGGCGTAATGAGAGCCCCGAGGTTGGTTTCAGCTCTTCGGGTGTATCCATCGCGTTTTTGATTTTATTGTCGGTTTGGATTATAAGATTCCCTTTTCAATGCCTGGACAACAAGTGATGATGATGTTGGGGATGTATATCGAGCCACTAGCGGGTGACTCATGTGCGGCTGAAAGACTGCTAGTCAGTTTCCTATCAATCTGTGGTGTTGTAGACTTTTACAATCTATTCTAGCTATCTATACAGAGTCTATATGGCTGAATTGTTGTGACTGACGAGATATCTCCCCCGACTCCGCCTAGAGTGCACAAATGCGACTCGCTACCAACCCCAGCCCTCCAATATATGACAAGCATTCCACTAGTGAGCCTTCGAAATTATGCAACAGAATCATTGGACAAATAATGATCGAGAGCGATCGGTCAAATAAGCATTATCTTGGCTATGAATCTTGGCTATGCTCTACCATATCTCCCACCTTGGCAATGGCACATAGTATACAGTGCCTTGCAAAATTGCCTAAACATTGTTGGATCGATTGTTCAACCATATCAATCTATCACAAATAGATCAAATGCCGGGAGCGCATCCGATCTAGATTTTCTAACCCGCGGTACCAACCACCTCCGCAACGCTAACCCGCGCATATCTAGCAACCACCATCAAAAAGAATACCGCACCAACAGGGTAACTGTGGGTGCAGAAAAAGGCAGATCATTTAGCTAATTGCATCGACTAAAATTTAACCAAAGACGGTCAAAGCAACGTTGCAGACCAACCACGTTGCCCAGAGATCACAACGACCTCGGAGCCAAATGCCACTAGTCCCAAAATGGTCATTGTCTGGAGAACTCGATTCTGTTCGGGTCCCCAACTCAACATTGAAAATTCTTCTCTTTCTTTGGCAGGGTATACATCAGGGTATACATGGAGTTACTTGCTGGTTTCTTTTGTGAGGTGCGAAGTAAGGAACTTTGCTTGCGTGTGAATCGTCTCGGCTTGTACACCGGAAAAGGAAACGTGATATCATACTCTCAACCTTCAACTTTGTTGCACGAGTCTTTTGCGGAAGACCTTCAACATCGCGAGGATTGGCAAGGATTCTAGTCAAGGCTCGAGTGCACAATGGTGTTCGCTCGAGGCGATGTCTCGGGTCATGATGATCAGACAATAGGTAAGTGCATATACCCTGAGCAGTCAACGGATGTGAATATTGACAGCGGTACAGATCATCAAGATCCCAACTTGGACATTCAAATTGTGTCTTGGGATGGGCCTCAGGATCCAGGAAACCCATACAATTGGTCTCTGCGCGAGAAATGGCTTCTTACAGCACTCGCCGTGTTCACCACGTTCATCACCATGATGAATGGTACTATCATCACAGTAGCCCATGAAGCCATCAACGAGCGCTTCAACATATCTGACGCCAAATTCCCGCACTCCTACTGGCCTGTGACATCCTGGGCTGTAGGCGGCGGCTGCTTCTCTCTGCTCGTCCTCCCACTCATGGAAGACTTCGGCGTGCGATGGGTATTCCTCGGCACGTACCTGATTTTTCTCTGCTTCGTCATCCCGCAAGCAGTAGCACAGAACTTCGCCACATTAATCGTGACAAGATTCTTTGCTGGAGGCTGCGTCTCCATTCTCGCTAATACCTCGGCCACTGTCATTGGGAATGTATGGGATAGCGAACGATCCCGGAATGTCCCTGTCAGTCTATACATCGTCGCGTATCTAGCAGGGAGCAGTATCGGCCCTGTAATTGGGGCTGCCATTTTCCAGGCCCTGTCGTGGAGGTGGATTGGCTATGTCCAGTTGATCTGGTATGGCGCTTTCTTCCCGATGTACTTCTTCCTGTTCAAAGAATGTCGTGGAATTGCCATCCTAGGACAACGGGCTAAGGCCCTGCGCCGTGAGGGCAATAATGCCTATACCCAGCACGAGATCGATACCCAAGATCAGTCCATGCTGAGTATAGTAGGCCGCAGCGCGAGCAGGCCTCTCGTCCTCTTCTTCACCGAATCAGTGGTCTTCGTATCGACGCTCTGGTCCGCCTTCACCGTTGGCACGTTATACCTATTCACCCAATCCGTCGAGCAAGTCTTCGCCGACCTGTATGGGTGGACACCCGCACAAGCCGGCTACGTACAGTCAGCAATTGTCGTCGGGGAATGCATAGGCTGGGTACTGACCCTCTTCTCGGCAAAACTATACTTCGACTCAGCATCGCGCAACACCGAAATGCCCGGAACCCCTATCCCCGAAGCAAGACTCTACCTCGCCATCGTGGGTGGAGTGTTTGGCATCTCTGGTGGGATGTTCACCTACGCCTGGACCTCGTATCCGGATCTGCCGTGGGTCGCCCCGGCCATCGGTCTCGCAATGGTAGGCGCCGGCAGCGTTATTGTGGTCACGGGTATCTCAGACTATGTCGTGGATGCGTACAGCAAATACGCAGGCAGTGCAATCGGGATTATTGCCACCGGCGAAAATACGCTGGCGGCGTTTTTGCCGTTGGCTACTATGAGTATGTATTCGACTCTTGGCCTTCGATGGGCTAGCACTTTGCTAGCCTTTATTGCATTAGTTCTATCTTTTGCGCCAATCTTGGTGCTTATCTGGGGCAAGGATATCCGAGCTCGGAGTCCGTTCATGAAAGAGGCAATGGTAGAGAAAAGGAGGAAGAGCTTTGACTCTGTTTGAGTTCGCTAGACTTGCTTCTGTACATCAATTCTATTCGGTCATACTGCATATACAGGAATTTGCTCAAGAGTTTGTTTCATGTCCAAGATTATAGTCAAAGTTTACTTTGTTTCACATGTTCTTGCAGGTAAGAACCTTCTCCATAGTACCATCGGATTCCGTGAAAGCACGAGGACATATGAATTTGTACCCAGTACGGAGTATAGGTCATAAGACGAGCAACACCCGCCACTTCGATATTGAATGACCTCAGAACTGTATCGAAAACCAAAGAAGCCTCGCTCGGCGAACGACACTCCTGCATGAACATCAAGTCAAGCAAACAGTGGACTCGGTGGACTCAATGTTCAACCTCGAAACACGAGATAACAATATAAATGGCCCACCCGGCACTACTGGCCCGATCCCAAAAAAGAAAAAGAAAAAAAGAAAAAAAGAGCCCAGTGGGTAGAACCGCAAGAAGCATCAATATAATCCGAGTCAGGGGGGAGGAAAAGGGAGTCAGCAAGCCTTGAAAAAAGAGCCGGAGATATTTCAGATTGCGGTTTAGAACGGACATGGCGCCACTAGCCTGAACCAAAGTTCCCCCTAAACGTGCACTATGCACTATGTTAGCATGTTGTGGCGTAGCTAAAGGCTAACTTATTATTGTTTATTATGCTGGATTCGGGGGAAGATCGTAATGCCCCAAAACACGGACCAGAAGGCGTCCTGAAAACCAAACCCATTCCACGCTTCAACGCCCGAAATCCCGGAAAAATAGCCGAGTGGCTTATTCTAACGGTCTCTTCTTCTGAACAGGGGTGTTGACCCGGTAGACAATACCAACACACAATCCCAACCCCTTTTTCGTTCATACTGTTTACATGTATAGTGGTCGGTGATCTATTTTCCGCATGAGGCTCCGTGCAGGAGACGAAAAAAAAAAAAAATACCCAAAGTTCATCCACTCGTCCCAGCAACCGGACCCGACACTAGCACACTAAGACAGGGCAACGTCCCCACGTTTCTCGAAACGGCTAAATCGTCGAACTTCTAGATCGTTTCAGGGCAGACGATCAAACGGGCTTGAGTCACAGGATGCCCTGTGCAGTACCAACAAGTAACGCTAAAGAAGCTAGAGATGCGAGAAGAAGCGAGTCTAGTCCAGTGCCAGTTTAGTATCTCAGGGGGTGAGGGCGAGGCTGGCATACCCTGGTCGGAGTTGAAACCTCCAGGCCGAGTCTATATTGATCAGAATTGTACCCAATTGTAACTCAGGTGCAAAGGAATTGAACCATGCGCAGTCTCGATCGGGTAGGGCTCCGCGAGACCAGGGCATTGTACTCCATCGCATCGCCCTAAAAATACTTTTCTGGCCTGCTTTTTTGTTGGATCTGAAGCTTGACGGGGCTCCCCCATCAACCCCTGGGGCAACAATAGACGAAGTTTATCTTGGTTTGATCGTCCTGTCCGAAGTGTGAGACATGATGATGGTTTCAAGAGATAGATCTGTGTATATGCGGTGTTCGGATTCATTCGGGAGCACCAAGCTCTTTCGGGGTAAAGATGTGAAATCTCAGTTAGGTGGGTTCGGTACGGGAGAAGAGCTGTAGATGCCAAGAATTGATTCTGTCCAGCCTTTGGAGAAGATGACGGGAAGAATATGAGTTCTTGGACTGGACTTATGACATGGTCCGTGGAGCAATAATGAGAAAAGTGTATGAGTGGCCTGATTTTTGCGCCAACACGTGAATCACCTGATGAAAAGGGGCATACTGTGCGTTATACATGTAAACGTGTCCAGTTAGCATGCATGCTGTATTCGACCAGTCCTATATGATCAGTATAGTCGGATATGCCGGAAGATAGAAGATCCCACAGCCACAACCGTTGATACGGGGACTTCGGAGAAAATACCAGAGGTCACTCAATTGGGAGTGGGACGGTTTCAGTGGCTGCATGTAAGCGCCCACTCAGACTCTGAAACGAGAGAGCGGGTGCTTCAGGACCCAGCGCCAGTTTGATGAGCCTTGGCTGGGACCACTCCACTCCCGTTGGACTGCAAGGTCGATTCCCTGTCTAGAAGCGTGCTGAAAGGAGAAGGTGAGATGAATATCACTGACTGGTCACTTCCATACTGTAGGCTTGAGGTGTTTCTTCAAGAGAGACGAAACAAGAATAGCTTGAAGAAGTGAAGACTGAAGACTGAAGAGTGAACAGTGTAGAAGTGAAAAGAAAGCATGTACATCGGGTGAAGACTAAAAATGGGATGTACCGAGTGGTAAAATACAGCGTAATTAACAGCTTTCCAGGCCCGCAACGCTATGACTAACACCAATTTACTAGTTTCTGACCGGTCAGGGTCTCTAACCGCCTTACTTCTTCTTCTTCCTCCCCCTCTCTCATCTTTATCATCCTCTTCACTTTCGTTTCTTATTTCCGCTGCGCGAGAATATACACAAGAGCTTACCGGCTGGTCCAGTTCAATCTCTCATCTTTCTTTATTGTCGTTCAGAGGCTGGTTCCTCTCTCACTGCTATCTCATATCTTGTCTAACAGACATTGCACATTGATATTCGCGCTTCTGATCTCTTTGCATTGATCTATTCTGGTAAGTGTCTGAGGTCTCGGCCGCGGTTGCAGAGAGTGCGGTTCTTTCATCCAAGCCTTTTCTTTGTTTCCGCATGGGTTATCAACTGCCTCCCGGTCGGAACTGACTGTTTATGCAGTGCGCATTTAAAGAGCAACAAAAAAAATGTATCCTCAACCGGGTGCCCCGATGGCACCACCGCAAAAGCCTGAAACATTTATGCTCTCGACCGAAGCCCAGCAAAGTCTACCGCATGATGCGCAAGTTGCGCTGCAACAAGTGGATAACTGTAGGTCATTGGTGGTCTCTCTGCGCCAGAATGTGGTATTGACATTGGATAGTGAAATACTTCCTTCTGTCAGCTCCTGTCGACTGGCCTCCTGATCAGCTTATTCGTCGTTTCTTGCTTCCCACAGGCGACTATGTCTCTTGTGTCCTCTGGTTAGTCTTGCCGCAGTGAGTGACTGGAGAAAGTGTCTGACCATCTCAATAGGAGCAACCTGTTCCACATCTCCGGTACCGATATTGTCCGATGCCTCGCATTCCGATTCCAAGCCTTCGGACGTCCAGTCAAGAACTCGAAAAAGTTTGAAGAGGGCATTTTCTCCGATCTGCGAAACCTCAAGGCCGGAACCGATGCGACGCTAGAGGAACCCAAGAGCGCGTTCCTGGATTACCTGTACAAGAACAACTGTATCCGGACGCAAAAGAAGCAAAAGGTGTTCTACTGGTACAGCGTGCCCCATGACCGGCTATTCCTGGATGCACTGGAACGGGATCTGAAGCGCGAGAAGATGAACCAGGAGGCCACCACGGTCGCAGTCAGCGAACCGGCCATGTCCTTTGAATTCGACTCGTCCCAGTCCCTATACGAGCAATTGACCAAAGCTCAACAAGCGAACTCGTCCTCGTTTGCTGCCCACGCAAGTACGACATATGGCCAGCCCAACTCCCCCGTGGTGCGGACCGTTGACGCAATGCCTCCCCCGCAGATGGCTCCCCCAGCGATTCCGATGCTTCAGGACGACAGTGGGAATCCGATGTACAGCCAACCTCCGATGCCCCTGTCTCACACCTTGGTCCAGAGCATTATTAAGCGTGAGCAGGACTTCGGCCCTATCCAGTACGATCGCAACGGAATGCCCATTCACCGCATACACCAGCGTCATTCTTCCATGCCGACTTTCTACGAATATTCGCCCGCACCTTCGTTTGTATCTTCGCAGTACGAGGACTACAGCAACCGGGGTCTGTCTTTTGAGCCAGTCACACCGCCACAACACTCGGTCGGTCTGGGATCGGAACCAGCCTACATCGCCAACGAGGATACAGGACTATATACTGCAATTCCGGATCTCTCCAGTGGGCATGCATACAATCCCACGATGCAGCTCCCTCCGTCGAATCTGGCTAATGCTCATTATGCTCCGGCACCTCGGTCATTCTCCTCGAACCCGTACTCTGTCATCGAGGGATCCCCGACCTACAAGCAGCGCAGGCGTCGATCTTCCATCCCGCCCAACTCCGCCAATGTCACCCCCGGCACCTCGGGCCATGGCCAGTCCACGACTCCATCCGCTCAGCCAGTTTCCTACGCTGCTCACAGACCCAGTGACTTGCGCCGCTCGGTTTCTAGCTCAGTCGCTCCGGTTGCCGAGGGAGATGAGTCTGTTCAAGATCTCGCTCGTACTTACCCAAGTGCGATGCTCCCTCAAAAGGATCTTATGCAGGAGATGTCTCGGCACGGTACGCCTCTACAGAACCTCGACCAGAGCACCGGACACTCGGTTCCAATGACAACCCAACCGGATGATCTGACTGCTTTGCGGACCAATGCATCTCTCGAGGCCGCAGTTTCAAATACTACTGGTCGAGAGCGTTCGGCGCCGGGACCTGCTCGAAGAGCGCGAAGCGCCACCATGATGGAGCTCGGCCCTTACCCCCAGAAGTCCCACTCCTGCCCGATCCCGTCTTGTGGCAGAGTGTTTAAGAGATTAGAGCATCTTAAGAGGTAAGCTGACTTGAATTCTATTTTTGCATCAGCTCACATCGCCACATCGGTGGGGCGACCTGCATCGAAATCGTACAGCAACTGACGTCTATCTAGACACGTGAGAACACACACTCAAGAGCGTCCTTATGAATGCCCGTTCTGCACCAAGGCCTTCTCCCGTTCCGATAACCTCGCACAGTAAGTCGAGCCATCTTATCTCCGACATACCTGGTATTAACTTTACTAGACACCGTCGCATCCACGAAGCACAACAAGATGGTCAAACAATCGTTCCCAATGACGAAGACCTAGAGAATGATGAGATCGAGTACGGTTCCCAAAGGGAGAGCTTCTCCCCGCCCCAGCCGGCTCACACTATGATGAACATGACGAACATAACTATGCCATCCGCCATGCCCAACATGGTTGCTTCGCACATGATCGCTCCACAGCTTCTGCAGCAACACATGTGAAGACCACAGAGCGCAATGTAACAATCAACCTACAGTTGATGCATCCACTCTCTTCTTCTATCTCGTCTTTCATTAGGAATCTGGGGGCGCACACAGGCGCCATTGGTCTAGGGTTTATATCGCCTGTTTAATCGCACATTGTCACATCGACCAATGCGGCCTTGCACATACTGCGATTCGTGTACAGCCTCTGTCTTTGTGCTTTGCTTCTGTCATTTTTCTATTTGTGCTGTTTTTCTTTGCGAGTTGGATTCGCGCAATTGGATGCTCTACAGGATCCACCAACCACCGTATATATTTGGTGTTGGCTTTTCTACTACCCCCTTGCACGTTGAATTGGGTTACAGTGGCAGCCACTTACATCTCAAGCTGCCTGGCGGGAACGGGCACGAGAGGTCGTGATGCGGACATCTCAATGCCTGGGTGGATAAATTTGGTATTGGTATTGGAATATGGAAATATTGGGAATGCTTTAGCTTTTTCTCTTGGATTATCAGGCATTATCCGGGAAGAGTGGCTAGGCTGGGACATTGGGAAGGGCCGTTTCGTGTTTTTACTCCGGCTACGGCTTTTTTTTGTTCAACTTATCATATCATATATAGACAGTGACATATTGTAACGAACTCGAATTGGATGTTAAAAATTTGAAAACGATATTCTCCTTACCTGTATTGCTACTTTGTTTATTTATTTGTACAGGGTACATCTATATGTGGAAACATCACGTGCCGCTGACGTCGACCCTGAAGACGTGATAGGATGCTCATCGCCGACCGCATTTCATTTCATGCCAGACTGGCTACAAGCCCATCTAACTATCACATCACATCTTCGCGCTGAGACTTGACATGCGTGTTCACCTCCATATTGGCTACATGTAACCCGCGGTTTTTCCCCGAGTTACAGTACAGCGCTTTCTCCACTCCACTCCACCAATCCATCTACTGTGCCGAGTAGCTCTGAGCAGAGACCTCGGACCTAAGTACACGACTGCCAAACCTGATCTGATCTGATCTGAAAAACTCAGCCACCATTTCAATTTCCCCACGCCCGGCGGTTGGAAGTACTGTTCGCTCGTCAATTCTTATATGGTATTGTGTCCGTGCGCGGTTCCTCAACTCCGATTCACGGTGTTCCTGTTTTTACTGCGGAGTACTGTAACGCCTTCACCGTCGGTTCTGCCTACAATCTAGCCATATCTAATAAACATAAACATACCAAGTGCCCTCCTACCTAATGGGAGAGGTCGATGGTCGGCCTGTCCCCGTTGACGAGGGATCTCCGCTTATGCCTTCTTCCCCGGTTGGGGATGGGCGTGGGGATGGACATGATAATGTGCGGCCCTTGAATGGCGTTGATAATGAGGGGTCTAAGGGTGTTCTGTATATGTTGCTTTTGACTTTATCGATTGGGGGGTAAGTCTGGGATATGTCTATATTTGTTTTTGATTCTTTGGGGTTCAAGATACGGAATTGCTAATGCTTTTGGTCACTTCACAGGCTTCAGGTTGTATGGTCAGTTGAATTGTCTAATGGATCGGTGGGTATACCTTATACAAAATGCGGAATTGATTCACTATCCTGAATTGAATCACTGATTAAGTGTTACAGCCATATCTCTTGTCCCTCGGGATGAGCAAAGCCCTGTTGGCCTTCGTCTGGATCGCTGGTCCCTTGACGGGTGGGCTGGTGCAGCCATATATCGGCATTAGAAGTGATAATTGTCGTATTTCATGGGGCAAGAGGAAACCGTTTATGGTTGTTGGTTGTGCTGCTACTATAGTCGCATTGCTAGCCCTGGCATGGGTGAGAGAAATTGTGGGTGGATTCTTGTCGATATTCGGCGTGGATTCTGGGTCACAGGGGACAAAGATTGTTGTTAATATCGTGGCTACGATTCTTATGTATTGTTTGGATTTTGCTATTGCTACTGGTACGTGCCATGGAAATCTCCCCTGGCTGGTGATTGACTGACAGTTTTCCTATCTAGTGCAAGCTGCAATCCGGGCATTTATTGTTGACAATTGTCCAGCACACCAACAAGAATTGGCCAATGCCTGGGCAAGCCGGTTGATCGGCGTTGGAAATATCCTAGGGTATATTTTCGGCTATCTAGATCTACCCAAGATCATCCCGTTCCTGGGAAATACTCAGTTCAAGGCTCTTTGTGTACTAGCCTCAATCTTCTTGAGCGTCACTATCGCTATCAGCTGCGCCTACATCAAAGAGCGTGATCCGAGACTCGACCCGCCGGTGGAAGACAAGCTTGGGATCGTTTCGTTCTTCCGGCAGGTCATCAAGTCTATTCGCAGTCTTCCAACGCAGATTGCTCGTGTTTGTGAGGTTCAGGTTGCTGCGTGGGTGGGCTGGTTCCCGTTTCTGTTCTACTCTACGACCTATATCGGGCAATTATACGTCAACCCGATCTTCGCTGAGAACCCCAATCTCTCTAAGGAGAAGATCGATCAGGCTTGGGAGGATGCTACCCGGATGGGTGCGTTCGCTCTTCTGATCTATGCTATCATTTCTTTCCTCGCGAACACTCTGCTTCCTCTTTTCGTGGTGCCTACATATAGTCCCGCCCCAAAGACAACCTCGCAACCGGCTTCTCTAGATGGTGACTACAATGAAGACGAAGAACAGACTAGCAGGAGAGTATCAATTTCAGGTATGCCGATAGGCACTGCAACCGAGCCACTCCTCGACACACCCCCACGCTACGAAGCAGAAGGCAAACCGACTTGGCTCTCACGTCTCCAAATACCAGGCCTAACCCTAAAACAAGTCTGGCTCCTTTCCCACCTCCTATTCGCCCTTTGCATGTTCAGCACCTTTTTCATTTCCTCTCACCAAGCCGGATCGGCATTTGTCGGATTAGTCGGTATCCCCTGGGCCGTTTCCCTCTGGGCCCCCTTCGCTCTCATCTCCGCTGAAGTTGCTCGCATTGATCCTTCCCGACGTCATGGCCATGTTGATCGGGCTTTCGATGAGCCTGGTGCGTCTAGTGGTATAATTCACCAGTACCAAGCCTCCGAGGCTCATGATTGGACTGAAGAGCATGGTGATCAGGACACTCTTGCTCATGACGTTGAGCACGGCCATTCTAAGTACCACGAGGAAGCTCAGGCTGGTATTGTCCTTGGGCTGCACAACATGGCTGTTTCACTCCCGCAGATTCTGTCAAGTCTTGTTTGCAGTGCTATCTTTAAGGCGGCTCAGAAGCCTAGAGGGGAGCCTTGGGATGATAGTGTTGGGTGGGTGCTACGGTTTGGAGGGTGTGCTGCCCTGGTGGCTGCTTGGTTAACGAGGAGACTTCGTTGATAGATATATGAATGCATTAGAACTGCATGGAGTATACGGCTTTACATCATCAAGGAGGAAGGGGTAGAGTATGTGGGTCTGTAGGGCATATAATATGATGTTATGTTGCTAAGTATGGACTCTCAGCCCCTTGGTGGTTGTTTCCTGTTTCTTGGCAGTTGCGCGGCTGGCCCACGTGTTATATTGTCGTATTACAATGACAGTACAATACACATACCTTATCTCCGGGCGCTGTATCCCAGCCCTACCGCCCAACCTGACCACCTGTAATCTGTCCCGTCCCGTCCCATACCATACCGCATGCCAACTGTTTGCAACTTAAAGCCCCGAACTTAGCTCAGCGTGTCAACCTCATCTCGTCGCAACCTCTCATCCACTCGGATTATGTGCGCCTGCTCCTCACATCTACAACTCACTGTGAGAGTGAACTACCAGTCTGCGCTGGTCCTCGATACCTCCTAAGGCGCCGCCATGGCGACCCAATTCATGAACGATGCCCTCCACGCCCTGCTACGTATGTCCCTCTGATCGGCGCTCTTAAACACCGCGCTTTATTTCTCTATCAGGATATCTAGCTAACATTATGTTTACTTTAACAGGGAGAGCTGCTGAGGACTCCGATCCCGATGGTACGCGTGCCTGATTTCCTGAATCCCCCCTCTCATCGTTCCATCCCCCTCCGTCTCGCTGTATAACGCCATTACAACTGCGGTGATTTAACTATGGATTTCTATTTTAGATGCCCCCGAGGCAGGGAACAAGGAGATTACGAGCTCTTGGGCGTTGTTTATTATGATTATGCTCTTGATGTTCGCTCTCTTTACCAGCTACATGCTCCAACAGAAGAAGATTCAAGCTGTCCATGAGACGGTTCTGTCCATTTTTGCAGGTACGCAAGGCTTCGATGCGCAGTGCGCAATGTGCGAATTGGATTGAGGATCTAATGCTGACAATTGCTAGGCATGTTTGTCGGCTTGATTATCAGATTAACGCAGTCGACCCTTCAAGACAGCGTCGCTTTCGATTACCAATTCTTCTTTAACCTCCTCCTTCCTCCGATTATCCTCGCCTCCGGATACGAACTTCATCAAGCGAACTTTTTCCGGCATATCGGTACTATACTTACATTTGCTTTCGCTGGTACTTTTATCTCGGCCATCGTGCTCGGTCTGGTTCTGTACCTTTGGACACGGATCCCGCTGAATGGGCTGAACATTTCGTTTGTTGAGGCCATATCGGTTGGCGCGACTCTCTCCGCTACGGACCCCGTTACCATTTTGGCTATTTTCAACCTGTACAAGGTCGAGCCGAAGCTTTACACCATCATTTTCGGCGAGTCGATCTTGAACGATGCAATTGCCATTGTGTTGTTCGAGACAGCACAAAAGTACGCTGAGAGTGAGGCCGGCTCTTTGACTTTCCTCAACCTCTTTGAGGCCATTGGCCTTTTCTTGCTTGTGTTCTTTGGTAGTATGCTGGTTGGCATGCTGGTTGGAATTGCAACCGCGCTGGGTCTCAAGTACACTCTCGTGCGGCGCATGCCTAAGATCGAGAGCTGTCTTATCATTCTCATTGCTTATGCCAGTTATTTCTTTTCCAATGGCGTGCATTTGTCCGGCATTGTCTCGCTTTTGTTCTGTGGCATTACGCTCAAGCATTATGCTTACTATAACATGTCGCGTCGCACACAGTTGACCACGAAATACCTGTTCCAGGTTATGGCTCAGCTGTCCGAGAACTTTATCTTCATTTACCTCGGTCTTGACCTTTTCGTTGAGGCTAACCTCCAGTTCAACCCGTTGTTCATCTTGGTATCCGTCTTTGGTATCTGTCTCGCACGTTACCTGGCCGTTTTCCCGCTTTCCAAGGCTATCAATTGGTTCCTTCGTTATCGGGCACGTCGCCGTGGTGTCGAGGTTGCAGATGAGCTGCCATTTGCCTACCAAGCTATGCTCTTCTGGGCTGGATTGCGTGGAGCCGTCGGTGTTGCGCTAGCAGCTGGTCTCTCAGGCGTGAATGCCCCAGCACTTCGAGCCACCGTCTTAGTTGTCGTCGTGCTGACTGTCATCATTTTCGGTGGAACCACGGCACGCATGCTAGAGATCCTCGGCATCCGAACCGGTGTGGTGGAGGAGCTTGACTCAGACGACGAATTCGACATTGAGGTCACTCACGGAGGAACCTACTACAAGCGCTCCGGTACAGGATTGGGCTACACCCCACGCCGCGCCGACTCCGTCATCCCAATGGACGGTGTCACACCTGCAGCTCCACGCGCTGGTCTCGGGGAGCGAGCCGACAGCTACTCAAGCGGCAACAACCGCCGCCCAAGCCCACCACACTCTCATACGCGCATGTACTCCGCGGCATACAGCAACAAAGACCAATCCTGGCGCGACCGCTCCTCCGCCGCAACTCTACTCGACGGCGATGCCGCTGGCCCGGGCAGCGATGATGAATTCGGCCTGCCACCCTCCGGCACCAGCCGCTCCAACCACCCCGTCGACCCAGACGAGTTCGAGGTCTCCGACGACGACCTCCCACCCGCCGCAGAGGCCGCCTCCCGTCTTCGACGATCAGCCTCCCAGCCTTCAAACTCGCCGCACGGCCCATCCCCCCACGCAGCCTCTACCAGTGTCTCGCCTTCCCGACAGGCCCCAGGTCTCACTGCCCGCGAGGCACTGCGGGATCTATGGTCTGGTGGTGCATCCGGCGACCATGCAGCTTGGTTCCGTCAGCTCGACGAGGATTACATCAAGCCTACGTTGTTGCTGGATCAGTCGAACCATAAAGGTCCTGGCCCTGGAGCGGTCTAAGTTTGAGTTTGAGTTTGAGTTTGAGCTTTATACCTTGGGACGACGGGTCCTTTCATGTTGCTTCGATCTGGATGTATATTTAGCCTTTTTTGTTTGGGTCTGCATTCTCATGAAGGAACGTTCTTTTCTTTTCTGTCTTTGTTTTTGTTCTTGGTTTTTTCTACTGTCCGCGGTTTGGACTGTATCATAGCAGCAATATGTAGCTTAAGAAGACATTACACTTGCGCAATTCATTGATATATCTTCACTTCTAGAGAGTAACAGTATAGAAGGTGAATGAATCACAGAGTTTAACTCCGCACTTTAGCCTACCCCATATATCCCCCGGGGATGTCTCAACCTCGGACACAACCTTCCAATTACCCACCGACTCAACGCCTAAATGCAATTAATAGAGAATCAGATCAGATCAGGTCAGATCTAAGATACCCATACGCATATCTCCGTATCAGATACAAAAATATCACGTAACCCAATGTTCCGGGAGATAAGCAGAACCTCGCCCCTTTCTCCAACATCTCCAATTGTCGGGCCTTATCGACCACTCGGATCCTCCTCTGCTATCTCTAGCTTGAGATCAGAGTACCTGCTTGTATTTGTGTGGCGCCATTCTTGTTTGGGGCATCCTTGCGCCCGTACCGTGTTTGTTCAGCCACTTTATCCATGACTCCAATGGACACACTGCAGCTTGTCGGTGTAAATCCCGCGCTGTGAAAATTACGGACTTGTAGGGTTTCATTTGGTATCTATTGGAATGACAGTCTGAGGAGAATATAGTCATAAAGATGAAATCTAGTTCAATTATCTTACAATACAGTACAACGTCCGCCGTTGTAGTCGTACCTTAATCATGCTACATACCGTATTTACTCTGCCGGGTGGGTATTTCCTCTTTAGGTAGTTGTCACTGCTGTTATAAGGGCGCTTAGGCTTGCACTCTTTTCTTTTCTATTGAAGCTCACATATAAGACTTTCACAATGCCACACTCCCACACCTTTCTTTATGCTTGTTTCTTTTCATAACGTGACAGGACCTGGTTTCCCGTGTTCGCCACAGCTGACCCGCCCCAGAAACGTCATACGGAGGAGAAAGGAAGAAGAAGAAGGTCATTCCCTATAGAGAAACAATTGACTTAATAGGCTTGCTCTCTGGGGTAGGCTGATTTTGTTTCCCCCCAAGTAGCACGGACCAGTACTCCCGGTACTCTTTGGGTCGCCATTGACATTGTCGTCCACGTTACAAGGCATAGAAAATAATGGTGGTGACGGAGGGGGATTCGGTTATCTCACATCTCTGACTCTGCTCATCAGGTGTCCCACGTTGCCCCGATGAACGCTGCGTTACCCAGGTCGCTGTCTACTAGGGAATTCGACTTCTTCTAGATCGATAATCACCACTTGTGCATTGTTGCAGAACAAGAAGTCGCCTAGATTTGGATCGTAATGCTCAGCTACGTGCTCGTATAGCTCCATGAAAGCCTTCTCAGGCAGAGTTTGTAGGGTTTGCTCTCAAACTCTGATTCAATGATTCAACGCTTTCAGCGATTTCGCAAAGTAAGCCCTTCGACCCTTGAGAGTATTAAAGCCGGACATCCCTTGAGAAAGCCCTGGCCGAACAAACTTGGAAATAGTGTTCCTTGAAATTGCTCCTGTCTCTTATATGCAATGATCTCATTGTCAAACTCATCCTCCTGTTCGCGTTTCTGTTGCATGACAATGGCTAATTTTGGAAGACCAAGCCGAGGCTCCTCAAGTCCGAAACGGTATACTGTCGGACGAATCTCATTTCGCAGCTTTGCCTTCTTCACGATGATGCGCTTGTCGCGAACACAGAATACCTATGCCATGTGCGTTATGTTAATATCCACCCCATGAATATTCACAAAATCCGCCGAAGTCTCCGATTTTTCTGAGTAAATGATCCATGGTGCGTAGAGTGAGCGACGTGATAGAAAAGTTAAAGAAGAAGAAGGGATAGGGATTATCCGTAGGTGAGAGCCGAGCGGTGACCACCTGCATATGATTGGCCTCATATCTGCTACGCTTCAATTTGGATAGCTGATAAGCTTATTGCGATGACCATCATGGCATCAGTTAAAGGTCTGTGCTCTAGATACAACAGAGGCAGGATTTCTGTTGGCTTTGGAACAGAGGCCTAGTGGAGCCACAACAATACCACACTCTAGCCAGAAGAGCTATGAACAGACAGGATATTCACCGCTATCTTCTAGCTTTGAACAAACTGCAAGGCATCAATTATAGACACGGAAGGCTAGACTCATTATATGTACCAAAGAGTAAACATCGAGATCTACGCCACCTTTATAATTGAATGGACACATCTTACCTTGCTAGGAAAAGCAAAGTATCTGTATTACCAGTATCTATAATACGTACACTTCATGCCTGATTGAGCCAAAAGCGGCAAGGCACTAAATCGGAAAGGTCCCGCTAAGAAGTGCAAGAAATCCACTTTCTTAGCACGAAGGTAGGCTTAACATACGCATGGTCCGGGGGTTATCAAAACACCGGTAAAGTTCTGGTTCCGTATTGTGCAGCACATGTCGTTGTACATGTACCCCTCAGTTATCCCAGATAGGTAGGTTAGATAGCTGATCGTTTCATAGCCTGTCAATATGGAAGGTGGCTAGAAGCTTGTTCGCATTCCTCGTTCGTTGTTTGCGCACGGGTATTGCGTATAAGTAGTATTATAAGCTGGGCTGTCGCGCGGGCTCTAGCTTGAATCTTTTCATCTCACTTCTTCTGATGCTTACTTTTCTTCCATCTTATCTTAGTGAGATAATATAGAGCATACCTCTTGTGTCACATGAGTGTTCCTTCGTTTTCGTCATCCTCTCCGCCCCTTGTTTCGACCATTCATTTGTGTGTTTCTACCTAGAAACGTCAATTATCGCAATCATGGCAGATATGCTAGAGAAAGTCATGTCCCACAAGAAAGCTGCTTCGGTGGTTACGGGGCGTGACTCGAAGCCGCAGGCTGGGGATATGGAGCTATTGGGTATGTCATGACTACCTCTTTGCTGGAAAATGATGATGTTATTGAGACTAATTGTCCGACAGCAACTCTGGGGTATAAGCAGGAATTGCGACGCCATTACTCAACCCTTCAAATTTTTGCTGTAGCGTTTAGTATCATGGGTCTTTTGCCTTCTATTGCTTCGACTTTGTCATTTTCTATGCCGGCCGGTCCCGTTGGTATGGTTTGGGTAAGTAATATACACTCCATCAATTGGTTGATGGCCCGCTTACAGATTTTTAGGGTATGTATTCCATTTCGAACTATGTAGCTTCCGTGACACTCAAACTTTGTGACAGGATGGCTGGCAGCAAGTGTCTTCATCTTTATTGTCAGTTTGGCAATGGTATGTTTTGCTTGTTCTATACAGCTCTGAAGAATTCCCCAATTCTGACAAGATTTCAAAGGCCGACATGGCATCTGCCATGCCCACGGCCGGAGGTCTCTACTTCTGGACACATTACTACGCAGAGAAGAAATGGAAGAACCCACTCAGTTTTCTGGTTGGATATAGCAACACCCTCGGCTTGGTAGGAGGAATCTGCTCGATCGATTGTCAGCGAAACCCTTCTTTTCTTTCAAGTGCCCTTCACTAACTACCACCAGACGGGTTCGCAAATATGCTCCTCTCGATGATTTCCATCGCCCGAGACGGCAACTGGACAGCCACAAGGCCAGTCATCTACGGCACATACGTCGCAACAGTCGGCGCGCACGGCTTCGTCGCTATTTTCTTTGGGCGGGCAATGCCCAGGATCCAATCCGTGTGCATCTTCCTCAACATCGCTCTAGTTGTCGCTACTGTTATCGCCCTGCCAATCGGAAAGTCTCAGAACAGTCCACCCGTGAACTCCGGCTCTTATGTCTTCGGTGGGATCGAGAACTATACTACCTGGCCCACAGGCTGGGCTTTCATGTTGGCGTGGCTGTCCCCCATCTGGACTATTGGTGCGTTTGATTCATGCGTGCATATGAGTGAAGAAGCGACTCATGCTGCCCGTGCTGTGCCATTGGGTATAATCGGTTCGTCTGGGCTGTGTGGTATTCTCGGGTTTGTTTCGTTGGCTGTTATTGCTTCTTCGATGAATAAGGATATCGAAGGTATTTTGGGCTCGAAGTTTGGTCAGCCTATGGCTCAGGTGTGCTTTCTCTCTGTTCATGTCCTCTCAAAAACAACTCACTAATCATTCTGTCTAGATCTACTATGACGCCCTCGGCAAGAACGGTGCCCTAGGATTCATGGCCGTGAACATGATCGTCCAATTCTTCATGGGACTGAGTATCGTAAGTCCCTACAGCCCCGACAGTTTACCACAACACAAAGTTTTGCAGCCGACTAATAGATCACAGGTCCTAGCCGCATCCCGGCAAAGCTGGGCCTTTTCCCGTGATGGCGCCCTCCCCTTCTCTGAGTACTTCCGAAAAGTAAGTCAACACCGCCTAATGCGTTATCAGCCCGTCCGAATGGTCTGCGGCGTAGTCGCCGCATCGATCATCATCGGTCTCCTCTCTCTAATCGACGAGGCTGCCGCAAGCGCACTCTTCTCCCTCGCCGTAGCTGGCAACGACCTCGCCTGGCTAACGCCTATCCTGTGTCGCTTGCTTTGGGGCAATGAGAGCTTTGTTCCGGGTGAATTCTATACGGGCAAGTATCTCAGCAAACCTATCGGCTGGATTGCGGTCATTTACATGGTCTTTGCTATTGTGCTCTGTATGATTCCTACCGAGGGCCCGAATCCTTCAGGTGAGTTTTGTTCCTGCTTTTGGTTGATGTAGGAATGTTCTGCTGACTCGCTCATTTAGCTTCGACTATGAACTATACGGTCGTTATTAATGGCTCGCTTTGGGGGTTGGCTTTACTTTATTACTATGTTTATGCCAGGAAGACATATAAGGGACCGCAGACTACCGTTAGTCCTGAGGATGAGAGTATGGCTACCCATGTAGATATGGATACTAAATAGCAACAAGTCAGGAGATATGCTTTCATTTTCACCTGCAGCAACACAAATATTTCATCACAAATGCGAACCGGGTAGAGTGTCGCAGATATTCTTCTGCCTTAATTCAGCCGACATCTGGCTAGAAGCTTAAACAAGTACCGGGGGTAAAGGCCAAAAGGTCACCACACATTGAAGCCCCGGCTCATTGCTACCGATCAAGATTTTGAAGCACAAGCCACCGTTGATATCAGGTGAACTGTGTTTGATGTCTTGCCTGTCCAAGTCGGTCTGGGAGTGTTGCAAGTGATCAAAGAGAATGCTCGATTCTGTGTGACCGAAAGTGGACTGGCTCACCAGGAGTCTCTGACAGGGAGATTTTATAGTCTGTCCATTCAAAATTAAATGTTTATGCTTACCCTCAACGGTCTCGTGAACTCTGCACGGCTCTTCTCAGAGGCTTAGGGGGGACAGTTTGTTTGGCCTCCTCCGCTTTTGTGAGGAATAAACTGAGCAGGGGCCTTGTACCTTCAGGTACCGAGAGGGAAGTTTGTTGACTTTGATCCAGACCTCATAAGCAGACTGATATGAGAGGATCAAGTCGACAGTGGGGAGAATGATATCAACTTGACAGGATCAACTTAGCTCTAGGTCGTCATGACAGTGAGTCCTCTCAATCTGACCAGGGTTGTGATGACCAAAAGGAATCGTTGAAACATAAAAAAGAAGCACCCCCTACAGGGGCAGGTTTCAGCAGCACCTCAGACAGGTAGGCCAATCCTGCATCTGCCACAACGGTGGCAAGCCCGAATTCACCCACAACCTCGATTTACAGTGTGATGGCTCAAAATTGTAATAGTCGTCGCGTTTGACCACTAGGCTATCAGGGAGGGGGCATTTTATTCGTTCCTTAAAGTGTTGATAGATGGGAGATGTCTGCCCTGATTAGGCATGTTCGTGCCTGAATGTGTGCCTGGTATATCAGGCTGGAGGGACCCACTGTTACTGCCTGATAATTCGGGCCAAATTACACTCTGCCTCGAGTTATCCAGCCCTATTAATGGGAATGTTGAGAATTATCCAAGTCACTGATAAAGGGGTTACGATCCCTAATAAGTGATTATATTTTCTGGGGCAATACTTCCTCGAATTTACTATACACACGGCTGTTCAACAGAGTTGGGTGGAATGGAGGATAAAATAGATGCAACTTATTAAGCATTTACGCTTCACTGGCACAATAGATAGATAGCAAAAAGGTAACCAGCGTCATAAAACATTCTTCAGAGCACCAGTTGGATATCTGGGCTCGAAAAGATAACTCAGAAGTAGAACCTCGCGCCGTGTATGACCAGTTGGATTGCTAGATCGAGTCCAACGCTGTCATCGATCACAGCAAACGTCATGTTCTAACGCAAAGCCTCTGTGCAAGGCAATGAAACTATTCCGGGATCTCGAGGACATAACGGCCAGCAATCTTCCCTTGCTCTGTAGAACTGATCAGTATCTGCAATAAAATATAGTAGGGGTATTTGAACATACCCATGAGCTTGAAAACCTCTGGCAATTCCTTCAGAGGAACAGTCTTGTATGGGGCCTTGATCAAGCCACGCGCAAAGAAGTCAACAGCCTCGACGCCATCCTGGCGGTTGCCGACGTAGCTGCCCTTGATGTTGATCATCTTGACAACGGTGGTGAAAACGGGAGCCTTGAGGAAAGCATTGGCTGGCAAGCCGATAGCAACGATCGAGCCACGGGAACGGGCATAGTCGACCGCCTGTTGGAAAGGCTTCTCCGAGACAGCAAGAAGGAGCACAGCATGGGCACCCAGACCTCCGGGTGTAGCGGCCTTGACATCTTCGACGAGATCCTTGGACTTGGTGAAATCAATGTAGGCCTAGAAAACTCATTAGCTCAAACTCGCACCAAAGAGGCTCAAAGAAAGATGTCATACCTCAGCACCAAGCTCCTCACACATAGCACGCTTCTCATCACCGCCATCAATGGCAACAACGCGCAATCCCATAGCCTTGGCATACTGCTGAGCCAACGAACCAAGACCCCCACCAGCACCAACAATAGCAACAGTCTGACCAGGCCTCGCACCAGACTCCTTAAGACCCTTGTAAACAGTAACACCAGCACAAAGAATAGGCGCAACAGCATCAAGGGCAACCTCCTTCGGCAACTTGCACACGTGAGCCGCCTTGCCAATAGCATACTGCTGGAAGGTACCGTCGACCGTGTATCCAGACAGCTGAGCATCAGGACAGAGAGGCTCGTCAGATGTCTTGCAGAACTCGCATGCCAAGCACGATCCATTCAACCACTTGATACCCGCACGGTCGCCGATATCGATGCCCTGGGCCAATTCACCTTTGGCGACGACGATGCCTGCGCCTTCGTGGCCGCCTACCAAGGGCTGCTTGAGGGGCAGTGGCCAGTCGCCATTCATAGCGTGTAGGTCTGTATGGCAGACGCCGCTGTAGCGGACTTTTATGAGGACTTCATCGGGGCCGGGCTTTGGGACGGGGATTTGTTTGTAGACTGGTGGACCGCCCTTTTGTTCGACGACTTGGGCCCACTGCATCTTGGGGATGGTTGGTGACATTGTGACGGTTGGTGATATTGATTATAGGTGGAGTGTGATGACGTGAAGAGTAAATGAGGAGGATGTGGAAATGAAAGAAGTGGGAGAAGAATTGGGAGTTCAAGTGTGTACGTTAATAAGTGAGGATAACTGTAACGATAGGAAAGATAATGATATACAGAGGGACAGAGGGGACAGAGAAGTTCTTATACAACATGCCAATCTATGACAAGCCACATTGCCTGACCATGACCATGATATTTTCCCGGCTTCAACAGCATCCGATCGAGTGAGCCGGTTTTCCGACAATAACTACCCTGGATCAGTGGAATCAGTGCCTGTCCTTCTGTGTGGGTATCATCTACTCACTTACTTACCTAGCTAGTCCATCCGCATCCGTTTGTATACGCACCCTTCCTCCCTGATCACGCCCAGCCGCCTAGACCTCGCACAATAGAGCTTCATCGGGGATTGACAGGGTTAATCACTCGGATTCATTCCACAGTATCGGCATCGGTCGGAGAGAAAGATGTCAGCCACTCCATATTCCTCCATACCACAGACCCCGGTCTCACCTGCAGGCCACAGGGACTTAGTGCAGCGCCTACAGCCCCTCCTTTTGATACTTAAAAAAACCTGATCTGGAAAGAGGACCGAATGGACGTTTGGATATGATTTGACTGCGCCGGATCCGATTGACCTACTTTACGCCCATGTTATGCTGGGGCGGAGTGGAAGACGTCACCACCGGGCATAAGTACCAGGATCGCCACTGTGTTTCATGCTCAAGGGGTAATTAGGAGCTCGATTTTGTGGTATTAGGAGGTGGATTATCATTTGAAGGGGAATCAGACGATAGATATATTCCCATTACCTTGGTGTGCGAACACCTTGGGGGAATCGCGATCTTATGACTGTGGATCCGATCTGGGCTGATGGCATGCAGACATGTCGGACTCGGGGGGTTTGGCTGAATTTTAGGTGTGTCTCTGTGTCTACTTAGGTGATGCTCTATCTTGGAGCTATTGTAACTTGAGTACAAATCATGCATGCCATCTGCCCCTGCTGAGACAGATGCTGTACCAGGTATATATAGCCGGAATATAATTAGGATAGGTTGCTAGAGATAACAGTTAGATATTTATTCTGACCCTGATAGCGTCGGTGTCCTTGACTCCTTCGAATTGGACTACACTGTAGCTACAAAAGGGACTAAAATTGGGAGTTGGTGTGGCCTAATAATCGCGCAAATGATAAGACACCCGAATCTCACGATCTCATTTCTCGGAGGCATATTTCGAGATGGCAATACCTGACTAGCTAAACCATTACCGCCGTTAGCTTCTGAACGGAATTCAAGTGGTCAAGGTGTCGTATGTCTGTGCATTACCACCACCTCCTCCTCTCCACCTCCGAGCTTAAGTGTGTTTGTATGGACTCGGAACTGAGATCGGAGCAGTGGGTGTCGACGGGAAGCAGGAAAAAAGGACGGAAGATTCCAAACAATAGAAAGAAAGACAGAAAAAGCATCACAACTGAACAGTCAAGCAAAAAAGGGTTGTGGTAAACACCGGATCTAAGCCCCGGCTGATACCCCAGACGAAGCGATTCAGAAGGAAAAGAGCAACTCCCCTTTCTCCCCCTCTCCATGTCCCGACTCCATCGTCGTCTCATCGACAGTTTGTCAACTTCTTCAACTTTTCTGTTTCCTCCCACGTTCTCCAACCTCCGGCCCCCCCCTCTCCTCCCTGCATCTCGCCTAGGCCCAGCCGCGCATTCTCTTTCTTGGGCTCCACGGAAACTTCCTCTCCTGCATCTTCCCACCACAAACGAACCCATCCGCCCATCAGGTATTTCTGCCCTGCTTTCTTTCTCCATCCCCTTCTTTCATCAACCAACACTCCGAAACCACACCTACACCTATGAACCAAACCCACTGACGTCGCGTCCACGCTAGGCCTCCGAACCCCCTTGACTGGTGTCTTTGGTACCCAGTGTTTCTCCCGCGTGCCTCAATTCCTTGGACCCCAGCTCCTCCCGAGTGACCAAGTCTTCGACGCGCTCGACCCGCACCGGGGACCGCGGCCATCATGACGGGCGCTCCGCCGTACAACGCCCAGTCCCCGACTCAGCAGCATCGGTACGCTGCCTACAGCTCGCCCAACAAGAACCATCAGTATTATCCAAACAATGAACAGCCGCCGCCGCAGTTTCACCAGCACCCGCCGCAGACACCTCCCGCATTCCCTCCGTCTGTCGCGCGAAGCCCTCACTTTTCAAACGCGTCCCCAATGCCCTCTGCGCTGCAACCACCCTTGAACGGAACTGCGCCACCGCAACCCCCTCATCCGGAATCTTCGTCGCATTACCAGGGACATTCAGCTGGGGGCCAACTTCCACCACCGCGCCCTTACCCGGCCTCCGTTCATCCCGGCAACGGCATCTCGCCTTACGGCACATCGCATGGCCATCCGTCCAGCCGCCCAGAAGGCCATTCGCAATCTCCGACTAGAGAATCCGAGTCTCCATACCACGTGAGAGGCAATGGAGTCTCATATGGGCATTCGATGATGCGAGAGCCGAGACCTGTTTCGCCCCAGGAAACCGTACGAATCATCCAGTTTACCCCATTGATTTGTGATTTACTGATCTTTTCTTCACTTAGAAGCCTACTAGAGCTGCCGATCCGATGTCTTTCGCCAGTATCCTGTCCGGACCGTCAGAGGAGCAGCCTGCGAGAAAACCGTCTCCTCCGCCTGCCCCCATGGCTGTTCCCGCACCTCACACACCCTCCATGTACGAACACAGACACATGGACCACCTTCATGCACCCGGGAACTTGTATCCTAGGCCCGAGAAAAGGGTGATGGAACCCTACATGGATGGCCCCAGAGGACCACACGCCCCTAACGGGTTCGCCAAACCCGAATCGGAACTGAATAGCATGGTCCCTCGTCCACCCCCTCGCAAGCCATTCCCGCCTGGCGTTGACTTGGAGCAAGTCAACCGCGCTGCGGCTGAGATCGATCAAGCTGAAAAGAGTGATGTTGAAGATGCTAGCTTCGATGCGGAACTCGGGCGATATCGCGAGAAGGGCTACAAACGCTCATTGGATGGCAGCCGTGCAGAGCAAATCCGGAGAAAGGTAGGCATTCAGGCAGTCTTCTTTTACCGTATGTACTAACGTGTGATTAGCGCCGTCGCAACGAGTTCCTGGCCGACCTTGCCAGATCCTTTGAAAAGCAGGCCATCCTTGGCAACGAACGATTCCGAGCACTGAATGAAGGTGCCGTCATGGCCGAAGTTCAACAGAAGGAGGTACAGGATGAGAAGGAGCGCAAAAAGGACATGCAGCGGAAGCGCCGCCGTGAAAACACAGTGCGCCAGGAAATGCAAAAGAAGCTGGAGGCCGAGCGCAAGGCAAGCAAGGCTCTAGAGCCTGGCGAGAAGGCCAAGTTCTTGCGCGAAGCCGAGCGAGCGCAAAAGAAGATCCGAACCACGAAGCGCGCCCTGGAGGGTGGCAACGCTGCGGATGAGCTCGGCGAGGTCACTCCCTTGGCTCCTAACCTTGAAGGCGGGACCGTCAGTCAATTCCATATTGGCCGTTCTTCTCCCAGTCGGCGTCGGTCAGGCCGTGCTGGCCCTAGTACTCGCCCAAAGAAGTCCAAGGAGCAGAAGGAGCGCGAAAAGCAACTTGCCGAGGATGCTTGGATGGACGGCTACGGCGACGAGTTGTACCTCACCCCCAGGAGGGATGCCGGGGCCTCGAAAGAGGGTACTCCAATGTCCCAATTGCACTACGACAGCAAGGGCTACAACCAGATCTATGAGCAAATTTGGCGTGATATCGCACGCAAGGATATTCCCAAAGTCTATCGCATCAAGACCACTTCTCTCTCCACCCGCCAAGAGAATTTGCGCAAGACAGCGCAATTGGCCAGCAAGCAGTCCCGCAAATGGCAAGAACGCACGAACAAGAGCACCAAGGACACCCAGGCCCGTGCCAAGCGTACCATGCGTGAAATGATGTCCTTCTGGAAGCGTAACGAGCGTGAGGAACGTGACCTGCGCCGCGTGGCCGAGAAGCAGGAGCTCGAATCGGCCAAGAAGGCCGAGGCGGACCGTGAGGCCAACCGACAGAAGCGAAAGCTCAACTTCCTTATTTCGCAGACCGAGCTGTACTCCCATTTCATTGGGCGCAAGATCAAAACCGATGAGGCGCAGGGAGACGGTGCTGTCGCAGCTACCGGGGAAACTGTTCAACCAGGCAAGGAATCAGCACACACAGTCAACCTCCCCGACAGCGTAGCCAATCCCAATGCCAAGTCTACCGCTTTTGAGGACCTCGACTTCGATGCTGAAGACGAAACTGCTCTTCAGCAAGCCGCCATGGCGAATGCACAGAACGCCGTGCAGCAAGCTCAGGACCGTGCTCGTGCCTTCAACCAGGAGGGTGATAACATGGCTGCCTTTGATGACGGCGAAATGAACTTCCAGAACCCGACTAGTCTGGGTGACATTGAGATCTCTCAACCCACCATGTTGAATGCCCAATTGAAGGAGTATCAGTTGAAGGGCCTCAACTGGCTTGTTAACTTGTACGAGCAGGGTATCAACGGTATTTTGGCAGATGAAATGGGTCTGGGTAAAACCATCCAGTCCATCTCAGTCATGGCGTACTTGGCAGAATTCCACAATATCTGGGGTCCCTTCCTGGTCATTGCACCAGCATCCACCCTACACAACTGGCAGCAGGAGATCACTCGTTTCGTACCGAACCTCAAGGTTCTGCCGTACTGGGGTAATGCCAAGGACCGTAAGATCTTGCGAAAGTTCTGGGATCGAAAGCACATCACCTACAACCGTGATTCGGAATTCCACGTTCTAGTCACCTCTTACCAGCTCGTCGTTCTTGACGCTCAGTACTTCCAGAAGGTGAAGTGGCAGTACATGATTTTGGACGAAGCTCAAGCTATCAAGTCTTCTCAAAGTTCGCGATGGAAGAACTTGCTGGGTTTCAGTTGCCGTAACCGTCTGCTCTTGACTGGTACGCCAATCCAGAACAACATGCAAGAATTGTGGGCTTTGCTTCACTTCATTATGCCTACTTTGTTTGATTCCCATGATGAGTTCAGTGAATGGTTCTCCAAGGACATTGAGTCCCATGCTCAGAGTAACACCAAGCTCAACGAGGATCAGCTCAAGCGTCTTCACATGATCTTGAAGCCTTTCATGCTGCGCCGTGTGAAGAAGAACGTCCAGCAAGAACTTGGTGACAAGGTCGAGAAGGACATCTTCTGTGACCTGACTTACCGCCAGCGTGCCCTGTACGCCAACCTTCGCAACCGTGTCAGCATCATCGATCTCATTGAAAAGGCTGCCACCGGTGATGACACTGACAGCAGCACGTTGATGAACTTGGTTATGCAGTTCCGAAAAGTGTGTAACCACCCCGATCTTTTCGAGCGTGCAGAGACCAAGTCTCCATTCTCTGCTGCTTACTTCGCGGAAACTGCTTCTTTCGTGCGCGAGGGAAGCTTTGTTGATGTACGATATTCGACTAAGAACCTGATCGATTACGAATTGCCGCGTCTGCTGTGCAGTTCTACTGGCCGACTTGATATTCCTGGCTCTGATAACCCTCGTGCCGGTTTCCAGAACAAGTACCTCTCACAGCTGATGAACGTCTGGACGCCTGAGAACATACAGAAGAGCGCCAAGGAGAACGGCGCATTCTCCTTCCTACGTTTCGTTGATACCTCCGCGGGAGAAGCCAGCGAGCTTTCACGTCTTGGTCCCTACGAGCGCGCTGCTCGTCGTCGTGGCAAGTCAAACAGACTCTCAGGCTTGAATGTTCTTTATGACGAAGGCGAAGACAAGGAGAACTCAGTGCTCTCCCATTCTATGTTGAATATTGTTGAACGAAATGATCGCAGTGCTGTACGAGATATTGCTGTTGAGGGTCGGATGCGAGACTTGATGACCGTCTCCCGTTCGGCATTTGAGGACCAAGGCCTACACCTAATTGAGCCATGTGCTTCTCCCAATGCTTCAGCGCCCCCTGTTACTGTGTCATCGTCTGGTCAACAAGCATCGAGAGAATTCAACGACGCTTTGTTCAATGTATCTGTCCGCCAAGCGCTGTCTGCCCACTCTAGCAGACAACTCGAGGAACAGATCCTCGCCCAAAAGCTGGACCCTACGCCTTACTCTCAGCCACCTATGCTGCCAGCTCCGCTCTCACTTAAGGGACGTTACAACCACATCGAGGTTCCCTCGATGCGTCGCTTCGTGACGGACTCGGGCAAGCTGGCCAAGTTGGACGAGCTATTGCGAGAGCTCAAGCCCGGTGGCCACCGTGTGCTTTTGTATTTCCAGATGACGCGCATGATCGATTTAATGGAAGAGTACCTGACATACCGCAACTACAAGTACTGTCGACTGGACGGAAGCACCAAGCTGGAAGACCGTCGCGACACTGTCGCCGATTTCCAGGCAAACCCCGAGATCTTTGTCTTCTTGCTGTCGACCCGTGCTGGTGGTCTTGGTATCAACTTGACTGCCGCCGATACTGTTATCTTCTACGATTCCGATTGGAACCCGACTATCGATTCACAGGCTATGGATCGTGCTCATCGTCTGGGTCAAACTCGCCAGGTTACAGTCTACCGTCTTATCACCCGTGGCACCATTGAGGAACGTATTCGCAAGCGTGCCTTGCAAAAGGAAGAGGTGCAGCGTGTCGTTATTACTGGAGGTGCTTCTGGCGGTGTCGACTTCAACACCCGTGCTCGCGAGAACCGCACCAAGGATATTGCCTTGTGGCTTGCCGACGACGACGAAGCCGAACTCATCGAACAGAAGGAGAAGGAGGCTATCGAACGTGGCGAGACCCTTGGCGCTAAGGGCGGAAAGAAGGCTGCTGCGAAGCGCAAGCGTGATCTTACCCTGGATGACATGTACCATGAAGGTAAGACTAATCCCCCAATCCTGATTTGGAAATTGAATACTAAATAACCAACTTATAGGCGAGGGTAACTTCGACGACGCTAGTGCAAAGCCATCAGGTGCTGCCACCCCTGCAGAAGAGCCCCTCGATACGCCATCAGCAACACCAGCAAAGCGCGGCCGCGGCCGTGGTCCAGGCAAGGGCACATCAAAACGTGCCAAGACGACAAAGGAGCGTCTGCGCCTGATTGACGGCGACGGCGGCCTCGATTAACTCAAAAAACAATGACTGTCAATTAATGCAAATCGGGTCCGGCGTTCATGTCAAAGCTTCTGTATCTGTCTCTGTCTTCCATGCCTGTCTCTGTGTTCTTATTTTTACTTCCTTTTAACCGTGCTGATTACTGGCTGCTACCATTCTTTTCCCACCTGTTTTTCCTATATCATCTTCTTTTTTATCGTCTTTTTCTTTTTCTTTTCGCTTCTCTTTCTCGATTGGCAGACACGCATGTGAACATGTGAAAACCTGCTTTGTATTATCATACAACCCCTTGACGTTGACGTTGGCTATGCTAAGTTCCGGACTGGCAATGTTGGATTCTGGACGTTTGAGTTCTTCGAAAGCCGATCTTGGTGTGATGGGCCAAGAGAAATGGATTCTGGATTCGAGATGGAAAGATGGACGTTCACAGTTTTAGACCTGTCTTGATCCTTGCTTGATGTGGTGTGGTATTCTGTGTCTAGGTGTGAAAGGTCTCGGTGTGATTTGATTATGTTAAGGGGTCTTTTTTTTCCTTCTTATTTTCTTTCTACATTGTTCTTTTTTCACTTTTTTTCCTTTCCTCATTTGAGGCTCAAAAGGGCGTCGAAGATGTTTTAGTTTGGTTATGAGTGTCAATGCATTGCTTTGATGTGCTCGTATACTTTTGCTTCTTGTGAGGTTTCGCTCTTCGGTTCTTTAGGACATCTTGAAGGGTTGTCTGCATCGCTAGATACTTAGACGGCTAGTTGTAGTAACCCCAATGACAACAAAGCACAAGAGGGTATGCTCACTATGAAAGCAGTAAGTACATCATGCAGCTTAAAAGCCAAGGCTTCATTTCAATTGCTCATCTCTCTTCATCACAAGTCTTATTCCAACGCTATCTGTAGATCAAGGGCAACATGCATATTTGAAACAGTCTTATCATTGACCACACGACTTCAGCAAGCGGTCCGCATTTTTCAAGGCGGTTTCTCAAAACCCAGATGTCCTTTGACAATGACCAACCCATTCTTTTTAAATAGTGGCCCTGGTTTTACGCTTCCCCTGGCAGTCATCACCGATTGACTGGTAATACTTCAGGCAACCTTGCGCATCCCACATTCATTGTATTCTTCTTCTCCTGTCTTGTAATCTGGCTCTATTACATGTATCCGCCTTGGGTTGGAAGCATCAGATTTACATTTCTAAATTGTATTGCCCACATGCATCAGCTACCCAGTCTTCCTAGTAACGATGATATCTCATAGCCTTATTCATCTCTGAGCCTTGACACCTAGCAAGGCCTCGGCATTCCTAAAAGCAAACTTCTCCAAATCCTCCCCGGCGATCAATCCACTCTCCCTAATCCTCTCAAAAAACTCCAACCCCTTCTCATTCATTGAAAAAGGATAATCAACGCTATACAGAACGCGATCAATACTGGTAGTCTGCAAAAGACAAGCCAAAGGCGGCAGTGCAAACATTCCACTAGTAGTAACCCAGATATTACTATTCCAAACCTCCTTAAACGACCTCTGTCTCCCCCATCGCGAAGAAACGAGCATAACCCTTTCCAACTGAAACGGTAACATCTCTCCCATATGCCCAATAACAATCTTCAACCGCGGAAACCGATCAAACAGCCCACTAGCATAAAGTCGTAGGATATGCGTCGCCGTCTCAGAATGCCATCCCCATCCATATGCACTCAATGCCACGGCAACTGAGTCATCGTAATTGCCTTTGTAGTACTCAACCGTCTCCTCAGTTGCCCATGATGGATGGATGTAGATAGACACATTAAGTTCCTGAGCTTTCTCGAATACCGTCCAGAACTTTTCGTCGTCGTAGAATTGTCCGTTGATATGGTTGTCCACCAAGGCGCCCACGAACTCGAGCTCGCGCGTGCACCGTTCCAGTTCGGCTGCTGCGGCTGGAGGGTCACTCATTGGTAGAAGGGCGAAGCCTGCGAGGCGGGTTGGGTTTTTGGAAATCGAGGCCGCGAGATCATTGTTCACCTCTTTGCAGAGTGATGCTGGGTGGGTTCCTGGGGCGTGGGAGAGGACTTGGAGGGTGATTTGGCCCCTGTCTAGGTCTTGAATTCTTTCTTCGTTGATGTTGTCTAGCTTGCGGACTATCTGGGGTGGGAAATTGGCGAATTCATCGTGTGTGCTTGCTTCTCGGACCTTAGGGGAAAGGTAGTGTTCTTCGAGGGTGATGAAGGGTAGCATGGTGGTCTGTCGGTGGTTGTTGGCAGGAAGAATGAAGGAAGAAGTTGTACAGTTTTGGAATAATACAAAAACAGGACTTCAATCGTTCACCTGTGGTGTAATGAGGTCGGGAGCTCTTTAACACGTTGGATTTACTGTCGGTGGCGTCAATCTTTGCTATACCCGTCCGAGCTCCGAGCCCTAAGTCCGAAACTGTGGAGTCGATCATTACGATAAAGATCATCTCACGTCAGATGAAATGTGTATCAAATTTCTTAGATAATTTCAAGTCAGTATCTTTACCACGTCAGAAAGAGTGACTCTCGTTGCTTTGCTTCAAGTGCGTTTCGAGTGGAAGCGTAGGCGTTACGGTCATGGGTCCTCTTAAGGCTGGCTCTACATGTACATGATTCAGCAACCATCTCAAAAGACCCACAATCCTAAGCTCCTGAAATTAGCACAAAATGGGATAAAAGAGACCAAAGAAAGGCAAAACCAATGTGTCCAATGACAGTCGTTCTGAGTGTTTCGTGTGGAACATATTCGAACATTTTGCAGTACCATTGTATACAGTTAGGACTTCGGTTATATGGAGCTACTAGTGAGACTACTTGGGCGTTCAAAAAGGTGATGATCTGGTGGCTGTCTGCCTTTGCATACGCATATGGCGGAGAGTAGGTAAACGCTTCCAGCGACAACTCCCGCTCGGAAGGGGAAGGGGGCAAGAAAGCAGACATGGATTAAACCCAGACTAAATATAATTATCAGGACACTAGAACACGTGAACCGGAGATTTATCGATGAAAAACACAAGTTTGTAAGGAGTGACGGCAGTAATTTCTCAAAGGCGCCAGTCATGAACCATGAGTACAAAAGATAAGCACAAGGCAGAATTTGGGCGCCAATGCCGGCCAACAGTCCAATAGTCCGATCAACGATGCCAAAAAGGCTTCAGCGAGGACATACTCAAAAACCATCAAGCGGGGATACAGTATGGGAAATCAGAGTGAATTCAGCTTGTTCTCATTCGAGACGACAAGCAAAAAGCAAAAGCTCAAATACCAAAGTTAGTAGGAAGCTGAGAAAAAGGTTCTTCAGGCATCTTAGACAAATACGAAAAGATGGAACCCCCACGCCGCTTGGTTGCATTCCCAACCAAGCGGCGCAGCCCTTCCCAGGGCCGACGTGTCTCCTCCCCCTCAAGGGGATCAGCCCCTTGAGGGGGAGGAGGCACCATAGCTGAGCTCTTGTATGAGGCTTCTGCGAGGGATTGCTCTCGTCTAATACCACTCAGCTACTGGGGCCGTTCGCTGAGGTAGGAGCCCTTATTTACGTTGATACCATGCCCATTTCCAAAACAGGAAATTTCTCGATTGTTGTACGCGTCAGGGATCGAATCCGGTCTCTTGCTTTAGTATTTGCTTTTTTAATTCAGACTACCAACACTCATCTTCGTACTTTGCCACCAGATCAGTGAGCCTGAAGGGTGATCAAGACTTCATTGTTGATATTGTGGCGATCGCTGCCTAGCACGCTATTCTCACGTGAAGCATATACCAGACCTGACAGACTTGACAGACTTAGCATTTCAGCGTTCAAATGGTAATTATGGACTCGTAAACCACACCAAAGACCAGGAGGACTACGACCGCTATTGGATTCTTGGTGCTTTGTCAAGCTTCAAGCCTTGGTTGTTTCAAGAGAGCCTCAGCCAGCGGCTCCCACACAGACAATATGAACTTCGATTGGGATTCAACCATCCTCAATGAGATTCCATCTTCATAATTCCTAACATTTAACGAATCGGGGGAGGCGAACTTCCACTACGCATGTACTCCGGATAAAGTGTTGATCAGTGGATTGGATCCACTCTGGAGATCTGCACGGGTCCTGTTTGCATCTTCTCCGTGCCCTGTTTGTCAGGCATATATTCATCGTATCACGTGCCTTTCACGTGCCTGTCACCTTGCCACGTCGGGAAGGGACATCCGTGCCTCAGTTCCTCAACCAACCAAACGCCCGCATTTCTAAGCCGATTACCGGATGACTCAGCCCTCCCCCGCCCAGACCGATTTCTTCTTCAAATGTGGTCCCGCCGGGCTCTCGGGCTTTGATCTTGTGTCTTCCTAAATCTCCAGGAACCCTCCTCAGGAACCCTTGTTACGGTTCTACTTTCACTTCATTTTGCTTCAATCCAATCATGGAGGCTCTTTTGCAACAGTCTCGCTCTATGTGCCCTTTCCTTAAGCGGACTTCGCCTACCACCTTGCGCACGCTCTCAACCGCTACTCGTCCGAGCAGCAGCCCTGGAGGTGGCACTATGTCCAATCTCCAAGTCCTGGGCCGCCGATGCCCGGTCATGAGCAAAGCTCTCGCTGTCCAGAGCGCCCGCCTTCACGGTACCAAGCGCTTCACCTCTTCCGCCGCTGGAATTGCTGGCATGCAGCCTCTGCGCGCACCGACTGGCAAGCGAGCATTGCACACTACCGGAGGTCATCCCGCCAGTTTGGCTTCGGGGGGATACGAGAAGAATGAGCGAGGTAAACTCAATTTCTCCAAGCCTTGTGCTTCGATTAGTTTCTAATCTGACTGCAGGACGCCCTGGTCTGAACAACCCGATTCGCTCGCCCCCTGCCGCCGCCGAGGCCGCGGTCCGCGGTCCCCGCCCTGAAGCACCTACTAGCGGTCGTTATAACTACAATAACTTCTATAACACCGAGTTGGACAAGAAGCACAAGGACAAGTCCTATCGGTACTTCAACAACATCAATCGTCTCGCCCAGGAGTTCCCTCGGGCCCACACTGCTTCTGCCGAGGAACGTGTGACTGTCTGGTGTTCAAATGACTACCTCGGCATGGGCCGCAACCCGCATGTCTTGAACTCGATGCACAAGACCCTCGACACCTATGGTGCAGGCGCAGGCGGCACCCGTAACATCTCGGGTCACAACCAGCATGCTGTCGCACTGGAGGACACGCTCGCCAAGTTACACGGAAAGGAGGCTGCTTTGGTATTCAGCTCTTGCTTTGTTGCTAACGATGCCACCCTCGCTACTCTCGGTAGTAAGATGCCCGACTGTGTTATTCTTTCTGACAGTCTCAACCATGCATCCATGATCCAGGGTATCCGCCACTCTGGCGCTAAGAAGATGGTTTTCAAGCATAATGACTTGGAGGATCTCGAAGCCAAGTTGGCATCATTGCCACTACACACCCCCAAGATCATCGCTTTTGAATCCGTCTACAGCATGTGTGGATCCATTGCACCTATTGAGGAGATCTGTGATCTCGCCGAGAAGTACGGCGCCATCACTTTCCTGGATGAAGTCCATGCCGTTGGGATGTATGGTCCTCACGGAGCTGGAGTTGCGGAGCATCTCGATTACGATGCCTACGCATCCCAGGATACCACTTCTCCTCAAAGTACCAAGGGCACAGTCCAGGACCGTATTGATATTATTACCGGTACCTTGGGCAAGGCCTACGGCTGTGTCGGTGGATACATTGCGGGCTCGGCAGCCATGGTTGATACCATCCGCTCCCTCGCCCCGGGATTCATCTTCACCACTTCTCTCCCACCCGCAACCATGGCCGGCGCCGATACTGCTATCCAGTACCAATCCCACCAACCCCGTGACCGTGTTCTGCAGCAACTGCATACCCGCGCAGTGAAAACGGCTCTTAAGGATCTGGATATTCCTGTGATTCCCAATCCATCCCACATTGTCCCTCTCCTTGTCGGTGACGCCGAGCTTGCCAAGCAGGCCTCCGATAAGCTTCTCGAGGAGCACGGCATCTACGTGCAGGCAATCAACTACCCCACCGTTCCTCGCGGTGAGGAGCGTCTGCGCATCACCCCTACTCCAGGCCACGTCAAGCCCCTGCGCGAGCACCTGGTCCAGGCTGTTCAGGCTGTTTGGAATGACCTTGGTCTCAAGCGTGCTAGTGACTGGCAGGCTCAGGGTGGATTTGTCGGTGTTGGCGTCGAAGGCGCCGAAGAAGCCAACCAGCCCATCTGGGAGGACGCTCAGCTGGGTCTGCAGGCTGGCGAGTCTGTCGAGGCTGCTGTTACTCGTGAGTTTACCGAGGCAGCTGCCCAGGTCACTCAGCCTCTTTTGAAGACCGCTACCCCTCTGACCGAGAAGGCCCACTCGGCGATGTCCTCCATCTCTATTGGAGTAGTCGCCTAAACGTTTGGCACTCGAATAGTTTCGGTTTTTGGGGTAAGATCTTCTTCATTATTCCCGTCCATTCTTTTACTATAATATCCAGGCGAGCGGGGTTATGCATCCGCCTTGCAAATATCCCAAACCTGTTGATTCTATTCATGTTTTGTGTCTGCTATTTGCATGAGATGTATTATCTCTTGTCATAGACTTGAACTTGTATATTTGTGTCATTTGGTTCTTTGCCAGACACATTGGGTTTACTGTTGTATCTACATGTACTTTGCTAAGTGTCAAGTTGAGAAGTAGACCATATTTGAATTGAATGAAAAAGGTTGAAGAGGGTTCTATTTTTATCTGGTGTAATATCGTACATTTGTGTAGTTTGTACCAAACTATCGATCTATAATTGGTGTAGTTGGGGCATCTAACATTTGTTTGGCTGTTCGTTCACTTTTGAGAACCATGCATTTGTGAAGATATGGCTTCACTGCAATACCCGAAATATATATTCACTCAGCCGGTTTGTAACACCTCTTGCAAACTTTAGTCAAAGACCTAGAAGCCATTATCAATTCTTTCTCCATTTTCCCACGCTCATTTACATGATCAAACCCACCTAGTATATCTGCACTAGCACTTAATTGTGGCAAAAGTAGATATGTCAACTCGACTCTCGTAGAAAACGAAATAGAAAGATGAATGATCCAGTCGATTCTTTTGGTTATGTAACATTGTCTCATTGATATAGAAACAGAAAAAAAGGATGACAGAAATTTTTTAACACACATGCGCCAATATTCCATGAAAAGAAAGGTCAGATAGCAAAGAAGAGTTGACATATCCTCCAAAAGCGCATCTAAACCCCAAACTCTAATCAAACAACAACAATTATCTTCCTCTACTTGCGACCACCACGGCTAACCTTAGGGAACTCAACAGGAACACGCAATCTCGCAACACGACGAGCATGAGCCTCAGCCTTGCCACCCTTAATATTCCACTTAGCAAACTCTGTCTCACGAGGCCGATCAATACGACAGCCCAACTCGCGGAAATACTGCTGAATAGTATTCGAATCCAAACGCAGATCATCACGCAGATCGGAGGGGTCGGTAGCAAGCTCATTAGGCGCATTTCCACCAAGCGAGCTAGATCCACCATCGCGCGCAGGCTGGGGCGGGATATGCAACGACAAAGCACAGATAGTCGTGTGCAAGAGGGTAAGATCGTTCTTCGAGACGAAGCCACCACTCGGCGCGAATCGGCGGCGGACAGCGTCGATGACCGACTCTGGGAGCAGATCGGTCGATGCAGAGTCCGTGGCTGCAGTAGCGGTGGCACCGGCTGCGCCGGCCCTGGTGCTTGAACCTGTGGTGCTGGAGAGCAGGCGGCGGAGATCCTCGCGGGGAGGAAGACGCTTGCTGCCTGGGCCGCCGCCCTTGGCGTTTGCGCCCATGCCCTTGAGGGAACGGCCGAATTCGATGAGGAGCTGGATGAAGCGCAGGACTTGGAGGTGGGTTGTGTTGTCTGAGTTGACGACTGGGCCGACCCGGCTTGAGACGAAGCGCGAGACGGTTGTCACGCCTAGCCCGGCTTCGACTTGGGATTTCCATTCTTCGACGCCGTTTAGGGCGCGGAGGGTTGACGGCCCGCCTGGGACGAGTGTGTCGATTGTGTAGACATCTGATGGGTGCGAGACGTTCAGGTTTGGTGTTGGGAGGGGCTTGGCTGCTTGCACTTCGGCTTGCACGGCGTTCATCTTTGCTAGGCCTGATGCTGTGTCTGCGGGCAGGGTTGAGATGAGGGCTGCGCCGGATTCGGGGACAGAGCCTGTTGGGGCGTTGGAGAGCTGGGCATTCTCGGCCATGGATTGTACGGCCTTGCGCGATTGTTTTGTGCCGAAGGTGTTGGTTAGGGCTGTGCGTTGGGCGCGCATGGTGTTCTGGGTTGGTTGTTAGTTTTGTAAGATCTGGGAGAACTGCGAGTATGAGGCGTACCATCTCTTCATCCGAATCTTCCTCTTCATTCTTTCTGCTGCGGACTGCTCCGCGGAGAGTTGCCCGGCGCACCTCGACAACTTTCCATGTCTTGTTTTCCGGGTCCACGATTGCGACGTAGTGCTTCAGCTGGGAGTCTGTGTCGTCTCCTGTGCCTTCACGGCCGACAAAGTCCAGCTTGGCATGATCTCCAGACTGCAGTAGCAACTCCGAGGAGACAATGCCCGAGTTCCGGGACGCCGCCGCAGATTTGGAGGCAGTGGAGCGGTTTTTGATATATGGGTTCCAACGGAGGGATTGAGCGCTCTGAAGGCCTGGAGTATCGGCTATAATGCACAAAAACTGTTAGGTCGGACTTGAAGTATCACGGAAAAGGTTTGCACTCACCAATTACCGGCGCCAATTCGGTCTTATCTTCGACAACGCTGGCAGCCAGCGGGGGAAGCAATTGAAGGCTGGACCTTTTGTTTGGGCGCTCATTTTCAGAGGAGCGCTTGCGCTTGGTATCTGTCTTATTTGACGGCATTATGGCCTGAAGATTGGAGAGAGACCCGACGAGATCTTAGCTCTTGAAGTTCGAGAATCGGCTCTAGCGCGGTGAAATAAAATGTCCTGGACTAGTCTGGCAGAAAAATTTACAGACCCGCTCGGCGGTGAGATACTCCACGCACAAACGAATATTGACGTACTTGGGCAGCTCGAGTCCATACAAACATCGTGCATACGAATAGATGTTTACATTTTATACTTGAAGCGTAGTACTCATGAAGTCATGGATTCATCTGCAGGAGCTAAATCTAGACCTCCGAGCTATTCCAGTTATTTTGGTTTAATAAACTTCCGGAAAAACCTTTCCATAACTCCGACCACCTCGTAAGAATAGTCGTCGCATGTAAAATTGACCAGTAACCCCAGTGCCGTGCTCAAAGACCGATGCGATGCACCAGTCCTCCAACATCCACCTGAACACATGAGCCTCTCCGAGTGATAACCATGCCTAACATCAAATACCGACGTTGAATGAATCCGAGGTGTTGGAAAATAGTAGGGACTGTTGTGTAAACAGCGGACTCCGTCGATGATTTGCGATTTCTTCTGAAGTGATGGGTCGGAAATCTTGCCCGGGCAGGCAACTCGATAAGCGAAAGGCGTGTCACGAGAAACGAAAGTCGTCACATCGTGTCGTCAATGATCGTGTTCAGCGTTCAAACATGAGCTCCGGCATGGAGAGCTGAGATGGAAGGGGCGAGTAGTTTATTTGCTGATAAATTGGTTAGCTTGTGAGCATTCGGGACGGACTCGCGCGAAGCTATCGCAGTGGGTGGCGACTCACGATCTGGCGCGCATCTTTCTTCTCTTGCGCTTGAGACGACGGACGCGCTTCTTTCTCCACTTATCTCTCATCTTCGTTCTGCTGACTGGTTAGTAAATTTCAATGGCATCAGCTTTGGAATGGTAACCCACGATTTGCGAGGATGAAATGGGGATAGTAGAAAGAAAGATGGAGAGTGGCGGCCCGAGACGCATTTACGTATGGTGCGGCTGACTCAGCCGCTCTCGCTTAGACCCCACACGTGATCCCAAGCTTCCATCAGTGACGACACCTGACCATGCCAAATTAGGAAATTCGGTAGGGTTTAGCTCCATTTATTACTCCAGTTATTATTTCGTTCAGGACGAACTATTTGCAAAGTGATTTATGAGAATTATTGCTTGTGTTGCTCTAGGGCAATGACGTTGAAAGAGGTGCCTCGAGGGCGTTATCATTATTTATATGTATTAAGTACCTCCCATCAAATCACAGCAATTCCAAGCTTGGGTATAGCGGATCGTACGTTCAAGATATCAATACAGCAAATATTTCATCACTCATGGTGCAATAATGCAAAAGGGTCCAAGAATCCACATATCTGGGATATTCAACAAGTAGCAAAACAAACATCCAACGAGTATCGCTCAGTATGCGTAGCGGTAGGTAGGAGCCAAATCACCGAGGTACTCCTCCTCTTCCTCGCCAATCGAAGCAACATCAACTGGAGCACGATCACGCTTCTTGTTCTCCCACATAATCGCAATGAGATAGGCAACACAAGCTGCGACAGAGAAGCAGACGAAGGAGAGAGAAATGATGTAACCGGTTCGATAGTCGGTCTTACCATTCTTCTCCACGAAAGACCATGTCGCAATGATACCACCGATGTTGCCGAAGCCAATCTGCCAAGCAGTTCCCACGCTGCGTCTGTGATGACCACCTAAATTCATAGCGAACCAACATACGATGACAGGCATGGCGCTGTAGCAGCCGCTGGTGACGAGGAAGAGAGCACCATACTGGGCATCTGTTTGAGCTTTGCTGGTGATTGTAAGAAGCATTGCAAATCCGGCAATTGCAATGGCCATTGGTATCATCGTGAATGCGAATCGCTGATGCATTCTATCGGAGAAGAATGCGATGATCATTGAGACACCGAAGGAGACAGCCCAAGGAGGGATGGAGTAGAGCTGAGTTTTGATAGCTGCGAGAGGATGTTAGTGGGAGAGCGTTTCGCGTAGGTGAGGAATCTTACAATCGTATCCGTAAGACTTAATGATAGTAGGAGCGAAGTAGGCGTAACCTGTGACGAGATGTAAGTGGTTGTTCGAAAGGAAGTCGTAATTGTTTTGTACTTACTGTAGGCAGGGACGATCAGACCGAAGTACATCAAGCCTCCGATGAAGATCTTGTCTTTGGCAAAGTTAGCACCTGCACCAAACCAAAAAGGATCCAGCTTGACTTACAGTCCTTGAAAACGCCCAGAACCTCCTTCTTGCCCATGCGAACATGATGAGCAGCCTTACCCACATCCTTGGCCAACTTGGCGCGCATGAAGGTGCGCTCTTCCTCGTTGAGCCACTTCACATCCTCGGGGAAATCGGCGATGAAGAAGAACAAGATCAGAGCAACAACACTGGTCAAAACGCCCTCAATGATGAAGACCCATCGCCAGCCACCGTAGCCACGAATACCGTCCATCTTTCCGATTCCACTGGCAAGAAGACCACCGAAAGCACCAGCCAGACTGGTGGAGCTGAAGAAGAAACTGAAACGCTTCTGGGCTTCTGAGCGCTTGTACCACATGCCCATCAGGTAAAAACCTGCGAGTCCGTTAAATCTGGGGCCAACAGGTTGAATGTTCCGGTGTGAAACTTACATCCAGGGAACATGCCCGTCTCGAAGACTCCCAAGAAGAACCGGGTGGCCATCAATCCACTCCAGTTACTGACCAAACCCTGGAAGACCAGAACCAGACCAAACATGAACATGCAAGCCGATACTAGAGAAATTATTAAATGACCGACCTCTGCAACAAGGATTCATTATTCAAGCACTTACACCAGACATGAGGCTTGAGCTTCTTTAGCAGCATATTCGACGGCACCTCGAAAATAATGTATGGGACGAAAAAGATCGTGAGCGCACTGTTGTACTTCGTTCCCTCGGTGATATTCAAATCCTCCTTAAGACCGAGAATAGCAGCATTACTGATATTAACACTGTGCAACGAACCAAAAGTCAGAATCGCGCGCAAAATATAATGAGCTTGCACAAAGCCGAAAAAACATACCGATCCAAGAACGCAAGCAGGTACAGAATACACAGACAGGGCAGAATATGCCAATCAACCTTGGCCATCAGTCTACGCTCAGTCGTCGACGTAAGAGGAGGGAGTTCGTTGTCATGCTGAGAGCTAGATTGGCTCTCGCCATTATCAATAGGCTCTTTCAGATCTGCGCAGGGCGGGGGAAAGCCCGAGTCGTCAGCACGAGCTGTGAGCGGGAACGCGCCGGCGCGGAAATGGCCCGAAGGAGCAGAAAAGACAAAATCCGGGGTATTTGGCGCATCGCGCCTAGAACGTACCTGTGTCACCCATTGTGAGCGATCGCGCCTGCGTGGAACGCACTATGGGTCGAATCGATCGGCAGGGTTGGGAGCGAGAAGATTCAAGAAGGAAAAGAGAAGATGTTTCGTGGGCCGGGGTTCTGAGGTGCAGATCACCGACGCAGGGATGGGATTACCCGAGGCTATTTGGGCCAATACAACGCAGGGTTGGGATGCAGATGTAGAAAATTGCAGACTGGGGCGCGAGGAATGAGGAAATTGAATAGAAAGAAGAAAAAGAATTAGAAAGCCAGATATGAAGGAGAAAAGGGATTGAGTCACCGTAAGTCGCAAAGCTGTAGATCCACCCAGGGCCCGATCTCGGCCAGTAGTGCGACTATGATTTTTTATGCGTTCAGCTGCATTTTCTATTTCGCTTTTTTTTTATTGATCTGCAGTCAGCTAGATGATCTGTCTGGAATTGATTGTCCTACTGCAGCTTCTAATCTTTGCTATCTCTGAATAGCTCTATTCTACCCCATGGCTATAACTTGGGGGTCGCGCGAACCCTCGGCTTCCCCGCAAAAACAACAAAGAGGAAAGGCGGCTCCGGTTCGGCCAATGACTAAATAGCCATCCGTCAGCCTTGGCTTTGCGCGGGGTGTTGCATTTATTTGCAAGCCACTTCGATATGTGATAGAAAATTCTCCTATTCTCACCGTGGCAATTTGGATGACGAGCTATTGCAGGCGTGGACCCTGCACAGACCATGAACTCTGCAGATCGGGAGCCCACCCGGTCCACTGTTCAAGCGAAAGTGAGATCTTCTGCTCGGGGATGGATCTTTGCCTGGACGACTATTCGATCGAGATTGTGAAAACTCTATACGCTACGTGCCCGGATATTCTTCGGGTGAATGATTGGTTCCTGAATGATCAATTTCTCCCCGATCGTGGTTGATCGAGCATGTGGAGACTATCTCGGTGGAACCTCCGAATTTTGAGACTTTAAGCTGTATATCGGTCGTTCACCGGCCCACGCTAATGCCACTGTGGACACCGTCATCTTTACCAACTATTGAAGAGTGGAAGAAATTTTCGAAAGGTTCTGTAAATGGATACGATTAAATGAGCCAAGTCATGAAATTATGTCTACCAGTAACACCGTGTGCCACGATGCTCATAGCTCCAGCATCTGCAATCGGATATTATCCTTTGTGGAGGAGGTTGTATATCATGCAATGCAACAACCGAGAGATTAACACCCAGCATTTCAAAAGCCTGAGCAAAAGACAAGCCTTCTATACACTCGTCCGCCAAAATCTGTTCAGGCGAGCGGAAATATTCCATATTCTCAGCATAACCTCGCATTTCGCATGTCAACCATCTAAATTTCGGGAGCTGTCCCGTAGAAATAGCGTGATAAATCCCAGTCAGAGGAAAGCTAGGCCCACAGCAGCGAAACGTCAGAAGCTCTAGACTTGGAGGCAACAATTCCCCCCAGCGCCACGAGTCAACCTTGTTTGCAGGTTTGCATTCACCCCCTTTATCTCCAACCAGCATCCTTGGTGTAATAGCCAGACTTTGAAGGACCGTAAATGGACTGAGATCAATTTCTTCGCTCCAGTCATGGTATAGATCCAAATCAAGGATCTGGAGGGAAGAAGTGTGGTTCTTGAGGACGTCAATGTATTTGCCTCGGTCACTCCCGCATCTGAATCCGTATTTTGACTCGCTAGGCTCTCCTTTGAGTGTGAAGCATTTCAATGCCCGTGGATATCGCAACATCAATTCTAGCTCTTGGCTTGAGATATTGCAGTTCAGCAGCTCTAGTTCCTCTAGGTTTGTTGACCGGAGTGTGGGAGGATGGATATGTTGGTATTCCCATTTGGCTGATACTGCAGCCCCCGTGATGCTGATCGTTGTGAGATTGGGGTGATAGAAGAGAGCCTCGTACGGAGTCAGAGTCCATTCATAGTCGCGGTGGTAGTCGAAGCCAAGGTTTACTATTGTTGTCAGCACTACTCACAGGGCCTGGCCCAGGTGCCACTTTAGGTGGGATGCCTTGCTTACTGTGACGAAGTGCAGGAAGAACTTCATGTGGCCGACAAATAATACTGATTTTTTGAGCTTTCGAGCGGCTGAAGAAGTCGGTTCGTAATGCCAACGACTCCAAATTGATGAACCGGGTAATAGTTGAATCAAAATCTTCTGAGCAATTTTCGTCCTCGTTCTCGTCCGTGCCATGGGAATGAATTTGTAGTTCACGCACCAGAAGTGCTAATTCACAACGCTGGGAAATTGTCCATGAGAATTGTTTGGCGCTCTCATATCCGACTAAGTTGATAGATTTATACAGATTAGGTGTGATGAACGAATGAAGACCACGACACACAAGGCCAAGAAGGCTGAGGTCAGCTGCGGATGAACAAGCTTCATCAATGACAATTTCGAGAATCTCTGCGGGTAATGATAAAAGACGAGAACTAGAAGAATCCATCTGCAGGGTCAACTGATCATGGGGCGCTAGGCCAGGTTTGCTGTTCGGGCCTTGTTTCGAGAGGGATGGGTAGAACGTTGGAAAAGAGACCGCCGCTAATGAGCGGAGGCGTCCACCCTCCATGGCTAAATCAAGCGTCTGGTGTAGAGTGGAAGAAGTTAGTGTGGAGGCAGCGTTTGATTTTAAGGCAGCAAACGCCCATGAGGCGCCTCTTATGCACACCGTTTGTTGTGTGGCCCCTATAAGGTTTGTCTTTGAGTGGGAAACAACTATTTTGACATAGGCGGTATCGAAATGGATACACGATACCATCCTCAATTTACTAATTTAGATAAAATTAAATGAGACCTCTACATGCATGCACATTCACCTCTTGGCAGATGAGCTGTAAGTACTCCTGAATCCTAGTCGCGATATAGGTACCGCTGCCTCAAAACCCCGCGTGTTTGCTTTTTCTTTCTTTCTTTCTTTCTTTCTTTCTTTCTTTCTTTAAAGGGGGATAAGGCCTATTGCCCCAAATATCAACCTGTGCAGAAAGATCAGTAGAGTCATTATTAAAACCTAGTAAACTGTCGCTTTTTCTATGGTCTAGTAAGCTTGCGTCCTGAACTTTTGATAAATGTACCTGTAGAGTGGTAAATGGCACATGATCGGAGGAGACTTAAACAGAAAAGCGGGTCCTTGCGCAGTCAAACGCGTAGACAAACATCCTTCTGGTGTGAGGCTCTTTGTACTCCACAACTTTAACGAAGCGGTTGGAGCTTTTTACAAATAAGTATAAATGATATCTCAATTCCAAATCCAAGACTAGGCCTGACCAGCTTAGTCTCCTCCCTCCACCCCCAAAACATGTGTGGCTTACCAAAGAAGGCAAATACAAAGCTTGCTCTAAAGTAAGAATAAGAGAGATGGAAATTAGGTTCCAAACACCGAACATTCTTTTTTGTTCTCTCCAGCCAGAGAGATTCTTGGATCAATGCTTTCTAAAACTGTAGCCAGCCGATGCGTGAACCATGCATTATTACAAATATTCAAAGCCCCAATCTATTCCACGGCAATAACTTCCATCTGCACATCCCTATTCTCCATCTTAGAGACCATAACAGTAGTTCGCGGCGGAGCAAAAGGCAGCTTCCGTTTATAAACCGCCTCAAAATCCGAAACGCCCTGATAACAGTCCCTGAAATAAACCTACTTAAGAGTTTAGTACAAAACAACCCGGAAACCCCGTTCAATAATCTCATGTGAGCCATACCGTTGTCTTAACAATCCTGTCAAGACTAGATCCGGCAGCCTTAAGGATAACCTCTATATTATAGAAGATCCGCTCAGCATTAGAAGAGGGCGACCCAATAGCAAGACCAACACGAGGCGCAGCCGCAACCTGGCCAGCTACATATATTGTGCCGTTGGCCTTGAATGCCTGGGACTATTCAATGATTGGTTAGAAATGCACCGGGTCAGCTGGTGGAGGAGATCCCGCTTACAGAGCGGCTAGGTGCTGCAGGTGATGAATAGTTTAGCCACAGATCGCATCAATTAATGAAAGGTGGGTACTTTGGGGGAAGGGACAACACTCACGAGATGGGGCTGCGGATGTTCGTATGCACTCGATCGCTGTTGCTCTGCGGGGAATGGTGTGGTAATCCGGTGGTGGGTGTTCTGGATGTTCCTGTTCGTCCGACATGATGAGGCTGAACAAAAGCAAAGCGAATGCTGTTCCGTGGTATTTGAGTCTATTGCTTTAGTTTATTATGTGGCTGATCAAGGGGGGAAAACCTTGATATTTTGCACGGTCCTTGGATATATGAGAGGGCGGAGTGGGCCTATCAGGGTGTTGTATAGAGCCACGGGGGGCAGTGCACTAGACTTGTTTTGTCATGCATGAAATCACACTAGTTTAGATCGTGTCGTATTTCGGTGAATCTTTGTTCCATTTTCTTATTTAAATATGAGTAATATTTATTGAATGTGAATGTTGTAGCTTGTTTAATTGAATGCCAAAACCCGACGCTCAAGGGCCCGAAGTTGCGCTCAAAATCCGGCTGTTCACTTCATCCATATCGGAATTCCGGCAACATGGTCGGTGACCAAGCATCTGAAGTCATCCGAGCGATAATAAATAGTGAAATCATCGTTAGGTGAGTTGCCTCTGCTCAGCTTCTCTCCACATTGCCAGAAGAAGTCTGCGCCAATCCCTTTGGTGTCAAGCGCGGTTCATTACCATTGGCATTCGATGCTACATTTTTTTGGAAGCCATTCCATATTCTTCCATAAGGCACAGCTTGTACGCTGCTGCGCAGGCTTTGCCATGAGCCGTGATCCAACCATTTCCGAAGGAATTGGCAACACCCCTTGTAGAATTGATATTAGCATAGAACAAGTCAGTGGCAGAATGAAGGGCGAAAAAGGTTAGGAATCCTGGGAAACATGTAAGTCAAAGGGTACAGATGGAAAGTTCCAAAATCAATGGTGTCTTATCTTGAAATTCTTAGCAAAGTCAAGACCCTCGGCATGTGTAGGGGTAGCTTCCGCCTGAGCCAGTATCTAGACCGAAACCCTCTGTACATTATGCCAGTGACCGAATATTTATTGTTAGTGTTGCAGCTACTTACCGTCTCCGATAGCCACCATGTGCTGTGCATCGATTGATTTAATGGATGCACTGGTGGATGCAGCCCACCAATTATAGAAATTCGAGGTGTCACAACCATTGCAACAAGGCTCATTCGCCAATTACCAAGTAAAAGATAGCCGACAACTGACTATATCTCGAGACAACAGCTTTGATATATTTGCGGTAGGTCTTCTGAATTACTGAATTGGTATACCAGTCCCCACTATTACCAACAAAAGCAGTGGTATAGGCATCGATGCCGCCATAGTCAGATCAGTTGTTAACAAAGTTGATGATCAGTTTGATTCCCCTTTTTTTAAGCCGCCGCGACAATATAGTCTAGACGCTGCAGTCCATCAGATCCAGTGTTGATGGCCGCAGTTCCATTTTGGAGTAGCTGGAAATACACCTTTCCTGGCGCAGGCTTGGTGTTCACATCGTTAAACCCCAAGACACGGAGGGTGCAGATACAAGAGTGCTGCAGATGATCGAGAACAAGATCGATATCGGCGTTGTTGAAGTTTTCTGATCCGATAACTGTTGGCTCCAGAAAATTAGTCTCTTTGGCCGCCAATCGTGAATTTTAGACCGTTTCTACCGGCAAAGGTACCATAGGTGGTGTTCCGACGATAGTTTGCACGGGCTGGCCATGTGACTAACAGTACTTCGAGTCATGGATTCCTTGGGCATTGCGTAGTCCCCACTGCGCGTTTCACTCAATTTGTTATGCGGGACTCCAACGTGGTGGTTGACAGTGCCCTAGCTATATGCTGCGACCTGGGCAATCTGTCAACCGAGGAGATCAGAAGACTAGAGGAACGCATTTTGATATTTGATATCGGCTTGTCATAACTTCGAAAATGCCATGCTTCGTCGTGATTTTATATAACCAATTGAGTGAACTGTCAATCACAAGGATACGTCTTTGAAGCTCCTTGACCATTGTGGACACGAGAGTCTCATGTATATCACACTTTTGCTACTGAAATGATGCAGGGTGGATCGAAATCAATTTCACCACTTGCGCACAGAGATTCTTTCTTGAGCCCTTTCCCCAAACACGCTATTTACCCTTTACGGTTATTCTGCCCCTGAACCCCTGTCTTGGCAGTATTTTATTACACTCGTAAATAACAGTGTCGGAGTAGCATTTGTATTTGATCCGTAAGGGTTTAAGAGGTTATAGAATTTCGATCTAGCAAACAAGCCAAGAAGAAGGATGCCTGCTTCTTTCTTCAAAGACGTGGCAGGGCCTCTAATCCCTATTCTACCAATCACTTGTGTCAGAACCCCTGTTCATGCGTGCCTGATTCTGTCCAACATGCGCATTGCGACGCGTCACATTGAAAATGATCGTCTCTTATGAAAACAATCGGCAATCAATTGTGTGTGGTCGCCCTTAGATGACGCATAATATTACCACTTCGGAGCACGAACTGTTTCCTGGTATAATCATTAGCGGGGAAGTGTCCATATCATAGATGGTAGAGGCTCCAACTTCAATACCTGCTTTACTTCATGTCGCTTGCTCATAGTTGTTTTATCGCTTCCACTTCAATCTCAATTCTCATTGCTGGAAATGCTAGCTGGGGCACAGCAATAGCCGTCCAAATAGGTCGATGACCCGGGATACGCTCTTTGAGCTTTTTGACAATCAGATGAAATGAAGCGCCGATATCAACATGGTAGCTGCGGATCGAATAGACGTCTTCCCAGCCGCGAAGACCCGAGGCTTGTAGCACCCTGTCGACGTTCTGGAAAGCAAGCTCTACTTGGCTAGGAATATCGTCGGCATTCAGAGCGCCGGACTGCTCCCAACCTCCTTGCCCAGAACATTTAACAATGTTCCCTAGCACAACTGCTTGAGAATAATGGCATAGGTCGCTATGTTTCTGACCAGCGCCCTGTTCGTTGATATAAGTCAGAGAAGACATTATAATCGCGAGGCGGAATTGTTCCTAGTGGAGGACAAGCACAAAGGTTGATTAAACGAGAGAATATCGAAAACTGAGATTGTTAAAAATCGCTAGCAGCCCACGACTGAATTACTCATATACTATAGCGGAGCTCCACTTATGGAGGTTTTTGGAGGTGCTTGGAGGTGCTTGGAGGTAGTTCTCCACTGTCTCCACTTGCGTCTTCGTTAAGTTTGCGGCGATGACGAAATTAGTCTCAATTCAATATTGAACTTGAGACAAAAATTCACAATCACCTCCATTAAATCGACTTTGCTTTTTCCATCTCCAGTGATCTTCTCCAAGACTAGCAACGAAAGGTTCACTGGGTTTCAATGTGAGATTCAAACCATCTTAGAACGACGTAGTACGAAGTGCTCGAAAGGGACAGCATGAGTACTTCACTGAGCATCGCTGCGAAAAACTTAAATGGCAAGCAAAGTCGACAACGAGCGACCCAGGTCCTGCGAAATGCCAGCTTTCTCTGCAAGAATATTACAAGTAACCTATCGGTACTTTTTCCCACGTGACAACTTTCAATACGATCCAGTATTTAAAACCGAGACAAGTTCAAACTGGAATAGCGTGTCTCAGAATAGGGATCGGCAAATAATCTGTGTGTGCAAGTGGCGAAACTGATTTCGATTCTCCCTGTATGATCTGGCCAATTAAACTTGATGTTGATGCAAGGGATTGAAGAATATTAAAAGGCCCACTAGGTTTTCCTCAAGCATATAGGGCGAGGCGGAACAGACCATTCGAGGCAAGGAACAGGGGCGTGGGGCGGAAACTACTTGGTGAAGCCTGATTTACTGACTTACTGGTGTAAATAGGTGGAAAGTGCAATGCCAAAAACCCCCGGATACCAGATCTCAATGTATCATACTGCGGCCATTTCATGATCGACAGGATAAGGATAGCTGCCAAGAGATACTTTCAGGGCAATATATTTAGATCAGCTCGATAAATGCCATTCATCTGGAACAGTAACTTTTAAAGTAACACTAGGAAACTCATAGATGAGCCTACGAACCACGAAATCATTCTGCCTCGGTTCCCATCTTATTCACCATTCTTTTGTGCTGAGATTGAATACGACGAGATTCTGTAAGAAGTCCTTGGTTTGTGAGTTTGAGGTTCACCAAGTATTCGGCTGTTGCCTGTCACGCTAATGTACATGGTTCTCCGGGATTCTCCCACCCGATTTAGTAAGTTGGTGGAGTCGTGTAGATCGGGATCGGGACATGTCAGGCTCAGGCGGTCCATCTTTTAAGACCTTTGAAGGGTCTGGCCCCTATTGACTTCAAGTACACAGTGGCGCAACAAAAGTATTTGAACTCTAGTACTTCGGGGCAGGACCCACTTTTTAATACTGCCAGCAGAAACCTCGAAAATTTAATCAATTTAATAGCTAGTATGCCACCCGTTATACTTAATAACATCTAATAACATCAGCTACCCCGTGAAGAAATATCTTGTTGAAAAACAGTTTCATGATTAATATGATGAAACAGCGTAGGTAAGACGTGCTAATCGAGCTCTTCGATCGTACGTGAAGAAACGCCACCTCTTTAAGATAGGGAATCCCCGGATAGTGAAGTAAGGCGTAATTAGACTTTCGCAGAACCCAACCTAAACCGGACCCAACCCGGGCTGGTTTGGGTTTTGAGTTGAACCCCTGAACCCGGGTTGGGTCTTGCGTCGAGACCTTCGACTCAAATTGGGTTTTGCGGAAGTTCTAGACCTAATTGACGCGGAAGACCCGAAAAAGCGTCCCAAGATATCTGCTTAATTTGCTTCCCTCGCGCCGGAACAATTCAAACTTAAAACCCTTTTTTCGAATGCTAAAAAAGCTGGTCCCTGGGACGTTGACACATGGGAAATCTTAGTCCCATGAGGGTCACGTGGGATCCACTTCCATGGCACTAAATTCCAGAGCGTATTGCCAAGACTAACCGTTTACCTATTTCGGTAGTCCCATGTGAGATGGGACTAGCTTTCTAAAATTTCCCATGGACATGGGACCAGATTTTGGCTAGTCCCATAGGAAATGTCAAACTCTACTCGGACATGTTAAGGTAAATTTTTTGACGCTAGCCAATTCCACGTTCAATCGTACATTCGCCAGACCAATAGACGCGGGCCCAATCCTCCGACGTAAAATACTGATATTGAAGAGCCCAGCGTAGACGTTTCTTAGCGTGTAAAGGTGTCAAAGACAGAAACTGGATCTTCCTCTATTTTCGAAGGGCTATTTTCTGAGTTAGATGCCAAATCGACATTCGGTGGACCTTGCGAAATCAACCTCTCCGAGTAGATCCTTGATTAGAACTGACTGGTTTTCTTGTATGGTATCGTGGATATAGCCTTGATCCACTTCTATAAACTTCCTAGGGGTGCGTAAGCGTGGAAGGATCTCATGGTTTTGAAGTATTGCTTCTTGGGTAAGCCTATATTGAATAGTAGAGCGTGGAATGTCGGGAAAGCACTGCTTCCTGATAGTTGTAGCACCTCAGCCGTTTGTAGCACATAATTCGCAGATCTTACCTCTTTTTCCGCATATAGGAGGCATTGTTATAGAGAGAGACACGCGTTAACATTATGGCGTACATACTGGCGCATTGAAAACGCGGGTTTGTGTATACTAATAAAGTAGGCGGTATGAAAAGCGGCCGGGGTCCCGAAGTACTCGGGGTCAAATACTTTTGTTACGTCATTGTACAAGGTATTTATCGACTTCTTTCTCTTCTTTGATCTAGCTTAGAAGTCAAGCAAGTCCTTCCAGCTCGTTTACAACTTTCTGCCTTGGGCTAGAATAGAAGTATTCTCTAATGTTCATGCAATTTAGAACCAGAACAGAATCCCCAGTACTTACCGAAATCCCGATTTGACCCTGTTCGAAAGGCACCGAGGAATTGTGTTCAAAGACCCATGTTGGACAAATTTTTTGTGAATGTTGTAAATGCACAAGACACTGTTGAAATGAGATCTACAGTAATGTCCCTTGGAATGCATAGTTAGGTGTACGCAGGGTCTGATAGGTGGATGTTCCGCCTTCTCACTACTAAAAACGGGTAAGTTGCCAAGGGATTTTCTCTCGTGTCCATAACCGACACGGAATGGCTTGGCTGAATCGGGAATAGTGAAAAAGCCAAAAGTGAACATCACAATCGGTAACTTTAAGTGTTCCAATGTTCCTTTGGTGACATTTCACTTTCCGATTTCCTCAGAAAACCATGTGACATTTCGCCACGTCGGCTGCGTTGTGGCTTGTGCATGCATAGGACACATCTTGCCACTACAGGCGAGAGTTGGATCTTCCTACATTGCCAAGAGCCCCGTTTGGCTTTAATTCCACGTACACCACCTACAAGACCTCTGAGCCTTCTCAGAATAAATATTTATCGTTGGAAGCACCGCCTAATCGGCTCGAATGGTGGTCGAATTTCTTGATCATATTTTTTCTTTTAGGGCTGACTTTCATCTTAGAATATCTTCGGTAGCGCCCAGTGTGATATCGATCGTCATGTTTCTCTCCTTTGAGGCTCAGCCAGAGGATGGCGAACAGGGTGTGCGTAACCCAAAACATGCAAAGCGCGGCGAGAGACTCGGCCAGCGACAGTCGATGGTACGCGCCTGTAACTCCTGTCGTCGGCGCAAGATCAGATGCACTGGGGAGAAACCTTGTGAATCATGTCGATGGTACAAAACACCAGAGCTGTGTTGCTATCCGGAACGCCGGCAGTGGTCAAGGTAAGGCAAACTCGTTATATGCAGGACACGAAAAAAAAGTCCTCTCCCCGCGGAAGTTGAAAAATACAAACTGAAGACAATAGCCACTCGGACAAATCGCCAACATCACCAAGCAATTATCGAGTCGCACTGAGACGGCTCATTCCAAACACAGCCCCAGCCCCCGAAAACATCGTCGATTTACCCAGAGAGCAAAATTTAAATTTGGTGAACACAAACGGATCTCAAGATGCACAGCACCAGGAATCACCAACCGCTGCCGCGTCAATTCAAACACACAACTCCGCATTGTCTATATCAGAACCAACTCTAGAATCCCTGCATTCCATGCCAGAGGAACTACTCGACCAAGACCAGTGTCCTAGCCGATCTGAATCACTTGAGAATATCTCAGACGATGTCAACGCATTATCCCTGACCTCCCGACAGCCTGCCTCGTATTTGGGTATCTCATCTATCCAAGCTGCTATGAAAGTTATCGCATGGCTCCATCCACAGTTCAGGTCATCCATATCCCGCGTCTTACCCAAGTACCAAAAAAGTCAGGCACTTAATTCGGTCCCGTCTATTGCTACACCATCCAGCTTTCCTCCCACAGAAATGGAAATGCTAGATGCGTACTTCGCCGACTTCCACCCGCTCGCACCACTCTTAGATCAAAAGAACTTTCGCGCCACTTACCTGACTGGAAACCGGAAAGACAATCGATGGCTAGCCTTGCTCAACATAGTCCTAGCGTTGGGGAGTATCGCAGCCTCGGGCTCAGATAGTCACAAACACGAGGAATATTTTGAGCGCTCGATGAATCTCCTGAATCTGGCTACACTCGGGACTCCTACCATGGAGACTGTTCAGACTCTAGGTCTCATTGGAGGCTGGTACTGTCATTATACAAGCCAGCCAAATCTCGGATACTCCCTGATGGGCGTGTCACTGCGCATGGCGGTCACCTTAGGGATACAACGAGAGCCTTTCGATGGCCATTTGGTACTGGACCCTGTCAAAGCTGCCTACCATGAATTTAAACGTCGTGTATGGTGGTCACTTTGCTGTATGGAGACATGGGGTCATGAGACCCTCGGGCGACCATGCATGGACTTTTTTGCTCCAAGCATCACTGTCTCCCAGCCTCGGCTGCTTGATGAGGTTCGTTTCAATCGCGCTCCCATTTTTCCAAATCCCCTTTGCCCGGATTGAGTACCACAATGGAGCTTGTAAATAACACCTTGCAGGAAAATTACCTCCAAATACTCCCCTTGATCGAAAATGTCGGTTTCGTGAAGATTGCCTCGAGAATACAAGAATCGTTAGCTGGCCTGCCAACAATCACTCACGCAGAGACAATCGATCTGGACTCGCAGCTTCTTTCATGGTGGAACAACTTGCCCCTAGCTCTGAAAGATTATGAGCCTTGTTCTGAGTCACTACACACCGCGCGGACTGTAATGCGTTGGCGCTTTAATAATCAACGCATGCTACTATATCGTCCAAAGCTACTAAGCTACGCGATGCGACGAGTCCCTTTCATGAGTATCCGAGAGGATGAGCGTCATGCCATTCTCAAGTGCCGTGAGATCGCGGAACTTAGCATTCAAGATATTTCCATGGCGGCAAGGTTGAATCAAATGATTGGCTGGAACGGTGTCTGGTTGTTATTCCAGGCAACCATGATCCCACTCATCTATTTATCTACCCGATCAACAAATGACGATGCCGTCGCCAAATTTGAAGCCTGCAAAACACAGGTTGAGACGGCTATAATAACGCTTGACCGTTTGAAGCCGTATGGACACACGGCAGAGCGTACTTTGGAGGTTGTTTCGGCAATTCTCGAAGTTTGTCTGCAGGGGACTGAGGTGGAATCTCTTGATAGAGCTGCGGAAAGTTTTGAACCTCAAAATGTTTCTCATTTCAATGAGTTCAATTGCTATCCACCGGCATCTGCAGATCGAGTTTGGACTTGGGCTGTTACATCTTTCGAAAACTTGCCAACTGACTCGATGTGGGAATATCTAAGTTGGGGTGCTCAAGATATGTGGCCTGGGGTTACCGATGTTGGTTTTGACAATCCAGCAATGTCTTTTTTTCAATCCACCGAGGGACATATTTGAGCCCGCAGCATCCTTAAGAATGACATGTTTATTCTCGAGCCCCGACATCACATGATATCCCCTAAATGTATATATTCTTTGATAAGCAGTGAAGTCCCTGTTCTCTGACTTGATTTCTTTGATTTGTATCGGTCGAGACGTTTCATTTCCTCCCTAAAGTCTTATGACCAAAATTCCCATAAGGATAATAAGAAGTGCGAAAATTCAGCCACCGACAGCGTATCTACAGATAATAACCATGAACTTCTACCAGCATTTAAGAACATGGCCTGGAACATGATAGGAAAAAGTATATTCAGAGTATCAGAAAACGTCAGGTAACATCGTTATCAAGCATCTCTAGCCTGCAGCACCTCATCTGTTTCTGTAAAGACCAAGATCTTCTGTGATTCGGTGCTCTTCTTTCTCGGGTTAGGAGCATTAAATATATCCGTGAGCTCCTCGAGAGTCCGCTTGCATGTCTCAACAGCAAAGAAGTAGATAAAGATGGCTTGCAATATATTCCAGCCGGCCAAGAGGATATAAGTATGCCATTTGATGACAGCCATGGCGTTCCCCATTCCAAACTGGTTCACGAGCAACGCGACGTTAGTGAAGACTGAGTATACAGCCATTCCTTTAGCACGAGTTTCATATGCCAGGCACTCCACAGGGTACATCGCTTGCAATGGTGTCCATCCAATGCTAAAGGAAAAGCCGATGAGGAAGATAATCACGATTGAAGCTGTGGCCGCCGAAGTATCCTGCATTTCTGAGTACACACCCGTAGCGGCTGATAGCCCAGCAAAACCGAGCTGATTATTTGCAAGTTAGAAAAAAGACTAAGTTTCGAAAGACAGCCTGCAAAAGATGCACACTTACACCACAAGCGATAGATGCACCAAGTAGCATAGGTCGTCGTCGTAGGGTTGGTGCTAAAAAGCCACCCATATAGGCTCCTGCAGCAGAGAGAACAGTGAAGCCGAGATTGACATCCAGGACTCGACTAGCATCAGTGACACCAGCACTTTCCAAAAGTCCGCCTATATAGTAGGTTGTTACACCTCCCTGCGCCCACTGGCTCATGAAAGATGCGATAACAACACACGCAAGACGCCATCTCGCAGGCTTAGTGTTGATGAGCTCCCGAAAGTCCCAAGACCGCTTATCCGATCCTTGGATATTGATTGCCTCCTCATATTCGCGAATTTGAAGAGCAACAAAGGCGTTTTCACGACTACCCTCGCCATGATATTTGGTGATGACATCCCAGGCCTTCTCACTGTGGCCGTGGCTGTAAAGCCACCGCGGTGATTCGGGAATGAGCCAAACAAGGGCTACAACGAAGGAGGAGGAAATCAGTTGACACCAAACAGGAATGCGCCAAGCACGGGAGTCTGGATACACTAGACATCCTCGACAAGCGCCAGCAGCGGCAATAGCACCAACAAAGTATTGACAATTGTAAAGACCAGTCAAGACGTCACGATAGGCGGGATGGCTCATCTCGACCACATAGGCGGGTGCGGCGGACGTAGCAATAGAATATCCGAAGCCTGCAATGCTTTGTTAACAACGCGGTTTGGAAATATGATGTAAATAGAGTAAAGTCAGTGTAGCAGCTACATACCAAGGAAAAATCGACTGGCAAGTAGTTGATCCATATGATTGGCGGTGCCCCCAAGAATAGTTCCGAGAATGACCGATAGAGACCCAACAAACATGCCGAATCGTCGACCGAAGTTGTCGAGCAGGTAGCCAACAAAAAAGAGCGCGCTGACACCTCCAATGGTATACATCCCCTGGATGAGAGACGCCTGAGAGCCAACCAAGCCAGCCCCAAACGTTTTTTGAAACTGAGGAATAGGAAGCAAAGAGCCCATGAGCGAGCCATCAAATCCTAAACAAGGTCAGCATTCGTGATACATCCAGCAACATGCTGATTCTCTCTTACCGTTCAAGACCGAGCACAAATATGCTACAGCCATAAATGCGTATAGCTTTCGCATTTGCAGACTCCATGGATTTGGGGGATGAGTTCGTCTGGCCAACTCTAAGGCCATTGATCCCCGAAGGACTTCTACCCTAATCCCATCTGTGCTCTCCTGGTGATGAGTCACGCTTATTCCTTCTTTCTCAGATGTCCGAATAGGTTGTACTGGTGTTGTTGCTGCCATGATGCCGTTCCGAAAACGTCGTGTTGTGGTGCTTTATGTCATGAAACACGAACTTGAGGATGCCTCTTTGTGGGCATATCAATGGGGAAAATCTGGAGTGGGGTGGCCTATTTATGTATTTTCATTTTCTTCCCTTGTTTAGCAGCTCTGGCGTTGGTCTTCTCGCCCTTGTAGAAAGGCTATGTGATGATTCGCTGGTGATAGCGTTGCGGACCCTCTTGGCAAATTCAGACAGTTCTATGGCATGAGATCTTTTTCTCCCATCATGATTTGACGACCTTAACATCTAGGGAGTGGCGAAAATACCCCAGACGGAAGATTTGTAGATCGTTCCATGAAACCACGTGGTGATCCCGCTTTTCGATGATCATTCGATTTTTCCGCCTCCTCGACCAAAAAGCTTAAAGTACGCCTCCCATGTTTCTGCGTGCGATCCAACAAATCAACGGGAGCTAACTCCACCCACGGAATCCCATGGATAGACCTGGCTTTTTTAGCACGAACACGAACGCGGAATTTTTCCGAGGTTCGGTCTTTCTGTTCTGTTTCAGACAGTCCTGTCGGCTTCTTCGGCCCTTGAGTTATAAAGTAAAGGCCCACGACTCGAGTCCTTCAAAGATCAGTTATGTCCTCGGCCCCTGCGCCTTTTTGACGGATCTATATCTTCTTTCGTTGTCTACTCGAAGGCAATTCCTGATGCTTCTGTTTTAATATATTGCCAATACAATTTGACTCTTAGCAAGACTAGATCCTACAACCACCAAGGCATTTTACTTCAGTTTGACTGTTTATAGGTTTTCCAACCTAATAGTCCCACAGGAAAATTCGTATGCTCGTGTCTTATTTGATACCTGCTATGCTTCCCTTCGGAATAAAGTCAGAATATATTGAAACTTGTACGTTGCTGGAATTGGAAATGTCATCAGCCACGATTTACATACAGCATAATCTCTTGAAGGCCTTCACAGATACAGAACCCCAAGATTAATCGGGTTTACTTAGAAAGTTACTAAATGTAGAAAAGAAGCAGCGTTGAATCTTAGCCGATCTTTGCCACTTCCCACACAGATTGACAGGAGCAGGTCTAGTTGTATCATGGTTGTTGCCTGTCTATATAAAAGCCATTCGAGCTAAACACAATATAAGATATTCTGTTGAATTGCTTTTTTTTTTTTTTTTTTACACAGCAATGTTTATTATTCACCAGAAGAGTCTCATTCTCATACAATTTCAAGAAGCCACAAGATGCAGCTTCTTTCTATCTTTAGCGCTTTGGCCCTACCACCTGCAGTTATCTCGTCCCCAAAGACAGGATCCAGTCTTGCTGCCTGCGATGATGAGCGAGGAAACTACGTTATTTCTGGTCTCGGGGCTCGTAAGCAACAGGTCATTGGTGCAGGTGGCAACACCCACAACCTTGCTATTGCGATGTTGGAGACAGACATCATGACTACCGATTACACATACGGTATGCCCCAACGCCAAACAGTGGACCAAAATATTGCTAAGCTGTATTCTCATAGGTAACGGAAAGACTGGTGATGCACCAACTTTGGAATGTTCAAGCAAAATCCGTACATGTTGCACACCTCTGCGTCTGAGTTCTTGGGGGTTCTTGGGCAAGAGTGCCAGCCGGTTTCCGAAGGCGCGATTCTCAAGTTAGTATCCCCGTCCTTTCTGCTACTCGAGCCCGACGCTGGCTAACACACCCGGTCATTAAGCTTTGATTTGGGCAAGGATATCCGGGCCCGTCACGACGGCGAGGATAATTATGGCTATGAAGTTGGTTTTCTGGCCACCGCAATGGACAGTCCGGTGTTGAAAGTCCTTATAACTCCGATATTCAAAGTCAGTCACTCCTGCGATAATTACTACATTGATGATCATCTCAGCTGATTTCGTTAACAGGATACAAGGATGCTGTTCTGTGGATCCAGCAAATAGATTGAGAGCAGCAATAAGCACCAGAGTGATGATAATCGGTTCTGGGTCAAGGTCCAGACTATATAAGCCCCGAAACAACGGCTTGCCGGGGACGATAGCCTGTCTTTCTTTCGTCACAGGTCGGTTTCAACTCTTCTTTACTAGATCCAAGGAAGATGACGAGGGGAAGTCCCCTTACGTACCTAACTTAGCACTTGCGTGGTTTTTGGAATGAAGTTTCCCTCATCTTCAGATCTTATACAACTGTGATATTTCAATTTGTCATGCCTCTTGTCACACAACCACGCAAAATTGAGATATCTTGTATTCTATCCAAAAATGGGATGAACGTACTAGTTTCATGCAACCTTTAATTCCGACTATTGCCTCTTGTTTCTAATTCAAACTTGATATTGTCTATTACTACATGCTATGGATTGAGGTTTGTCGAGATTGTAATCATCTCTTGGGACTGTCCGCAACTTCAAGACCAACTAGCTGCCTCGTTTGTCCCTTGCAACTCTCACCTTGTACAGTTTAGGCTTACAGAAGCGGTCACGCATATACAGTCATTAGCGGTGAGGGTCAGGTTGTATAGGTCCATGTCTTCCTTACAGATATTGGTACCTTTGACGACAGGCATCGAATGATTGGTGAAAATGTCTGCAATATATAAGTTGCCTCCTGTACTATAGCAAGGCTCTACTACCTGTCATACACGGCGAGGCAAGGGATAAGGACCAGTAAGAGAGGATAGTAGAATAATATAGGCAAATTTTGATGTCCTTAGTAATGCGCTGCTATGACCAGAGGATATTTAATGGACTTGAATTCTGGCGCGCTTTTGGTTTTTGTCACACTATTACAAAGAAAATTTACTTCTGCAACTCCCTTTGGATATAAAACCCCATCTTCGCAATGAAGTTTTTCAGCCAGACCTTCTTCTTTCTACTTGCCCTGAGCGCAACAGCTTGGGCAGGTTGCAGGAGTGAGTTCTAAAATGCCCCCGAAAGCACGAGTTTCGCTGACATATAATGCAATTTCAAGAGGATGGTAACGCTTGTAGCCGCAACAGAGAATGCTGTTCCGGAACCTGCAAAAGCTCGTTGAGACTTTGCGGCTGATAATAAAATCTTGTTACCGAGGCGCTTGGCAACATTCAGGGTGGTCCAGCAAGGTCATCATATATGATTGTATATGATCCAGGCCTAGTGATTATTTGCCATGATTTAAGCTGCTCTGGATTTGACGACGAGACATAGATATACCTGCCGTTAACAAGTTCTGTCCAATGATGGTGTCATTTTCCCAGCTTGTTCGGAACTACATCTACTGTTTTTCCATGTTTCTGTTGCCGATCATGAAGTGACGGCCCATGCACTCCTTTGTATCCAGCTTTCTTTAAGAACAAACCCAAAAGCAGTCCATGGATGTTGATAAAACCTCACAATATCACCCCGTCATTTCCTAGCTTCCTTTATCTTCCTCTATTGACCAGTTAATATACTTGTTTGTATCTTGTTACCTAATTGAGATCATTTGCATTTAGCCCTATCATCTTTCAACGCTGCATAGCAGTCATTGTACCTGATTATCGCTCTATACAAATGGGTCGCAGCTCGACATGTAAACTTGAGACGGCCGAGAACGTTTCAAGTTATCTGTGATTTGAATTATTTGCTAGAAGTATTGATTTGGCTGTTTGACCTGAATGCTGTAAGAGATTGAAACCCTCCCACCCGGAAATATCACACTTTCAACAATTTCTGCTTCTAGTGAAGAACTCATGGATTGATACCATGGAGCACTTCTCACGCGGCAGGAAGAACCCAGGTTGTCACAGACTGACTGGGAACGTTACCACTCCATTGCTTTCCGCTGTTCAATGACACTGTGACATAGACATCATTGTTGAAAGTATTCTCAATGACGACCGTGCGAGATCCATCGGGGTTAAACGAAGCAACAGACTGCACACCTCCATTGGAGTAGGTATAACTACCAGTGCCACTCAGAACAATAGCACCAGGCGGCATGAACTTGCTAAACTGCGCCATCATATAGTAAGCAGTATTAAAGGTATATCCACCATTAGCAATAGTAACTAAACCCTGGCAAGTTGCACAGCCACCACTTGACAGATGAGGTCCGTCTTGGTCATTAGTACCTAGCGTCCAGGCTGTGACGCCGGATGCCCAGTTCTGAAGGGGTCCCATGGTGAAGTCAGCGGCTTGGTTCCATGAAGCCGAGGCCGGTGTCCAGCATTCGGTCATGTACTGCTTGATGTTCGGGTTTGTTTGGTGAAATTTGGTCAGGACTGTCCAGTCCACGTTGGTCGCGTAGCAGTGCCATGCGACCGAGTCGACGTACTTGCTTGCGCCGTTGATGACGTTTTGAGGATAAGATGTAACATCTAAATTCGATTTGTTAATAAATGCAGGCTTGATAGAAGTCTCTGATTCTGATTACATACCGGTGTTGTGATCGTATGCCCAAATATCAGTATCCAAGCCGGCATTGGCAAGGGCGGGTCCAATGTAGTTCTGAATCAACTGGGCTGACTCGTAATCAAACACATACATGGTGGGATACCCTCCCTGGCTATTCAAAGGCTCATTTTGAATTGTAATCGCGTCAACGTGAGCACCAAGCTTCTCGTATGCCTGGATGTACTTGACAAAGTATTGCGCGAAGGCACTAGCATACCCGGTGCTGCCGGTACCCGCACTAGTCAGATATCCATCGTTCAAGTTATTGTTGTTTGTATTGCCATCGATCACACCGTTGAGCTTCATCCAACCCGGTGCACTCCAGGGCGAACCGAGAATCTTCAGACTCGATTGCAGGGACTTCATCTTGGCTAGCATCGTGGCCATGGCAGTTCCACGGTCGCCCAAGTTGAAGCCGGCCAGGGATGGATCAGCCTTGTTTCCGTTATCATCGTATGTATACGACGGGTCACCGGACAGATCAGATGCTCCGATAGTATGTCGCATCAAGGCGAAATCGGCACCGGCACCGGTCATGATCTCATTGAGAAGTTGTTGCAGCTTGGTGCTAGACAAGGTGTTGAAGGAGCTGACTGTTGCATCGGTGACTGCGGCTCCGAAGCCTACAATTGTTTGTTTGTGTCCACTGGATGTATCATCGACCGTCAACTTCCAGGTCGATTCGGAGCCTGGACTGCCGGCGCCTTGGACGGGGGCTGCGATTGAGGAGAGCTTATAGTTGCCCCCGGAGTTTGAGCAATAAGCTGAAGCGGAAGCCGCCCGCTTTTCAGGGGTAGCACCAGTCAAGCCTGAAAGGAGCAAAACAGGAAGAAGAGAAAGATGCATGTTGGAAGTGGTCCCGTAGAAAGAAAGACGTGGTGACTTCTTTTCCAAGACTGACTAGCGTTGCAATTAAATGCATTTCACTGCGCAACAAAGACTTATTTATACCATTCCACCTAATATCGAGTATCGTAGACCATTTCCCTAAAACGTAGGCAGTGCAATTGCCGTGCAGAGCTAGCGAAGCTTAGAATCACAGAAACCCGAAACTCCGCTGCAAGCTGAAAATAATACTACAGTATCACCGACTAATGCAAGCCACAATCCCCATTTCATCAAGGTCCCTGAAGCTTGTATGCCTCATTACCCGGAGTCTTTGCCAATTTGAGGATGGTTCGCCTTTCAGCTTACTTTCTTCTTCCCCGCATTTCGAAAGAGTAGAGACAACCAAGCATTGCGAGAGTACTGCTGAAGTTTGAAAGTGCGAATGCCAGTGTATCATTGCTTCTTCGGGGTTGAGTTACTCTAGGCAGATGTCTTTAAGCTGAAACACTGCTATAAGCTGCACGGGCGTTACCTGAGGCGGTGATTTAGCGCGATCGCAGGGAACGAGAACGAAGCACACTTAGCCTAGTAGAGTATACCGCTTTAATCGGAAGCAAACCGTTGAGCAATGTGTTTGCCATTCGCTCAAACATATACTTGACACCTGAACCACGTTACACGGAAATAGGCGTCGAAGAGGCCCACAGAAGCTCGGACCATGGCCCTGTATGCATAAATTATGAAGCGATTGAGTTCCAAGTGGCCTAGAATGTGTGTATATTTTTCTAGTGATATGATAGAAAAGTCGCGAACAGTCGAATCACTAATTGACATGCCACTTACAAGATCGTCATACGTGAAAATCCGGCAGTGGACCCCTGCAAGAAAAAAGTGGGCGCGTGGAAGAATACAGAAAGCTGGTTTGGCTGAAACAAGTCACTACAGCTGGTATGACGTCAGCACGGTGGGAACAGGTCGTCGGTGAGTTCGAACCCCTCCGACTTATAACCCCTCCAAGGTTGATTCCTTTCTGCCTTCCTCAATCTTTAAATTATTGTCAAAATGAGTGGCCATAAGTTCCCCGTTGATCTCAAGCAGTTCAAGCAGCTGAAGCTGGACCCCAAGTCCACTACGCTGACTGCTGAGCAAAAGAGCGATCTGCTTCATAACATCAATGTCTTCAGAGATGCCCTGATTGCCTTTACGGCAACTGGTGCCGCTCGTGGTGTGTCCGGTCACACTGGAGGCCCCTTCGATACCGCCCCCGAGGTCTGCGTCCTGCTTGCTTTCATGAACGCCAACCCCAGCAAGTGGGTTGATGCTCTCTACGACGAGGCCGGCCACCGTGTCGCCACACAATATCTGCTGGCCGCATTGGACGGCAAGATTGAGCCCGATCACCTTCTGAACTACCGTGAGGCCAACTCCCACCTCCCTGGCCACCCTGAGCTTGGCTTCACCCCTGGTGTCAAGTTCAGCTCCGGCCGTCTCGGTCACATGTGGGGTCTGGTCAACGGTATCGCCATGGCCAACAAGGACAAGAACGTTATCATGTTGGGCTCCGATGGCTCCCAGCAGGAAGGAAACGATGCCGAGGCCGCCCGCCTTGCTGTTGCCCAGAACCTTAATGTTAAGCTCTTTATCGATAACAACGATGTCACAATCGCCGGTCACCCCTCAGAGTATCTTAAGGGCTATGAAATTGCCCGTACTCTTGATGGCCACGGTATGAAGGTTATCCGCGCCAAGGGTGAGGACTTGGACTCCCTGTACCCCGCCATGTGCGAGGTTATCAACTACAACGGTCCCGCCGCCGTTGTCGTCGACCGCACTATGGCCGCTGGCATTGAGGGCATTGAGGGTGAATGCCACGCTCACGATGTCATCACTGTCGATATTGCCCGCAAGTACCTTACCAAGCGTGGGTACAGCAAGGAGCAGCTCGCTTTCTACGATGAGATCAAGCCCGGCACCAACCCTCACACCTACAAGGGTTGCTCCAAGGACAAAGGCGGCAACCGTACCATTTTCGGTGATGCAGTCAACGGCATTCTTGACGGTCTTAGCAAGGAAGAGGCCAAGGCCCGCGTTATGGTCATTGACTCTGACTTGGCTGGCTCAACTGGTCTCAAGGCCATCGGTGCCAAGCACCCCGAGTCCTTCGTCGCCTCCGGTGTCATGGAGCGCGGCAACTTTTCCGCTGCCGCCGGTTTCGGTTTCGGTAGTGACGGCAAGCGCCAGGGTGTCTTCTCTACCTTCTCCGCTTTCCTGGAGATGTGTATCTCTGAGATTACCATGGCCCGTCTGAACGACTGCACCGTCCTCTCCCACTTCTCCCACAGCGGTGTCGACGAGATGGCCGACAACACCTGCCACTTCGGTCTGAACCACTTCTTTGCTGACAACGGCCTCATGGATGCTCCCATGACCTCCCTATACTTCCCGGCCGACGGTGAGCAGATGAAGGCCGTCGTCAACGAGGTCTTCTGGAACAAGGGCATGCGTTTCATCTTCTCCACCCGCTCCAAGGTCCCCTACATCCTGAAGGAGGGTACCGACCAGAAGCTCTTCGGCGAGGGCTACAAGTTTGTCCCCGGCAAGGAAGAGATCATCCGCAAGGGTTCCGCCGGTTACATCGTGTCCTACGGTGACATGCTCTACCGCTCCCTCGATGCAGTCGAGAACCTGCGCGAGCAGGGTATGGATGTCGGTTTGATCAACAAGCCCACTCTCAACATCGTCGACGAGGACACCATCAAGGTCTACGGATCTTCGCCCTTCGTCCTAGTTGTCGAGTCGATTGCTCAGAAGACCGGTCTCGGCTCCCGCCTTGGTACCCAGCTCCTCGAGCGCAAGCTCACCCCCAAGTTCAAGTCCATCGGTGCCATCAAGGAGGGATGCGGTGGTCTGTACGAGCAGATCAATGGCCAGGGTCTTGGTCCCGCCGATATCATCGCCGCTGTCAAGGAGGTCTCCGGCAACTAAGCTTAGATGTGTGACGTCTGATGTGAAACATAACGACTTTTTGATATCATAATAAAAATTTCTCTTGTTCTGTGTAAATCGGTTTTACGTCTTCCCAATCCTTCCTTAATTACTCGATTGTTTTGTTTTAGATCTCGCCTAGTCCCCGAGGAAAAGAATAGTAATGGAAGTTTAGTTTGAAAGGACAGCCCTGCAAGCTACTGAGAACTTTAGACCCAAGAGACTACGATTGAGAGCTTAAGTTCACCCCATGGTACTCTTTGCTCAACATCGCCCAGAACAAGAGAAAAAAAAAGAGATGAATGTTTCGGCATAACTGTTCGTCTCTAGCGAACAATGCCAGAACATCAGGGTTGCAATGGATGCGAGATCCAGCGGTGTTCTCCTGCCATGGATTCAAGCCCGCATCTACCAACATAGAGAAGATGTCCACATTGTGGCCTCGCTTATCACATTCACTTTCCACGCGTTGCGCCAGGGTACGAAGAAAGCTGTCACCATTATGATCGATTTTGTGATTATCATACTCGGCAAACATCTTCCGACAGTCATCAAGGTTTAGAGGAGAATAAGACGAATAGCAAGTGTAAGTGATACCAGGCTTCTCTGCCGTAACAGAATAGGAGATAGGCATCCTGCCTTCTTGTCCCGCTGTTCAGGGTCACATTCAGCACCAACAAAGCGCTGGTAGAGGTTAGAAGCTACGCTGAAATAATCAATCCCTTGATCAAATTCGATTTGATGCTCTCGGTGCGTGTTGCTCCATGAGAAAGAACCCCAGTTACACAACAAAGTGCCGTTCGACCATCTGGTAGAGTATTGTAAAGATCCGCGTCAGCATCCAGCAGAGCTTCGATCGTTACGTGATAATGAGCTCTGTGGGAAGGTTATCCTGCATAGCTTTCTAGAGCACAGCATAGGGGCATGAAACCGCCAGAATTCACTGGGGAGTGAACGGCCAAAGTCTTAATGAGCTGTTTGGCAGCAACCAAGTTCCCAAACAGCATGGCATGATGTAAAGTATTTGATCCTGCGTTGTCAACGGGATCAATGTAAGCACCTGCCTGAGCCAGCTCCATGGTGGTGGATGCTCCATGGTGGCGAATGCTCCATTGTGGTGGGATAGTGAAAGTCCTTAGAATACAAGTGCATTTGGCTCATACAAGCTCTCCTGAAAGGTGTTCTGCCTTCAGAATTGAGCAAATTGAGGTTGATGCAGGTTGCCAGAATGGGTTTTATGATGCCGCCCTTGGCACAGATCTCAGGGAACACAGTAGATGAGCCATTCTCCATTGGATCAGCCCCGTGCTTCAGGAGAACAATAACATCCTCGCAACGCCAATCTCCTACAGTGATAAGGTTAGTAGATGGATTATCGGTTCCTGAAGGACTTCGATGTGATCATCTCGGCATGCATATCGGAGGGGCGTAGTCTTTGAGTTCTGCTTTATATTTGACAACCTCATCCAGAGAATGACAATAAAGCTCTTCATTCATGTCATTGTGGGTGGTCGTTGTAGCTTTACCTCCCACTAATATCAGTGCACGCAGAGACTCGACGTGATTAGAACCGATCGCCTCAAGCAAATACTCATATCCGTAACCGCAGTATGTCGCTAGCCATGCTGCAAAAGCACACTGATAATCTGAAAATCGAGCTCAGCTTACTCAAGGGTCGCGCAAATCAGTAAATATGTGATCCTAGGAATTAAGGCAGGGCTAGGTTCCGCATTTCTTTATCTTTTTCCAATTACCAATGACATTGACACTTTGAGAATAGCCTAGAAAATAACCTAGAAAATGTCGAGTTTTGAAAGTATGATCTCTTTCAAAAAAAAAAAAAAAAAAAGAATAACGAAAAAAAAATCCCAACTGCCTCATAACATAATAAACGGGCTCTCTAGTAGGTAACTCCATTCCCTGCTTGTCTAGACCCACCCCCGTTAGCTTCTTGCTCAGTTTGCTCCTCCTATGAGTAATCCCATTCCAGAGCGGCTTTAACCGAAGCCATGGCAGCAAAAGATCTGCGAGCCTTAGTCCCGATTCGACATGGCGGCAATTGACGCTTTTCTAGCTCGCCAGGGTGTTCCCCATATATATCCGCGTTTGACGCTGCTGATTGGCCACTCTCGTTTAAATAGGCTTGGCGTATAGCCAATGAAGTCAGACTAAACCAGAAAGGGCATTAATTTTGTACAATGTCGAAGCACGCAATCTTGCGAATTGATTAGGATAGGCTAAGGTGACATGATCGAGGTCAGGTTTGGGATACAGTAGCATTCCGAGATCACAGTGAGAAAGCCTTTATAATAGTCCGTCTGCCACTCGTTGCGTCGATATCTGTATTTCTTTTTTGTTCCGGTGGTTCGAGATCAAGCTTATAATAGGGTTCTCACTCCCGTGTCAATCTTGACCAACCAAAGCCAAAGCATGACCGAACAAAGTTCTGCCTCGTTATCCTCCGAGGTTATCCCTCCTCAAGATGAAAAGCGACTCTGGTATCGCTCGACACTATTCAATGCGTGTATCATTGGAGGCGTGGGCTTCATGGCCCCGGGCTTATGGAACGCCATGAACTCTCTAGGCGCAGGAGGCGCACAGTCACCATTTTTGATTAATGCAGCCAACGCACTGGTATTTGGTCTGAGTATGTGACTACCCTTGATCAAAGATTGGTTTACAGTGCTGCACGTCTGACTTTCCATTTCTAGTGGGATTTTTGTGTCTTTTCGGTGGCCCAATCGCCAATCGTATTGGGTTGAACTGGACTTTGATGCTTGGAGCTATCGGATATCCAATTTATTCGTGAGTACTTTTCGCTACGTTAGACGAGAAGGTGGCTTACTTATTTCCAGAGCCGCTTTGTATACCAACAACCGCTATGTATGCACTTCATGTAAATCAAGTGTGGACTTATACTGATTGTTATATATACAGGGCAACGTGTGGTTTGTTCTTGTTGGATCAGTAGCCTGTGGAATTTCGTGGGTCGCATTTCTATTTTCATGTAGAAAGAATGCACTAATTTAGCTTCTACAGTGCTGGTCTCTTCTGGGCTTCCGAGGGCGCCGTTGCGTTGGGATATCCGGAGCCAACGAAAAGAGGCAAATACATGAAGTGAGTTCTTTCTCAGCTAGAAGCCCTGGTAAGTCCTGGATGATCAATTCGCTGACTTAATCAGTATCTGGCTCTGGTTCCGCACAGGAGGTCCATTGCTGGGCGGTGCTATTGTCCTTGGATTGAACCAGTATGTTTATCTATTCCAACATGTAGAAATGCCACTCACATTCATTAGCTCGGGGGATGCCCACAGCAAGGGAAAGGTCGGATACGGTATGTTCTCTCAACATGAAATTTCAAAATGGGCTTTTATCATCTAACCATTTTTATCAGAAACATACCTCATCTTTGTCGCTCTTCAGTGTCTGTCGGTTCCTCTAGCCATCTTCTTATCGCCACCTGAGAAGGTCCAGCGCACGGATGGAAGCAAGGTCAAGATCGTTATACAAGGATCATGGCGTGCTGAAATGGTCGAGCTCTGGAAGGTCTGCAAGAGAAAAGAGGTATGATTTGTTCAAGACATGAAATGGTAGACATGAGATTGACTTCTCCAGATCATTCTGTTACTGCCTGCTTTCTGGGCCGCATACTTCAACCAATATGTTGGAAGTAAGTTTATGCTAACCCCCAGTTTCATGCTTGCATTGCTAATTTTATGATACAGACTTCGAGACCTACTATTTCGGTGTTCGAGCTCGCGCCCTTATCGGATTTGTCGGTAATTTCTCCAATCTGATCTCTTCGGGTATTATCAGCAGATTCTTGGACTACAGCGGTATCTCGATCAAGAATAGAATTAAGTACAGGTGTGGCTTAATGGCATTGTATTTCAAATTTACAGCTTGGCTAACTGAAAAAAAGTTTCTTTTACGTGATCGTCATCCATATTATTGCGTGGATCTACTGCTGGGTCGTTCAAGAAAAGTACACCAAGAACCCTCCCATGCTGGACTGGGCCGACAAAGGCTTTATTGAGGGCTTCTTCGTCGTCATGCTGTGGAGTGAGATCCTTATCAAGACAAGGACTATGGTTCGATGCTAACCACCCTTGTGACAGGTTTTTCTCAACAGGCCGCGCAGAACTTTCTGTACTATCTTCTGTCTACCATGACAGACAACATTTCCGAACTTTGTAAGTCGAAGCCCCCACAGCCTGCTTTCAGGTGACTCATACTTTTTTTTCAGCTCGATTTTCTGGTATTCTCCGTGGACAGGAGAGTTTCTCATAGGCTGTTTCTTTTGGCATCAACACTAGGGAATGGCATGGTGGCAGAGTCCCACTTGCCGTCAACACTATCCTCCTCGGTAGGTGCTTTCCATAACATTCTAATCGAAAGCAATGCTAATCCTTTTTCTCTCAGGTCTCGCCATCTGGCCTACGTGGTTGGTTGTTCGGGATCATAAGCCCATTGAACACGATAAGGAGGCTACTCAGTTGCCTCACAGCAAGGACGAGGAGCAGAACACAGCCAGTTTGGGTGACAAGGAGACATATGTTGTCAGCGACGCTGTTGCTACAAAGTGATCAGGGAGCAACATGCCCTCCAAAATTGTCTGGGTCTGCAGTCGGGGCATATATAGCTCATATACAATGACAAGACACTGGCGGGGCCGAAGGTCCGGACAAAATACAGATGAGCCAGGTAACATATGAGGCGCGTTCCTGTAAGTCATTATCTACATTCAGTGCAGAGAGAGGTAAATAGTACCGTACCGTACCGTACCTTTCTATGAGAAAACAGGAAAAGAAATCTCTGTCTAGTTCTCAGTATCCACTTCGTAGACTGTCTCCACACAAACCTTATATAGTGTAGTAAACACCCTATAAAGTATAAAGAAAACCCACTAAGCGTATATTAGCGTAAAAAGGGTAAAAGAAAGCAAGATACGCCTATCTCACGTCCTCGATATCAAGAGTACAGCAGACGGGTTCACTAAGGCACTTGCCAAGCCTGCTTTCGAAACCTTCCACAAGTTCTCGCATTGCAAGCAGTATTTTGAATCGACCAATCATAAGCGAGCATTCAAAGGGATTATCAGCTTTCAACCTGCTGGTGACTGCTCAACGATCGCATACGCTTATATAAGGGTATGATATATACAGCCTAACCGTCCATCTATTCATGGCAATTTTATATCGAAGCTGAGGGGTCTTCCATCCGAAATCAGAAGTATCTTACAACTGAGCACGTGTAGCAACGTCCCTCCGGTGGGATAAATAACACTGAATGCTCTGCTCTAATGCGTTCATGCACCTCTTTCTAATCCTTCAATCGCAAATGGCCCGACTTTCTAACAGACGAATGCGCCAACGTCCCCTGCTGCTTGGAACTGAGGTGCCATCAACCGCTCCTGTTGCATTGCTTTTTATAACTTCGTCTCTCTCTCCCTGAGAGCCTTCAATCGCGCTACGCATCTCCATCTTTTCTCCCACTTGGGAAATACTATTTTTACCATAGCCAATGAAAATGACCATATAGCGATGATCTATACAGTACATCGCCCGTTAGATTATCTGTTTGGGCGAAATGGATTCATCGTTGGAACCTGAATTACATCGAGCAAACTATTCGGTTGCTAAACCAGTGGCACACGAAGTTCTAGCAAAACTTATCGCGCCAACGAAGCTCACATGTGCATTTGATCCCCACCATCAAAAGCGGCTTAGCGTCGACTAGGGGAGCAGCCCAAAAACAGCGTTCGTAATCCTGTCATATCCTGTCATCCTCCATAATTGCTATGATGGCAGAGGCATATTCAACTACAGGAGATTACGGGATTAGAACCCTTTACGAACCTGAGAATGCAAACGTCGAGTAAGATGCCATCCCCGGGCAGAGTCCAACATGGCTAACTACAATAGTATTGTCTTCATTCATGGACTGACGGGAAATCGAGAAACGACATGGTCTTTTAAACCGACAAAACAGTTCTGGCCACAGAATCTGTTACCAAAAGACCTTCCAACCGCGCGTATCACAACCTTCGGCTACGACGCAGACATTATTGGGGCGCTGAAGATCGCGGGCTCAAATACCATACGCGACCATGGAAAAGCTCTGGCACATGAGCTAGCAGTTTGGCGGAAAAGAACCAAGTCGGTTCGTATATCAAGCGCTTGCCTTGTTCGTCATGCTAATTACCCATGTCAGAACCGTCGCCCTCTGATATTCGTGGCACATAGCCTCGGGGGTCTTGTGACGGAACAGGCACTCCTGATCAGTCGCGGAGCAGCCCAACAGTACTACAAAGATATTTTTGAGTCCACCGTCGCAATTGCCTTTATGGGGACTCCACACTTTGGATCCAACAAGGCCGCATGGGCAGTACCACTTACACGTTTGGCCAATGTCCTTCGTACGGCGAATAAAGAAATTATGCAAGTACTTGCGCCAGGGTCCGAAATGCTCGCCAATCTCCAACAAGAATTCCATTCCATGCTAGAGGATTACCGCCAAAATCATGGCAAAACGCTGAAGATATTTTGCTTTTACGAAGAGGTTGAAGTGACAGGAGTTGGAAAGGTATCTTCAAGCAACAACACAATGATATCTGCCTCTTGCTAACGCCGCATAGATCGTGCCTGACCACTCGGCCATCCTTTCATCTTATCAAAACCGATCTATTCATGGTAACCATATGCAGATGACAAGGTTTAGTAGCCATCAAGATCCCGGATACAAGGCAGTGAGCAGCCAGCTATGGATATGGGTAGATGAACTCGAGAGTGAACAAGACCAAGTTCCGGTCGAGGCAGCAAACCCTCGAGCGAGATATTTGATACAGTCAGGCGGAGGGCCGGTGATGATGGGGACTATGAGTGCAGGGCGGGACTTCTGTTTCAACAACAATTTCGGAAAATGATGTCTCAACGGATAGCCTCATCGATACGAATAGTCTTATCTCATTTCTTTTTTTGATCAATATCGCGCCCACCAGTGGACCCTTGAATTTGGAGTAATCTCTTTTCGTACTTGGGACGGAATCCATCCGCTCCTGTGGTCAAGTCTGACACCCCGAGAAAGACATGCAATGCGGTTCTTAGCGCTGACATAGAAAACAATTCTGTGCGGCTGAAATCTACCATTTGACTTTGTAGCTGAGCGCGTCGTCCATCCATTTGATTGGGCGCATCAACTTGGCGCCCAAGCCCCCCGCCCCTTGCCCGCACCCTTGACTCGTGACCTGTTTAGCGGCCTGAAAGCCCGGGCACAGAAAAACACTCAAGTTCCCCATCTCTCCCCAAAGGTATGACTTGTTCTTGATATGTGTCCATGGTTCGCGAGCCAAGTCTACAACTTCGACCTGGGCCATATCATGTCTCCGCCAACAGCGCAACTTGAGGCACAAACCTCTAACTACACCTATACCCAGGGCGGTGCGGTAATTAGCAATCTGACTGCAAGTAGAGACATCAATATCAGTACGGGCAATTCACTTTCATATATGTGCTCTGGTTATGATAATGCTTGGACAGATGGGTGAACACTAATACTAAACTTGGTGATTATCAGATCATATCACGACTATCCGCCCACTCGCACAAAGTCTCTACCATTCATGTTTCAATTCGTCAGATATCTTCAACCAAGCTCGAAATGACCTTGGTCTACTCGTCTCCGTCCTTGATGTCACACAAAAATATATCTCTGATCGTCAATCAAACGACGCTCAAAGCCCGGAGCTTGATAGGGCACTAGCAAGCTGCTATGAAGTGTTGACAGATCTGTCTCGAATGAAGGAGCATTTTGATAGCGTCGGCTATCAAGCCCAAACAACATGGGAGCGTATGGGATGGAGTACTGACGAGCTGGCGGAGATGAGAGCGAGGCTATCAATATGTATCCAGACTTTGAATCTGCTGGCCACGACTGAGAAAAGGTGAGTATGAGATAATCGTTGCGACAACAAGCTTTGTTAACCAGAACTACAAGAACAGATACTCAGAAGCGAATATCCAGCGCATATTGGAAGGAATTTTTGAGGAGATCCGATCTGGCAAAAGAGATGGATCAGCTGTTTCAAGTTTCATGGGCGACACCGTCGCTATGACCGAAAAAGAGAAGTGGAGGGAAATTCGCAAAGAATTACAGACCGTCGGAATAACTTCTGAGATGTTTTCTCGACACATCGAATTCATCAAAGGCACAATTGCAACTGCTGTTCATGAGGGTGCCCTCGGGGATAGTGTCCTCGGGAATATCTACACTGAACTACAACACAATTCAGATTCCAAACCATTTCCCGCTTCAGCATCGCGCAAGCGGCCCTCTACCAAAAAGAAAGCGAGCTTAACTCGACTTGAGGCGAGCGAACAGATGAAACAGAAAGAGCTAAATGACTCCAGACAAAACCGCGTTCAACTAGAAGAAGTCCTAGGGGCTGACAGAAAAAGGCCCAGTCGGATCGCTAGGATGCTATATGCGGTTTCTCACGATGTGAGCGATCTGTACCAGGCTATTGACAGTAGCAACTCATTCAACGTCCAACGACTGGTTGAAAAAGGCGCAGACGTTAGGAAAGGATTGGACTTTGCCATTAGGGGTCGAAATGTCGCAATGGTAAAGCACCTCGTGGTCTACTTCGGCGGGCATTCCGCTGCGATAAAAGAAGCTTTTGAGCTTGCTGCAGAGATGGCGCACCGGGACATGGCTCGTGCTATTCTGGAGCACATGGATGATGCCGGCAAAACACACGCAATGATGCATTCGGCAGAGTTTGGATACAGTTGGACTGTTCGAATTTTCAAGGAATTCGGCAAAGGCCCAAATACATACTTGAACGGAACGACAGCCCTGATTCTGGCTGCCGAGTATGGTTATGTGAATTATGCCGAGGTTCTCCTGAAAAATGGGGCGGATGTCAACCTGCAAACGGGAAAGTACCTGTCGTACACCACAGCATTCGGGGCCGCCATGAAGAATTCCTCTCCCTCGCTTAGATTCAAGATGGCGAAACTTTTCATATCGTACGGAATTGATGTTCACGGTGGGAATGGCTCTCAGTCACCGCTCACAATGGCGCAGGCATTGGGTCAACAGAACATTATTAAGCTTCTGAAAAAGGCCGGGGCTACTTATTGAAACGACTTTGTGACTTTTATTTTGCCCATGGACGAGAAGAAGTCCTTACTAAGCGGTAAACTTGTAGTTAGGGCGGGTGACCCTAGCGAAGTCTCAATGTTGTGTGTCGGGGTTCACCAATTCTTTTCTTGATTCGTCCACCCTCACTCCCTTGCCGCTCTAATCTTCAGTCCCTCCAGCCCCTTCAACCAGAAGTCATTTTCCCTTCACCCAAGTAAGGCCATTTATACCAAAGATATGCCAGAAAGTGGACTCTGCTCCTTCTGCTTCGTCGAGAGGCTGGAGATGATGCAACTCACGTGTGATTGGCATTTGCTTTTCCTATTTCCATCTTACCTCGCCTGGAATCTGTGATCACCCACGCTGAGTGGACAGTCGTGCCGACCGACGAACCGGTGCAGAAGCGGACGGGTCTCGCAGTAGATGAGCCCCTGCTAATCTGGCTGAACGACGAGGCCCACCAGTGGGAGACGGTTCGCGGCATTGTGGCAGTCACAAATGGACCAAATAACTGCACTAGCTCGGGGTTGGTTGACAAGTGCACCGGCGGGTCTTGTCTGAATCCGTGAGGTGACCAGTCAGTATGGTCCGATGTAGGGCGTTACCTAGAGGCTGACGATGTCTAACGCTAGCCCGGATGTTCCATGACTGATAGAGAAGTCATTCTAGAGCGATATGGTACTCGTGCCTAGTTGCGGACGGCGGCTTTATACCACCGCTGGTCAACTTGGTCGGCTTGCTGTTGCCGGTGTCATCTCACGCAGAGGAAATCTCTGGCGAGAGTGGTCAACTCTTGATGGCCGATCTTGGTGTCTTCAACTTTGATCGAGTTCTTGCATAGGTCGCCTTTTTTGTTTATGCCGCAACAGGAGCTAGGACGGCCACTGGGGCTGGCCTCTATCTTACAAACAAGGTACGGATTCCAAGGCAGCATAGATACCAGTGAGGTGGTCGTCAAAGGCAACAACTACTTGATATTGTGAGTGGTGTTGACAATCTTTGTGGTGTTCCCTCGCCAGCTTTATATGCCAGCGCTGTAGGCTCCTTGCCTCTATGGCTATGTGGCCGCTGGTATAGAATGTTTCCTTGAAACAGTGGGTATGTCGAAAACGGCATTCGCATGCAGTATGCGCTGGTATACGGCCGATCAGTGGCCTTCGCGAAGGGATATCATTCTAGATCACTGCTATAGTTAGCTACACTTGTGGCTGTCGACCGCGGTGCCATGCATTGGCGAAGGGACTGGCTACTGCGGTGAACAGCAACGTCGGCAAATGCTAAGAGAAATTCTGGGTTGCCCATGGAATTTCGAAGTGCGTGATAGGACATGACCCACTCTTATAGTGCTAGATACGAAAAGTCAGTACTAAGAAGTTTAGGTTTCTAGGCCATCGACACACTACCAGAAACTAATTTGGGAATCCGGAGTCCGGAGATATATGCTTTCGCGCTTGTCTGAAGTAGATAAGACTATTGGAATATTCCCATTTAACTTGATTTGAAAGAGTTATGACGAATATATATGTATCACGGTCATCTCATACTCGGCAGCGATTGTGTCAAAACGCCATATAAATAATCGGACATAGATGATCCAATGATATCGGTAACTTCCATCAACGAATTCTTCTCATCTTACTAATTTCCATGTCGAAGATGTGGGGTATTTTGAGCAAGTCATAATGTGATGATTCACGTACCTTTCTATAGAAAACGCGTTGGCATGGACTTAAAGTGCAATTTTGGGAAGGTCCCACTTCGAGTTCCACTTTTCCTCTCCCCGCGCCGCGGAATTTCCCACGTCACGTCTCAGTCGACATGAACTTGCTACAGCCGTGGTTGATTAGCAAAGCTCCTTGGCCTCCTGATATACCAAGCCAGACGGTACCGGTCTGTCGCCTCGGACGTAACCGGGAAACCCCGCGGGCGCTCACCTCAATCATTGCATACCCAAAATGGAGAACGGACATGAAAGGCCTTATCGGTCCCACACAAAGCCCGCATGCATACCCTGCCGCCGGAGGAAATCGCGATGCAAAATTGAGCCACACTCAGAGGATTGTCTTATGTGCCGTGTGCATGGCACGGAATGTTCATTCCCTGATGGCCGAGCGAAGAGGACACCTCAAAAAAGGCGTGCCTCCGAGGTTGCTCCGGTGCTACCATCTCCATCACTAAGGGCACCTGCTGCATCTGCTCAGCCGCTGGGCGTATTCCCCCTTGTGGCAGCTTCGCCTCAGTTCTCGGTTCCAGCACAGGGTCAAAATGATCAGGATACACCTCTCTCTCTTGAAGCCGAAGATGACAATCCACACATCCTCGGTCCGGCAGTGACTGGAGACAATCATGTCTTGGCTGATTATCTATCAAATATTTCAGGTGGACAAGGGATTCGCGAGATCCGTCCCGTTGAACCTGGCAGCTCTTCGTCCCCTGTGATTTTTACAAAAGTACAGAAAAGACCATTCGGTCTGACTTGGAATTCCAATCCAGCCCTTCATAAACTGCAGATTATTGAAAAGCTCGTTGAACCATGGGGCTCACACCTCATTGACCTGTGAGTCTAAGGCACTCCTTGACTCCGTGATATTTCCGGAACTTATCAAAAGTAACGGCGTTTCATTACCTAGTTATCTGAAGAGGATCAACCCCTGTCTACCCTTGCTTGATGAAAATTCGTTCCGAGCCCAATACGCTAATGCTAGACATCGTATCTCACCTGCCTTGCTAGCATGTATTTATGCCCACATGCTGACATACTGGCAATACGATCCTCTTTTATCGCGTGAAAGATGCCCGGACGTTCGTTTTGTCTGGAATCTTGCCATTGAGGCCTCCTATTCCGAGCTACACGCTTCTGCTGGAATTTCAACCATCAAAGCCATTCTACTAGATGTAGGTGGCCGACCAACAACGTCAATGACAGGCAATGGTGTCAGACTTGCTTCAGCAACTGCCTTGTGTCATTCATTGGGGCTAAACCGAAATCCATTACCATGGGACATTCCCAAAGCTGAAAAACATTTGAGAATGAAGATATGGTGGTCCATCTTACTTCATGACCGTTGGTAAGTCTCATCAGAAGCTCCGATGGACCTGCAAGATATTGATAGTCGTGACCATACAGGTCCAGCCTAGCATATGGCACGCCCCCTCATATCAGAAGATCTCAATACGATGTGCCTTTACCAATACCCGAATATCTGACGGGTTCGGAACGAGATAGCGATGCTAATGCGGTGTTTATTGAACTTATGCACCTGACAGAAGTATTGGACATCTGTTTGGAGCACGTATACAATATCCGTACAGCAGCAGATCCTCCAACCAAGAACCTTGAGCTAGAATTAAACAAATGGGTGGATTCACTCACTGGGAACATTCGCAGGATTGTCATTCGAGGCTCGAATCTTGAGACACCCGGATCCTCAAATTTGCGGCTCGCATATCTCGCAACGTGCCTTCTCCTTCGACGAATTGATTTAGACCGGGAAAGGAAATCACAAGATTCCAACGGAGAACAGATGGCAAATCGGGTCATGGAAGCCCGCAGAACGGCTGAAGATATTGTGTTTTTGGTTCAAGAACTGGGCGAAGCACAGCTGGGGGACTTTTGGCTACCTGTCGTTGCATTCACATTCTCATCAACAGTGACATTCCTAATCCGTTGCGCACTGGAGACGGAGCAGGCGGCTGGTCTATCACAAAGCACCTCACTTCGAATGGCGAATGACTTTTTAAATTCTTTGCGGTCGCACCAGAAGGATTTTGGGTGGGACCTTGCTGATATCTGTTTAGCGCAGCATTCGGATGTCATTGACAAGCTGTTGAAATCGGGACCACCGGCAGTGGCTTCTGATGTGGCAAGCGTTGAGTTGGGTCACCATTTCATGCCGGATATGTCGTTTGTGGACGACATGTTTCCTAGCATTTGGGATACCCTACAAAGTATATAGATAGGATGGAGCACGGAATGATTGCGTAACAATCATCTATCTGCAGGTATATGGAGAACATAATTGAACAGTTTCTCTCCTAAGTCTGGATCGTTTTCGCGATCTATGTAAGTGGGTCTCAAGTTGTCCGCGGTTCCGCGGCGAAGAAGCAGCAAAGACATGCAGCAACTTAGGTTGAAATGTGGCGAGTGTGCTGGAGGTCAAAACTCCACGCGATAAGATACTAAAGAGCCCCATGTCGCATTGAATGAGGGGGTGCAAGTCAGACGCATCTATATCGTTCTACAAACTATTCATCCCAACATGGCACCCGGCATCATTGACGATAACAAGGTCGCTACAACCTCTGAAGCCAAAGATAACGGCCCTCTCTTATACAAACATGTCAACCAACAAGACCTCCAAGAGAAAACAAGCCAGTACCTTCTGAAATACGGAACCGAATTCAACCAAGATGTCATCTGCGGTAGCAAAGGCCTATACGTCTACACAGCATCAGGACACAAGATCCTAGACTTCACATCAGGACAAATGTCCTGTCTCCTTGGCCACGGCCATCCAGAAATTGTCAAAACAATCACAGACCACGCAGCCTCCCTGGATCACCTCTTCTCCGGCATGGTCTCGCCGCCAGTAATTAGCCTCGGCGAGCGCTTGTGCAACCTACTCCCCGCGGGCCTCGATAAAGCATTCTTCCTATCAACCGGAGGTGAAAGCAATGAAGCCGCCATCAAAATGGCCAAAGTCTACACCGGAAAATTTGAAATCGTCGGGCTGGGCGCTAGCTGGCATGGCGTGACTGCCCAAGCGCTAGGCGCTCAATACCACTTCGGTCGCAAAGGCCAGGGACCCCTGATGCCGGGGATGCTGATGCTGCCACCTCCAAATGGATATCGCTCTGTCTTCCGTCGACCTGACGGATCTTATGACTGGGAAGCGGAGATGGAGTACGGTTGGCGAATGATCGATATGCAATCGTGCGGCTCGCTGGCTGCTTGTATTGTTGAGTGTATCCAGTCATCAGGTGGTATGCATGTCCTGCCACCTGGGTATTTAGCCGCGCTAAAGCGTGAATGTGAGAAGCGTGGTATGCTTTTGATTGTCGATGAGGCGCAGACGGGTGTCGGTCGATGCGGTGACTTGATGGCTATCAATCATGAGAATGTTGTGCCTGATATATTGACGCTTAGCAAGACGCTTGGTAATGGATTGCCGTTGAGTGCTGTTGTGACTAGTGCTGAGATTGAGCGTGTTTGCGTTGAGCGGGAGTTCTGCTTTTATACTACCCACATCAATGATCCGCTTCCCGCAGCTGTTGGTGACAAGGTTCTTGAGATTGTCGTGCGCGATAACTTGGTTGAGCACTCTCGTGCTATGGGGAAGATACTTCATGACAAGCTGAATGACTTGAAGAATAAGTATGCATGCATTGGAGATATTCGTGGACGGGGTCTAATGGCCGGTGTTGAGATTGTTGAGGATCGACAGACGAAGACCCCGGCATTAGCTTTGGGCAAGGCTATTGGTGATCATGCCTATGAGCTAGGCTTGTGGGCCAATCTAAGCAGCCATCCTAGCTTTGGGGGCGTCTTTCGCATTGCTCCGCCAATCACTATCACTGAGGATCAATTGCTGAGTGGCTTGAAAGTCTTGGAAGAAGCATTTGCTGTGACTCCTGGTACCATGCTATTCTAAGTCATAGTTGATTGAAGAGATTTCAAGTTTTCTCTTAGGCCTACAATCCATGCAAACTTAGATCAGCGGATGATTTGTGTTCTAAAAGGAATGTCATGCTACTATATACATCGTTGCCTAACTCGACATGTTGATATACCTATTTCCTATGTATCCTCCGACGACATTTGGCCGTTAAATTCAACTCGTTGGGTTGGACATATGTTTGTGTTGCTTCCTAGAGAGGGTGGAGTTAGGATCCCGGTGAGCATAGAGAAAATGGGTTACCATCATTCAGCCCATGTTGCTCGTCATGGTATTCATTCGACGACGTAGTAATCGAATAGCAAAGCTCTCCAAACCACACCGTGTCAGGATCTTTCATAATGCAATGTTTCCGCGGTTGTCTAATGTTTTTGTTGTACTCAATTAATGAAGGTAGCAATTTCGATTCAGAATGAAGAAGGAAAAGAAAGAAAACCCAGGACAGGCGTGATATAAAATAGACGCTAGGACACGAGGGACACAGGCGACTTTCAGGGACCGCATGGCTGCCTAACCTAAGCTTGTTTCCTGTCACATTTTCGACTATCATGCCAATAGCAATACTTGTTGTTTTAGCGATCACCATGACGAGATGGAGATGATTGCATTCGGTTTCCAGTACCCTCGAACCCCCATTCGCAGAGTTCTTCTGGGGCTTGCAGCAATCAGCATAAGAGTGCCTACTGCGAACACCAACCTAATAGTAGCCAGGAAGCTTCGGCGGTTTACTATTCAATTTAAATATAGATGATACCATTTTCCACAGACAATGTTCCATGGATGGGACTAGGGGCTTTCCCGAGGTTGGTAAAAGTATGAGCGCATTGAGCTCTTATTTATTGAGCGAGAAAGCGGTGCTCTCCATAGGTGATCCAGGTATCGTGCCAGTGTCAACAGAGGATATCTAAATTTCATTGCCTTCCAAAAGGCCCTGAGCCGAAAATAAAGATACCGAAATATAAAGTAAGAAAATGATGGACAAGGACAGGTAAGAAAAAAACCAAGGGTATTTATTGTAGAGATAATCACACATATCGAAGTTCAATGTTCAAGATTCCTCCAAGGCCTCATTATGTTGCCCGGGACTCTTCCGGGGCTGGGTTTCCGTTATTTGCTTTATTCCAAGCGTCATCGAAGGCAGAATCAGCCAATGGCTCATTCGAGGTCGGCTCTTCAGACTCGATCTTCAGTGATTCCTCAATCTCATCATCAATCACTTCAGGCTCGGTCTCACGTTCAACAAGCACCTGGGAAAAGGAAGATGATAAAGGTTCAGTATCAACAAGATCCGTTTCTCTGGCAGTTGCTGTCGCTTCCGCCTTATCCTTGGCACCGAGAAGCTCCAGATCAAAGTTCGAGCTGTAGACCACGGCAGAGAAGGCTTCGAGCTCACGCACATTCTGGTCCATAGCGACCAGGTACTCATTTGGAGCGTGAGTGCCGTTCCCAATCACATGTGCTTGACGGGCCATGACTGCCAGGAGGTTGGCAAGCTTTGTCTTGCGGTCAGCGTTGGCAGCCAGAGGGATAACTGTCGCGACGGAGTCGAAGGACATAGGAGCAGTCTCGGGTACAGCGGTAGGCGCCTTGAATGCGTCGTTGGCACATCTTTGATCGATCAAAGTAGAGAATCCTTCGTTGTTGAGAAGGGTCAGGACGTAAGAGAAGGAAGGCGATTCGATCAGATCGGCAGTCTCATCCAGCAAGTGTCGCAGCTTAGACGCTGTCTGGGATGAAGATGGGTCTGCTACGCCTTCAACACCTGACTCGCGCAGCACATATTCCTCTTCCTCTGCTGGGGGCAACAGGCAGGACAGCCACTTCTGTGAGCGTCGCTCATCTTCTGTGCTACCTTCTACCTTCTTTCTGATTTGCAGGGTCAGCTCGGAAAGCTTGGCCAGGCTGATGTCTTCGCGTGGGTTTAATGGTCCGAATACTTCTTTCACGGCAGTTTGGACGGTTCCCATCAAGTCTTTCCATCCGCGGTGAAGTAACCACCAGCTGAAGGCGAGGTACCGACGGTTAGTTTCAAAGTCATCGCCCAATGTTTGGGTGAGTTCATCATCGTGGTCTTCCAGGCTGATGGTTGATTCGTTGATAGGCGGTGTAGCGAGAGAGATCACACTGGAGAGATAATTCCGGCGGCCGAGAAGGTTGAGTTGGATGCGAGTAAAGATGGTGAGCAGAGAGAGCGTATAGATCAAGGTAAAAGACCGAGTTATAGCTATAAATAATTAGTCTTTGATGCACTCAGGCACATGGCCAAGAGGACACGAGGCAAGACTCACAGCTGATCTTCACCTCATCCCACAACTGAGTCTTGTTCCGCTTAGGTCGGGGTTGTCCCTCCGAGTCCACGGGCGACTCCCCAACCTGGCTGGTATGCACAAAACTCTCACTCTGGAAGCTCCGATCATCTTCCGGCAAACTGGGCGATACCGAGCTGAAATCCGAGCCCGTCGCCTCCCCGGCATTCAACCGAGCCAATCTTTCCGCCCGCTTCTTCTGCAACTCCTTGGTTAATTCCTCAACTGGGAGAGCCTCGATGATGTTCTCGGTGGCAGTTGGCAACAAGGCCAAAACGGTGTAGGTGCAATCGGTCTGGTTTTGTTCAAATCGTCGGCGCAGGCTATGACATCGTCAGTGATTCCAATCCTGGTGAATCTGATCGGTGTGAACCCGCCCCAAGCTCGCGTGCTTGCTAGCGAGGTGACAGGCCGTCACCGAAAACAAAGGACACTGACTTTTCGCGAGCAATCCGGTCACTACTCATACGTTCCCGAGCCTCGGAGATCTTGGATAGGACATACTGTCCGGCCAAGTAGCCAGCTCCTATCACCCCAGCCCCGATCGCGAGACCCTTGCGATTGCGCTGGAACCAGCGCTTCGTCGCCCCGATCATGTTGGTTGTGTGTGGTTCGTCTCTCGGGGATATCAAAGGCGATGGAAAGATTCAAATCATGGTGTAGGTAAGGGCGATGGATTCTGGGGTCGGGAGATGGGGACAGGTTTGGGCGGTGATCGCCCTCGGCCTCGGCTAGATAGATCAACGTGAACGGGCGAACATATACGTCTCACAGAGAGGAACATAGAGTACTGTCGACCATGAAACATGAAACAATGTTGATATAATGCATTTTATACGGAAACTGCCTAATTTGCTCCAGCCATAGTCACGTTCTAGAGCTCCCCCGGATTCGGCGCGGCCATCCCGCAACAACGCGCTGATCCCAGCTTGGACCTTTCATTACTTGTTTCTGTATTTGCTTCCTACTATTCGCTACCTGAATCCTGCTTCTTCCATCATCGATGTACTATTCACCTTCCTGTTTACCTTACGTCTTCAGTTCGGTGATAAGATAAGCGGGTCCCGAACGCCGATACAGGCCGCCCCCATACATCACTCCACCCTTCGAGCTTACTTACACTCTCTCTTCTATGGTCCCTCATACTCAGCTTGAACACACAGCTCCCAGAGGAAATCACCTCCTACCGTCCGCGACTGCACCCAACCGACCAGGTTGCGAGCTGCGTCATGGCGGGGATGGAGCCCCGCAAAACCCCTCCGGAGTACTTCCTGGAGATCTTCGCCGACACAACCCACGTACGAGATGTCCTAAAGGGTAAGTCGCTGTGCAATTATCATACCAGTCATACAAGTCGGTATCTTCGTACAGAGCTTGAAATACTAAACCTTCTCTCCGGCCAGGTGTCCTCAACCTCATCTTCTTCCATCGCTACTTCCCCTCCATCCGGCCGGTCACCTTTGACGTACTCGACTTTACCCTCCCCGCAATCAACGACGCCGATCTCGAGACGCTGATTGAGTCGCGCGTATCCGCGCTCGTCCGCCAGCACCTCTCTGCTGCCGGTGGCCAAGATGGTCCGACGGCTGGTGGGGGTGGGGGCGTGCGAGGCCGGATCGCGGTTGAGTTCTATGAGAAGAAACGACGTCGCCCTGGCCACTGGTTCGGTGGGCTAACCGGGAAGGGCGAGGAAGAGGTTTGCTGGGAGATTTGGACGCTGGATGTTACTATTGCGACGCCGCGCACGGAATCTGGTACGTATAGTCGGTCTATATGTTGCGTGATTGTATTTCCGGTGTCGGTATCAGACTTGCTAATCTGCTATCTTTCTATTTAGAGCGCGCTAAAGTGCGCAAGGCGATGGGCAATATGCTGCAGAAGGCAGCGTTAAAGATCCTCGCTGTGGTTAACCGTGACAAAGATCATATCCCGCCTATCACTACCAGTGACTCAAACCCGTTCCCTTACCGCATTGTTGTCAACCCTCGTGCTGATGGTTGGGGAAATCGGATGGGGCTTTACTGAGTTGAAAGAGTGAACTCTAGGTCTGGATTATGGAACCTCTCAATCGTCCAGATCTGCTTTTCCTTTCTATCAACTATTGTTACAACAAATTGGTGGTGTTCTGCTCATTTTTTGACTGGGATAACGGATGCCGATACGACTTATGAAATCTTATCAATATTGCAAAATGATTGTCATATAGAGTCTTCAAGTCTTGCTGTGCTTGGCTTGTGATATCTGAGGCAATAGTTATGAGGAGTTTGTCGGCGTTTACTATTTCGAGATATTGGGTTGGTGGTTCTGCAACGTGCGTTCATTGTTGAGTGTATGCCTTTTTAAACTAAAATATCACAATATATGAATATTCTTGATGTTTGAGCCGGTAATTCTAGTTGCTTTGCTCTTAATGTATCACCAGGTTGCTCTCAAGCCCGTGACTATCACAAGCGTTTCTTTCAAAGCAATTTCACCACAAGGATTTATATTTTTGTCGAATATGCAGCCACCATGGTAACTAAAAGCAATCTTCAATTGTATAGAGGATATGCCCCGGTCGAGTATATCTTGTTATTAGCTCTACCGAAAACAACTCGAGATACGCATCTCATAGCTCATTGCACAAGTAGAGCGGGAACCTCAACAATAAATAAAATATCTCAAAGCAACCGGATCCTTCATTGGTAAATGTACGGACTAAGCAACTCGACAACAACATAATGGGAAAAAATCCAACGTAACATCATATTCATCGAATATTCAACCCCTGACCCGTCACAACACCCCACGGGTCCTCTCTATTTCATCACCACCAGCACCAATGTATTCATGACGGCAGAACTTAAACATAAACTAGCAACTTGACTTCGCGCAATGCCAAAAGACACCGAGAATCGGATCCGCGATCTCCAATTAATGGTATCCCGCGGAGGATATATTGTCGATGCGATTCTCTACTCGGATTTCAGACAAAAAGGCCTTTAAGTGGAGTGAGGCTTGCTAGCGGCTTCGGCCTGAGCACGGAGGTTGGAGGAGGTGCCGGAGCTGGAGAAGAAGCGGCCGAGAACGGGCTGGAGGAAGGACTGGAAGACGATTTGGGCACCGCTGTGGAATTGATTAGATATTTGCATTGATGCAATTCGTGGGATTGTAACGTACTTGGTCTGGGGGAGGGCCATCCAGAGGATCAAGACGAACTTGAAGATATAGTAGAAGGCTGTTCATTGGTTAGCACAATGGACATGATATCAATGTCGCGTGGATACTTACGGAACCAGTAAGCGGCGCTGATGGCGCTCTCAAGAACGGTCAGGAAGGCGAACACAACCCAGTACTATCAAGTCGCATGTTAGTGTGCTCTGCAAGCGGGAAGACGTCACGTGGTGCATGATAAGCCTGGACGGTGATCTCATCCGCACGCAATAACACGACAGCAGGGGTGAAGAGTGAATATTAACTTACGGTGAGCCACTGTGAGAATTGAAGGTTAGCAAGCTGTACATACAAGATTGGAAACGTACTAGCGCGAAATTTCTTACCTGAGTGTCATCCTGGGTGTTGGAGGTGAAGAGGGCCTGGAGGGAGTAGTAGCCGGGGATAAGGAAACCGGCAAAGTTGACGAGGAACTCGCCAGCAATGTTGAAGAAGACGAGGAAGAAGTAAACTCCGACCAGGCCGAGGATGGCGTAGACCTTGGGGACGTTGGTCTGACGCTCAAGGTTGTTCAGGACAGGGTACTTGGAGAGCTGCGGAAGGACAGGATGTCAGTTTTAGGACTAAACTCAGACACCCAGATTTAAGGAAGCTAAAAAACAGGCGATCGCGATCAAGCTCAGTTGATCAATCTCGTTGCTCGATTTGCGATGTGTGGCACATCCAGGCGAGGAATTGACAGGCGCCAACGAAACACACAACGGGAACGTACCTCCTTGTCGAGCTGGGCGATGCTGTGCTGAGCACGATCCTGGAAAGAGGCCATTTTGTTTGATATTTATGACTGATAGATTACAGGTCAAAGGGTATGGATGGCAGTCGAACGAGGGATGGTGAGAATGCTAGCTGGCAAGCTGAGACGGAGCCAAGCTGCTTGTGCGCATCACGTGATCACATGACGTACTCGGCTCAATGTGAAGCACTGAACAAGTGCTTTGTCATTGGAAGATACACTCCGGACTGTGAGAGATAAGTGAGTTACTGCAGTGACACGTCTATGTTGATGTATCGTTACTATATGAACCTATTCACCACAGTAATCTGTACTTTCGTTTACATGTATTAGCTTGAAATTCGGAGCAGCCTGAAACGAAAGCAGACAAGTCCGAAGCATAGACTCCCCGAAGCAAGTCCACATGACGTGTGCGGCGAGTACCCAGAAAGACCGGTTTGGATAAGCACAATTTTGGATGTTTTGCTTTTTCTATCGTGAAACCGGGGGAGTGTATCTTTGTGGGCCTTGACCCCTGCAGCGCTTGGTCCGTTCTCGAGTCTTGATGCGTCCCATTTTCCGCCTGTACCGAGGCCCCCATTACTCAGGACTATCTTACACCAGTAAACTAGTTGACATATCGCTTGGAACTCATCAAATGAGTACTAAAGATCTGGACACATCTGCAAGCATCAGGCGACATTGAAACCTCCAAACCTCGGGGCTCATACCTCCACGTGATATCTATCACGTGACCCAGTATTTGGAATGAGTAGACTGCATATGTTTGTCAATTGAAATAAACTCGAGAAAAAGGGACCTTGCACACCGCCAGAGACGATCGCGGAGATGATCTGATTGGGGGAAGTGTTTGAACATATATCTTTCTCCTCCACAAAAACCCTGTGCAGAACCGACTAGCCTAATCTGTGCCACTTCCTTTTCCTTCTGAGCCTCAACCCCCATTCCCCTCGAACCTTCATCGGGTTATCCGGACATAAACAGCTGTTATAGCCGCGCGCCGCCCTTTTCTTCCACTCAAGCTACAAATCTGATCAGACCACTTCAGTAACCTCGGAGTTTGGATCGCGATACCACGTGGGACGATCAACACGGCCATTGTTCTCTACTTCACCCCCCCCCCCCCCCCCAACTACACATTTGACTCCCAATGCGGCCTCAGTGAGTTCATGAGCCTGGTATTGTGCCCAATGATGCATGCTAATAGCCTGTTTTGTCTGGTTTAGACGCGAATACCACATTGTTGTCCTGGGTGCTGGTAGGCAATTGGCCTTTGGTCCCAAGCTTCTTCCATAGGGTACAGGCTGACCACAGGCATTCTGATGCGCCATAAACAGGAGGAGTAGGAAAGAGTTGTTTAACAGGTCCGTCTACTGCCATTTCGCCCCGGCCCTGAGCTCCCAAGCTGACCGACTCTTAGCACAATTCGTCCAAAATGTTTGGATCGAGAGCTACGACCCGACGATCGAGGATTCATACAGGAAACAGATTGAGGTAGATGTAAGTAGAATCTGGTCAATTGGGAGGGGTATTCCTTGCTGACACAGGTCACAGGGTCGACAATGCATACTGGAGATGTGAGTGTGATGGAGTTTATGGTATGACTCGATATTGACTGAACCTTTCCAGTCTTGACACCGCGGGCACAGAACAATTCAGTGAGTTATCCAGTTCCGTTATACACGCTTACAAGCTTGAAGCTAACAGCAACCAGCGGCAATGAGGTAAATCTAGGCCCAACTCACCACCATACATGCTCCTCCTCCTCCTCCTCCTCCACACCTTCTCCAACGCCCCCGAGAGAACCAACATTGACACCACATACACAGAGAACTCTACATGAAGCAAGGCCAAGGCTTCCTCCTCGTTTTCTCAATCACTAGCATGTCCTCCCTACACGAACTCTCCGAGCTCCGCGAACAAATCATCCGAATCAAAGACGACGAAAACGTCCCAATCGTAATCGTGGGCAACAAATCCGACCTGGAAGAAGACCGCGCCGTGCCCCGTGCTCGCGCCTTCGGCCTATCCCAGAACTGGGATAACGCCCCATACTACGAGACCTCGGCACGCCGCCGCGCAAACGTCAACGAGGTCTTCATCGACCTGTGTCGCCAGATTATCCGCAAGGACTCTGAGGGCTCGCGGACGAGCAGTGATCCGAATCGCCGGCGCGAGGGTCCCAATCGTGATCGGAAGAGGGATAACAAGCGGCCCCGAAATCGTCGTGGGCCGTGTGTTATTCTTTGATCTGGATACTTCATTTTATACCTGGAGGGGTCTTTTGACGTCACACTGCTCATTTGGGAGCCTCCTCTGACTTTCTTTCATGCGCTACGACCTACCTTTGACATCTTCCTATTCTTCTCATATGCCCCCGACGCTACCATGCATATTGACATGTCATATATGACTGATGTTTCTTTCTTCACTACATTGCTGATATGTCTCTATCTTTTCTCTTCTCCTTCATAGACAATGCCTCGCCGCGTCTGATCATGTATCTTTTTGCTTGTTTTTTCTTTCTCTTTTTTTTTTCTCTTTTTCTTGGACTGCACACTTCGTGTCGCCCCTTTCTTATTGACATATTGAGGTTTGGTTGATCTGGACTATACAAATTTCTCGACGGAATGGATAAAAGTGCTTGGCTTTCTTTTGGTACATCTTTGCCTATATTTTCGTTGTTTTTCATGGGCAGTGTTCATACTTTCAATCTACGCTTCTGAGATTCCCACGGTATAGCAGTCATTTCTCTTGGATATAGGCGTCTGCATCATGCACTCTTCATTGCCATACTACGTCTACAGTTCGACAGATCATCTGCAACATAATGCATTCCAATCTACTATATTGAAGCGATCTACATACGGAACACACCGAATCTGGTCTGTACATCCGGTTCAGCCTTCCCACCAACAGCAGCATCAAGACCCAAACCAAGCATCTTCCGCGTCTGAGCAGGGGGAATAACACCATCATCCCACAGCCGAGCCGAGGAGAAAGTTGCCTCGGACTCGCGGTCAATGCGTTCCTTCAATGCCGGATCAGCTGTCCGACCCACAGCCTCCATAACCGAAGACAGCTGCTCGGATCCCATAACGCCGATCTTAGCGTTGGGCCACATGAAGAGGAGACGGGGCGAATAAGCACGTCCACTATGATCGTCACAGTTAGAACACGACACGTTCACCGAAAGATTTATAAAAGATTTGATATCGGAAGACTTACCACATTCCGTAATTTCCAGCACCAGCACTGGATCCAAAGACAACAGTGAACTTGGGCACATCAGCACAAGCAACAGCAGTCACAAGCTTTGCACCGTTCTTGGCAATACCACCCTTCTCGGCATCAGCGCCGACCATAAAGCCAGAGATATTCTGCAAGAAGACAAGAGGGATCTTCCGCTGCGCACAGAGCTCAATGAAATGCGCGCCCTTGAGCGAAGACTCAGAGAACAAAATACCATTGTTCGCAACGATACCCACGCGATGACCATGGATACGCGCAAAGCCAGTAACAAGCGTAGACCCATAATCACGCTTAAACTCGGCGAATTCACTGCCATCAACGATCCGCGCAATAACCTCATGCACGGGGATCTGGCGGCGCAAATTCGTACCCACGATACCATTCAACTCATTAGGATCGTAAAGCGGTTCCTTGATAACAAGCGAATCACCCTTCCCGTTCTCCAACTGCAAAGCAGACGCAGAATTAGCAGTAGGATAATTGAGATTCGCAACAGAGCGACGCGCAAGCACAATGGCATGCGCATCATCAACAGCCAGGTAATCCGTCACACCGGAAATAGTAGAATGCAACAGCCCACCACCAAGATCCTCAGCAGAAACCTCCTCGCCGGTAGCAGCCTTAACAAGAGGCGGACCGGCCAGGAAAATAGTCCCCTGATTCTCAACTATGATAGTCTCATCACTCATAGCAGGCACGTACGCACCACCGGCTGTGCAAGGTCCCATAACAACAGACAACTGCGGAATCCCTAGTGAGCTCATCCGCGCCTGGTTAAAGAAGATCCGACCAAAGTGATCGCGGTCTGGGAAGACATCCGCTTGATGAGGTAGGTTCGCACCACCCGAGTCAACGAGGTAGATACACGGTAGACGGTTTTCCTGTGCGATTGCCTGTGCGCGTAGATGCTTCTTTACAGTGATCGGGTAATAAGTGCCGCCCTTGACTGTGCTGTCGTTTGCAACGATCATGCAGTTCACGCCGGAGACGCTGCCAATGCCTGTGATTATACCCCCGGCTGGGACATCTTCGTCGTAGACTGCGTGTCCGGCTAGGGCAGATAGTTCCATGAACGAGGTGCCTGGGTCGACTAGGGCGGAGATCCGGTCTCTGGGGAGCATTTTGCCGCGAGAGATGTGCTTCTCTCGGGCTTTATCGGTTCCACCGCGTGCGACTTTGCTGTGCAGGGTGCTCATTTTGTCTAGGAGGTCTTGCATTTGTTGGCTGTTTTCGATGTAGTCCGGTGAGGAGGTGTCCACTGCGGTTGGGAGGATTGAGAGTGCTGAGGCATGGTGTGGGTGCGTGTAGCTTGCTACTGCTCTGTATGCTGGGCGGGAGATATTTGGCAGGATAAATGGCTTTTGTTGATATGTTCGTCCGAGCCGTGAGCTCATGCTCCGGAGGACGAGCGGGGATGGGGCACGCATTGCGGGGTGAAAGGGTGACGCTGAGGGAGGTTGAGGTCTCAGCTGGAAAGTCAAAAGATGAGGTCAAAGGATGAGTTTATGACCATATTCTGGGGAATATCCAACTATGTGTGGTGGCTGAAGCTGGGGAACTTATGAAGGGAGCGGGAGTTTCCCCAGATGCGGAGATGCGACGATTGCCGCATCTACCCGAGGTCATCATCATCACTGCGCGCAAAGAATAGAGACGGTGTTGAATATAGGAGTACAATGAATGGGAAGAGTGCAATTAGGACTAAAAACTGCAGGATAATATTCAATTCTCTATACTATATAATCTAGAGTCACAAATAGCCCAAGAAAGTAAAGTCCAGAGTAACGACAGCACATAAACACCCTCGAAACGGACCCTGATTGCGCGCCGAGGACTGCCGCTCTCGACATATTTAAGAGGCCCACAACCTCTCCTCCGACAATACCCCAGATTCTACATCATATTCGCAACCATGGCCTCGCTCGCCCTCCCATCTCTTCTGCGCACATCCACACGCGCCCTGCGGAACCCCATCCCCGCACTCTCCCCATGTTTATCCCGCAAGATCTCTACGAAGCACCCAGTGGGCTTTGTACCACCCACAGAAGATGATTTACTAGAGCTAAGAGAGCGGGTGCAAGATTTTACAAGTATGTTCGCATGGTTTGGTTTCTTGTGTGCTTAACTGACTTGATTGCAGGGCGCGAGATCCCTGCCGAGGTTGCTGCTCGGACTGATGAGCTCAATGAGTTCCCTGCTGAGATGTGGCAGAAAATGGGTGACGCTGGGTACGTATTCCTGGGTTTGTTTGTCGTATCTGCGAATTCCTATGCTAATGAATGTTCAGATTCCTCGGTGTTACTGCGAACGAAGAGTATGGTGGTTTGGGTATGGGCTACCAAGCTCACTGCGTCGTCATGGAGGAGATTAGCCGGGCATCTGGTAGGTTCTACTTTATGTACTCCATTCTTGATTAATTGATCTAATGAATGACCGTTTTAAAGGAAGCATCGGTCTGTCATATGCAGCTCACTCTCAGCTCTGCGTCAATCAGATCTCCCTCAATGGCTCGACGGAACAAAAAGAGCGCATTCTTCCCGGCCTGCTATCCGGTGAGAAGGTCGGTGCTCTGGCAATGTCAGAGCACTCAGCAGGGTCCGATGTCGTCAGCATGAAGACTACAGCGAAGGAAGTTGATGGTGGCTGGATCTTGAACGGAACTAAGATGTGGATTACCAATGTAAGTTGGCTGATATAGATGGGTTTCGTAGTCCATTTTGCTGATATATTTTTCTAACAGGGCCCTGACGCCGACTATATCGTCGTCTACGCCAAGACAGAGCCCGAGCTGGGTTCAAAGGGTATCACAGCCTTCTTGGTCGAGAAGTCCTTCAAGGGCTTCTCATGCGCACGCAAGCTAGACAAGCTAGGCATGCGCGGCTCCAACACCGGAGAACTAATCTTCGAAGACGTCTTCGTTCCTAAGGAGAACCTCCTAGGAGAAATCAACCGCGGAGTCAAGGTCCTGATGGAAGGCCTAGACCTCGAGCGACTCGTCCTAAGTGCAGGACCACTAGGGTAAATCCCATTACTATTTTCATACCTTCAGTTTAAACTAACAACATTCAGAATCATGCAAGCAGCACTCGATCTTGTCCTTCCATACACTCACGTCCGCAAGCAATTCGGCACCCCAATCGCCCACAACCAATTGATCCAGGGTAAGCTTGCAGACATGTACACCAAGCTCGCCGCCTCGCGAGCATACACCTACGCTACAGCCCGGGAAGTGGATAACGCAGCCGTGGCACCTGGCGAGATGATCATCCGCACTCAAGACTGTGCCGGTGCGATCCTCTATGCCGCCGAGCGCGCCACTGAATGCACCCTCGATGCGATCCAGTTAATGGGCGGTAGCGGGTATATCAATGAGATCCCTGCTGGACGTCTTCTCCGTGATGCGAAGCTGTATGAGATTGGCGCTGGTACGAGCGAGATTCGCAGGATGGTAATCGGTCGTGCATTCAACAAGGAGTATGCTTAGTTAGAATGCAAAAAGGATTTTGGAAGGCTTCATTCACATTTTGGTTTATTTGAGATATTACTATATTTCCCGTATGATGTAGATGCTTGTATAGATAGCTTAAATGCATATTGATACATGTCGCTTTCGTCGTAACTCATCGACAGATGGTCCATTGAGATGGGATGGAATGGAATGGCCCTGCATCCCGCTCTACCCCATCAGTGGTCCCCCACACCGTACCGTGTAAAACATATCGAGTCTACTTCTTCTGTCGGGCTGACCTGCGTACAGGTGGTCCAGTCGAGCCACCACCCTTGACCGCAGGTTTGACGGTATCACTCCCACCTTTCCGAGACTCAACCCTCTTCGCCCTCGGTGCCGCATCCTCGCCATCACCAGGACCATCATCCTTCTGCGCCGCCGCCTTTCGTTTCCACCCTCTCTTGACCGGGATCACAACCTTCGGAGGCGAAGGCAGTTTCACAGAATGAGAGGATTCCACGTCGGGCGTTGTATTCGAGGCATCGCCAGTATCAAGACTTGATCCATCGCGCGACACAGAATCATTCATCTCGTCGGAACTGTCGAGCTCGTCGTCTTCATCCTCGCCATCCATTTCTTCAGGCTCCATTTCATTATCCGCCTCAGACATCGACGCGTCATCGACAGCCTGAGCTTCCTCCGCCCGCCTCCTCTTCAACCGCGATTTATCCAGCGCAGGCTGAGAATGCTTAAACTCCTCCCTCCAGTTCTTCAACAGCGCGACTTGTTCGCCCGTATGCGGTTCGTAAAGAATGGCAACGTCCTGGTCGCGGTCCAGACTGGGCGTTTTCCAGATGACGCCCTGAAAAGAGGTGACATCCAACTCGACAGGAGATTTGACCTTGGCCGCAGGCTTGGGCTTTTTGCTCTGGGGTTTTGTTGTTGCCGGCGTAACATCCTTCGTTCCAATTTCCCTTACGAGACCTTTGTCGGCTGTCGGGTCATTGTCGTAATAATCGTCTGATTGATATTCCAGATCGGCGAAGTAATCTTCTACATCGCTATCCGCGTCGAGGAATAGACCGGTGGCATCGTGGTAGGCGGAGGCGGCGAGGTCGTCCTGTAGAAGCGAGTTGTTAGGTTATTGCTTTCGCGACGCGGATTTGATCGATTTCGTCCGTTATGAAGAAAGTGCACTTACGACTAGTTCCGGGACTTCATCTGCGTACTGGTAATCGTCCACCTCGTATTCGTAGTAGTATTCATCGTCGGACATGTTGGAGTGGATACCGGACCGAAGAAAAAAAAAACGGCGAGAAATGACCGAGTGGCAAGGCTTTCAGTAAATGCGAGAAAGTCTCAGGTCACTGGCAGTCCGCAGGAAATGGATGGTATATACAGCGCGAATCAAACGAGTGCACAGCTGAAGTGAAGATCAGGATGATCTTGAGGATAGAGATGGCCACTCTGCTAATGTAAGCCTTGGCGTTGACTAAATGAACCACGGCAGTTGGAGATGTTCATTTTTTCATGGTAATGATATGTTTGGCTATTTCTACGCTTGCTTGGAGATTTTATTTACTAGCTATTGGATTTGCTATTACCAAGTTCTTCATAACTGTCTAACCTCGTTCTTCGTAATATCGACGTCAGCGTCTCAGGTCTATACGAAGTACATTACCTGGAGATACTAGTGACTCAAATGATTTCTATCTTTAAATCGACTTGTTCATTCGAAAATTCCCATTTATTGCTCCTATGGTTTACTCAAAGCTTCGCTGTCTCTGGATACTTTGCTGAATCCCCGGGTCCGCAGAAATATCCGAGTTTGCCTTGTAAACACTCGACCTCTTTCTTACATATTTCCATAACTCGTCGCAGTCCTACACCAACTAGGCCGTGGGCAAATTTACGAACTCGGATGAAGCGTGGAACAAGAACGCCAACATGCAACACTGGCAGTTCTACGAGAGTAACTTTTCCCCTCCCGTTTCGCAGTCACAGCTGTACCGTGTAAAGCTAACTTAAATCCTCTCCCGCAGCAGAACATCCGTTCGAAGGCCGGACCATATCGCGGTTCTTCAACGTCCACATGACGGGCGTGGCAATCGCCACTCGGGCCTACCCCTAGAACCTCACTTGGATCGCCGAAGGAACACTCTATGGGCCGGAGCGACGGAGAACGTCGCCAAATTAATGAGTTTCGAGCTCAGAAGTCGTGATCGACAAGGCCGCCTCGCCGTCTTCCTCAGCGACTCCAACTAGATGAGGGAGGCCATCGTAAGGGGCTTTTCACCGATTAAGACCTCTCGATAGGATAATATAGACGTAGGTGACCAGCAAATGGCGTATCTAAAAGAGCTAGGAATGCTCTTCAACTATTAGAACCATCCCGAGGTGTGGCAGTCGTTCTGTGATAGCTACAACGGGATACGCGATATTCTGCTGCAATTTGACACCTGGTACAGTAACAACCAGGGGCCAAGTGATCTGGTTAGGGAGTAGAAGAAGTTCAACCAGGCCGAGCTAAAGCGGATTGTTGACAGAGGGAGCCAGTTCTAGGGGCCAGGTCAGTCCATGGAAATCTATCGGAGACATACATCTTGGGTGTTTCCCCACTATACATAGCTTATACATTCATCACATAGGGGCAGGCGTGCAAAATGTAATTACCCGAGGATTTCTTAACTCCCACAGTTGCAACCTAATTATGGGCTGAAGTCGTAAATGACGAGGAGAATTAGAGAGATGCTAACAATTGGTGGATTGCCAAGCCCAGACAAAGCTAACAAAACGTCATGCCGCCCAACTTATATACAGCCTCATCCCAGTGTCTCTCCGCCTTCCTTTTTTTTCTACTCTCCTTTTTCGCTCTCTTTTCTTCCAAAAAAATAAATCCACCACCATAGGGGCTGGAGTACTGCAGTACTAAGCCATAGCCAAATGATTACTTGGAAAAATGTGGTTGACAATGTCTCTGCTTTTTGGCTTTTGGTCTTCGGTTGAAGTGCTGGAAGGATTCGACTTGAAATCATACACATCCCAAATGACACAATGACATGGAACCGAATGAAACAACCTCACCATATCGTACTTGAAACCAAAACGTTGGAGCACCCAAACTTCAAAAGTCAGGGACAATTTTGGGAACGGTCAGCCCCGATACTCCTCAACGCCAACCATGCTCTATCAACGGTTGTGCTCATTCGGTCTGGAGGGACCTGGCTCATTAGAAGAGAATTGGAGGAGAACATGAAGGAAGGAGGAATTGTGTTAAATGGTTCTTTTCCGGGGCTCGTGCTTCCTGGTCCTTTTGGGCTCATTGGAAGAACATTGGAGGAGGAAATGGGTAGAATTGATCTCTTCCGGGGCTCGTGTTCCCTAGCTCTTTTCGTGATTTCTTTTATTTCTTGACTTTCTTGAATTCTTTGGATTATTTGTGAATCTTTGTATTTCCTTTTTATCTGTGGAGAAATGTCTCTCTCATCCCTCGTCCAGTCCGGCTCTCTCCCGGCAGGACATTTAACCATGTTGAGCTTTCGTCGTTCCTTCAAACCAAACCACTACAGCGACAAGGAGGCACTCTTTCCAGCTGGGTCGTTTGTCCCACGTGGTTTCACCCAGCTTGGTTTTAACCAGGCCTCGAATCAACCAAGTCAATCTGGTAAACATGGTGGAGGATTATAAAGGGCAACAACAAAACCATCAAGACAATCATTCAAACAAACAGGACATCAACCATCAAATCAGACAAAAGAAAGATACAATGTATCCACGCAAAAGCTCTACCGGACACAGTTTATCAACTCAAAAAATGGGAGCATCAGAGGAAAGTCAATGATACGGTTCATGTTCTACGGGGTACTCTTTCCGGCTGGTTGTATTTTCCCAAGGGGTTTTCTCCAGTTGGTTTTAATGAGGCCCCGATCTTGGTCAAAACAAAGATGTAAAGGGGGAAATTTGTCTGTTCTTTTCATGTGTGCTTGTCTTTCTTGGGAGAGGTACTCTTTTCCCAGCTGGGGGTCCACCAAGTGGGCTCACTTCAGTTGGTTTTAACGAGGCCCCAGACTGGAAAGGCATCGGACTATATAAGTTGCTGCGTACTTCGAGAGGGGGCATGGCACCCCTCTTTCGAATTATTCAGTGGCAAAAAAAGGAATCTCAATACTTTATCTTCTTCATTCCGGTCTCTGTGGGTTGTGTTGCATATTTGTAATTCCATGGTTATGATGTCTTGTATGACCAGTTCTCTGTTACGCACATATTTTTCACTGAGTAGCTCAAAGAATGTAATCATGACTGATATTCGGAGAATCGTGCAAGAGGAGGTGTGATATTGTAGTCCAAGGGAATCATGTTAAAGAGAAATACTTTCACTCTCTCGCGGGCCTGAAGTTCGACCCAAATTGCAACATCGCCTCCCAAAATATGATCGATCTAAATTATTAGAGCCCACTATGGAGGTTTCATGTCCGTCTCACCGACATCTCCGTTCCGAAACACGGCAATATTCACATACAGACCGAGTAGAAGTGACAGTATATCAACAATTTGATTTCATAAAAGTCATTATATGCACAGTAGACAGCGAATCAATATTATCTCATCCAGCTCCTTCCATACCACTAAATCTTGCAATATAAATCCCACAATCCCGTACATCCCAGCCAATCAAGGAAAACCTCGTTGAGACCTTGTCGTAAAAGCTCATCTCCCATATAATATCTCTTCGTTTGGTCCCATACACCGGTTCCAAGAATGCTTTGAAGAGGCTTGCCCTGACGAATTATCTCCATTGATTTCTGCAAGTCTATCCAATATCCAGTATCTGGGCCCCACTCTCGCTTGTCGTCTGTAAAAGATGCGAGTTCCGTAAATGTCGGTAATGTTTGAACAGTTTGCCAGATTCTGGGCGCATCGTAGTATGCGGGCTTCCCATATACTTTCACGAGTCGTTGCGAGTATTCAGAGTTGACCATCTGGCGGGAAGTTCGTTGCAGATATTGGATCTGATTGTTTATGAGATCTTGCACCTCCTCTGTTCCTTGAGTATGGTCTTGTTCTGTCTGTGTCTTTTCAAGGTAGAGGGTAAGCTCGTCTCTCAATTTTCGCAGACGAAAATTGGTCCATTCTGGGTAGATGTTCATGTTAGCGTAGGGTCGAACATTCGTCATGTAGCTGGAGTCGTATATATTTGGGATCTTCGATCGGTATGAGGTGATGGTAGATATGCGTTCTTTCACGCCCTTTGCGCGAGCTGCTAGGTGTTTAACTTCACCACCCTGAAGCATCACCGCATGGCCGATTTGAGGACCCTCAACCTAAAGAAGGTTTAGTCTCACTGGGTTGAAAAGTCGAATCAGGTTCCACCTGCCTTTTGAGATTCTCCGTCGCCTTTTTCAACATAAGTCTCTCCTCCAATCATGCCCTCTGTATCACTCAACATCATGACGCAAACGTAAGGATAAGAGTCGTAACTTCGGTCGAATTAGCTCTGTTGACTAATTGGTCTGGCTGTATTAATAACATACTGCCACGGAATGATAGCACTAGCATCTTTCAACGGATCATAAGATCGGTCTTCAGCACTCAACTCAAGCTTCTCCAGTGATGGTTCAACCCGGAGATTACTGGCCATTTCCGTGATGGTGTTCCCCTCGACTTGAATATTGGTGTGTCCTATTTCCGTGGGCATCACAATTTCCAAAGGTACATTGACCGCGTCCGAGACTATTCTCATAGTTTCGGGGTGCGTCCAAAAGTCATTGACGAACTTTGACTGCTTGACTACATCCCGAAGGACCAAAGTCCCTGGGAACGGGGAGCTTGCACATTTATCAATAACATTCTTTCGGAACAGTGCCCTTCGGTAGGCTCTCACTCCTTCAGGGGACAACAGAGGAAATGGTACTGTTCCTGCAATGGGGGATGCAGTTGGACTTCTCGTCAAAAGCAAGTCTTCCAGCGTGATTTTCTTTGAAGGTGGTGTGTAGTCGAGATGCACCTGTTAGGCCAAATCTTAGATCGGTGGTTCCCTTCGAGCTTTGAAGCACATTGCACCTGGATCCACATACTTTTGGGTCAAAGGCCTCTTCTTTCTCTTCAGACTCCTTGGTATAGTCCCAACTCCATCTCTTCACCAATTCCAGAGGGTTCATAATGGGTATGATATATGACCCGATAGTTACAAGTCAATTTGTAAGGGCTTTCTTTCCAATACGCCTTGGTAGGGTAGATAGCAAGACCGAGAGCGCCTTTGAAGTAGAAAGGAGAACAGAAAGAAGTGCACGCAAGCAACTTCTAAATAGTCGGGACCGCCGAAGCTATAGTTACTCAGTGAACATTGACTCAATATGCTTCGACCAAAATCCACCATACCTATCTAGGAAGTTCTGTCCCGAGTGTGTAGTCGGATCGCATGTCCACTTTAAGTTGTTTGCGCTCCATATCATTACATTTCCTATGTCCTCGTGAGCTGCCAAAGTACCCTTTCCCCATAATCTAATCTGCGGAGCGGGTTCCCCGCCCTCCATTGGGATACTCTTACAGATCTTCGTATCTGCCGAAAGGTAGCTTAAGGCTTATCTATTTCTCTTCCTTATCTTCCGTGTCTCATTTGGCTTGATAAGAAGAGAAACTGAGATTTGTTCATTGCATTTCGAGGAAAATATGACAGCAGTATATAACGAACAAAGTCACACAGGTTTACTCAGTGAATTACAATCCCGGAGTCAATGGAAAATCCAAATGCTTTTTCCGTAACTGCTTTCCTTTAGTAACTAACTTTTTGTCATTGATCATGACATCCTGTCATCCATCGTCTCGTGATGATTCCAAAGACAAGCCGCCGGCTATCGACATACTCACCTTGAATGTGGACACGCATGACACAGCATTGGGCCAACTTGATGACCGCTACATCGCTACAAAATGGGAAATTCGGGCTTATTATTCGTGCGCTATCCGCAAACAAGGTAAGGTGACATGGCTAAACTATGTATAGGTACTATATCGGCAATAACGGGTTGTCTTTGTTCAGTGAGTTCATCCCTTGATAGACTTCCTTGAGAAATTATCTAATAGCAATATCCAGACTTCGCTCCAACTGCCTTCCAGAACCTTCTCTACCAAGCAGCAGGTGATGCCAATGGGCTTTTCTTCGCAGGAAAGTTCAGATCCACCGAAAGTATAGTTCTACTATGCAACGGCATCTCCTTCGCAATCCAGATCGTGATCTTCCTCGTGATAGGAAGTTTCGCTGACTTTGGAAACTGGCAACCAAACATCCTCATCGTGCTCTCTACCATTGCTTATGCACTGGGATTCGCCTGGTTGGGCGTCCACACAGCAGAAAAATGGCAGATAGGCGTTGGCCTCTATATCGTCGGTCTCATCGCCTATCAGACCACTCTAACTTTCTGGACTGCTGCTTTCCCATCACTTGCCCGGAATACTGCTAAAATGCGACAAAAGTCCGATGACTATGCCAGTGGCAATATCTCACGCGAAGAATATGATTTCGCCGATACGATGAAAAGGAGCCAGCTTGCAAATACTGCATTCTATATTCAGTCCGTGTCCGAGATTGTCATTCTTGCCATTATCGTCGGTCTCATGTTCGGTATTGATGTCAACGCCAGTGATGCAAAGAATAACTGGGGCCTAAGTGTCCTTATTGCTTTTGCCAGTGGTGTCTGGCTACTTGTTTCATTGCCATGGTTCTTCTTAGAGAAGCGCCGACCGGGTCAAGATCCCGGGTCTCAGAATATTGTCATGGCAGGGTTGTCTCAGCTGTATTATACGGTACACCAAGTGTGGAAGCTGAAGCAGAGCCTTATCTATCTTGTTGGTAGGACAAACTTCCTAGTATCAATCCATGGTTACTTGAGCTAACGAGCACTCTCAGGGTACTTTTTACTCGGTGATTCATTGAACACTACAGTCACTGTGATCAGCACCTTACAAAACAGCTTGGTGGCGTATAATACACTGCAGTTAACATATCTCTTGATTGTGGGAATTGCAGCTCAGGTATATTGCACCGAGCCATGAAATACACATCGTCACATCTTCTAACCTACTTCTAGGCCGTTGGAATTTATGCCTTTTGGGCTATTCAACAGCGGTACAAATTAGGAACCAAAACCATGTTCAATGCTATTGCAATTGGTATCGTCCTACTGGATGGCTGGGGTATGATAGGCATTTGGACCGATAAGTTTGGGTTCCATAATGTGTGGGAAGTATGGGTAGGTGACTTCTTCCAATTGATTTCTCACCTGGACGAAAGAGGAGACGGGCACTTATGTCTTTGGCAAAGAGCCATACTGACAAATTACCATAGGTCTACCAAGCGTTCTATGGTTTGTTCGTCTGTCCGTGGTACAGCTACTCCCAGATCATGATCTCCGAGGTAACACCCCAGGGTTATGAGTTCCTGTTCTTCAGTCTATTCAGTATTGTCGGCAAAACATCCTCCTTTATTGGACCTCTTGTCTCCAGTGCCATCATTGATGCCACTCCTTCTGGCAATGCGTCCACGCCCTTCTATTTCTTGTTTGGACTGAGTTTGTTGAGCTTTGCAATCTTATTTATTGGTGTGGATATAAAGAAGAGTCGTCTGGAACAAGATCAATTCTTGAGAGAGAAAGAGCCAAGAGTGGAGGTTGATACGAAAGCAGTCTGATATAGAATCTGGGTCTATTAGCTTTGATATACTTCAAGATGGGGTTTAAAGAAATATTATCGCCCTCGACAGCTTCATTGTAGATTCATGCTGCAAACCCCGGACTTATAAAAGTTCCAAATAGCCGGTCAGTATTTAGGTATCGCATCAAAGCAAGAAATATAGAGTTACTAATATCTTTGATTAGCTAGAAAGGAAACCGCTCCAAACATCCTGGAGAGCTTATACCCAAGGCCAGGCGGGCCTATCAAGGTTCGTGAACTGCCAAGCAGGCGGCTCCGAAAGGTAGCTGGGATATGTTCCATTCGAGTCGAGATGATGAAAGTCGCGACAAATGTCCTTCAGTGAGAAATTCTCCGTTGACATGGACTCGTAGGACCACAATTAGACTTCAGTTGCACTAATATTGAGTCGACCGTCGTAACCACCCTCATCAGGTCCTCACAAAGACCAGTCAGAATAAATTGCCCATATATGTCTGTAATATTGATCTGGACCATATGTGCCGTATGATAGCCGAGCCTCTGTTAAACAAGAAGAACACGTTCTTGTGAATTCCAGCCTTGGGCTCGCCCCTCTCGCGGCGTGTTCTAAACCCCAGGTTTATAGATGCTCCTGGTAGCGAATCAGTAATTGGGCATCGCATCAAAAGCGATCATTAGCAGTATAGAGGTACAGAGACCTTGATATCTTTGGATTGAATGCGTATTACTCAGCATTCACGTGTGACTGGTTCATATTTCTCAGGCAACAAGGCCAAAGGCGGGTGATTATGTCATTCTCGGCTTTCCCCGCAATCTCGCTTTGCGTCGGCTCAACAAGAGCTTCAAGACCCTCGCATTCCCTCTTCATTTGATCCCTTCAAAGAACCTCGATCATGACCCTTGGCCCATATAACTTCCTGTGAAAACACAAACACTCGTGGCAGCCGAAAGTCTGCCCTTCACAATCATGACCCTCTCATCCCTTCTCCGCATTACTCCCCGCTTAACCCCGACTGCGGCCCGCAGGACAACGCGAGCTGTATCCTCGGCCACAAATACACCAAACACAAAGACTTTAGATTCAATTCTTATTGCTAACCGAGGAGAGATCGCTCTGTGAGTTTTGCTCTGAGATTATATGGGATTGGTTATGCTAACTGTCTGCTAGTCGTGTTGGACGCACTGCTGCGGATCGTGGTATCCGCGTGACGACCCTTTACACCGACCCGGATAGCCGAGCACAGCATGCTTTGAGCTCTCCCTTTGCTTTTAATCTAGGTTCCGTGTCTGCATATCTTGATGGCGACAGAATTATCGAAATTGCAAAGAAAGAAGGATGTCAAGCCATACACCCTGGCTATGGCTTTGTGAGTGCCCATGCATGATGACATATTAGATGGCCGAATTACTTACACACATCTTGGTCAATAGCTGTCCGAGAACTCTGCATTCGCGCGCAAATGTACCGAGGCCGGGATAGTATTCATTGGCCCTCCGTACACTGCCATTGAAGACATGGGAGATAAGAGGTTCGTACAACTTCCCTACTAGGGTACTCAGATATTGACTGGCTCAAAATAATAGTCGATCCAAAGAAATTATGACCGCAGCAGGTGTCCCATGTGTACCCGGCTACCACGGTCAAAATCAAGATCCGGCCTTCCTCGAAGAGCAAGCGGATCAGATCAAATACCCAGTGCTCATCAAGGCCATCAAGGGAGGCGGTGGCAAAGGCATGCGCATTGCCAGCTCCAAAGCTGAATTCCAGGCTCAGCTTGAGTCGGCGAAATCAGAAGCAATGAACTCTTTCGGAGATGACAATGTGCTGGTAGAGAAGTACATCACTACGCCTCGCCATATCGAAGTACAGGTATTTGCCGACAAGCATGGCAACTCTGTTGCGCTGGGAGAGCGTGACTGCAGTATCCAACGACGACACCAGAAAATCCTGGAGGAGTCACCAGCACCTCACCTCCCCGATGTCACAAGAAAGGACCTTTGGGCCAAGGCCCGATCAGCTGCGTTGGCAGTTGGCTACGAAGGTGCCGGAACTGTGGAGTTCATTTTCGATAACGACAGCGGCGAATTCTACTTTATGGAAATGAACACCCGTCTGCAGGTCGAGCACCCCGTGACCGAGATGGTCACTGGACAGGACCTTGTTCACTGGCAAATCCTCGTGGCCGAAGGAGCCAAACTCCCGCTCACACAGGAGGAGGTAGAAGAACGGATTTCCCACAGTGGACATGGTATTGAGGCCCGAATCTACGCCGAGAATCCAGAGCAGGGTTTCATCCCCGACTCAGGACGCCTTCTCCATGTGCGAACTCCCACTACTTCAGAAGATATCCGCATTGATGCTGGCTTTGTGGAAGGAGATGATGTCTCGGCACACTACGACCCCATGATTTCCAAGCTTATTGTGCGAGGCGCGAACCGTGAGGAGGCTCTTCGAAAGCTAGCCGCTGCACTGGAGCAGTACGAAGTTGCAGGACCCGTGACCAACATTGAATTCCTGAAGACCATCTGCAAGAGTCCCGATTTCATCGCTGGTGAAGTCGAAACCGGCTATATCGAGAAACACCGCGAAGAATTGTTCGCTCCCAAGATAATCGAGGAAGAAGTTCTAGCGCAAGTCGCATTGGCATGTCTACACCGCGACATCGGCTCTGGAACGCGTCCATCGGCCGGTGTCGCAGGGTCAGCCGTGGGCTTCACCCCTAGCTACCAAGAGCGCCAATTGTCATTTACAGAGACTGCACTCCCCGGGGCAAGCGACGGCTCCACCTTCAATGTGAGGATACAGCAAACCGCAGATGACACCTTCAATGTGGAGGTCGGCGGACGAGTCTTCGAGCAAGTAGTAAGCCACATGGATGCAGTATCGCAGATTGTCACCTCCTTTTTCGCGCACACTCGGTTGGACACCACCGTTGTCCGGGACGAGGACACGATTATCGCTTTCCAGCGAGGAACTCAATACCGACTTACGGTGCCCCGAGCCAAATGGATGGAGAAGGCCCTTGGTATGAAGGATGTGACTAACAGTGTACTGGCCCCGATGCCGTGTAAGATCTTACGCGTGGAGGTACAAGCGGGTGATACAGTGGAGAAGGACCAGCCTCTGGTGGTTATTGAGAGTATGAAGATGGAGACGGTGATCCGCAGTCCACAACGGGGTACTATTGCCCGGGTGGTGCACCGACAAGGAGTAAGTCACGCGCTCTTACCCCTTGCCCTTGGAGTTCTTGACCCCGTGATCCTGTTTCGGTTTGCTTTTGCTGCATCCTGTTTGTATTCCTTCGGGATGTTTTGCAATTCCCTCCGGTCTAGATCCTTCTGTCGTAGCTCCTCCATGTGCCTGATTTTCATTTCTACCCGCCGCAAGTCGAGAACCGCTGACTAACTTGTACCTTGCAGGACCAATGCAAAAGCGGAACACCGCTGGTTGAATTCGCCGATGCGGAAAACAGCGACTAACTGGGGTTTCATCTTTTAGAGAATTTGTTCGTCTCTGAACATGGGATGCGACGTGAATAATCTTGGACCAAGATGGGGGGGGGGGCGTTTAGCGAAGATCCTAGACCAATCTCAGATTAGATGCACCATGTACTTAATTGGCCTCCGAATTAGCATCTTTGTGGAGCCCAAACAAGTTCTCCACAAGTGGAACCAGATACCCCAGACAACCTCGTCATTGATAGAATCGCCACTTGAGGGGAACCTCGACGCTGTACTTGCTTTTGCACTATACCACATCTATAAGTATTCTCAACTTGTTCACCGAGTACTGGTCCAGCCATATTTCCGGTGGCAAAATGCATACTGCATGACACAAATATGATCACAGAATATTGAGGTCTCAGCGGCAAAGGCGGCCGTGTTACCCCCGAAATGCAGAAAGTGACTGGTCCCTTTCCATGCATATCGGTTTCACAAAAGTACTGAAGTAGCTGGGGAGATAGAGCTTTGGGGTCTTAGTCTACGGATGTAAACACCGGGTGGATATCTATTGCGATAAAACCCACCAAAGAGAGAAAGAGCCCGCCCAAAGCTAACAGGGACAGGAGCAACAAATAGCTAAATCGAGGGATCTAAACACCCTATAGCAGTGCGAAGCACCAAAGCCACGCCCCACGTAGATTTGATCGGCTGACATCACCTCGCCTCATATTTGTATGTTACTCGTAAATTTGTCCCAAAAGTAGACGCATAAATTCTCAACTCAATTGTTCAAGCACGGCCTCCATGTATTGGCCCTGCTTTCACCGCAATTGTCACATTCCCAAGCTCCTTGGACCGCCTCCGGGGATAAAAAGAAAAAAAAAAAGAAATCCAGGAAGCTCCGATGACCTGCTTTCTTTTTTAAAAGTTCCCATCCCCTGGATTTGCTCTCCCTAGCGTCCAGAACACCCTTCTTCTCCATATTTCTTCTCCATATCTCCCTCCCATTGCATCTACCCAAAAGCTCGCCAACGACAAGACTCACAGCTCAGTATACCTGAAGCTGAGCTCTTCATAATGTTCAAACCAACAGTCACTCGCAATGCTTTCAAGGCTCTAAACACAGCTCGCGCAGCTGCAGCTTTCACTCGACCCTTGTCTTATACACCTGCTCTCCACAAGAAAAGCAATGACCCCTCAAAGGACCCTATTGAAGCTGCTACGACTAGAGCTCCCGAAGGTGCATCCGGTGAGCATGAGGGTCAGTTCGCTCGTACCGATGAGAGCGTCCATATCGAATATCCTCCCGATAGCGAGATGCCCGCACAGCCCGTTGTCCAGGGCCGTGGAGGTATGCACTTTAAGCGTACCCTAGCTCAATTCTCGTTGGAGAAGAAGGTTAGCATGGTGACTGGTGGTGCGCGTGGTTTGGGTCTTGTTATGGGACAGGGTCTGGTTGCATCGGGTTCTGATTTGGCTATTGTTGATCTGAACAGTATGTTTCGTGTTTTGATCTCATACCTCGGTCCATCGACCGTGAAGTGGTGCTCATGCTGACTTTAATACAGAGGACGAAGCTGTGACAGCTGCCCAGTCGCTGATTGACCAATTCAGAAAAGAAAACCCCGGTATCGAGGACACAGAGTACGTACATCCCAATTTTCATCCTATGCATCTCCGCAGAGTTCATCACTCTCAACCCCAACACAATATCTAACATATATCATGAAATAGCATGCCCACCGTCACAGCCCACTACGCGGACGTCGCAAACCCAGATTCAGTAAATGCCGCCCTAACCGAAGTCCTATCAAAGCACGGCCAAATCGACAACCTAGTCACCTCAGCCGGTTTCACAGAGAACTTCGACGCAATCAGCTACCCCTTCGACCGTATGCAGAAGCTATGGGGCGTCAACGTAGACGGAACCTACCTCTTCGCGATCGGCGTCGCCAAACACCTCATGGAACGCAAGGCCCCCGGCAGCATCGTCATGATTGGCTCCATGTCCGGCGCTATCGTCAACGTGCCCCAGCCACAGGCTCCATATAACGCGGCCAAGGCTGCTGTGCGCCATCTTGCTGCTTCGCTGGCTGTTGAGTGGGCTGGTCATGATATTCGTGTTAACTGTATTAGTCCTGGATACATGTTGACTGCGCTGTGAGTTATGATCCGACTGAGGCCATCCGGTTGCCGTTGGAATATCTTTGCTAACCATTTGCTCTTTTTTCTGCAGTACCCGCAAAATCCTCGACGAAAATCCCCAACTCCGCGATCAATGGACCTCTCTTATCCCTGCTGGAAAAATGGGTACCCCCGAGGATTTGATGGGCGCCGTTACCTTTTTGCTTAGCGATGCTTCTAAGTACATTACTGGTGCGGAGCTCCGGGTTGATGGAGGGTACACTGTCACCTAAGATCTCTACAAAGCCAAACCCATGGTATCTTTTATGTTTCTAGCTTTGTGGTTTCAACGTTGCATAATGTACGGATTTTCTTAAGGATGCGATAGACCGGTTCACTATGTTTTCGAGGTATGAATATCTTTATGCGCTAAAAACTAGTCTTTAAAATTGGATTTCTAGCATTTTCATCATATCAGGAGTTGAGTTATATAGTACTGAGAAAGTCATATCTAGCTTCAAACATATCAGACAACTAAAGCCAGATACTCCGTGATCAACCCAGGTATGTGGAGAGTCAACAGAACCCACTTATCTCTCCACAAAAGTTAAACCCAGACCCGATCTACAGTAGACCCGCACCCCTAGATCTGGATCTGGACCTAGATCTGGTCTTGGACCTGGACCCTGTACTCCTTGAACATGAGAAACCCTCAACACAGCTAACCCCCTACCTCAAAAGCTTTCGAGAAAAAAGTAACGTAGATCATACACCCCCTTGCGGAATGTCTGCGGTACATCTGTAGATCGCTGTACATGTACTCCATACATGGACATGGATATGTACCAGACCGTCGTTTGCATTCCGTTCCATCGGATGAGCTTAGCTCTGGGAAATTCCCGGGGTCGGGTTCCGATTCCCCGGTGCCGGGCCAGGTACAAGGGAGGATGGGGTGGAATGTGCAGGGTTAACCTTGGTGATTGGGTTGGTTGGGCTTGCGTGGCTTCAGTGGTACTGTGGATAGGGACTGGACGTCAGTCGCTTGGGATATAACAGGGGTAATTTGATGAGGCTTGTGAAGCTGGGCATGCGCTCTTGGGCTGCCCTGATCCACCGGTGGTCTGTTGCCACTTGCTTAATGTGGACACCTCGTGATCTAGGCATTTAACTTGTTGAAGCCTCATCTCAACCACGGTACCTCAACGGTCAAAGATCTATATCTTTAAAGTGATCGCGGCATCAGTGGGTTCTTGTTCAGCTCCTGTTGTGGGATTTCAAGGATCGTAGACTGGGTATGCTGTGTTGGTGACTACACCTGAACATCTTTGCTGACCAAGTATCATTGTAGTTATATGATGAGAGCCTCTAGGCAGATTGTTATTTGTTAGACTACATGCTGGTAATATCTCATTGGCTCAAAAAAAAAAATGGAATGATGCAGCGTATTCGTATTGCTCAGTTGTTTATTGCAGCAAAGCAATGGTATTCTCTTTCATGATTAAAATGGTAGTCAGAGGATAAATCAAGCCCGATATTGCTGCATCATATTATAACAGGACAGGAAGTTGAGAATGCTTGGGGGTCAAGAGTGCCAGTAGTGGATATATCCCCCTCCAATGTAGTAGTAAAAGACGGCTTTATCAACCGAGATATATTTCCGTTGAACTTACACGTACCCATAAAAATAAACCTGCCATCAACCATGAAAAAGCAACCTGACTGCTTTCTACAAAACTAACTTAAGTTCAATGTGTAGCTATAGAGTCAGCACAGACGTCATCAAGATCCCCCACCCATACCATCAGCCACGAGCCAGGAAAACAAAATTGACAAACGAGTCACAAGTGGAAACGACCTAATTTACTTCAATACCATAGGAATTGAATACTTCCGTGAATACCGAATACCGAAAAACGGAAACCGAAACACGAAACGACAGACCATACCGGAACAGGACGGTCTAGAATAACCGTAATGAATATTGTCAAATACATCAAAGATAGACTGCAAGGTTTAAAGGCGTAAGGTGCATGTACATATATATATGCAGGCGTAGGATTGGGTCGATGGGCTGGGTATTGTGCATGAATTGCTTGTGGAAAGAGCTCGGAGCTACGGTAGTGTGACACGCGATATTGGGCATTGGAGCACCATTTGACAAATTAAAGAATCAATGCTATCATAATATAACTTGGAGATAGCACTTTGAAAGATATCCATGCCATTGGGTTCATGGTGAAACAAGTACACAAGTTGGTGAGAAAAAAGTGCTGGATCACATGCGGCTTGGCACATGCAGAAATAACATTTCGGCCCAACTTTTGCTTCATTGGAGACCCGAAACGGCAACAAAAACAATGCACGCTAGGGAAAAGGACAGAGTGGCGACATAGACACAGATTACTGCATGCAGTATGAACTAGATACAAGGGAATGGCAGTCTATTCCGAGAATTACAGAGGAACCGATTCACATTTTCACCAGCACACAACAAAGGGCGATTGCATACATCATTGACATTGGAAGGCATCGTCATACAAAGGAAATTAAATCACACAATTTAAGAAATAAGACACTATTCATCATAATCCACAAGGGAAAATTTACAGGCGGGAGCCGTGGATGACCTTGTAGTCGACGACGAGCTCACGGCCACCGTCGTTGATGACGAGGGCACGGACGGAGCCACGGCCGTCAGCAAAGGCATCGCTGATGCGCTTGAAGAGACTGCCCTGGGTGATGACATCGAGGCCTTGCTTGACATCGCCGGACTCGGTCATGGCGACGAGGCGGTTGTCATCACGGAGGTCCAGGATGCGGTAAGTCTTGAAGACGGGGCCGAGCATAGTCTGGACGACCACGGAGGGAGAGGGGTTGGCGACGAAGCTGGACTCCTCCTGCAACTTGCGGGTGAAGAGGTCGACACCAAGGTAGCGGTGCTGGCCGGTCTGGGGGGAGACCGAGATGCGGATGACCTGGCAGGGGCGACCCTGGAGGATCAGGATGTCGCCGATACGGATGAAGTGGCAAGGGATGGGGACGGTCTCGCCGGTGGTGCCGCGGTTGCGGGGCTCAACAATACGGACAGCAGCCTGGGGGGCAGGTTCTTCGCCAGCGTAAGTTTCCTCGCGCTCATGGTGGTGGTGATGGGGGTGCAGGATGTGATCCGCAGCGCGCTGAACGCCGCGGCGGAAGGAGTGGTACTGACCCTCGTCGTCGTAGTAACCCATCTTGGAGGCTGGGGTGGTCTTAACGGTGGACTTAGTGACCTTGACTTCGGTGGGAGCCGAAGACTGAGAGTAACGGGATCGGGAGGGTTGGGCCTCGCGAGTGTGGTAGTCGTGGGATTGGTAGTCCTGGGACTGGTAGTCTTCTATCTGGGACTGGCGGGGCCGGTCGTAGACAGCAGTGGGCAAACCGTAGGCGGAGCCTTCACGTTGAGAGTAGGAGCCGACGGGGAGGGATTCGTACACAGGGGCACGATCAGCAGCGAAGCTTCGACGAATGTCACGCTCAGTGAGGTCGAGTTGGTTCTCCTTGACCTGGTCGTAGACTTGGGTACGGTCCTGGTAATAGGACTGTTGATAGTTGGGGTAGCTGTAAGAAGGGAAGAGATGTCAGCCCATGCTCCACGGGTACCAGAAACATAATAAACAAAACAGCCAGTCACCGCTAATTCAAGTGGATCCCGGTTTTAGTGACACGTAATTTTAGTCTGGGACTAAATACGTATTGCCTCTATACCTGAAAAGGAGATCTCACAACAAATAGTGACTCCACTAGCTGAGCTGTGGAGCTGTGGCGCTCCCCAGCCCAACCAAAACAGGCCGAAAACAGAGAACTGTAAAAACAGTAATAACACTGAAATAAACAAAAACACGTACCTGGTGCGGGAGATCTCAAGCGGGGCTTGGAACTCTTGAGTTTGCTGATAGTAGTCCTGACGAGGGGCTTGGGCGCGGTCTTCGTACTGAACACGCTCTTGGTACTGAGGACGTTCCTGGTATTGAGAACGCTCTTGGAACTGAGACTGTTCTTGGAACTGAGACTGTTCTTGGAACTGAGGGTGCTCTTCCTGGAACTGAGGAGGACGCTGGAATTGAGGCTGAGGGCGCTCTTCCTTGATCACGAACTCTTCCTTTCCTTGAACACGAGGGCCGGGAAGGGGAGCAGAACCCTGAGTATCTTCCCGTTCGACGTGCGAAGGACGATCGAAATTGACTTCTCCCTCTACTCTCGTCTGAGTAGTTTCAGAGACAGCGTCACTCCGGTACGACGACGGGAAGACACTGAAGGGGATGGGAACGCGGGCGTCAAAGTCCAGATTGCCGGACTGAAGGTCTTTTCTCGAATGCCTTTCGAACTGTCGTGAAACAACTCGAAAGACTAGACAAGAAAAGACTTAAGGGGGAAGTCTTTCTCGAAGGATGAGAAGTAAAGAAGAGAGATCTTCTTTGATAAGATGATTGGAATGGAGGGGAATAAGCTTAAGCTTGGAATGTAGGAATGGAAAGGGAAGAAGGAAAGGAAAGGCGCAGCTGGCGAATGCAACGATTATTTATGCCTGGGGATTGTTTACGCCGCCTTGCCGGTTTAGGTTTCTGCTGATCACCGAGGTTCACTTTCTCTCCTTGATATGTTTAATGAAACTGAGTACTCTACACTACAGAGCATAGACTGCCTTCAATTGGCATTCCAGTCTTTTGAATCACTTTCCTGATCGTTTCCAGTACCACTCTCTATGCAATACGGAGCTCAATACACACCGTCAGAACCCCGTTCACATGGGGGGGGGGGGGGGGGGCTGGCCAGCGCGTATCATCACCAATTGCCATAGCAACCTCCGGGACGAATCGGACACTGGGTCCCCCGTGGCGCCGATCGTGTTTGGCTCCATCATATCGGCACAATGAGACACGGGGTTCAGCGGTTCTTGTGGTGCGGAGATAGATAGTGTCCCTCGGCCTGGGGGACTGTATTTATTATGCGATTTGCGGTCTGCGACTTGCAGTTTTCTGCTCTGAAAATTGCGATCGACTCGTTTGGTTGCCATTGGCTCCATACCCGAAACACACTGGCCAACGCAATTGCCATGCAATACACTGTCGATACATGCAGTTCGCTCCAATGGAAAGTGATTCATCAAGATCCTCCCCCGAGACCTGAGACCCTCTTTTGGGTCCCCAGCCACTCGTCCCCAGCCCAACCACCTGCTGGAGTCGGCGCCAGCGCATGCAGTCTGTGTCTAGACCCTCTTACCGCAACGAGGCTGGGAGCTGCGATGGCGTGGGAT